TGGGAGGCCTATATGTATTTATTCAAATACTTGTTTCTAGATGCGCTTAATTTTTATTTTTTAGCACTTGAATTTTTCATTATAAGATTATTTTTATTAATAGTAGGGCTTATTTACTTTGCATATATTGAGTAAATAAATAAAACTTTGAAGGATGGAAATAGAGCAAATTAGAGGTAAGAGTTTAAAAATGAAGTCTATATATGAAATACAAATTCAGTTCTAAGACCTGTTTGAATAGACTACATTAAATCAATCACCTTTACAAGATTAAAATATAATTCTAAGTTTTTAACTCAATACCTCAAAATTTTATAACATTTCTTTATAAGGAAAAGAATGATCAAATATTTTATATAATAAGAAGGGACTCTGCAATTTGATGATGCCTTTTTGTTAAAACCCTACCCATTTATGTATTCAGTTTTCTTTACATTATAAAACTTAAATGTAGTTAAAGTTGAACTCTATGATGCAATCCAAAAGACTGATCATAAAACTCTCTATCATTCAATTTTTAATAGATTATTTATTTCACAATAATTATATTATATAACCAAGATATTAAAAATTTTTATAATTATAAAATTTTTAACAACTTTTTTGGTAATTTTCGATTAAGATTAAATTTTTTTCAAATGTCAAGTTAGAGAAAAGTATCTATTAGTTTTTACATAATAATTTAATGAAACTAAGAGACTTTTATGATAAGATGGTTCAGATGTGAATAATATATTCAACATTATTTCGATCATATAATTCTGTCTAGGTGAAGTTTTGATTCTTAACCTGATAATCTGACTCACGAGTAATTGTGTTGAAAAATTAATAAGAACAATTTAAATTTCTAATTAAATATAATTATAACCAAATTTTGTGATTTTAACTTGATTTTATAAAATTAATAAGATTAATACTTATAAAGTTATTTAAATATAAGAAAATTAATATGACAAATAATTTTGCAAAGAATAGTATTTCATTAATTTAAATCTATGAATATAGTTTTTGGTTAATTTATTTACTTACCTTTTTCCATTCTACATTTTGACAATAAGGGCTAAGCTTTTTGATAAAACTTAATGAAACATTTGAATAAAGGACCTAGCAATCCGAAAATTAAAATTCCAATTTAACAAAAGCCATAATTAATAAGTTAATTTGGTAAGAAATAATAAATAAATTCTTTAACATATGCAATATTGAGTAATGTAAATAACATTATAGTTAACTTAATTCTGAAACTATACAGGTATTTCAAGCCACACAATTGTAATTAGATCAATATCTATTGATTTGAATTTCATAATAATGATGAACAATACATAACTAAAATTAATGAATGCTAGCAGAAAGCATTGAAATATTGGATAGTTTTAAATTCCAATTAAAATTGTTAAAAATAAAAGCTTTTTGATTAATATGATAATTTCTAATCTTTTAATTTTTCCAACCTTTAACATCAATTTGAAGTTGCTGTTATTAAAATTCTAATTTATAATAATCAAAATAATAAAGAAATACAAAATAGTTAAAAATAAACTAATTGTTGATCTTAGTGTTAATGAGTTTATTGAAATTAAAAATAATATTGCTTTGAAACTCAAATCCCAGCTATTGGCATAAAATATTTAAGTCAAGCCTTAAACTTTATATAAAGATTGCATAGCTAGCACCTTTTTGCTTATGAAATATCCTTTTATAGTAGCAAAATTAATGAAAATAGATTTAATTAATTTAACCCTTAAAAAATATTTATTCGTAAACCAATAATTAAATAAGAATCTTTTAAAATATTTAAGAAAACAATAAAGCAATAAAAATAAAGCAAGCTATGTAAATTATCCTTATAAATTAGTCAAGAGATCCGCATTAATTTGATATTCTTAAAGTTTCCCTGGACCCTCTAGATAAGGAGAGTCAAGTAAATTTTCAAATAAAGAGTTAATTTTCAATTTTATTAATATTGGCTACAATGTTATTAATTCTGAAGATTGAAAGTAAATAATAAGATTCTCAGGATATCTTACATTTATAAATCTTAAAAAAGATTGATATTAAAGAACATCCAATATTTCTGTGAATTGAGATAATTCACCAAAAATAATTAATAGTAGACTGCTTATAGCTAATCCAATAATAATCCATAAGCCAAAGTTATATAATTTAATGGCTGCAGCAGCTTAATCACTATTTAAAATAATTGAAGCTTGAAGTTTTAATTTTTTTTAACTTGTGTCAACTTTGAAGTTATTCTCATCTACTAATGATGCATCAATAGAAACTATTAATGTCGGTAGATCAATTATTGATTAGTAAAATTAAATGGTAAATAAATAAGTAGCTTCCTTTAATTCGAATTAATCTACTGCAATTACATCTTATATTGAATAATTATACTATTCCAAAGATAAATTATCAATTTAAACTTTAATTCTAGGAATTAAATTAAATATCGATTCGTTCAATTTTATAAGATTTGAAAATGATAATTAAACATATTAATAAGAATTAGTTTGATTAATAAATTCTAAGGAAAGCGAAGTTAAGAGAAAACATTTACTTTGAAAAATAGTCTATACACAATCCCATTTATTTTCTATTTTACATTGATTAGAGCATCCATCTAGATTATTTAAATTACTATCATCACATTCTTCCTCATTATTAAGAATTCCATCTCCACATATAAAATTACATTAAATGTCTATCATTGTATCAAAACTACTACATTCTGTAATTAAGGATATATTTGTAACACTTTAATTTCCATACAATATTTCTTCTATGTCTTATTCATAGCAAATAGCAGTATCTTTATTCAAAACATATTAATTATCACATTTCTTACAAATATTTCCCTTCTCACAATCAAGGCAACCGTATGAACATTAGAATTAACATTCAAAACAACCATCATATGGTTAATTATTACCATCATCACAATCCTCTAATTCAGTAATGATAATACCATCGCCACAGATTGGCAAACAAAATTATTCTACTATTTAAAAATTGTCTTAACAAATCAGACAAGTATATATATCTAAACAGAATAAACAATAAGGAAGACATTCAAGCTGGCATTGAAAGCATCCATCACCAGAAATATTATTACCATCATCACATTATTCTATAGAATATTATGCAATTTATCCATCTCCACATAATTAATAGCAATGGTTATCTTTCAATTACCATCCATATTCACAAAGATAACATTAAGAATTAATACATAATTGGCACTCTAATTAACAGATTTCTAAACATTGATCTTTGAAATCATGATAGTATCCATAATATTTTGAAATTACATTATCATCACATTTTCTTTAGCATTCTTATTTATCATAAGATAGTTCAAAAAAGGGATTACATTCTAGACATTTTCCAAATTCACATAATAAACAATCCAAAATACAAGAAAATTAACATTAATAACAACCATCATAAGGTATCTAATTTCCATCATCACATACTTCAAAACTAGTTATTATAGAATCTCCACAAATTGGAATACAACTTTGATCAAATGCTTAGAATTACCATCCAATTAGACAATCTATACAAGTACCTTTAATGCAGTTATTACAACCTTCAACGCAATCATAAATAAAAGAGAAACAACCATCAAATGCTAAATTATTATTATCAACACATAAATTTTAATTAGAATTAGATCCTAAAAATAATTGTACATCTCTAATGCACATCCAAGGATAAGTTACATGATGATATTTATTTTAAGTTGTCAATATGGTAATTTTCACTGTAGAACTACTGTGAGGGTATTACCGAATATTAATTTATCTTTAAGTCAAAAAATAACAAAATTCATAAATTGAATTAACTTCTATCCACCCACCAGAATATTATGTATAATATACAATAACATCATCTATTAAAATTTTAATTTCCGTTTCATAACTATTTAATATAAAAACTCGAATTGAAAAGCTAATCTTGGAGTGGATCTCTAGTTAATACGTTTTCTCCAATTAAAGTTAAAATACTCTTAAACATTTAATTCCTAATTTAATAGTTAAAAATACCTGAACAATTACCTACAAATGTTTCAATAACACCATTTGATAACCATCCATCAATAGCATTAATTGATCCAATATTCTTACTAACAAATTGTTATAAGAATAAAATTTGGTCAAAACAACCTGTCTAATCGCAAGAATTGCATCCTGCTATACAATTTTCTATAGATAAACTAAATTCAGAAATTCCCCAAACTCCTTTTTGTACTATCATTATTAATAAAATAGTAGGGCTAGAATGCTCGAAAGTTCTTGAGATAGGGATAACTTCATCTGAATAACCTGAACTACCACATATATTTGTAGCAATTGTAGTATCTGAATATGTGTTTTCGTAAATAATTTAATGATCAGCATACAAGTAAAATTAATAATTGTCCCATTAGTCGATTCTAATACTTTTATGGATTTATTACCTCCAAAAGTTGAAAGAAATTGTTACTTAATAGTGAGGCTTGAGTTCAAATGTTTAATAAATTACTAAATCATATTCTGATGAAGAACAATAATTTACTTTTAATATTTATTAGGTACCACAAGAAGCAACTTCAACAATGCATACATCTTAATTGTAAATAACATCAAGATCTATAATATTTTTAATATTTTACCTATTAATGAACTACTTTCATAGAAATTTTTATAAACTACCAAAGTTGACTATGATTAATTCAAAAGCAATAATAAATAAAGAAGCAAATGTTAGAATTTGATAGTAAATGGTAGTTTATTCATGGTATACTTGGAAATCTAATCAATCATTAATTTTATAAACATATGGAATTTTTGAAAATATTTTAATGAACTTTTTGCTAATTAATTGTTGTAGAGCCTCAAATAAAAATATAATTTAGTTTTTGTAAGAATAAAATTTGGATAAAGGCATTTTCAATTTATTTTCAATTTGGTATTAAATACTCTCAAAAGATTCATTATAAGTATTGTGATTTGTATACTATAATCTAATTATTATCGTGGTCATTATAGACCAGATATCAGCATAGGAGTATAATATTTATTGTTTCGCTATTAATTAAAATTGGAATAAATTAGTTTCTTGTGCTTTGGATAGATAAATTATTATGGAATGTTAGAATATCAGATAAACATTTATATTATACTATCTATCATTTTCATTTAATAAAATTTCTAGATTATTAATAAATGAAAACGAAAATAAAGAAATATCTAGATTGAAAATAGCAAAATATTAAATTACACTAATAACTTCTACTCTCATTTCTGTTATTATAATTTATTGATAAAGAAAACAATATACAATGTGTAATTTTATACTTTTTCTATTTTAGAAACAAATTCTCTTAATGATTTTATGAAAAATCCCAAAAGACAAATATATTCTTTATAATAATAATTTATGAAGTCCTTAGAAGAAAATTTATTCAATGCAATTCAAATATATAATATTGTCTAATCATTAAATCTCAAAAATAAATGTAAGAATAAGTATTAAAAAAATCAAATTGAGTTTTCAATACTACTCCCATATAACGAAAATATTTATCATATTCATTTTATAACCTCTATATTAAATAAGTATAACATTATTAAATCCTTTGGATCATGAAATAAAAATTGAATGTATTATCTAAGGAATCATTATTATTATATTTAAGAAATCAAAAATAGTTACCCTTCATATGAGGATTGAATTTAGATAACACCTAAAAGATATGATTCATTGTTTTGAGTTAAACATTTCAATTACTCTAATATATTAACCTAAAATCTATGAATATAAATGAAATCCTTTAAAAAATAAATAATTTATAACATGAAAGGATACTCAATATTCAATAATAAAAAGAATTAAAATTAATCAAATTTTTTAAATATATGCAAGAATAAATTTTTAGACTGAATAGGCAAGTTAAATGGTAAAAAAGTTAAAATTTAATAAGGCAAGAGAATTTTATCATATAATCCTAAGTTTAAATAAAATATTTTTTTGATTTGTTTTTTAAATATATAACAATTTAATCTGCATTATGATAATTCTTCCTATAAATTAAATTATAATATAAATAATTTAATTTAGATTTAATTTAAACTTATTTTTTATAATTTGATTTATTTTTCATTTTTAAGTTGGTTATAACAAATTTCAAAATTGTTTTTCAAAAGTATGAGAATGTTATCATTATGATTTGTATATTTCAGAAAATTAAAATAAAAGGAAAAATAGACTTATTAAACTTATTTTTTATAATCTAATCATCCAAAATATATCATATTATTATTGATATGAATTAATTATGCATAATCCTGTTTAATATATTAATAGAACATTTAGCTATGCTTTGCTGTTCCTTTATAATAAGAATTATACTTTAATTCACTAATGATGAAAAGTGATTTTGCTAGAAGATTCAAGTAAGAAAGAGGCCGAAAAGTTCCTAAAACGACAGTCTTCAGTTATAATCCTTTTTTAACTTAGTTATTGTAATTAGTATCAGTATTAATTTAATTGGCTTATGAATCTTTTTTTATTCTTATATATAAATGATGATTGAGAGTATTAGTTTTCTAAATATTATTTTATTATAAATATCAATAACCAAAGAACTTTATATTTGTTGTAGTATTTCAAAAATCGAGTTTAATTTTTAAACAAAATATAGTATGTGAATATTTTCTATTGCTTATAAACTAGTAATTCATATAGTGTTTTAATAATGTAAAAGACATTCCTATTTTACGTAAGATATTATAATTCTTAACTGTCATCTTCAAATAACTCAAATAGTTCATGGCTCTTCACTTAGAATTGAAAAGTATCATAAGATTTTTGTAGCCTAAATTTTTGGATCCAAAGAGTATTGTTGATCAAAAAAGAATATATATATATAATTTTAACATTTAATATTTAACTTAATCTTATATAGATATGATATACTTGTAGTAACAGTTGTATTTACAAAATACCTATTCCAGAAAGTGTGAGAATTAAAGAGATTGTAAGAGCTTTTATTATTTCATTTTACTGATTGATTTTTTTTAGTGTTTATTATAAAACCATTAAGATTCAAGTTTGATTATTTATTATTTCTTTTCTTCAGTAATGAAAAATATTTTTGTTATTCAATCTTTTTATAGATTCCTTAAATTTGATTATTCTGAGTCAGACTATTAAACAAAACGTGAAGAGTTTTTCAATTAAAAGTAATTTAATAAAAAAATTGCATTATTAGAATATTCTAAGAGGCACAATGGTTAAATATAAGAAAGATTGAATTGATGATACTATAATGATTATTTGTGTACACAGTTTCAAAAATATATATAAAATATAATATCAAGAAATAATTTCTATTTTACATCTTTTATAGAAATGCACACATGGATACAAATCTTTGGATGTGTCAATAATCAGAGTCTAATAATAATATTTTGATATTGATACAAAAGATTGATTTGTTGATGAATTTATCCATTTTACATACTGATTTTAGATATCTACCTCAACAATAATAGTATCATTTTTTTAAAAAGGAAATGCTATTTTTTTATCATTTTTATCTTATTAATCATGATTACAACAATAGCTAGAATTATGTATATTATATGTTCTATTTGAACTATTAATATCATAACACATACCCTCCTCCAATTCCAAAACAATTATAATAACCTTTACTCTATACAATATCCCTAAAACCAATTCCAATCATAATACAAGTAACTTCAATTATTTTAAAAGCAAATTAGATGACTCCATTCTTAGGGATCATTTAATCACACATACAACAATACCAATTACCAGAATTATTCTCACTAACTTTTCCATTTTAAGTTACTTAACAATTACTATGTTTGTAAGTTTTTGAGAATGTCAGTAATTAATTATATGGCATGTTCTTCAAATATAAATTTTACATACCAAAGTTTGTTATAATTATTTTACTATTTCCTCATTATTCTAATTTGGTTATGAGCATCTTTCATACCCTTCTTGCTTCTCCTCATGGTTAACTTCAATTTTAATTTCTACGAGAATTTAATTAAAATTTAATTTTTACTTGATTACTCAAGCTATTTAAGTTTAGCTTTTAATGCTTCCTTTTCATTTTTTAAATCTAAAATTTTTAATCTTTATTCTTCTTAATGTTTGTTAAAATCAATTATTTTTTATTACTATTATAAAATTATCTTTTCTTTTTCTGTGGGTTTAATTAATCTTATTTTTTTATTTTCTTTCAGTAGGTTAAGTTCTGCCTCTATTTGATCAAAACATGTTAGTTTTTTTATTATTGAAAAATCTTTTTCAAACTATGATATATATTCATTAAACTAATTATTATTATTTAATTTTTACTTTCTACAATTGCTAATTTTTAAATTAATTTGATAAAATATTGATTTTTTGCATTACTGATTCATACTATATTTACGCTTCTTATAAGATATCCTAAAATTTTTTTAAAATCTTTAGTTATAAATCAAGTTACTTAATTGATTGCAAATTAGAAATTTCATCTTCTTCTTCATTTAAAACTTAATCTTCTATAATATTGATAATTTATTCCTTAAAAATATTATTAATCTTATTAGTTGCCTTTAATCTTTTTTTTTATAATTTTCCAAAACTAGTTGATATGATTTCCAATTAATTATAGTTTTCTTTCTAAATATTATATTTCTTTTCAGTTAAATCATAAAATTTATCTTTATTGCTTAATATTTTAGCTAATCCATTAAGTTATTCACTATTCATATCATAGATACTATTTTTATTAATCTATTTAGACTCATTTTTTTAATTCGTTGAGAACTTAATATTAATCTTATTCATAATGTCTTAAATTGTAGAAAGATGTTTTTCTTTAATTTCTTCAAGAATCTTAATGATTTATGTTTAATTTTAACATCTTTTATTCTAAAATTGTTAAACATTATCATTCGTCTATTCCAGATATTCATTCCATTGTTAATTAGTATCACTTAATGTTGTATATTTGATTGGATCATTAGATGATATACATTCCACACAAACCAATCTTGAAAGCTCAGTTTTTTCAGGATTTAAATTAAACATAATAATATCTTTTCCATGTTTTTTACATTAAATATTCAAACCTTGTTTTTTCTATATAATATATAAGTTGAAAATTACTTATGGGTATTCCTAATTATTAAAGATTTATTAGACTTAATTAATTTCTAAATGGTCTTCTTTAACTTTTAATTTTTATAATGTTTCAATGATTTTAGTAAAAATAGGACATTTAATTATTGATTACAACTACTATTATATTGATTCTATGTAGGTATTATCATTAATAGGTATTAAAAATTCACTAGGAACTTCAAAACTAAATGGTCCTTTTTAATTCTTCAACAACACTTTTATGTCTTCTTCAAAAGATGAAACTTATATATTTTGTTTCGAATTCTTCAGTTCATCATTTATTAGTTGTATTTTTGAAGATAAGTTAAATTCAACTTTGTGTAAAGTTTTGGTGATTGATAAACTTAATTCTTTTATTAAGGATTGAATTTTTTAATAAGTTTCAATCATTGTTAAATACTATTTGACCTTTTTGTCCAATATATCACTTTTCATTTAATGTATCATTATTTTTGTCTCCTATACTAAAAAAATGTTTTAAGTATCAAATTTTTCCATTAGGCACTTAATACATCCCTCATCAACATTAGATTATTTAAACTCTATTACCAAAATTTCTAAGTTATGCTTTGAACATAATTTCTTATTGTCTTCAGATGACATTTATATATTTAATTATAAGAAGATATTTCAAATAAAAATATTCTAAAATCTAAAACATCAGCAATTATTGATATCTACTAGAATATAATAAATTATGAAACTTTATCTAGTTAAGCTTTTTATTTCATAAAAATATTATCAAGCATACATTAATCAAATTAAATCCTAAAATTTTCATATTTGACAGTTATTCCTTAGTAAAATAACCTCAGATAAAACTATCAAATTACTGATTAACAAATAATTGATTTTTTTTAATGGTTGAATAGAATATTGTATTTAAAGTCATGTCGGTAGTAATCTTAAACTATATATATATTATTTTTAAAAAATCAACATAGATTAAGTTTAATCCAAAATTAATATTCAATAGCCTAGATCATAAAAACATATTATTGCTAGAATAAGTATCAGACCAATTAGCTAAGATATTAGATATGTTCTTTAGGTTTATTATTCTAAATATTAAAGACTATTTATGTAATATTTTTATATTTATTATAATATAGATATGGTCATAAATCATTAAGAATTAAAATTTTTGTTTCAAAATATTTTTAGTTTGATGAAAATGATGTAAAATATGTAATTAATAATCAATAATTAACAATATCTTATTATAATTAAATATATCAATGTCAACTGAAATAGAAAAGAAATTCTGTTCAAAACATAACTTAGAAATTTAAACAATAGATCTAAAATAATCAACTGCTGAAGAGAATAAATATCTTTGCATCAAATGCCTAATTGAGAAGATAGATATTTAAAATATTGCTTTAGTTGAAGAGACATAAATAATGATAAAATAAATGAAGAGTGAATAGTTGAATCATAAAATCAAAGAGAATCAAAAGAGAATAGAGAATTTTACATAAATTCAATCATAATTAAAAGAATTGAAATTATCAATCAATAACATAATTGATAAAGTCTAAAGTAACATAGATTAAAAATTGAATTTAATTGAGAAGGAATTAGAAGAATCAGAATAAAAAACTCTAATTTCTTCTTTTGAAGATGATGTAAAAATCTTATCAAAGAATTACAAAGGATAATTTAGTTTTGAAGTTCCTAAGGAATCGTAGAAGTATATTAATGACAATTCCTATATTGATTCAATTTAATAATAGTTGGAATCTATAACTAAAAGTCCAATGTTTATATAAATTAATGAAACATTGCAAATGTGTAAATTTTAAGACTAAACTTAAGAATTAAAGTAAGTTTAATTACTTACCAAAAAAGAAGATGACCCATAAGTATTAATATTTTATAAATTAAATAGAAAACACCAAGTTTAAAGATTCAATGCAATAAACATGGAAAAGAAATAATAATGTTGAATTTGAATCCAGAATCTACAAAATTTTCAAGATTAGCTTGTGTAAAGTGTATCAAATCAAATGATCCTATTAAATATACAACCTTTAGTGATGCAAATTTTAGATGGAATGAATATTTGGGATAAACAAGTGATTAAATTAATAAATTTTTTGAATTAAAGATCTTTAAGAACCTAATCAATTATTGAGATTCTTGAAGATATTAAGAAAAAGTATAATACTACAATTTCAGAAATTATTAATAAGATAAACACTCAATCATAAATTTTCTAATATAATTAAACGAATGAATATAATGAAAATATTATTTATGAGATGAAGCCAGAGTAAGTTAATGAATTAACTGNTATGCAATCTAATTGTAGAAATGAGGAAATGGTTAAATAGTTAAAAATAGATAAAGTATAACTTAAGATTTTTTTTGAAGTAGGTGAGGTAATTCTCATAATCACTGACTTTCTCAACAACCTATAAGCATAGTAATTGTTCAGTAACTTAAAATGGAAAAATGGTTGAGAATAGTTCTGGTCATTACAATTGTTGCATGTGTGATTAAATGATCCCTAAGAATGGAGTCATCTAATTTGCTATCAAAATTATTGAAATATGTGATTTATTGATTGGAATTGGTTTTAGGGATATTGTATACAGTAAAACTTATCAAAATAGCTGCTATGTTGGAGGAGGGTATGTATTATGATATTAATTATTCAAAATAGAACATATAATATAGATAATATTGGACGATGTTGGAATCATGATTAATAAGATAAATGTGGTAAATCGATAGCATTTTCATTCTCAAAGAATGATATAATAATTGTCGAAGTAGATATACAAAAGCAGTATGTAAAATGGATAAATTCATCAACAAATCAAACATTCGTATGAATTTATATCCTATTAGTCTCTTACTATTGATACATCCAAAGATCTATACCCATGTGTACATTTTAATAGCAGAAACAAACTCGAAATATTAAATTAAGTTTTCAAATGATAGTATTTAGAATTTACATATTAATAATTATCTTATAATTAATTTTTGGAAAGCATAGTAATTCAAAATTTGAAATATAAATGTTAATCTTTTAAATTCATTTAATAATTGTATTTGATATTAATCAATTCTAATATCCTTTTCAACTTTTAAATCATATTCAAGTTAATCTTAATATCGATTGTGTTTAAATAAAGTTTAGATCAGATTCAAATAAAATTTGAACTGAGTAAAAACTAATCATTCTTAACTTTTAATAAAGTATATTTATTCCCTTACAAATTAAAATTTTTCATACTGATAATTATAATAATAAAATTATCTGAGGTTTTAATTTGCTTTGTGAAGTTCTCTTAAAAAAAGAGCTCTTTCTATTTTTAAAATTAAAACCAAATTTGTATAAAATCACAAATTAGAAGATTGAAATTAACATAAATGTAATAAAATAGATAATGTTTTTGAAAAGACAAACTTCTAAGGTATGTTTAAGCTAATTAACAAGAACAGAATTAATTTATTTATATAGAGTATAAGTTTTTGTAGCATGTTCATTTAAAAATTAAATTAACTCTCATTTGCCATTTAATTCTAGTGATTCATAAGATTTATACAAGATTAACCTAGTTGGGGAAACATTCTAAAATATTATAAATAAAAATCCACCTTATGAAATTTTTAGGATCATAAAAAGTTTTCTATTTTTGAGAATAATTTACTTATTTTAAACTCAAGTAGCCTAGTAATACTAAACGTATTTGAAAAATATATATAATTTTACCTTATTTTGCTTAATGGAATGTTAAGATAAATAAGTATGAATTAATAGAAAATATTAATGTAAATAAATTTGATAGACTTATTTAGTTGGAGTTGAGTGATGATTGTAAATATTTAAGTAGAACTTGGAACATTAAAAGTGCATTAACAATAGCATTTAAGAGTCTTTATATTACAAAGTCTCTTTAATTTATCCTTATTTTATTGAAGATAATTTTTATTTTATTAAATTCTCCAATCTATCAATTAAAAAGTCAAGTTATTTATTAAAGAGGAATGGGTTTTATAGTAATTTAAAATTCAACTCTAATACCAGCATCATTATTATTATGTAAGTCTAAAAGAATCTCTTCGTATCCTTTGTTTAATCTTTGCATTTGATATTTGAACTCACCTATTATTTAATAAATGTTAGGAGCAATCTCCATTTAAAATAAAGCTAATTTGAGAAGGATTCAACTTTCTTGTTCATATATCTTTAAATTCAGGTACAAAAAGCATCAATTGAGTATCTAGAGGTGCATTGTATTTAGTATGGAATCATATACTAAATAGAGATCTCATTTTTCCCTCTTATTCTTTCCTAAAAGAAATAATACTTAGTCAATTCCACTTCTTACTCTTTATTAGATAAAGCATATTATACCCTTATTTAGAAATTTCTAATAATTCTATATTTCCAATACTTATATCCTTAAAGATACCTTTTTGTTATCTAATGATATATCTTACAAATAACTGAGATAACTCACCAAAAAGCTATGCCTTTAGATAAAAATAAAAGAATTTCATAATCTCATAATTTGATCCAAATTTTTACCGATTTCTTTTATTTAATAACACATTTTGTTTTTGGCCTGGAGATAATTTATGTCTAATCTAACATAAAAACATAAATACCTCGAATTAATTAATGAATAGATTTTTGTTAAAAATTTAAAGTAACACTTTGATATTTCCTAAAAAAATAAACTCAAATTATTAAGATAACTANATGTTAATCTTTTAAATTCATTTAATAATTGTATTTGATATTAATCAATTCTAATATCCTTTTCAACTTTTAAATCATATTCAAGTTAATCTTAATATCGATTGTGTTTAAATAAAGTTTAGATCAGATTCAAATAAAATTTGAACTGAGTAAAAACTAATCATTCTTAACTTTTAATAAAGTATATTTATTCCCTTACAAATTAAAATTTTTCATACTGATAATTATAATAATAAAATTATCTGAGGTTTTAATTTGCTTTGTGAAGTTCTCTTAAAAAAAGAGCTCTTTCTATTTTTAAAATTAAAACCAAATTTGTATAAAATCACAAATTAGAAGATTGAAATTAACATAAATGTAATAAAATAGATAATGTTTTTGAAAAGACAAACTTCTAAGGTATGTTTAAGCTAATTAACAAGAACAGAATTAATTTATTTATATAGAGTATAAGTTTTTGTAGCATGTTCATTTAAAAATTAAATTAACTCTCATTTGCCATTTAATTCTAGTGATTCATAAGATTTATACAAGATTAACCTAGTTGGGGAAACATTCTAAAATATTATAAATAAAAATCCACCTTATGAAATTTTTAGGATCATAAAAAGTTTTCTATTTTTGAGAATAATTTACTTATTTTAAACTCAAGTAGCCTAGTAATACTAAACGTATTTGAAAAATATATATAATTTTACCTTATTTTGCTTAATGGAATGTTAAGATAAATAAGTATGAATTAATAGAAAATATTAATGTAAATAAATTTGATAGACTTATTTAGTTGGAGTTGAGTGATGATTGTAAATATTTAAGTAGAACTTGGAACATTAAAAGTGCATTAACAATAGCATTTAAGAGTCTTTATATTACAAAGTCTCTTTAATTTATCCTTATTTTATTGAAGATAATTTTTATTTTATTAAATTCTCCAATCTATCAATTAAAAAGTCAAGTTATTTATTAAAGAGGAATGGGTTTTATAGTAATTTAAAATTCAACTCTAATACCAGCATCATTATTATTATGTAAGTCTAAAAGAATCTCTTCGTATCCTTTGTTTAATCTTTGCATTTGATATTTGAACTCACCTATTATTTAATAAATGTTAGGAGCAATCTCCATTTAAAATAAAGCTAATTTGAGAAGGATTCAACTTTCTTGTTCATATATCTTTAAATTCAGGTACAAAAAGCATCAATTGAGTATCTAGAGGTGCATTGTATTTAGTATGGAATCATATACTAAATAGAGATCTCATTTTTCCCTCTTATTCTTTCCTAAAAGAAATAATACTTAGTCAATTCCACTTCTTACTCTTTATTAGATAAAGCATATTATACCCTTATTTAGAAATTTCTAATAATTCTATATTTCCAATACTTATATCCTTAAAGATACCTTTTTGTTATCTAATGATATATCTTACAAATAACTGAGATAACTCACCAAAAAGCTATGCCTTTAGATAAAAATAAAAGAATTTCATAATCTCATAATTTGATCCAAATTTTTACCGATTTCTTTTATTTAATAACACATTTTGTTTTTGGCCTGGAGATAATTTATGTCTAATCTAACATAAAAACATAAATACCTCGAATTAATTAATGAATAGATTTTTGTTAAAAATTTAAAGTAACACTTTGATATTTCCTAAAAAAATAAACTCAAATTATTAAGATAACTATTTAGTATTTGATTGATTAGACTCTCTTTCTGGTTAATTGATTATATAAACATTTTACCAAATTTTAATTACTAAACATAGAAGGTTAACTAAAATTATATTAAATGTCAAATGGAGTTATATTGTGTAATTTTGATTTAGTTTCAAGTCCCTATTTTTTATACTTTTAATTCAACAAAATTCTCTTATCATTACCTAATTTCTTAATAAAAAATTTAACTAAACTAGTAATTATTATTGAATAATTAAAGTGTTATTAATTGTAATGATTGCAATACAAAAATGTAATTTCAAATTATTTATTTAAAAGTTAAGCAAAAGAAGATCTATTTAAACTTCAAAGGTTTTCCCATTTATCTTATTATAACTTCTAAATCAAGAATAAAAGAGGGAGTACTGTTTTTAATATATTTGATATTTTAATATCATAATATTTATATATGATATTTCAATATCATAATATTATCAGAGAAAATAGAGGAGATGCACCTTAAATAAAACCTAATATTATAATATAACAATATATAAAATAAAAGATAACTAATATCAATTGTTATGAATATCCCATCTTTTATAAAACTATATTTAACATCAATTCTTGATGATATTTTTTTTATAGAATCACTGATTCTAATCTTCTTGAGAAATGGCAAGCTTTATTAAGCAAATTATTATTTCATTTAAAGTTAAAGGTGCCATTATTAGAAATTATATTTAACAAGGAATAAATTTTTAGATAAGAAATCAATTTTAATTACAATTAATTATTATATTTTCATCTAAACTAATCAAAATTTTTTCATAAAATTATTAATTAAGGCCTCTTCTATATTTATTTAGAGATGTTTTTAGTATTCATATTTAAAGTTACTAAATCTATCATTATTTTAATGAATTTGTCAGTTATTTTTCTTATTATTGATTTAAATTTATTTATCTTAATTGATTTTTTTTAAGAAAAAATTTTAATAGAAATAGATATCAGACAAATAATCTTTATCAATATTAAAATAAATGAATATCAGTTTACCAGATTAAGAGAAAATATCCTGTAAAATACATAAGAATGAGCATTGTGTTGCAGCTGATTTAAACATAAAAGGAAAAAAGGATGTCAACTTTTTATGTATAAAGTGTTTAATAGAATAATAATTAAATTAAAAAATTACCTTAATTGACGACACAAAGAGACTTATAAATTAAATGAAGACACAAAAGTTGGAAAATTAATCAAAAGAGAATCATCATTTATATAATTATTAAATTAATTCTATATGGATCTATATACCTATTATTACAATTAATTAAAGCTCTTCCACCATTATAAAATTCAGAAGAAAATAAATTTTCAATATGACCCTACAATTAATTTTTATATATGATAACCCTATCCTATTTCTTAATTCAAAATTACTTATGATTTAACCAAGCTATTTAATAATTTATCTTCAAATATTACTGATTTCAGAATTAACAAATTTATATAAATATATATTGAAATTATCTTAAATACAAAAAAAAACTAAAATCATTCATCTATTTAAATTTAATAATTAAATAATCTAGAGATTTATTGATAATTTTTAATTAATTATTCCTATTACTTATCTATTTCATTTAAATCAATTTAAAAATTATTAAATTATTATTTTAAAGATAATCTATTAATTAAAATTTTTGAATTATCTAATCATTTTTATTTATTAAGTTATTTTGTTATGCTAAAATAAAAGAGAATTAATGAAAAGAAAAACTAACCAGATATCATAATGAATCAATTTGAATTCAACATAATTCAAATATATTCACTAATTAATTCATTAGAATTACTTATTATTTAGATAAAAATGATAAAAACACTTATATATAAATGTATTAAAAATAAAAAATCATCACCCCGAAGACTCGAACTCGGACAGATGTTTTTCTAGAACAACGCTCTACCTCTAAGCTACGTGATGAAGTTAATAAATATCTTACTCAATATTTTATTAAGAAATTTCTAACTGCGTTGGTATGTTCAAATATAAATTACTTTGTTCTTTGAATTTCCCTTAGATTATAATATATTTTACTCTTTTTAATATTTTATATCTTAAAAAAAACTGCTTATTATATTGATTAAAAATAATATCATATCGATTTGAACTTTTGTACATCTTTAAAAGTGTCATTTTTAATTTTAATTTTTTTTATGTACATCCATGATTTCCTAATTACTAATTTTATTTCAAATTTTAAACCAATACTTAAATTCTTCAGGTAATCAAGTCATTTATCCCATCCTAAACTTACTTATAATAATGATAAAAAAATCATTTTTTCTTTTTTATTTAAATCTTGAATTAATATTAATAATATGTTATCATAATATTCATTTTACTTTTTGAACTCATTTATGTTATTATTATCATTTTTACATATTTAATATAAAAATTTTCTTCCTTAAAATTGACAATTTTATTTGTTATAATGAGATTCATTATATTTAATAAAATAATTAAAAAATAAAAATTATTTACTTTGAGATTTTCATAATTTTATTGTTTTTAGATATTTATATAAATATGATTCATAAATTATTAATAAGAATAAAAGATTAAAATATTTTAGATATTAATGTTAGGAATACATATCATTATATCAGAAACTCTTTTACAAAGTATACTTATTTAATAAATAATAAATTGAAAAATTATTTACAATATTAAAATAGTGAACTTTTCCTTTTAAATATATATATAATAGCTCATTATAACAAGCTTAAAGTAAGTAATTCACTTTATTTAAATCAAGTATGTAGAAGAAGTTTGTGGAATTTTGAATTTTATAAATTTTTTGTTTAATATTTTTTCTATCTAATAGATATACACAACATTTCAATCATTTTCTTCAACCTCAATTTCTTCTTCTTTTAAGTTGATTTCATTTAAAATTTTTTCAAATTTTTTTTCACTTTTTCTAATTTTTTATTTGAATTAAGTTTGTGAAGCATTTATTGAAGAACCTTAATACAAAATATTTCCAGAAGAAAGACCTTCATCAATAGAAATTAATTCTAAAGCAAATCTTGGTCCAATTTCTCTCAACTCTTTTTATTAATATACTTCATATTATCTAAACCATATTCTATTTTGTGCTTCCCCTTCTGTAGTGAATGTAAAGATTCTATCAATGAAATTATCAGTAAATCTAGCTTAAGCAACATTAAACAAGAGAGTTATTATTTCTTTAATTAATTTGTATTTAACAATAGTATCAAATCTTTGATCAAATTAAAGTAAAACTCTACCCTTTTTTGAGAAATTGCCAGCCAATTATAGATCTTTAATTGTAGTAACTATAAGTTAAATTATAAGTATATACTATTAAGAACAGAAAATTAAACTGTAGGTCCTGATGGATATGATCCGAAAACTAAGATAAGTTGGTTTGAAATTGTATGGAATACAATAAAGGAATTACATTTATGATTTTCGCAGAGGGAAGGAATAACTTATCTTAATTATTCATATTTGATTTTATTAGTCTTAAATATTAATAATGTGTACTTTTTTTGAATGTGGAAGAATGCTCATAATATCCAACATAAAATGCCTATGTTGCAAATCTAAGTTTCTGGTGGGTACAATCAAAATATGATTTCGATAAAAGACTTTGNATATTTAATAAAATAATTAAAAAATAAAAATTATTTACTTTGAGATTTTCATAATTTTATTGTTTTTAGATATTTATATAAATATGATTCATAAATTATTAATAAGAATAAAAGATTAAAATATTTTAGATATTAATGTTAGGAATACATATCATTATATCAGAAACTCTTTTACAAAGTATACTTATTTAATAAATAATAAATTGAAAAATTATTTACAATATTAAAATAGTGAACTTTTCCTTTTAAATATATATATAATAGCTCATTATAACAAGCTTAAAGTAAGTAATTCACTTTATTTAAATCAAGTATGTAGAAGAAGTTTGTGGAATTTTGAATTTTATAAATTTTTTGTTTAATATTTTTTCTATCTAATAGATATACACAACATTTCAATCATTTTCTTCAACCTCAATTTCTTCTTCTTTTAAGTTGATTTCATTTAAAATTTTTTCAAATTTTTTTTCACTTTTTCTAATTTTTTATTTGAATTAAGTTTGTGAAGCATTTATTGAAGAACCTTAATACAAAATATTTCCAGAAGAAAGACCTTCATCAATAGAAATTAATTCTAAAGCAAATCTTGGTCCAATTTCTCTCAACTCTTTTTATTAATATACTTCATATTATCTAAACCATATTCTATTTTGTGCTTCCCCTTCTGTAGTGAATGTAAAGATTCTATCAATGAAATTATCAGTAAATCTAGCTTAAGCAACATTAAACAAGAGAGTTATTATTTCTTTAATTAATTTGTATTTAACAATAGTATCAAATCTTTGATCAAATTAAAGTAAAACTCTACCCTTTTTTGAGAAATTGCCAGCCAATTATAGATCTTTAATTGTAGTAACTATAAGTTAAATTATAAGTATATACTATTAAGAACAGAAAATTAAACTGTAGGTCCTGATGGATATGATCCGAAAACTAAGATAAGTTGGTTTGAAATTGTATGGAATACAATAAAGGAATTACATTTATGATTTTCGCAGAGGGAAGGAATAACTTATCTTAATTATTCATATTTGATTTTATTAGTCTTAAATATTAATAATGTGTACTTTTTTTGAATGTGGAAGAATGCTCATAATATCCAACATAAAATGCCTATGTTGCAAATCTAAGTTTCTGGTGGGTACAATCAAAATATGATTTCGATAAAAGACTTTGTGTTATTTTTCAGCCATAGGTATAATTATGGATATATATTTATTAATTTTATTAATGGGTGATTAATTTTATCAATTAAGTGCAAAATGGACAGTTTCAGAGAAATACAATGCTAGTTAGAATCTTGATTATAAAAAGACGATTGTGGATGTTTGTTCATTTAATACAATAGAAGAATTTGCATTTTTAATGAAAAAGACTATTTATTCAAAAATATCAGATGTTTTAAGTGAGCCATAGAAATGCAAAATGTAAAGAGATGTTATAATTACAGCTTTAAATAATTTAATGACGATGCTACTGATGTTTAAATAGAAGCAATATAATTTTTCAAGAATGATATAAAACCATGGTGGGAAGATGAAAATAATAAAAATGGTGGTGAAATCTAATTTGATATTCCAACATAATTTTATAATATATATGATAATTTATACTAAGATATTTTATATGAAGTAATTGGATAATCAAATGAAGATTTGAGACATGTATATAATATTATGTTATTTAGGTAAATGGTTTAAGAGTGGTTGATAAAATTAATGCTAAATAAGGCAATAGAATAAGAATTGAATTATGGCTAGATATTGATCCTAAAGATAAGCATGAGTCCATTTAAAAATTTGATAGCTGGCTAGTATCCTTGATTCAAAAATATCAAATTGAATAAACTTAACTCACTTAAGTGTCACATAAAAAATGAATATTGTTGATTGAATAGCATCATACATAATATTAATAATTATTAAATGGGTACTATAGTTTGTTCGAAAAAAAAAAATACTCCTCCTGTTTCAATTCTTACAGAACCAAGCAATTTGATAACAATGAGTGAACCTCAATTAAACATAAAAGACAATAAAGATGAATACTTTGATGATGAAGAATTGTTAAAATATGAACATTCCAAATATAAACTGAGAGAAGTCTAAAACAAGCCAATAAAGTATAAGGATTAATTTTATTTCAAGGTGGTAATCATTGAATCATTATTTGGGATAAGGATCATTTGGTTCTGTTGAATTAGGTAAAGATCTAGAGAGTGGATAATTCATTGCAGTAAAATAATTATCAATCTCAGGATATAATCCTAAATAAATAAAGGCAGTATAGATTTATTTATAATATATGAGAAAATAGATGCTTTCGAATTGGAAATAAAAGTATTATCTAAATTAGAACATCCAAATATTGTGAAATATTTAGGAATGGAATAAAATCAAACTCATATTAATTTGTTTTTAGAACATGTTTCAGGAGGATCAATAAAATCTTTGTTGGAAAGGTATGGACATTTTCCTGAGAATCTAGTATAATAATATACAAAATAAATTTTATGGGGAATAGAATATTTACATAGTCATGGAATAATACACAGAGATATCAAAGGAGCCAATATTTTAGTAGATGCTAAAGGAATATGTAAATTAGCTGATTTTGGTTCATGTAAGTCATTGTCAAAAGAGGATTGTAATACATTCACAGGAACACCCAATTGGATGGCACCTGAAGTAATTAATGGAAAAGGATATGGAAGATTTGCAGATATTTGGTCACTTGGATGCACTTTGATAGAAATGATGACAGGCAAACCTCCTTGGTATGATGAAGCTAAGAATCCATTTTAAATTATGATGGAAATTATGAAAGGTTAACCACCTCAAATACCATAAGATTTAAGTGAAACAGCCAAAGATTTCTTGTCTCATTGTTTATAGTAATTATTTATTATGAAAAGATATGATCCTAAGAAAAGATGGAATATTACAAAGTTATTACACCATCCTTTTGTACCTAAAGGAGGAAATAAATCCATTTCAATTGATTTAAGTAATATGTTTCGACCTTTTTACAGGTAGGCAACATGATTAGAATTTTGATTATTATATTATATTATATTATATTATATTATATTATATCATATCATAAATTAAGTTCTCTTTTTCTATTGCATATTAATTAAATTTTTGAATTAATAAATCAAATATTGATTACTCTTATATTCATTTTAATGAATACAAATAGTTTATAATATGTACAGCTAAATCTTCAGGCACTTCTAAAGGAGGCATATGACTAACATCTTAATGAACAATCAATGTGCATTTATTTTTACCTATAAAGTGGATATTAGTCTAAAACTATTTATATCAATTACATAGGCATCAGAAAAATAGGACAAATTCGATCTAATAAACCATGATATAAGAAGACAGGACCTTTTATTTTATTTACCTAATGAGTAATATCAAATTTTTATAATGCCCATGTCACATCAACGTAATTTGATTGTTTAAATACATCTTTTAATAATTCAAATAATTCAAGATCACTTGGATATCTTCCAGTATTGAGTAATGCTTTTTTAAAAACATGATAAAAGTAATTATAATCATTTTATTTCATTTTCTTTACATTATGTTTAATTTTAGAATGATCCATTATTTATTATTTAGTTTAGCATTTAATTGATAATTATTTACCTTCCTCATCCTCCATATACAAATGATTACCATGACAACCTGCACTGGCTACAAGTATTAATTTATGATAGTATTCACTTTTATCACTTGCTAATTATAAACATACAGCTCCTCCTAAAGACCAACCACATAATATCACTTTTTAGGATATTTCTTCTTTTTTAAATAAAGATAATATTAAATTATGAATATCTGTAGTCAGATCTTTGACATCTTCGATACTATTATTTAGTAATTATGAATTTCCAAATCCTTTTAAGTCTAAATTAATAATTCTTATTTATTTATCTTGATCTCGTTTTTGTATTTCTTATATAAATTTGCACCAATGTTAAGAGGATGTGATATTTCCATGTACCAATATTAATGCATACAAATATGGATAACAATTATCTTAATGTGTGTCTGTATAATATAATTATTAATTAATATTCATATATTATTCATAAAAATGTTATTGAGAGGAAGAATTTTAGCTTATTTTGCAAAAGTGAAAGTAACAGACACTCCAAAAATAAGAATAGGAGAAGCTGTGAAATTAATAAAAGAAAGTGCAAAAGCTAAATTTGATGAGACAATAGATTTTTAATTAAGGTTGAATGTTGATCCAAAACATGGTGATTAAAATGTAAGAGGAACATGTATGTTACCAGGAGGATTAGGAAAGAATGTGTCTATAGCTGTCTTAACAAGTAATGAATTGAATGATGCTGCATTGAGAGTATTTATATAATTAATCCTAGGCAGGAGCAGATTTTGTTGGTCAAGAAGAAATATTGAAATCTATTAAGGATGGAACATATAAATTTGAAAAATTAATAACAACATAAGATATGCTTGTTCTTTTGAAACCTTATGCAAGATTATTAGGTACAAAAGGATTGATGCCAAATCCAAAGGCTGGAACATTGGTCTTGCCTTAAGAACTTACATAAGCAATAAAGGGAGCAAAAGCAGGTTCAATTGAATTTAGAGTGGATTCAGGTTCAAATTTAATGGTACCTGTTGGAAAGAAATCATTTGATGATAAATTGATATTAATGAATATCAAAGCTTTTTCATTAGCTTTGAATTAAAAGAGGCCAACATCTTTAAAAGGATAATTAATAGGAGAAGCAAGAATAAAGACAACTATGGGATAGCCAGTAGAGGTAGATGTGTCTTCATTTGATTAAAGAAACAAGGAAAATGATTTGAAAGATTTGGTTTATTGAATAGTATATTATTAAATAAAGATTAATATATAAAAGAGTATCTAATCAAAAACTTTCAATAATATAATTTATCAAAAGTACAGGACTAATTAAAATAGTGCAGATGATTGTAATTGGAGATAGTATAATTCCAATGAAGAGAAACAGTTAAAAGAATCCAAATTAAGCAAATTTTGAATAGTTCTAAATTCTGAAATTTGATTTTTCTTGTACTATTTTATAAGGTGCTTACAAAATATGGAAGAGAAGTATAAATGGCAGCGAAAAGAGCAGTCCACCTGTAAACACTAAGGCAAATAAAAGTTTTGCAATAGCAATCATAATTCTAATTAAAATAGGATTTTTTAAGGGTTTGATCCTCATCACTTATCCTCCTGGAACTATAGAAATAAACTAATAATTATAAAATACTAGCACATCCAAAGATATTCAATATAGTATAATGAGCTGAGGAATACTTGCCTCTACATATCCAACAAAACTCATATTTACATTTATAACATATCATATGATTACAACCTCCTTCTTTCTCAATTGGAGCTGAACAATTAGGACAATTATTAATTTAGAGTTCTTTCCTTGCTTGAAGATACTAGGTATCCATAGCTTATTCACAAGATATATCTTAATGGTATTGATTACCACATTTAAAACAAATTTGCTGACCACAAACACATGTCAGTAAATCCACACCTTACCATATAACATAATTTTCACAATCCTACATATTATATTTAAATATTTTACAATTCTAGGACACCATCTAACATTTTTATTTATACTTATTAATTATCGAAAGTAAAATCTCTAATATTTTTCATATAAATTTTATGAAACTATTTCTTTAATTTAAAGATCCCCAAATTCTTCTTTACAAAATAAATTAGGACACAAAATTACTAAGGCATTACCTGCCAAAATATTCTCCTTTAGATATTCAGAAATACAATCCCTACAAAATTCATGTTAACAAGATAAGAACTAATGAACTTATCTGAATGAAAAACAGATTTAACATTCTTTATACCCTTTGGATGTTAAAGAAGGATTGTCATTATTTTCAAGAGATTCAATATCTTCTTGGTACTTATTGCGTATTATTCTACTCATTCCAAATCTTTGAATAACTCTGTATTTTTTCTCTACTTTAAAGATTGTATTGTTTTTTAATTAAATTTATTGTTCTTCAAATATTTTTGATTATGATTTGATTTCCTATTCTTAATTTTGTTAGATATCTAAATAGATTGGATCCTAGCTATTTTATTATTCACCTTAATTTTATTTGCATTTAAGAGTTTCACTTTATTTTAATTTTGGACCATGAATTTAAAAAAGTTAAGATTAATAGAGTCCTAAATATAAATGCTAATATTTTGGTTTTTATTGTTCAAATTGGCAAAGTTGATCATGATAATTACTATTCATTCAAATATAAATTATTGATTAAATTCTTGGGTAATAATTAGATATAAAAATAAATTAAATAAGGATGTTCTTGTATTGTAGATCATATATTCCCAAATATAGTGCAAGTCAAGTCATTAAGAATGCCATTTAAAGAAGAAAAGGTAATCTTTTATTAAGAAATAGAACGAAAAAATGTTATGTAAGAGCATTTAGAGAGATTGGCTAATAAATTGGAATATAAAGTGTATCCATATCACATTACTCACTATGATCCAGCACATCCTGATTACATTCCAGCATAAAGACAGGATTACAAACAAAGATTAACTGTTGACACTCACAATATGCTTGTGGATGGAGTTAAAAGAGATGTAGCCATGTAAAGATAAGTGGATGAAGCTATCAAGAATTTGGATAGACCATACTTAAAAGGCAAACCAGGAGTCACTAAAAATATTACTGGTGGCCTTAGAGATTATTTCCCTATTGAAATACCATATGCATAAACAGGAAATCTTGAGAATGAAGAATTAGAATATGAAAATGTGTTTAGAAATGAAAAAAGATGGATTGCTTAAACTATATATCCAAATGAAAAAACTGAAAGCTAAAAGAGACATGAAAAAGAATTGGAATCTAGACCTGTTACTAGAAAATTCCATCCAGATAAAGGATCTAAATATGATGTTGAAACACCTTATCATTTAAGATTCCCATATTTAGCTGATAGATTGGGACATCCAGAATTCTTAGCTAATCCTTTCTAAAGATTATTTAGATTAGAAAGTGATATGTATCATCCAAGTTATAATGATTAACCATTTGTTTAACATCCATCAGCAGATCCAGATCCAACTTTGAATTTCTAAGAAGGAGAAGTTATCTATGAAAATACAAGGTTATAAGAATGGTTAAAATTTGTATGGTGGACTGGAACATTCAGTTTTGCTTGGATTTGTTGGGTATTACCATATAACATTGTTTATAAAACAAATCTTATGTTTGATCATTAAATTGATGCTTCATTCTATCCTTATCATTTATAATCAATCTATAATATGGATTATATGAGAATAAATGTATTAGCTGCTACTGCTGCTTCAGCCTATTTATGGTATTTCCATCATATGTCTATGAATGATATTGGAAGAAATTATGTTACTAAAGTTTAATACAATTAAGATAAGGAATTAATATTTGTCACTAGAATGGGATCATTTGGTGTTATTAGAGAAGATGTATTTGAAACTCATCATCTTGAAGTATTGCCATATTATACTAAATCTGGTGTATAGAATATGAGATAAAATGTACATATTAATTTAATCATTTAATATAGGATTTAGGAATGTATGAATTGTCATGTTTGAATAAATAAGAATTAATGTATTTATATAAAGAAGATGCATTCTGGAATCCTAAATTAAAAACATAATTCCTCTCAAATCATACTCAATTAATATCCAAATAATACTTTGGATTAAAGAGGTAATATTTTATTTTTAAATAATATTTTTAGAAATGAAGAAGAAGAATATCAGAAGACTTAAACTATAGGAGAATTGCCCTTAAAAGATTTACCTGCACCTTGAATTATCAATAATAAATACAATATAACAATAATAATATATATATTATAAATGAACGTTGATATATAAAAAGGTAGAGAAAAACCTGTTAGAAAAAACGGCTTAGTTAATGGTCTTAATCCTTACCAAACTATAAGTTGGATTTATACTCTAATTGATATTATTATTGCTTACATATTTTCATTTTTATTTGAAGAACATGGAATTCATGTATTGTTATTTCTTATTCAGGAAATTTTGCTTATATTATTAACTATTATTGTTACTACTATTATTTATACTTGTCTAAAAGCTACTTTGATAGATCCAACAGATACTATTGTTAAATAAGAGATATTATATAAAAAATAAGGGTAAAAATAGTGATTTATACTAAAGTAAGGAATTTACAACTGATATTAAATCATATTGTCTAGTTTGTTAAGCACATGTATAAGATAAAACTAAACATTGTTGGAGTTGTAATAAGTAATTTGAGATTTATATTAGATGTGTATCATTGTTTGATCATCATTGTATATGGCTTAATAATTGTGTTGGTGATTAAAACTATTCATACTTTTTTATTTTAGTTATTTTTTTGGTGATATTGAAAATATTCAAATTAATCTTAGATATAATTTTATTATATTATGCAGATGATTTATTGATACTAGTTTATATTTGTATAGCAATTGATCCACCTATTTTGATAATTTTAATATACTTATTGTCTATGCATTTATATTTTAAGTTTATGATATATTTGATATTTTTAGATATAAAAATATAACAACATATGAATACATAAAATCAAAGTAAGACAAGAAATAATAAATAAATCAATAAAAAAATCCATAACAAAAATAAAATTAAAATGAAAGTGGTACAGGATATGGTTAATTATTATCAACATCAAAAAGATTCGATTTAAAGTCATAATTGTCTCTAAAAACTGCAGATTCTAAATTAAGTAAGTAAAATTATTTCTCAAATAAACAAGAAGATGATAAAAAGAATCCTTAATAATCTCCATCTTAACCATAATTTACATAGATTCCTAGTTTATTTACTTCAAAACCAACAACTCCATGTAATGATTAAGATAGAAAATAATATATTCCTTAATCTTAAGCAAAAGATTTAGATGAAATAAAAGATAAGTAGATTTATAATTAAGTAATTGTTGAAGATTCAGAACCTTAAATAAATGAAAGTTCTGATGAAGAATAGAATGATAATTTTAGTAATAATAAACATCATTGTCCTAAAAATAGCAATACTTCTTAATAAGGTTAAATTGTAAATCAATAAATATCTGTAGAGATTGAATAATAAATAATATAAGAAAAATAAGAGGAAGTGAATAAAGAAATAGATAATAAATCTGTAGATCAAGATTTAGTTAGTGTTTCAAATTAATAATCATTACATGCATAATAACCTCCATCACCATAAAATTGTTATACATTTTAAATAGATTTAAATTCTGATTAATAAAAGGTTATTATATCTCCATCTAGTAAAAGAAATAGTTAACATTTAATTGCTGATAATTGTACTGAATGAATTTATATGTTTTATAAATAATAATAATAATCATACAGAATTGTTATGATTATATATATAAATTAAATATAAGTTCTGGCTATTATAAATGAAAAATTTAGCATAGAATGTGTAAATATAAAAAGTTATCAAAACAGTAAATGAATTAAGAGAAACAATTGATAAAAGGATATCAATATCTGTTGGACTAGGTCTTGCTTTTGTTGTGATTGGATTTAAATTATTAAGAAATAAAGGAGAAGATTAATAATCAATACAATAATAATCAGAAGTAGTTGATAAATAATCATAAAATTCAAATAATTCTGAAGAGAATGATATTATTGATATTGAAGAAACTAAATAATAAGAAAAATAACCATAATAATAAAAGCAAAGTGAACCAAAATAAAAGAAAAAATAAATTATATAAAAAATTAATCAAAAAACAAAAAAATAGTTTTAAACAGATAATGAAATGCCTGCACCTAAAATAGTTTTAGAAAAACAAAATTCTATAAAATAAGAGAAAAATGCAGATGATAAATTATTTTTCTAAATTTACTAAAAAATGAACTAAGAAGCATCAAATGAAGATTCATGAATTTGTTTGATATATTAATTAATTAATTATATTATTATAAATGAAAATAACTATTATTAAATCAAATGTAGACAAAATTTTGAGTTAAATAGAGAACAAGGAACAAATTATTAATATCACTGCTATTAAATGCAATTTAGATACTATACCTATTTTAGATTTTCCAAATCTAAAAGTCTTGGATCTATCTTATAATAATATATCAACCTTTGATAATTTACCAAATACAATAGAATATTTAAATTTATAGAACAATCAATTTGAATACTTTGAAGAGTTAGAATTTCCTCCATCTTTAGTCTATTTAAATTTGAATGGCAATAAAGTTTCAACTAAAATTTAGTATCGTAGCAAATTAATTAAAAAAATTAAACAAACATGTCCTGATTTTAAGTATTTAGATAATGTTCCAATTAAATTACGATATGCAGAGATGCCTATTAATATCAGTAAGTTTGATAATATTATGGATTTTACATATGAGATGTTTGGGGATGAGATTTGATTATTTATATAAAGAATTAACTATAAATTTAGTTCTAATTTATTAATTAAAATGAATAAATAAGAAAGAGAAAATGTTAAGTAACGTATCGAAGAAAGAATATTTTAGATCAAATTAAAAAATACATAACATGTACTGTCATATAGATGATTAATAAATAGGAAGTAGTTATAGGAAAAAATGCCAATTTTACAAAAATAATTGAATAAGAATATGCAACGAAATATTTAGAGAGTTTAGGTATTGAAGCTAATCAAAAAAATATCTAGATGATTTTAAAGAATTATCCATTAAATAGATGTGAAATAACAGGTGGATGGAATAGTAAAATTATTATATAATAATTATAGCATCTGGATTATATGCTGATACTATTAATATTGTAGTTAGATAAAAGAAAAAGAATATAGAAGTGGCTTTAGGGTAAAAAGATAAGGATGTATTGGATGAAGTATAGAAAGAATAAGATTTAAAGAAAATCACACTTAAAAAGAATGAATAAGAATAAGATCCATAACTTACATAATAATAAATAGCATTACAATAGAAAAATGAAGTTGAATAATAAAAGGAACTATTGGAAAAAGAAGAAGAGAAGAAAATTAAATTTAAATTGGATTTCTCTTTAGAGGAGATCAAACATAAATATTTGTTTCCTTTTAATTAAACATTTTAAAGAAAATAAAATTAGAATATGGTTAATTAGGATAGATTAGAATTTTAATAGAATGATGAAACACATTCTGAACATGATAAATTTTTAGTATTTGAAAGCAAAATATTCTAATTACCATTTATTCATATAGAAATTCCAGCTCCATTATTAAAAGATGTTTAAAGACCTCCAAATATAAAACCAGAAGATATTGAAAAAGTTTTAAAATAAATAGATAAATTATTTCCTAAAAGTATTTTTCCAATAAAGGCAAGTGCTAAAAGTTAAGAGAAATAATAATAATAATAATAGTAATAATAATTAAGTAAAGAAAAAGTAAATGATGATGTGGAAACACGATATATTGTATTTGAGAAACATTAAGTAGATAATGTATTTTAATTAATTCAGAAAGGGGAAATGGTAAAATTAATAGGATTATTTATTCATTTATCATATTGGTTAGTATTTGGTGTAACATTACCAATATAAATATAAACATTAACTAAAAAATAAATGTATATATAGATGATGGAAATAATTGAATCATTTTAATCATTTTATGCTCCTAAATTATGGATGCATTTAATAATGCCTATGATATTAGTTTCATTAAAAATGGCAACAGAATATATATATAAAAATCATTACATAATATTTTTTGAGAAACCAAGAACAGAAATAAATACACCAGGTAATATTGCTATGGATAAAATATTTCATTTTGCTGATAGATTATTTGATTAAAATAATTTATTTTGTAGATTCATATTTTTAGAGAGTAGTAAATAAAAAAAGATAGGTAATGATGCTAAATTTATGCATAAAAGAATTTTTGGTGTTTCACCATATTTAGATATTATGATTTAGAATCCATAAAATAGTAGAACTAGAGCTATCATAGCTAAACAAAGGGATATAGACAGTATTTCTATTATATTAAATTTATTAGTAAGAGATAAAATATTAACAATAGGTGAAAAAAAACTAACTTAAACAATGCCACCTATATTAAGATAATAAAGTACAAAAGAAGAAAAGGATAAAATAGAAATGGCTTAGAAGGCTAAAATGTTTAGTGTTGTATTAAGTAGAATGCAATAAGATTTTGAAAAAGTATTAAAGGAAAAGGATGTCTTAAAATTAAAATAGATTTAATGTTGAAGTAATATTTTATAATAATAATTTTTCATATTTTATTTATAGGATAGTAAATTAAATAAGTAAATAAATATTTCATTATAATGGTTATCTTTCTTTTCTTATTCTTTTTTATATATTAGGTTTTTCATTCTATTTTTTTATTTCATTAACAAGATCTTCATCTTTACCATTATCACAATGATTACAATTACATTCTACAGTACATTTCTTACCCCTTATAAAGCATTCACAATATTTCTTCACACATCTAGTTTTTGAACAATTACATCCCCAGATTTCATTTGTTTCAAATAATTTTTCTTTTGGAATCTTTTTATTTCTATGTGCTTTCTTATTTACATTATCTACAGCCTTCATTCTTTGAGTTTTGTATTCTTCTCTATTCTTACAATCTTCACATCTACATTATTTCCCACAAACTCTTCCATTGTGGAAACAAGAACAATACATTTTTAAACAACCAGTCTTTTAGCAATTGCAAAGAAACAATTCTACTTCTTATATTTCTTTTTTTTCATCTTGTACTATTTCTTCCACTTTATGATTTTCTTCATGAATATTATTTGTCTCACATTAAATGGGATATCCTTCAGAAATTTGTTCAGGTTCTATTTATGAATCCCTATAATAATTAATAAATTATTTCTTTTACCATTTTCTTAATTTTGGGGATTGTTTTTATTGATCAAACTCACTAATGTTTGAACATATACTGTAAAATTTTTACAAATATGGTAATTTCAGGTCATCCAAAAACTCTTAAATTTACATTAATAGAAATTTCTAATATAGAAAATTTATTACTTATATAAATATCAATTTTTTTTAATTAAATGAAAAAAATTACATCAGCATTCATCATATTATTTATATATATTTAACTATACAATTATTAGTAATCTCTTTTCTTATTCTATACAATTATTAACAAAATATCTGAAAATTGTTATTATATTAAATACTAAAATATTTATTATTATTATATTCTTCATTTATTACTATTAAATATGAATTAAGATATGCTTTCAGACCCATCCTCTAATTCAAAATTCTCAGATTTACTTCACTTTATACTCAATTCAAATAACAAGTCAAATAAATTCTAAAAAATCCTCCCTCGATTATCAATCACTGAGTCTTTAAATAATTCCATTAAAAATGCACGATCTAGAATTTAATCACTAAAACATGAACCAAATGGTTTTATTTCTTCAAGAATTGATTTTATTTAAAACACAGGAGATTATTGTTACAAAGCCTTAAATCAACAAACCTTATCATTAAAATAGTAACGAGGGAGAATTGAAGATTCAATAGAAAGGTCCGTTAGAGGTAGTCCATCAGTTCATTCATATTAAACAACAAAGGTAATTGAGACATGATAGGAAGTTTAAATATCCATCTATGTTAGAGTCAATAAGATAAAGAAGAAATTATAATCTCCAAAAATACCTAGATGACAATCTAACAGTATTCTGTGACATAATTAAAAAGAAGGATATTGAAAAATTGATCAACTTCTTAAATTATCCATTTCAATATTCTTAAGAATAAAATGTAATCATTATAGATTAATTTAATAGCTCTTAAATACTTTCTGTGAGTTATTATATTTTATTGCTTATTTTGGCAATACTATTTTATAATTAGCTAAAGCTACATTTTTGTTTAAAGATTGTTTAAAATTATCAGAATTATGTAGAAATCATTAACTGAAAATAAAAATATTGATTTAATTATTTTCAATTGCAAAATAGTAAAATTATTGCAATAATTAATAGATTGAAATAATATGACAAGGCATATAAATTTATATTAAAAGCACTTTCATATGCATGGGCTGAGAATTTAGATGATTATGAAATAGATTGTTATGATAAATTGGGAATGTGTTATTTCTATTAAGGAGATATTATCAAAGCTAATCATTTTCATAATAAATGGGTTAAATGTGAAATTGAACCAAGAGATTCTTATTATAGAATAACATCAAAAGAATTTATTTAATTATATGAGAGATCATAACCATTTTGTAGAGAATTTGATGATAAAATATCTAGATATATTCATATTCCTTTTACTAATTTAAAAACAGGATAATCATTCGATTTTAATTCAACATTAAAATATAATAATTGTGAATCAATTCCATTATTAAATGAAATTCTTAATGGTTATGAATATACAGAATATTTTTTAGAATATCATTATGTAGATTAAGCATAAAAATAATATTTAAAAAAATCATCATTACCTAGAAGAGCTCTTGAAATTATGTCTAAATATGATAAAAATAAAGATAAATATTTATTTGATCATAAGATTCATGAAAACCCTATTTATAAATTATCATTATAGGAGAAAGTTAATTATAGAAAAACTAAATTTTATTCACTTGATTCAGTAAAATAAAATATCTAAAAATTTATTTCTTAATAAAGAGAACCTTTTAAAAAAAGTGAAAAGATTTATGTTAAGGAATCCCAAAGAAAAGATTTATCACCTGAAAATGGTAATTAATTAACATTACATTTTAAAAAACTTTTGGTAAGCATAATTGATTAAAATTGAAATATTTAATTCTATAATTAGTTTCCCTTTTTATTTATTATTTTAATTAATTAAAAATGTAAGAATAAGAATTTCTTAAAAATGAGAACAAACCTTTCCTTCTTAAATAACAACAATAAATTACACGTACTGTTCTTCAATCCTTAATTCATGAGTATCATATTCTCATCAAAGGACTCACCAATTAGTAATTTAAATAACTATCTACTAGAGAATATCAAGATTATTGTAATGTAAAAGGAGCCTGTGGTTAGACTATTCCTCTAATTTTAATCTTACCTATTGGTTTAGCTATAGGTACATTATAGTTAATATTGTTATTTTTTAAAAATATTAGAGAAGGTATTTTATGATATTAGATTATTTAATAGGGCCTTTAATACCAGCAGTGATTTAATTTATATTATTATAAACAGCATAAACATTGATAATGTATATGATTCTAAAAGCTTGTGAAGTTATTCCAAAAAAAATTGAAAATCCTTTATTATTTGGGAAGATAACATCTTACATTTTCATGTGCTTAAGCATAGCTGAGGGAACATTAATTATTGTATATATATATATATTATATTTTATAAAGGAAAGAATTTCAAATTTCAACTAATTTTCATAGTCTTATTTTTGGGCAATTTTTGGATTAATAATTTGGCAAAAGATAATATAATTATTTATTTATGATTGTAAACTTAGAATTGGAATAGTTATATTTTTATATATTTATTATGTATTTAGATTAGATTGTGATTTATTCAATAAAGTAATTAACTACATTATAATTTAGGATATTATAAAAGTAATTTCATACATATGTTTAGAAATTATCTTTATTGTAGATGCTGAATTAAAAAATTATTCTCAATATTAATTTGAAAATAATATGTAATTTAGAATTAACAAAGAGGATGTTCAATTTATGATTCCATAAGTTTAAATGTAGACTTAATAATAGATTCTAGAAATCATTACTAATCAATTTCCTATTATTATATTTGATCAGACTAAAGAATTACTTCATATTTCAGGTGTTGGATTAAAATAACTATAAATGGAAGATGATTAAAATAAAATAGATTTGATATCTGCAGAAATTAAATTAAGAAAGATGGAAGTTATACAATTATTTACAACAAATTAATAATAGAAAGATAATTTGATTTAATTAAAGAGGATGGCTAAATTCGGATCAACTTGTGGAACTAATGAAAAAGGAGAATTATTACATTCTCTTATAAATGGACCAGCACTTTAATAATTACGTATCTTAAGGTAACCTTAAGATAATTAAAGAATTATTCATTATAATCCAGATGGTGTTTTAGAGTAATTACTTAATAATTTAATTAATGATTAATAATCAGAATATAAAGGTATATCTAAATTCAATCTACCAAAAAATTAATTTAAATATTTTTAATTTACATTAATTAAAGTACCTAAAGGAAATGTTTTTTAAATATTCTTAATTCTAGAAGATATTACTTAATTTTATTAGGATATTAATTTAAACTAGAAGAAAGAGGAAGAAGATCTTCCAATTATTTGTTAAGAATTTAGATAAATGTTATTCTGTTAATAAAACTTTTAGGTTCCTCTAAAATTACTCAATATTGAAATGAAAAATACTATTAAATATTCTAAATAATAATATTTATAAGAAGATATATTTAAACCAGATACTTTAATTAATTAATTATAAACAAAGTATTAAAATTAAATAAATACAAATATTAAATTATAATTTTAAAATAATTTGAAAATAAATACAGGAGAATTTAAAACAGATTAATTGAGATTAATGTAAATAATGTAGATATTACTTGAAAATAGTATTAATAATACAAAGGAAGGATTCATAAAAATTATAATAGAAGATGATAAAAGATAGAATTGTATATAAATATCAGTTGAAGATACTGGTAAAGGTATCAATTAAGAAATTATTTAAGAAGGATTTAATATTAATTAAATTAGATCTTTAAATATAGTTAATTATTTAACTAAAATTATGGGTCCTTTATTTTATTGTAAAAAAATTACAGGTTAAGTTGCAAATAAAGGAATAAGAATTAAATCATTATAAGATTGTGGTACAACAATATCTTTTTCAATCAGAAATTTATCATTAGATGAATTTTCTACTTAATTTATAATAGATGAAGAAGTTTCTTAAGATGAAATGGATGTTGATGTAGATGAAGATGAAATTATGGAAAGATATATTAGAAATGATGATCAAATTTAATATTTATAAAGATTTAATAAAGGATTAAGATCATTTATTATTAATAGATAATAAATTTAAAAAATTACAAAACCATTAGATGTCAATACTAATAAAAAATCAACCAAATTAGTTGGTATGATGAAACTATAAGAATTAGGAAGATTTAAAAATATTTAATAATAGAATGGATAATGTTAATGCAATCAAAAATTAATAATCAATTCAAATTAAGATTTTGAAAGAGTTATGAAATAATATGCATAAGATAATGTTTCCTTTATTAATGAATAAGACTCATTCAAGCATATTAATTTAAAAATAAGAGATAAATAATGTTTGAATCAATCTTGTTAAATTTATAAATAAATTATTATCAATTGTCACAAATCTGATTTTAATTATAGAGAGTAATAATATTCAATTATTTTTAGATTAATTAATAGAATTCTAGGAGTCAACAATAACTTTAAAATTACTGTCTTAATATACAATTCAAATGGGGAAATAGACATGCTAGGAACCTACATTATGATGCCAATTCAAATAGATGTGTTACTATAGTATTTATAAGATTGAGATATTTAAATTTTCAATATATATATATATATATATATACAACTCTTAAAAATTCTAACTTTCATCCATTTTACCCATTTAAGTCTTTATTTATCATAGTTAGTTAAATATTTAATTATTTTATGATTGAATATTTCCATATCAACTATGGTGAATATTTAAATAAATAATTTTTTATATAATATTTTATTAAGTTTAAATTTATAATGAATTCTTCTATCTGAGGCCATTTAAATACAAATTTATATTGGTCTATTTTTAATAATTAAATTAATGTCATTAAACAATCAAGAGATTGTTGACTCACATTATCACTAAACCTATTCTTAGATCGGTACTTAATTTTTATACCTTTTAGATGAGATTTTAAGCGATGAGTATTCAACTAACTATTTTCCCCGTCCCAATACCTTTAATACCATAGGCAAATAATATAAGAGTGATTTTATTGGAAAGGAAAGCCAATATGATGCTCAATTTGGCTCTTCAATAGGCTGGCAAGATATTACTAATTCTCTAACCCCTACTTTTTTTGAAGTTTCTGAGTCGAATTGGAATTTCCATCCTATGTCGATACTCTGCGAATCCTAATAATAGAAACAGGAGACGACAAATTCATCCGATGAATAACAACGTGGGTCGATACTCTGCGATTCCTGTAAATCGGAACCTCATTGCCTATCCTGTTAAAAGAAATCCATTTCTATTTAATAGATTTAGAAGAAAATCATAAAGCATAAAGTTGAGAAGAAAAATGTTGACTTTTCTATCAGGAAGAACTTCCCAAAGCTTCTAGGAACACACTTACTAAATTAAATTGAATAGTTTCCAAACAGTAATATTCCTGAAGGTATTCAGTAATTTAGGGATAATGCTGTAGTAAGGAAGCAAGCTAAGCTTCAATAATCATTTGCTATTGAAGACTTTAGGAGAATTTGTCTAAATTCTGAGGAGAGTAAGGAATATTTTATAGACTTCATCTTAAATAAATTTATTGTTCGTCTAATGCATAGTTCTAAATTTACTTAGATTGACCTTGTTTTAGATTTAATCCGTAACGCCTATGTTGGAGCATGCAATCCCTAGTAGTGGAAAGGAAACATGTAGATTGATCAAGCATGATATTTATAGCATAACACATTTATCAATATAATATATTATTAATTTTCTATCCATATTTATATTGTAATATATATTAAGTAATGGATTAAGGTGATGAAAATCCAAAATATTAGTAACCTCATGAATAGAGAATAAATTCTTACATGAAAAAACCTGTCAAATTAAGCTAATTGGATCCAGAGATTATGAAGACATATTCAGAATAAATTGGATAACAAAATCAATCTGCTATGCCAAAATTGTCATGGTATTATATTATAATTAACAATATAGGTGGCAATAATTCATGCTTAGACCTGATATTAGAAAGAAGTACAATTCATATAGAAGATTTTCAAAGGAAACATTACCTATGTTAGTATTTGTAGTATTTTCAACTGGAGTATTAATTAAAATGGAAGGACAGTATGATAAGATGAAATAGAAAGTATAAAATTCAAAGACTCTGAAAGAGATAGAGATTGAATAAGAGGATGCTGTAAAATATTTACTTAATTAGTATATTAGAGCAGCTTTGGAAGGAAAGAAAATAAATTTAGATGTAACAATTTAAGAGCCAAGAAAGGAATAAAGATATAAATTTGAAGATGATGATGATGATTAAAATTTACCTGGGTTTGATACTTAAGATGATTTTTATGAAGGATTAGCAAAAGAGGCAAAATAAGGTGCCAATATTCCTCAAGAATATTAACAATAATATTTGGAATATCAGGTTAGAAAGAAACAAGGAGATGAATAATAGAAATCTAAATTTGATTTATGATATATTATTGTATTTAATTATAAAGAAATAAGATTGTAAAATACTTTAAATAGAACATTAAAATTTTATATAAATAATAAATAACATTTATTTTTATATTTATGCATAAAAAAACAGCTCATTTGTTTTTCCTTCCTCCTTTTTATTTCTTATTTTGTGAATCAATCCAACCATCATCACTAATCATATATTTATAAATAATTACTCTTCTTATTCTTCATTTTTTTGTTATTTAGCATTAGTATTTTTACCTTTAGATCTATAATATAATTAATAAATAAAGTACCCTTTTTATTATTATTTTGCAGCTTTAGCAGCAAGTTCTGCAGCAATTCTAGCTTCTTCAGCAGCTTTTGCAGCAGCAGCAGCAGCAGCTTTAGCTTCAGCTTATTTTTAAGCCTCAGCTTATTTTTAAGCCTCAGCTTATTATTATTATTTGATTGGATTGGCTTTTTTATTTTATCTTTTATCATAGACTTCATCCCATTCTTCATCATCATCTTCAACATGTTATGGTTATGGTTTTTATTTTTCTTATGTTTATTTTCCTTTTTCTTTAGTTTATTATTTTGTATTCTATTGTTATTATTATTATTATTATTATTATTATTATTATTGTTTTTATTATTATTATTTATTTGACTTTTAGTTTTATTATTAATTTACTTTTGATTATTATTATTATTTTTAATTGGTTTTAGTTTCTTATACTTTTTTTTTTTCTCCTTCACTTTCTGATGGAGATGAAGCTCTTTCAGGTGATTTTTTATCTGGAGATTCAGAAGATTGGGATCTTTATTATTTCTTCAATTCTTAAGCTTCAAGTTATTTTTATCGTTTCTTTTCTTCCTTTAATAATCTTCTTCTTTCATATAATTCATCCTTTGTTAATTCTTCATTATCATTTGAATTAGTTTAGTTAAATGGTAATTTGTCCCAACCTAATAAGATACTTGCATAGAGAAATTATATACACAATTGATCCTAAAGAGAGAACATATCCAATACATGTTTCAAATGGTCGTTAAGCAACTTTGAGTGTACCCAAACCAACTCTAAATATAGATAAATAAGCTCTTACGCAAAAGCTGCAACAAGTCCGTATTGAATTTGCTTGGATAATTAAGGCATGTATAATTAATAATTAATAAAATGACAAGTGTATTAATTAATTTAAATTGTATATTAATTATATATATATATATAAATATATCAATCTGTTAACTCGTCTGAATCATTTAATATAAGTCCATTTTCATTAAAATCTCTTTCTTACATTGCTTTAGATTCATTATATGTTCTTTATAGAATATTATGTGATAATACTCCAATTCTTAGATCCATTTATTTAATTTCTAACTAAAAATAAAATTTAAATTAAGTATTACTCTAATTTTAGTTAAAGCAGCCTTAATTCTAATAACAGGAGATTAATCAGTAGAAATATTACCATGTTCATTCAATTTATTTTGTACATTTTCATACTTTTCTGATATTTATTTGTATTAATCACCCATTTCTTTGATTGCATTTGTATAATTCTTGCATTATAATTCAATCCTTTTGACTTCTTCATTTTTCTTTTTGTATTCACTTCCCTTTTATATTTAATTTCAATATATACCATATCATGCATATTTTCATTTATATTATATTCTCTTTTACTAATTCTATCTAAAATCTCAGATAATTCATCAGTCAATCTTTCTAATTTAATTCTAGCTTCTGGTAGAATTGCTTTAACTTATGATGAATATTATTTAGTAGCATCAAAATGTTATCTCCATTCTCCAGCATTAGGTTTAATTACTATCTTCATCTTTTATGAAGCTCTCTCAACTTCCTTGGCCCATTCTTATGGATTTACATTAGATTCTATCACCATCCTCTCTTCACTTTGTATTAATAGCTTAATTACTCTTTTTAAAATCCCTACTCATTAAACACATCTTCTGGTTCTTCATCTGATGCTACTTCAGGATCAGAATCTGATGAAACACTTCCAGTTTCTTAAACAGGCTCTTCTTCTTATCTACTTTTAGTTAACATTTATACACTTACGTCTATGATTGTTATTCAATTCTGACTTTTTTAAATTAAAACTTCTTTTTTTATAAAGCTTTGCTAGCTAATTGCTATAAGACATAAACAACATATTCTCCAAAACCTTATTTTAATTTAAGAGGTGGAAAATCTACATCAATTCCAATATTTTTGACTTCATTTACTATTTCTATATAATGAGAATATACATATATTTTAAGATAATGTTACAGGATCATCTAATTTATTAAAATCAGTAGTTTGTACATCATTCTAAGAAAACAACCATTTGGCCAATCTAATTAGAATTAAGATATTATACGTTTTAAATTAACTGAATTATTCACTTGAATTAGTTTGATTGACAAAGTATGCTCTATTCAATGGTTTTCCACCTCTAGTTATTCGAATTTGTAAACTTACTTTTGTTTTATATAACTTTATTCATAATTCAATAAAATTAGTTTTTCATACAAATCTTCCATCATAGCTGTTACATCCAATTATTCCTAATGAATTAAAATATATTCATACTTAACCTACCTACTATTCGGACATAATTTAAAATATTTAATATTCAAATATACAAATATATATATATATATTTAATCTTCTATCAAACTTACCAATTATGTAACATTATCTTTTATAATGATAATAAAGCATGTTCTCTAATCTATTAATCATTATTTCTAGCTTATGTCATAATTTCTTATTTTGCATTCAATTATTCTAATACTCTATACTTATATATTTTATTTACACTTTTCCAAAAGGATGGAATCTACAAAATTCTCCCAAATCATAACAAGCAACTGCAACATTTTGATTATTATTTGATTTCAATATTTCTGCTAATTTTCTAAATTCAATCACTATAATAATACCTAATCAATAAGAAATCATTTTCTTCAAATTTCTTAACATTCTCTTTCCAAAACTTTTCAGTATGTACTGGACTCCATGTTAGATTTTAAGCATTTAATTCTTTAACATATTTTTCAAAAGAACTATATTAATTAAATGAATTTACGTTAATATTTTCATATTCTTTTCTAATATTTCTCCAACATATTTGATATCATCTATTAAATCTTAATCTTTTAGATTTCCTTTCAAAAGTAAATCAACTACTTTTATTAATCCATTATCAACCATTAATTCAATACATTAAGGAGATACATCAACTAAATTCCTAAAACATGCAAATGAAACTCTTAAGATCTTCTCTCTTGATATCTTTTATACTGATTCTATTATCAATCTGATCAAACCAATTGTTGGATCATTAAATAATGAAATAGATTCAGTTGTAAAACTAAGCAACCATAATGCTAAAATTGTATAATATGCAATCTATAAATCAGTAGAATACTTAGATAATAAATTAGTAATTCTAAATGAACAACTATAAATACATTCTAATTCCACCACTTTTAATAAATTAGATTGCAAGTTCTTCATGTTTTAAGAAATGAACACAAATTGGCATAATCATAAAATCTGCAATTTTTAATTTATTGCCTATTAAAGTATTATCATAATATATTTTAATTACCTATTCCTCCTAAAAACAATATCACCCATTCCTTTGCATCATTTCCTCCCTCTTCAGCTATTATCATAGTAGCAATTTTTGCAGCTGCCTCATATGCCATTGGATCATATCCATCAAGAAATAAGAATTACTTTAATTTTGGTAATACTTAAGGAGTCAATGCTCTCATAAATTATTTAAATAATCTTTGATTATCTATTTGTTTTATTTATGAAATCTCTACCTGATATAATTGCCTCAATTGTTGTCAGAATATAAGACATCAAAGGCTTATCATGAATAAGGTTCTCTATAATATCCAAAACCATTGAAAACACTCCAACAGAATCAGTTTCCAAGAGTTTCTTTTGTTCTTACAACTAAATAATAAGATTAATCTATTCTACCTTTCCTTAAGTAAATTTAATGAACATATCTTTAGTGTCTCTCTTAATTGATTTACCATGTTAATCCAATTATTTAAAGCAATCTTCACAATCCTTCATTACTTTGTTTAGATACTATTCTCTTTAATAAAAAGTTATGGATTGACAAAAATATCTCCTTTATTTGAACATAATAATAATTTATTTTATATATATTCAATGTGATCCATGTGGTAAAAATATTGATTATGGTTAACTAATTGGTTCAGGTTTCGAGCGTGACCACATTGAATTGATAATATTATGTTAATGATTCTATTTCATCAGATATCTTGAATAGAAGTCAATATTGTTGTTGATTTCATTCTCAAAATGAGATAGTACTTCTTATAAATCACTAAATTTTGGTCTGGTCTCTACTTCAGATATCATCTAATATATTAAATTAGTAAAAAGCGTTGAGTAACCTCTTTATATTAATAGATCATTTGCTTATATTATTCTATCAATGTGAACTTCTTTACTTATCCAATCATAATATTATTCACAGGATTTAAGACTAGCTAATTCCAAGAGAGTTAATCCTAAAGCAAATACATCACATTTGATTAAATCTACGTTTGGTGATGAGTTTTTAGCTCTTAATTCTTTTAATAATTCAGGAGATAGATATTGAAAATCATTTAATAATAATGCTTTCTAATATCCATTCATACTACCATAAATTAAATTATATTCCTAATAAGATAAATAATAAAATGAATACTGTTAATTTTAGACTTTGATCAGGATGTAAATAGATATTTTTAGATTTAATTTCTCCATGATATCTTCCATTCTTTTCTAAAAAAGTACAAGCATTTACAATTTATAGTATTATTTACCATAATCTTAATTCTGGAAATTGTTAATTATTTTAAGAGTAACTTTTAGATTAATAATTCATTATCATTTCATTTTATATGTTATTTTAAAAGAATTCACCTATTACAGTTAATTAAGTTTAATCTTAACATAAGATTTGACTATGTTATTCAGATATGAAAAATATTTATGTGAGATTATCATTGTTGTAACACTTTCTATTTTTGTAATGTGTTAACATGAGTTTGGCTTCCTCTAATGTAGTGGCTGTCTTATGAATTTCAAAAATAGAATAATTCTATTCAATCGTACATCAATTACATTATCATCTTTGAGAGTGTAAACTCTAATCATACCTAGTTAATTATGATGAATAGACTCTTTAAATTTGAATTTCTTCATCACATTTTCATACTTTTCATCTAACAATTTTTAATTTGAATTCCCCATTATATTTATAATTATTAATTTATACTCAAATCATTTTAAGAATAACAACCAATCAGTTATATTAATTTCACTTCAATTATCTATAGTGTTTTTTCTTAATTTAATTAAAAAACTATTAGTATTTCTAGTGGATAAGAAATAGACATAATATTGTTGTTAAAGAATAATAATATTTAAAATAATTGTTGAATATTTCTTGAGATATTATCCCATTTAATTATAGAGAATTTATCATGCATATTAAATTTTTATTTTTTGATTTATATGAATAATTCTATCTATCTATTCTTCTTCTTTATTTATTATAAATAAGTATAATTATATAATTCCAATAAAGTAATTTATTTTAAATAATTCTCATCAATATTATATAAGTAAATAGATGATTTTTATAGTGTTATGGATTTTGAAAAACTATAAATATAATTTAATTGATTAATATAAATAATTGATTTTATATAATATTAATTTATGATTGAAGTATCTCATAAGAGTTTGCAATTCCAATATGGTTTATTAAATCGATTAAGGTTTAAGATTAGAAATGTAAGTAATGTCCCAATTACATTCAGAATTAGGTGCAACAACAACACAAATTATAAATTAGACCATTATATGGGTCTTATTCATAGTCTTTAAGATTTTGAGAATTGTATTTAAAACGTTGAAGCAGCAGTAATTGCAATTTATATTAAATAAGGATATTAAATTGTTTGGTGATTAATTGGAAATCTAATATGCAGAGATGACAGATCCCTTATAAGACTTGAAAGATTTTTGGAAACCTAGAAAAAGCTTGGATTATGTCATAATAACTATTGAAGTCTTAGATGTTTAATAATAATAGAAGAATGCTATCTTAATAGAATTACAAGTTAAATAATAAACATTACTAAAAGAACTATAATCTATTAAATAATAATATCATTAGGTTTAGAAATCTGCTGTCGATATCAATTACTTTAATTTATTCTAAGAAGGATTTACTGTTGGATAATTGATGATTATTATTGTGATAGCATTGTTTCTTGGTGGTATTTGTAGATGAATTGATATATATAAAAGTTTTATAGATTTTTTAAATTCTTATGAATTATTTGAATATATATATATATATATTAAATATATTATATTATCGATTAAGATATATTAAAATAGAAATAATATTATTATTCAAAATAATTAAGGTACTTATTTGTTGATTATTGTTTATAAATTATATGAATTTTATTGACGTATTGGTGATTTACTAGGTTTATTAACTCTTATTTTTGAACTTGGTTTATTAATTTATTTAAATTCATTTTCAAATTATCTTTATTTTTCCAATAATTACTCTTCTTAATATTATTATAATGTCTATTATTTTTTAATCAAAAACTTTTCCTACCTTTCAATCAATGTATCTGTATTTTTGGAAGCTAATTCTAATGATTTCTTGTTCAATTCAGGTTAAAATGAATATGATTCTATTGATTCTTCCTTAAAAGATTAAGTTCTAAAATTATTGCAGAAATTTCGTTTAAGAAATTCATCAAACTAATTTTATGATAATACTTTGATTTCATGATCATTTATTTCAGTTTAAGCTCTAGTTTACTTATTTTCAAAGAGAGAATATTGTTCTCTTCGTTTTTTAACTCTTTCTTCAAATTCAGGTGGTAGTTTATTGATATTCAATTAATATACTTCAGGTTATGGTTATTTACGTTCTTGCTAATGACATTATATGTACCATTATTTTATAATCTCAAAAAGACTTCTTCGTTTGGTTTAGTAGGTCTTTAATCATTTTAGACTTATTCATAAAACTTTTCAAATTATTTTTCAAATAAATATTTCTATTCTCTTTATTATCCATATTTAATTAATCTATCTTCAACAGGTTCATCAAATTCCATCATTTTAGACTTTTCATTTATACTTGGTTAAAAGCTAGACTCATTTTATTGTCTACTTCCTTTTTTATTAAAATATTATTGAGCATGATATTTCCATCCATCAATTGGTGATAGATAATTTTAAGGTAATTTTTATATTTAATGTTATTATGATTTCTATTATAAACTCATCTCATTTTAATACTATTCTTAAAACAGTTTTTAATTTACAAGATTTTTCCATTTCATAGAATAATCATAAAAATCTTTAGTTATTTATTAAGGTTGTTCATCTTCTATTTCATTTACTTAATTAATTAGCATTTACAATTATTTTTAGTAATCATTTTCTTTTTATTTCTACTACTTTTTTAATGCATTTTAATAGAGTTTCTCATGACATTATAATTCTTATCCATATTCAACATACATTAAATTTTTGAACATTTATTTTAAATTTTTAACTTATAATAATAAACATATTTATTTAATATAAAGAAACAATCACCAAGTTCTTTCATCTTCATTTAATTATTCCATAGTAAAATATCTATCTGATATTTAAGATATTTCATTAAATTATGGTATGTATGCAAGAGTATCATATTTCTTTTATGCTAAATCCTCCCAAGATATATCATGAAACCAAGGATGACTTTATAATTCCTTAAAATCCATGAGAAATCCTAATCTTTAAGTACTATCATGTTTTATTAATTTTTAGATGATATCTTTACATTATGAAGAACAAACTATATTTTTTGGGAAATGAATTTCACCTTTGAGAATAAGTTTCAAAGATATTTCAAAATTGTTATGATAAAAAGGAGTTATACCTACCAATAATTCATAAATAAGAATGCCTAAACTATACCAATCAGACATTCTAGTAAGTTCTCCATTTTTTATATATTCTGGAGATGAATATTCAATAGTAAAATTGATTGCTTATGTTTTTTTGTATTCCTAATACATTCTTAATTTACCATATCCAAAATCAGTTAAACATACATAACCTCTTTCATCTATCAAAATATTCTCAGGTTTCAAATCTCCAAAAATAATTCCCCTTTCATGTAAATCTGATAATGCTAATGCTATTTATGCAACTATTTATTTTACTTGTTATTCTTAGAAATTATTTATATCTTTTAAATGTTAATAGAGATCACCTCCTTTCACAAATTAAAAAATTAAATTAACATTACCATTATAAAGCATACATAATTCAAGTTCTTCTATGAATGGCAATTTCTCATAATTCTTTAGAAAAAGTTCTAATAGATCTATATCAACTGAATTTATAGGAACACATTTAAGTACTGAGAATTGTTATTATTTTTAATATTTATTATGCAATAAATAGATCTTACTTAAAGATCCTTAAGCTAATACTACTGATTTCTAATACTCATCTAATTTAACTCTTAATCTTAATGGATCATTAACAAATAATACAAATAAATCATTTGAAGTTGTTTTACTTTTATTCATAGTATTGATATAATTTAATTAGAAATTCTCAGGATATATTATAGTAATTTAACATTTTGGATGTAAACTAGTTTACTTTGATTTATCAAGTGTTTGATGATGCATACAATAGGGTTATAAGATTTCATCTTCTATAAAATATATTTTGATGCCATCTATATTGTGCATTTTCAAAGCAATTGCTAAATAAAATATTATAATATCTCTATTCTCTTATGATTTGTATAATAAATCAGATTCTGTAGGTACATGTATAATAAATTCTGAACTCTTCTTTGAAATTGTGACTCCAAATATTTTGTTAATTGCTATCTTTCTTTTAATTGATTTTTTGTCTATATTATAAACAAATTCATTAGATATTGCTATCATTCTTAACTATTCATTATTCCTCTTATTGATTTTTGTAATCATTCGAGATATAAGTATTATTTCTAAGGATGTGCATTATTTCTTAAAATACTTTTCTGCATCCAAAAGATAAATATCATTTGTTTCAATTTTGATTTATTTTAAAATATTCATTTTCCTATTATCTTGATGCATCCAATATAATATTAATGAGAAATTATTTTTATACAAATAATAACACAAATTCAAATATATTATTATACATACATTATTTGAAAAATGGCAAAGTTGCTCATAGTTATACTAGTTCTCTCTTTACATGTTTCTTTAAATGAGTCACTCTCAATTCCTTCTCTCAATCATTAAGTTCAAATGAATTAGAAGCCAAAAAAAAAGCCCGCCATCGAATGGAGAAATACTTCTGAATTTGAAAATAATCCAACTTATGTTAAAGTTGTGGAAGTAGCCAAAAATAACTTTTAAAGTTAATGTAATATGAATAAGACAATTACCTTTTCAAAAGTACTCTAGGTTGCTAAAAAAATTGAATAAGGATTCCTTTGGTCTGTAATACTTTTATTATTATATCTAAGTTATAAGTTGAGTTTTCAGATAAATCAATTAAAATCATATAGATATTTGAAGATTTAGATGGAAATTTAGAATTTGATTCATGTAAAGATAACATTTGAATATATTTTCATTTATATTGAAAATCTTATAAATGTAATCATTATAAATATATCTTTATTCTCTATTAGAGCTGCAACACAATAAGTTTTGTTACAATTTTTAACTTGTTTTAGTTTTATAAGATTTAATCAATAAAACGGTATGCTTTTGATTTAATAAATTATAGTATGAATTTAACTAATTAATATTAAAATAAATGAATAAAATAATAATAGTATTTTTAACAATAATTCTGATTACATAAGCTAAAAGACATTTTATAGAGAATAAGGTTAATTAAAAATAAGAATTACTTGGAGGTATAAAATGGAAGTCTCCATAAAAATTTAATAATGATGAAGATTATTAAAAAGCTATAGAAAAAGCAAGACATGAATTCCATCATATTTGTAATTTATCTATTGATATTACTTGGATTAGAGTAGAAAAGGTGGGTTTTTAAATTGTAGCAGGTGTAATGTGGTGGGTATTATATTAAATTTATATATATATTTTAGTTAGAAGTTGAATTGAGTAATGATTAAATTTATGAGATGAAAGTATATTAAGAATTAGAGGGAACTTTTGAATTAGTTGAATGCAACAAATGAAATATTATTTACACTATTTTAATATGTTAAATCATAAATAAATTAATCGTTAAAATAAATAAATGTAAAGATCCTGGTTAGAGTAACCCTAAAGAAGTTTAGACATCAATTTTGATATTAAATCTATTCGAAATTAAGTTAAAGATAGATGTGTACCAGTTCTATAATATTAAACAGACTCTGCATAAAAATCATTCAATTCATATAGGTAATAGAATGAAATATTTTAGAAAAGAAAGTTTGCCTACAGTACCATCATTTGAAAACTTATAAGCCAAAATTAGGGATTTCTCATATACTAAACTCAATTAGGCTTCATCATTTTAATAAAGAAATTAAATGGTTGATAAATCTATCACTTATTCACCACAAAAAGCTGTGGGTTTGTAAAAGAAGTAATTTTAAATTATAGAAATTAAAGGATTAATAGTTCTTTAGGTAGTAGGAATAATACTAATCATCAAAGTTCTCGATAATAATCACCAGCTTATTAAAGCAGACCTATTGAATTAAGTTATAGGTCATAATAAAGAAGAAATTTGAGTGATAATTTATAATTGAATGAAATAGTTTCAATGAGAAATAAGATTGAATCATCTTAAGCTAGTAGAAGTCTATTAGGAGCAAAGTAATTTATTATGATTTTATATTAGTTATGTGAGTGAATTAGTCAAATTAGCTTAGGCCATAACTAATGCACTGAAATGAGATAATTTTAGTTTTAAAATTATGATATAACTACAAATTTAATATATAAATTTATGAAAAACAAATAATATTAGATTAGAGTAACATTGGACAGTACTCCATCAACTTATTAAACTAATGAAACTTTATCTTTATGGGAAAATCTATAGAGATCTAAAGATTCACCTAGAAAATCAAAAATAAGAATTGTAAGAGATCCATTAGAGAATGAATGTCCATTGTAATAACCGAATCCATTTTTATTTAATGAATAATTGAAACATAGTTTTAGAGATTATTTGGAAGGTTAAAAGACAGCATTAAATTTAGTAAATGAATGTAATCATATCATAAGTTAATCACATAAGATGGATTAACTAAAATTATTTACAAATGTAAATAAATTTAGAAGTTAATTAAAATAAAGATCCTCTGTTAGATTATCTATGAACTAAAATAATTCATAAAGTGAAGATCTTCTTTAAAGAAAAATTAAAATATAAGAAAGATTTCATAAAATAAAAACATTGATTTAATAAAGAATGCAAGCTAAAAATAAAAAAGAATCACTTCGAGATGTTTAATTATTTAAACATTTATTTGAAACTTGTGAAAAGAATGTTAATAAAATTAAATCGAAAAATCTACTGTCAGAAAAAGCAGATGGAATAAGAGAATATGATAAAATTAAATATTCTAAGAATCCATAAGGATCATTAAGAGTTCGTTTAGATAATGATAGCAATTAAAATAAATGTAATAATTTAAGAAGTAAAACTTTACCTGATTAATAAACAATACATTTAACAAGAAAGAAGGAAAGAGAAAAAATGAATTTAAAATTAACAGAGTTTCTAGAACATGATCAAAATTAAGAAAAGAATTTACTTCTTAAAGCTAAAAGAAATTTAATAAGAGAATTAAAAAATGGTAATCAAAAATTTCATTAATTTGAACCTAATAGATATAATATAACAGATCCATTAAGTAAAGATGTTAAATTTTATGCTTATATGTTCATGAAACCTAAAAATGATGATATTTTATAAAAGAAGAATTAAAAGTATAAAATGTTGTGTAAAACAGAACGAATTCAATAAAATAATTAAAGACATTACTTAGCCAATTTTAATAAATTACAATCTAATTCAAGAGATGAAAGTTTAGAAGAAGATTCTTCATTCAATTCTATGCTTGAAATCAATATAGATAATCTATATAAAAGAAGTACTGATTTATAAAATATGATTCTAAATACAAAATCTGAAAAATTTGTTAAAAGAATTAGATAATTCTAAAAAGTATAATCATTAACTACTTAAATAATTAAAGTGAATGAATAAAAACTATCTAATACTAAATTATTATGAATACAATAATATTGTTGTTACATAAAATTTCTATACACATCAATAAAAATCAAATTCATGATTATCTTCATTTTCCCATGGACTAAAATCTATTGTAGGTTCACTTTTCTTTATCTTCATTCTCTAAGATTATCTTCTACGTTTAATTTAGTATAATTTTTAAAACTATTGCTATTTGGCTAAATTATACGGCATTTCAATAATATTTTCTTTATTACTAACTATTGTTCTATGTGGAATTGGAGGTTTTACAGGATATTAAACTTAAGGTAAATGTTCTTCCTCCATTTCTGTTTTTGTTTCAAATGATTATCTTCTAAGTCTCTGTCTCTCTAATTTCATATGAATAACTTTTAATGCATTTTCACTTGTTTTTCCTAGTTGCAATCCTTTATAATAATCCTATTTAATTTCACTTGTTTCAGTAATCTACCTTAATCTCTCTACTTTCATTGAAGTAGATCTCTAATCCTTATTATATCCAAATACAAAATTGTAAAAATTTTATCGTTGATTTTATTGACAGTTTTTCATTTTAATTTATAAATTGCTTTAATATTAATCTTTAATCCACTAGAATTATGATATAATCATTAATAATATAATTGATAATATTAACAAATATCAAATGTCATCTTCTTATATGATATGATCACCTTCTAATTTAGGAATAGCTATTCTACTTCTTGGAACTAAACTAGATCCAAATTAAATCTTATTTAATAATGTCCATCCTCCTGAACCAGCAATTATCAAAATAATCAAAGCAAAAATGAATAAAAATACTTACTCTAAAGGATTAGAATTCTCAACCTATTTAACAGGTGTTTCAACTGGAGTTTCAATAGGATTATCACAAAATGATATTGATACATTGATATATTTTTAGCATAGCATTTTAAGAAATTATTGATATGATGAATCAGTTTAATCTGAGGAATCCAAATATAAGGAAAATTATGTTTAATTATATTACATTTCTTTATATTAATCTAATATTCGATTTGTTTAAATTTCTTAATTTACATCTTCACTTTAATTAAAACTATTATCAACACATGTATTTATTGTTTCAATTGATATATTATTATTTATAAAATAATTTTAAGAACAAGCAACCATAGTTGATTTTTTACATTGTTATCCAAAATAAATTGTATAATTAAAATAATGTTATGGTAATACATCCAATATACATTATTAAAGTAACAATTCTTTTAAAATTATCTAACCGGATACATAATCAGAATACTCTATGTTAAAATTAATAAATAAATACAGCAATATCGTCCTCCTCCTAAACAATTTTTTTCTGATTGTTTGAATTGATGTCTTGTATAACAACTGTAACAAGGTAATAAATGTTGGGCAATATTCAATTTTACTATGATCACAATAATTAACGATTTTACATCCATTCTATTATAATTCATCATAATGTTTTGAAAAATTGTTAAAGAAGTCTAAATAAGAATTGTCTTAAAAATCTAATCCAATTGTTAAATTGACATTCATCTTAACATCTTTAGATAATGCAATTGCTATAAAAATAAAGTAAAGCATTTATTTTAATAATAATCTGAGTTTAATATAAATGTTGATATAAATTATTAAATAATTCTAGTTTTTATTTCTAAGATGAAGATTAATGTAATATAAATATTTAATCTATTTTTTTAATTCATTAGAATTAAAATATTCTAAATATGAATTAAGTATTAATGAAATTAACATTTTTATTTGAAATAATGTAGAATAATAAAAAATTGTTATTTAAATAGATTAAATTATGAATATATATGAATTATTTGTTATCAATATATTTAAGTAACACTAAAATTGAGAGTATTTGTTAATTTTTATTTAAAATGTAAATTTAATTTTTAATTTAAATACACAATAATAAATTATATATAATTATCTATTTAAGAAATCTTAATTATTTATTATCCTTAAAGTATATTTAAATACATAAATATTAATTTGATTTAAAGTAAGTAATTAAATATATATAAATATCAATTTTATAGTTATAAAAAGTGAACAATATTTAAATGTCTCCATCTTTAAGCAACTTCTAATGGAGTTTCTTCTATTCCATTTATTGATACACATATTTAAGGATTGGCTCCCTTCTCGATTAAAATTTTACATATTTCAAGATGTCCTAGTTAAGCTGCTACATATAAAGGTGTTAATCCTTTTTAATTTTTTTTGTTAGCTAAACAAAATTCACTTTTATGATCATAGAAATATCTTGATAAATAATAAGAGTATACTTTTTAGGGTCTTTATCTAATATTTCTTCAATTTTATTAGGTGAATATCCTTTTTCAATAGATGTGAAAAGTGATTATTGCATTTAAATATTTTTTAATGCTTAACTAAGGTTATGACTACTTTCTGATCTATGTTTTGTTTTATTTACAGATTTGTAACCACTAATAGTTAGTTCATCCTTGGATTAAAATATTTATAATTACTGGAGAGTTCAATTTCTAAGTTTTTGGATTTTGTAGTAATCTAATTGTAGTAATGGCATGACGAAAACTTCTCCAATATTTTAAGGCATTTCCATCAGAAAATGGTACTCTATTAATTAAGATTAAGAAATACGTATCAGGTTAAATATTCATAAGTGGAATATTTTATTTCTTATTCATATTATTAAAATGATTAATAGTTATTCATTTAACAAGTATACAGTTATTCAAAACAAAATCAAGAACCAATGATGGATTCTTAAATCTTAAATCAGCTAATTTAACGAAGCAATTTTCAGATATACAAAGCATCACTTGTTTTTTTTTACTAATCTATGTTTATTCCCAATTCTTAATTTCTTTAATTAAACTGCTATCGATTCTATTTGCTTATTTAAATTCTCCATCAATTTTATCATACACTAGGATTGTATTGGATGATAATTTAATTGTTGATTTAGAAGATGGTTATGATTATTCATATGATTTTATAGTTTATTCTGTCAATTTTTTAGTTTATTTAGATTGACAATTACATTATTATTTTGTGGATTTGGAATCTTCAAAATCATCATCATCATCAAATTCTACATCAGGAACATCTAATTCAGTTCCCTTATAGAATAGTCTCTTTTCTTATGAGGGATACAATTTATCAGCAATTTGTTTACTGAAAATAAGGTTAAATTTCTCAATTTATTCAGAAGGTAAATTAGCAGCTTGTCTATAGATAAGATTGCCAGTTTTAGTTTCTATGATATAAGTAGGATGAGAACGTTGACTTTCTAATTTAGAAAATACAATGCCAACTATTTTTTATGGATCAGCCATATGAGATTAAATTGAATAAAAAATTAGATTGGAATGGAATATTTATAACTAAAAAATATTAACTAAAATTTCACTTAGGTATTATTAATTAATTTATATTCTAAAGAAGAATATAATATAATGAATACATTTGAGAAATTATAATATATTAAATAAATAATTGAGATTGGGATTAATGTTTCAAAATAAGTAAATATATATATTAATTCCATTAGAACAGATTATGACAGAGGTGTGAATACATTTTCACCAGAAGGTCGTCTATTTTAAGTTGAATATGCATTATAAGCAATAAAATTAGGAGCAAGTGCTTTGGCTATAAAAGTGAATGAAGGAGTAGTATTGGCAGGAGAAAGAAAATTGAATTCAACTCTTTTAGAGCCTAAAAGTATTGAAAAGATATATGAAATTGATACACATATTGCATGTACAGCTTCTGGTTTCATTCCTGATGCCAGAACATTAGTTGAACATGCAAGAGTAGAATCTCAAAATCATAAATTCAATTATGGTGAACCTATTAATGTAAGAGCACTTACATAAATTGTTTGTGATTTGGCTCTTGATTTTGGAGAGAGTGATTCCAAAAATAAAACAAAAATGTCTAGACCTTATGGAGTAGCATTATTAATTGCTGGAGTATCAGATCATGGTCCATAAATTTATTAAACTGGTATTATATTAAATGATTATAGATCCAACTGGAACTATGATTGAATATTAAGCTAAAGGAATAGGTGCAGCAGATGAAGGAATTCAAAGCATACTTAAAGAATAATATAAATAAGTATAGTTAATTAATTAAGATAGGATTTAACCTTAGAATAAGCTGAAAGATTGGCTATTTTATGTCTTAAGAATGTAATGGAAGAAAAAGTAATTATATATATTTTATTATATCTTAGATTAATAATACAAATGTTGAATTGGCTGTAATTACAACTGTAGAAAAAAGATATACATAAAGAACACCAGAACAAATATAAAGTCTAATTGACAAAGTTTGAAATATATTATATATATATATAAATAAGTATAATATTATTCAAATACGTGAAGAATTAATTTTAAGAAGAGTATTGGACTTCTTATTTTTAAAAAAATTATTGAAACTCTAAAAATGATGATCGTCTTCTATATTATATGGTTACGAATAATCGTTGTCATCCTCAAATACAATCTGTTTTCTAGGAAAATACTTCTTAAATAATTGTTTATTAGTTGATGCATATTCAACAGCAACTTTGATTACTTCCTCATTTCTTATACATTATTTCTGTCCTGGAAAACCTCTTTCATTTCAATTATATCATACCCAAATCTAGCTTTATACAATTATAAAAACTATCCAACAGAAGGTTTTGATTCTTCTATTGTCATTTTTTACACTCTAAGATCTTAATTATTATCCCAAATTTCATATTCCTCATCAGCACTCATGTTACTTTCTGATGTTATAACTGATAATAATGATGGCCTTTATTAGCAATTGATACTGGTCTGACGTTGAAATGCATTTCGAGGTTAAACCAAAGGATTCACATCTTAATTAACTTGAGTTTTCAAAGGATAATGAGTTAACTATTTTATTGATCTGTGTTGTGGAGTGTAAGATTTACACTAGATACTGTATTATAAAGATGCTAATAGTTCTCCTGCCTTCTTTAATTTTGATTATCCATTTCTCACTCTAAAACCATTTGCTTATGTTTTTTTCATTATAATATTAATTAGCTATTAAATCATTATTATATAATCTAAATGATAAACTTGATTAATTAATAAGTATGATAAGTACATTTAATCAACATTATATTTATGATTATAATTAATTTTCAATTAAATTCTTATGGTTATATAGATATATCTATAATCATATTTAAAATATTCAATTTTGTAGTTATCTCTTTTGATTAATATCATTAATTGATTTAATTTAAAAGGAATTTGGGATTTTTACTTATGGTTAATTGGGAGATACAATTTCCATACATGATTCTGTTGATAAATTTAATTCATTTTCTTTTTGCTGTAACCATGACTCATAATATTGGTTTCTCTTCTTTTATGGATTATGAGTAGTTGTAGATTTAATTCTATTTAAGATGGCTTGTTTATGGAATCGATTATTTTATATACCTAAATTATTCATTTAGTTTAATAATAATTCAGTTTAAAAAATTTTAGATGATATTCATTTCATAGAAATTCTTTGTTGCATTATCAAGACAATGAAATAATTTTTTCATATTATAATATGATAATGTATTTTAATATTCTTCGAAGAGTTACATCAAATGCTTTTCTAATCTAACTTAAATTTATGGTTAATAATTAAAATCAAACTGAGTCTCATTTTATTATTTCTCCAAATTCAAAAATAGTGTAAAATGTTCATCTTCAATTCCATTTTCTGATTTCATTTGATAAGCCATCCACACTTTTAGTACCTATAAATTATCTGAGTATTCTAAACTAACACTACGATTGATTTTTTTCTCCTTACAATTAATTATTGTACTATATGATGGTTATTATAAGAATTCATAAAATACACTACTACAAAGTGGAATTCTCATAAACAATTGAAAATTATCTAATATAATAGATGGAATTAATGGCAATCTGATTAATGTACTCTATTATATGGGTATATAAACTATATAATAAAATTCAACCATGCTTCTAAGAATTTAAGAGAAGAGCATAATGATTAAAGAAAATGGTAATTAAATAGGTCCATTTTATATATTACAATCGATTTCATTAATAAAATAACTAATAAAAGTATTAATGTATAACCAAATAGCATAGATTAATAATGGTTTATTGACAAACCTTTAAAGTGTATCAAATTAAGGTATAAAAATCTTTTGATTCCAATATATTATAAGTATGCATAATAAGATTTCTAATGTATTATTTATAGCCTCTACTATATTTATATTTTCATATTGAATTAGATCACTTATATGATCTTAATCTTCATATTATGTATTATAATGATAAAGTTTAACAATATAATAAATTCCTGACCAAAATGCAGATGTCATAAAGAAAGCTACCATTAAAATACGAAATTAATATCTAAATAGTTTAGTACATAAAAATTTTAAGTATTAAGATGATTTTATATTAAGGTGAAATGCTAAAGTGACTCTAAGTGATTTGAAAACTGTAATATATACAAAGAGTCCTCTAAAGAAATTCTAAAATATCATTATGATTTTTGTTGAATGGAATTTATTCTCACCATCATACACAATTACAAGTAATGTAAGAATAATGAATAAATAAAGTGATAATCCTTGAGATATTGTTAATAGAGGTGATAATTCTTAAATAGGATTCCAATTTCTTAATTAATATGTTTTGAATAGAAGTCCAATAGATATAAAAGTAAGTAGTGTAATAATTACAATAGAAGGAATTAGTATTTGTTCTGATATTTGTAAACATAATTATTACATTTAATTTATGTGATTATAATTTGATTCAATATTACATAAAAATCAATATAAAAGTAATATCATCGATAACTTTATTACTTCTTTATACCCAACTAATATGGGCCATTTCTAACAAATGATTACAAGCACTTTCAACATCCATTCTGTCTACATGAGGAGTAACAGAATCTAGAATGTCCTATTAAGAAAGAAATTCAAACACTCCATCTGATCCTAATAAGATAACTCTATCCATTTTTTCAAGAACAAAATTAAATATCTCTGGTTTTTCAATAACTCCTACACTTTTAGCAATTTAATCTCCTATAGATCTTGTCATAGCCAATCCTGGTACATTACCATTATTCCAAACTCTTAATGGTCCACAAACTTAACCATTTTAATCTTTATAAGGATCAATTCTTCCACCATGATTTATTATACGTTCAGCTTCATCTTAACAATCTGGTTTATGATCTCTTGATAAATTTTTTAGAAACCATTTATTTGTTCTACTTAACATGACTACTCTTGAATCACCAAGGTTTGGACAATATATCTATTATACAATTTATTGTATATATATATACTTTATTATGTAACATAAATAAACCAACTACAGTAGAACCAGAATATTACTGATCAATAGTAGATTAATTCAATGCTTTAATTACTTAATTAAATATTATGTATATAGTAGCATAAGGACTAAATTAAGAGATTAAATTAATACTTGTTTTCTAATTGATTCTTGAATTTAGTTATATAAATTGGAAATTATTATTTTAGAAAATTTGAAATATGATGTCCATAAATTCCATGACCATCACAAACAAAAAAGAAATGCATATATGATTTATCAGCTATATTTGGAAATACTATAAAAGAATCTTAATTCTATTTATTTGGATTCCCAATTTACATTCCTTGTCTTGTTCTAACTGCAAATTTTAATATGTATTCAAAATTCTAATCTAATCCACATTTTTCTATTTAAAGTGTATTTTTCTATGTAATTAAAGGAGATCGATTCATTTATTTTTTTACAGATCTATTTGATGTTTTTTCATGTAAACTAAATAATGGTTTTCTTTAAGTCATAGGTGAATATGAATTTTAATATGGATTCAACTTAAATTATGGAGTGATATGATTTGTCAATTTTAAAGGCTATAGTTATTGTTTGTATTTATTATTTAATTATTTCATAATTTATTAATTCAGACATCAAATCCAAAGTATCCCAATATATATTGGTTCTTCTCTCCTACATTGACTCTACCATCTACTCCATATTAAGTGCCAAAAGAATTCAATGATTTCCATGTTATTTTACCATCTATTTCAGTATGCCAACCTACAATCATAAGAAATCTTATGCCAAATTCTTAATCATCATTCTTTATAGTATATAATCCACTTGAGTATTCATTCAAACTTGATCCATCTTTTATAATAATAAACAATCATAAATACATTTTAATGCCATTACAACAGGACCTTTATTTATAATATGATCTTGTATGTCTTATGTTGATGTAAGTTCCAAGAGATCTTTAGCTCTCAATTCTGATTTCTTGAAACTTAAATCATCACATCTGATTGGACATTTGTTTTTTAAATTGAAATTGACTGTCTGCTTATATGAAAGACATTTATTAGAACTAAGTCCATTCTCAATCAAAAAACTTATTTATTTAGATAGATGATGTGATACTTCTTAATGCTATTAACAATCTTTAATGATTTAGGTGTAGCAGAACATTTGTCTTCATCCCATTTTGTACATTGAAGTAATTCTTCAGCTGAAAGACGAGGTTACTTTGATGACGATCTAAGACAATTGGTCAAGTATAGAGTCTAAGTGAAGATATGAGCCCAATTCCCTCCTTAGCAAAGACCCTTAAATAGAATTGTATGAATACTTCAAGGAACACTGTTTAATCGCAATTGTCAATCTGGGTTATAAGACTAGAGTGCTTCAAATCTATACGTCACATCATATTCCTTTGGGCGATATGTAAGAAAACTAGGAGTTTACTCAAGACTAACAAGGGTTACTAGGAGGAGAACACAACTAGTTACGACTATTGTGAGTGTGGTATATCTATTCATTTATATAATAATAATGAGACTGTTAATTATTTTAAATTCCAATGAAGCATAGAGCAGCAGCAAATAGTCTAAATTAAAAGGAGAATGAAAAATGTGTAGGCAATCAATATTCATACAAATCAAGACCTCCTTTATAATAAGATTTACTTATGAACCTAAAAAATTAACAACTTAGAAATCTTGATGCCATCAGTTAGATACTTTAATCTAAAATTTGTAAAGTTGAAAAACGAGATAATGTTGAATACTTCAAATTTGATTTCAAATAACAGAATATCTGTGATAGAGTTAAATTTCTTACGAATTAACCAGATGATGATATTAATAAAACTGAGATATTTAAAGCTCAATATAAAGTTGGTAGTCGAATTGGCTAAGGAGCCTATGCTTCTGTTAGAGTTGCTATTCAAATTGAAACAGGTATTAAAGTGGCTATCAAAATCTATGAGAAATCTAAAATACGTGATTTATAGCGTCGTAAAGGAGTGAGAAGAGAAATTGAAATACTTGAAAAATTAGATCATCCAAATATAGTCAAAATTATTGACACTTTAGAATCAAATAATCATGTTAATATTATAATTGAATATGTAAGTGGAAGTTCACTTCACCATTTTATTCGAAAATAATAGGTATATCTTATATAAATAATATAATTAGGAAAGAAGATTAGATGAAGATACTGCTAAAACTATATTTAAATAAATACTTGATGCAGTTTAATATTGTCATTCCAAAAATATAGCTCATAGAGATCTTAAATTAGAAAACATTTTATTAGAAGGTTAAATACCTAAACTTATTGATTTTGGCTTTTCCACTTCATTTCCCATAGAAAAAAAAGTTAAAATGTTTTGTGGTACCCCTAGTTATATGGCTCCAGAAATTGTCACTAGATAAGAGTATAGAGGAGATAAATCAGATGTTTGGGCCTTAGGAGTTGTCCTATTCACTATGTTACAAGGAGTTTTCCCCTTCAAAGGGGATACTGATGCAGAACTCTATTCTAAAATTTAATCAGGAGAATTCACTATTATTCATGATATCTCTAAAGAAGCTATTGCATTACTTTATGGAATGTTAACTACTGATCCAGATGAACGACCCACTGTAATTGAATTACTCAATTATCCATGGTTTAAGAAATACAATTTATAAACTGAAAATGAGCAACTCAAAAAGAAACATAAATTACCTGAAGATTTAATTGAAGATCTCAATACTATTACTAAAAATATGTCCTATATTACTCCTACAAGTTAAATTAAATAACAATTCTAATTTGATTTCTCTCATCTAAAAAATACTTCAAAACCCAATACTAATAAGGTATAATTATATTCTAAAAATAGGCCATCATTCCTAAACCCTCATATTTTACTACTACTAATGCATAAACCAAATCTAGAGAACCATAATTTTTCAAAGTGGAAAAAATATTAAATAAAAATGATAGACATACTACAACTCATTCAAAAGAACGACATCCTACATTATCAAAAGAAAGACAATCCTCTTATAGTTTTGAATCCAGTAGAGGATTGTCCCAAAAAAAAAATCCTCATTAGTTAACTGTTCATCCTAGTTTCATACCAAGTGAAAAGAGTTTTCACTCTTTCAAAAGTCCTCAAATGGCTATGAATGATAAACGTTCTTTTAATTTTTTTTATAATTGACTTTTTAATTGTATATTAAATAACCAGAATTCTAATAGAATAAATGAAAACAAGCATGTATATATATTATATTAAGATCAATCTGGAGTAACTCTATATTTATCTGACTATATTCCATATGAATTTTAATTACATTGAAATCCAAACAAGAAATTCTATAAATAATTTTAATCAATTACATTTGAAAGTAAAGAATTAATTGAAAATATATTAGAAGGATGATTCCAATAATATGAGGCAGTTGAAATAATAGGATTGATGTATGGTTAAAATGAATGCATATTTTCTATTGATTTAAATTAGAAATAAGGGATAGATATTTAATCCATTTATTATGGAGCAATAATAAACTTAAATTTTTCAATTTTAATTTTCTTGGTTGTAAATATAGGCTGCTTCTTTTATATCTTTTCAATTATTTTTTATTATTAATTTAAGCCTTATTACATTTTAAGAGTTCTCTTATTTTTCATTTTCATAATTTACACCTTCTTTGCTTACTTACTAACCTTTTTTTCTATGTATATATCACTAAATATTTATATATATATATAATTTTACTTTTACTCACTAAGGTAATTCATAATTATTTTAACTTAATCTATTGTTTAGTCATCAACATTGACTCCAACTTCAATTTTTTTATTTTTTCGAATTAACTATTTAAAAAGAGCCTTCATCTAATCATCAATTTTTAATATTTTATCATTATCTTCATCATCATGACAATAAATGCTTGAAATCAAGAGAGGCTGAATTTTTGCAATGATTATGGAGCCTAATTGATAATAATAAATACTTTCAGTTGTTTTATAAGCAACTTTTATCAATCGACGTATAATTTTCTTGACATGAGCATAAAACTTATTCTTAATGTCTTAATCTGTTCTATTATTTAATTATTCAGCTATATATGTCTAAAATGAGTTTCAAATTATTACCCATTTATTTCCATAAAGTTCAATCAACTCAAAAAGCTAATCTATTTCCTTATCTGTTAAATCAGCTTTATTATAGCTGTTATCAAGATGATTTGAAAATCTTTCTCGACAAGCCTTGGTGTCCCGATTAAACCCATGTGATTTTAAAGTTTAAGAGATTTTCTTCCATGCTAACCTTTCATTTTAGAATTTTTTTACTAATTTTCTTAAAAGCTTGTCTTCCTTATAATAATACTTAACAATTACTTGGATTATCCAAGGCTTTCTTTTCTTTTTAGTTTCTGAAGGGTAATGGTTCACCATATTAATATAATTTAAATATATAACAATTCTTAGAATATTTATATGTATACTTAAACCTAAGGTTTTGATATCAACAATAAATACAAAAGTAATGAAATTAAATAGTAATTCAATTAGATGAAAATTTAACTTTAAATTTTCTTAATTTCCTTCAAAATTGTATTGAAAAATTTCTAATATGTAAAAAATGGAAGTTTCAAATATTAATTATGTTTATATTTACATATTGTAAATTTTGAATTGTCAATTATTAATTTCTTGGTTCAAACACTAATTAAATTTATATTGACTTTAAATAATAAAGAATGAAGAATTAAATAAATTAGTTGAGTTTATTTGAAGTATATAAAATATGATAATTATTTTACATATTTTGAGTACTGAATTAAATATGTATATATCTTTAATTAAAAGTACTGTCTTTCTTATGCAAAATTATTAATAAGAAATTCATTTTATAAAGATTAATTGGTTGTGGTTATTATATTAATATTTTAATAAAGAATATTTATAAAACTCATTCATGGCAAATCGATGTTAATTTGAAAACTCCAATGATATTGGTGTTTTTTCTAAACTTACAAATGCATATTGTCTTGTTGCACTTGGAGGAAGTGAAAATTTCTATTCTGTGTTTGAATCTGAACTTGGATTAAGTATGCCAGTCATCCATTGTTCAATTGGAGGCACAAGAATTATTGGAAGATTGACAGCAGGTATATTATATTTATTAAATATAAATAGGAAATAAAAATGGATTATTGGTACCTAATACATGTACTGATTAAGAACTAAAATAAATTAGAAATTCATTACCAGATGAAGTTAAAGTAATTATATAAATAAAAAATTATAGGTTAAAAGAGTTGAAGAGAAATTATCTGCATTAGGTAATTGTGTGGCTTGTAATGATTATGTTGCTTTGATACATTCTGATTTAGATAAAGAGACAGAGGAAATCATTGCAGATACTTTAGGAGTTGAAGTATTTAGAACTACTGTAGCATAATAAGTATTGGTTGGAACTTATTGTTGTTTTAATAATTAAGGAGGATTAGTACATCCATTGACAACAGTAGAAGAATTAGATGAATTAGCTAATCTATTATAAATACCATTATGTGCTGGTACTGTAAACAGAGGTAGTGATATCATAGCATCTGGTCTTGTTGTTAATGATGTTGCTGCATTTTGTGGTATATATTGAATTTAAACTTTATAGGTTTGGATACTACATCTACAGAAATCACAGTGATTGAGAAAATTTTCAAATTGTAAGATAAAAATAAGTAAAATATGGAAGTGTAAATTCGTTAAGATATGATGTAAGAATTGGAATGATCTAATAATTATGTTGATTAATATTATGTATATCATTTAATTTCAATATTATCAGTTGAATCCTATTCATTATTGATCATACTATGATATTTATTGAATTCAGATCTGATGTATTCTACCTTTTAATTTAATTCACTATAATTTTCAGTTTCATCTTTTTTCATTTCAGCCTGAAAATGCTATGCCATATTACATAAAGCCAATATATCTTATAGATATTATTATTAACTTTTTTTCTTCTAAAAAACAGATTTTTTATATGCTTAAGGAGAACATTAAACCTAAGGAAAGAAAATAAAACTTTAATTTTATCTTTGAGGAGAATTTATTTTATATATCTTATCTTAAGAATAAGAATTTTTATGAAGCTTTTAAAATTTATTATTATTGGGTTTTGGTTATTCATCTTAATGAATTCCAATTTTTTTATAGTATTTTTTAAATCTAACATAGAATGGATCCATTTTAATTCCTAAAGGTTTTGGAGATGGATTTATCTATTCAACAGGGGATTGTTATGGAGATTTAATATCTTCAATCCTTAAATCTATTGATTATCTTCGAGTCAAAAATTTATTATTATTTTTTATTTATTTTTGTGGACTAGGATAGAGTTCAATTGATGATCGTCTTAAAAATTAAGATTCATTTGGTTTTCCTAAACTAATTCTTGATTTTTCTAAAATGTTCCTACAATTTTTTGATAAAATGCTCCATTTTTCTTCTTTTATTTCATCTAATTATACTGGAGGCTCTAAGTCCATCTTTTAAAATGTCTTTAAATAAGTAAGTTATGGTTTAGAGTATGGATGATGATATTCGACATTGTGAAGTGGAGTTTGTAATTTTTCATTATTCTTGGTCTTCATCATATATTTCACAACTCCTGGAGCTAAATCTGCTTTAATAGTTTTTATTTTGATATCTAATTTTTCCCTTCTTAACTAATCAATTAATCATAAATACTTATTCAGGACTCTTATGTATCTAAGTGTTATCAAAGATTAATTACATAATTTAATAATATATGTGTTAAATAATAAATGTTTAATTGTCAACTGGTCATAGTACAATTTATACATCTTAAAGATTAAATACATATTTTTAAGCATAAAAATGGATATATGAATGTAATTGCAATAAATTAGCTAATTGATTTAGAATCATATAAAAAAATTAAACCTAATTGTAAGTACAAATTCTTTTAATGGGTAATCTTTTTTTATTTTATTTTATAGGTTGATTTTATATTATATTTTGTATTTAATTTGAAATGAACTCTTATTATAATTTAAGACTTGATTATTTAAATACTTTTATCAGAAAAGGCCAAATCAATTATTATAATAATTATAATTCCTATTAATTTCTGATAGAAATGTAGAATCTATATTAATCTTTTAATCAAAAGAAAATTATTATTTTTATATTAATTTGAGATATTTAAACAAAAATTATAATTCGATGCATTTTTAAAAATATACCCATCATAAATAGTAGAATAATGAGGGAGTTAATTTACATTAAGATTTTAATATGATGTTATTATGGAAATTGATTTATCATATTCCAATTTGAAGTACACACTTACATTTTGATAATAACCTATAGAATGTACAATATTCCATTTTCAATAAATTAAATTGAGATTTTAGCAGATTATAATAAATAAATTCATACGTAGTTAGTATAGAGAATTTAAAAAAATAATATACAGGTAAATGAATATTTCTGAGGCTAGAACAGTTGGTTTATCACCTCCTTAAAAATTCTCGAAATTAAACCAATCCTAATAATTAATTCCAGAAGAATGTCTTCCTCCAACATTTTAAAGTCTCAATCCTTCTCCAAGAAGAGATGTTTATAAAAAAGGAATCAAGAAAACTTATAAAATGAAAGTAACTGATATTACTAACTCACATCTTAGGATAATGAGAGAAAGAAGATAGTATGGTGTAATATATATGTAAATGAAATGGATCCAATCTAATTGGCTAGGTCAAAAAAAGGAAGTATGAAAATTAAAATACTTATTTTAGAGTAATGTCGTATTTGCTCAATGGAAGAAGAAACATCAAGATTCATATATCCATGTATATGTAGTGGTACAGCAAAATATGTACATGAAGAATGCTTTAAAAATTGGATTCTTTTAAAGAATGGTGTTGAAAAGGTCTATAAAAATGATGTAAAACAATCTATTATTATAATACATCAGATTAAATGTGAGGTTTGCTAACATAAGATATCAATGAAAGTTCATTTCTAAGAAGAAGTACATTCAGCCATAATTTAAGAAGTGCCTAAACATTAAAAAGCATGTTGGCTTATATTAATCTTTATAATTTTATTATAAATAGCAGGAGCTATCATATTGGGAGTCTTAGTTGGCTTTTCAAATGTTGGATTAGCTGCAGCTATTACTTTATTGGGAGTAATTTCAATTGTGTTGATAATTTATCTTATTGCTAAAGTTATGCACAGTTTAACTATTGAAACTATTGATTAATGGGTATTTCAGAATTACCAAAAAGAATTTAATGCTGACAAAATTGGAAGTGTTATAAATATACCATAATAACCTGTATAAAATACAAGTCCAAGGAGTCCTAGATAAAGAAGAAAATCCTGTGTTCCTTAATTCTCTGGACTTTAAATGATTTAATTAGACTAATACCCTTAGGATGCTTGAAAATAAAACATAAGACTATTTAAACTATATAAATGTGTACTCATCATTTTATAATAATATCAAAGATATTCTATATTGTCTAAGTTGATTTTTGCATTAAAAATTTTGTCATTAATACACTATATATAAGAATTAATATCATTATATTCAATTTAGAATCAGTCATTATCATTTATAGGATATCTTTTTTTGTCTATCATAATAAATTTTGATATATTCTTTTTTCTTCTCAATTAATTTATTTATAAAATCTAATCTTTGTTTTTTTTAATCAAAAGTAATTAATTAAAATAAATGTTAAATGTTTTTAAAACTATTTCTTCTTATTTATTGTGACATTATTAGAGTATTTGAAAATAATTGATAGATATTTTTATTTGAATTTATAGTTAGTATTTTAATATTGATTCTTATATAATTCATATAATTCAAATTATTTCACAAAATGGAAATGATAATTGTAATATAATAGTTATAATACAATATCACAAATTATAGATTAAATTCTAATGGATTGAGAATTGTAAATTAATAATATTAAAGAGTTTAATTCATTTTTTAATTATTTTAATTACAATAATAATTATCTTCTGATTATAAATCAAATGAATTGTTATTCAAGATTACCTCATTCTATTATTATACACTATAACTATATAGTATTAAATAGATATACTCCATTTTTTTATGCTTAACTTAATCAATAATCATTTTGTTACTGATATGATTTACTATAAATAACTCAAAACATTGAATAATTAGTGGTGACTCTAATTAAAGAATTTAATTTGAATAATTTGTAAAAAAAAAATCATATAAAAATTTAAAAATGTCTTAAAATCCTACATAAAAAAAAGGACTAAAGCTCAGTGCTCCTTTTGAGCCAACAGCTAATCCAGCATTTGCATAACCTTTATACTCTCCACCACCATCATATAAATACGAATAAAAATACTACTAACAGCCTTATGTCCATCCCACATAAATTGAATAAGGAAATACTTTAAATTCTTTATCTCTAAAGAATCAAAATTTAAGTCAAAGTCAATCAACAACAACGAATACAAGCAATGGATAATAAATATAATAAAATGTTTAAAGTAAGACCAAGAAAAAATTAGTGTTAAATAGTAACACTTCATAGAAATTTGTATTAGATCAAACTTTAGAATAGAAAGTAATAATTAAAATTAAATAATAGGCTGATGAAGAGTTAAAGAAATTAGAAGAACAAAAAAAATTAGAAGAACAAAAGAGATTAGAAGAAGAAAAGTTAAAAAAGGAATAAGAATAGTAAAAATTGTTAGAGTAAAGAAAACCTAAACCTTATTCTAAAGAAGATCTTAAGAAATTAGTAGATATGATTAATGTAATTTTAAATATAATCAATTAGGATTTCAATGAATATTTTGATAAACAAGAGTGGTAAATATTGAAGGATAGAAAATACTGTAATATTAAAGAATTATAAACTAAAACTCAACCTAGAAAAGATGGAAAGACTAAACCTCCTTATACAAAACCTCCTTATTCAAAGCCACAAGATTCAGATTAATCAAAAAATTAAGGTAAAACAACTGCAACTACAGTATAACCTTTTGATAGATCATCAATCTAACCACAAACTGAAACTTAACCAAAGATTATTATAGTTAGAGTTGTTGAAGATATATAAACAAAATAATTAAAAGATAGAATGAAAACATAAGCAGAAGACTTCTTTTAAACTTTGAATCAAACTCCTGAATAAAGAGAAATCATTTTTAAGGAAATTAGATATAAATTAAATTAATTGGCACCTGATAATTTTGATTTAGCTTCTTAAAATATTATTAAACTTGTAATAGAAAAGTAATATAATTTAATTATTATTTTATAGTAAAAATGAAAATGACTCAACTTATTTAGAGTATTTAGCATAAAAAATCATTGAAAAATCTTAAACTGAACCAAAATATAGAAAATTATACACAAGATTATGTTAACTCTTAATTAAAGAACCTTAATTAACTATTGTCAAAGAGAAATAGGATGGTAAGGCTAAGAGTGTTTCTCTATTTAAAAATCAACTTCTAAATTAAGTTTAATAAGTATTTGATGAGAGAAAGAATAGAAAAGAAGATCTATCTCATATGAAACCAGAAGAAAGAGAATAATATCATTTAATAAGAAAATAAAAAATTATGGGAAGTATGTACTTATTATAATTACTCAAGATGTCCGTTTTATTGGAGACTTATTTTTATCTAAATTACTTCCAATTTTAGCTGTAGAATATGCTATTAGAGAATTAATTTCAGATTATGTTGCTTAATATTAACCAAATTAAGAAAATAGTGAAGAATCTATTGAAGGTTTAATAGAATTATTAGATTAAAGTAATTATATTTACAATAATTATTAGTTGGTGGATCATATAAAACTTAAAACATTACTGATTTTGATGTATTGAAGAAAGATCTCGAATTATTCTTTGATGGTACAACTAAAAATCTAGAAGAAGCAAAATCATTTTTATAAAAGAAACTTGAAAAAAATCTTACAGTTGATATTATTATGGAAATGTATCAAATTTGTTGATTATACTAGATTTAATTTACTTATATCAAAGTATAAAGTATCTTAAAGAATTTCAATGTTAATAGAAAATGTATAAGAAAGAAAAAATTAAGGTTGGAAAGATCATTATAGTAGATAAGATTAAGCTTAGAGTGTAAAAACTATTCATCAAGAATAAGAGAAAGAAATTATTGAATAAAATTATAATTAAAGTAAAAATAAGAACAAGAAATATTAATCATAATAAGTTCTTTATGTTGAAAAAAATTCAAGTTAATAATCATCTTCAACATCTCAATAAAAGTAGTAATTATTTGATTTAAATGAATTGGCTATCTTTGTTTAAGGTACTTTCAATATGGAACCACAATAATAAGAAGCTAAACTTTTAGAAGAATTGAAAAGAGTTGGACCATCAGATGAAGCAATTTAAAAATTCTTTGAAGTATTCTTTGAATAACTTCTTTCATGTAATAGAATTAATTAATTATATAGATAAATTAATTAAACAGAATATTGAAAGGGCTCAAATGGTTTTTGAATTATTGAGTAAAGCAGAAGCCAAAGAAGAAATTGTAAAAAAGGCTACTTAAAAGGTATTTTAATAATACAAGATTTTAGGCCTTGAATGAAGACAAAGTTTATGATCTTGCTGATTCTCCAACAGCAATTGATTTATTGGTTGATATAATTGGATATTTCTTAAATGATTCAGATATAAATTCATTAAAGAAATTATATTTCAAACCTGAAATTGATATCGAAGATTTTAATGATTTCATGAGTAAGATAGCAACTTAATTAATCATTAAATATTCTGATAAAGAGAATATAATTAAAGAATACTATGGTATCCTAGGTTATTAAATTTGATTATATTTATTTGTTGGATATATTGTTAGATAAATATTGATATTTTAGATCAAATTATCAAATTAAATTAAAGTTAATAAAAAATACACTATATATATATATATATTTTCATTATTATTTTTTTATGTTCTTACTCTTTGGACCTAAAGGAGTGAAATGATTTGTAGAACCTCTTCTATCAAGAAAATTCTTAATCATTTCTGAACTTACTCTAGAGGATATTGAACTACCAACTCTATATGGTGTAATGGAACTTAATCTTCTTTTTAACCATCTAAAATTAATTATAATTATATATACTCTTCCTATTATTTTTATTCATTTCTTTTTTTAACATTTAATTATTATGTAAGATTAGATCCAACTTTATCTCTTTAAGAACTTGGAGGAATCATATATGATCTATCCAATTAAACTGGAGTTTCACCTAATTCTCCCCAAGTCATTAAAGGTGTTTTCATATTTTAAGGAGCAGGTGAAAAGAGACCAAGCATATCATCATCTTCAAATCTCTATGCTCCAACTAAATTTGGTGTACTTCCATAAAACACATTAACACCTTATGCATTCAAACATTCTTAAAGTTTTCTTTTTTATAATTTCTAATCTATTTAATTAATTGCAAATTCCATAGGTTTATGATGATCAGAAAATCTAGTATTTTGTATTTCCACTTTTTATACATTTAAAGAATTGTCTGTTTCTTTGAGTTCTTAGATTGCTGGTTATAATCTAAATAGATTATATTATTACCTTTCATTTTTAGGGTCCATTCTAAAAAACAATGGATTTAAAGCCTTATATTCATTTAATTGAATATTATTTTCTCTATTCCCTTCTATCATATGCTATAATTTATCAGATTAAAGTGCTGCTTATTTTAATTTATGTTATTCTTCAACTTAAAACATCCATGCATGTTTCTAATACCATTAATCATCACCCTTTTTTATAATATCATTTAAGGTAACATTTTCATCTGAAGTAAAAGTACTAAGAAATTGACTTAATGACATATTTTCATCTGGATTTCTAATATCTGTTTATTTAAAAATATTACCCATCTTCATTTCTCATTTTATCTAATTTGTATAATTCAGGATAATAGTCTCTTTTTATTATAATCTCCAATCTTCTTAAATATTCCTCTTCTGGTAATACATTACCTTCCATTTTCTATTTAGGTTTTGGTACTGGAAATTCATCACTCATTTTAATTTATATAGTTAATTAATTATTATTGATCATTTAAAATAACTACGAAAATTTAATTCATCAGACACTTCCATACTTGAATTTCTTTTTAGCATTGGTTCATAATTCTCTTTACCAATCTTATTTAAACTACTCTTTTCATGAGAACAAATATGTTTTAAAGGCTCTTTAAATTATTAATTACTTCCCTATAATTCTATATAAGATGGACTATTCATATTGATTTGAGATTAAAAGTAACTTTAAAAAGACTCTATTTCACTTTTATTTTATTCTTCAATTTTCTTATTATTATCATTAACATCCCAAAATTAAACATTTATGGCAGATGTATCAAATAGATATTTTGGATATTTTATAGGTTTTGAAGTAATTAATTTCAGTGTTTCAACATTTTCCCCTTTTAATTTGATTTCTTTTTTTAATTTAACCTTATAAATATTCTACATCATAATTTATAAATTTTCAGTCATTTAATCTAAAGTATCATTATTTAACAATAACATTTCATCCATTTCTATCATATTATGATAACAAAGCACTATTTTTAATAATTTATTCTTTTCTTCTTATAAATCTTTACTTAATTATTTATATTTTATAGTTTTTGTCTTTTAATTAGCATATCTCTTTTTTGTTTAAATTACTGTCTCCTATTATTTCTACTTTAAATCTAATACTTAATTTTCCAAATTCTATTTTTCTGATTTTAAAATTATTAATTCTTCTTATAATTCTTGATATTTTTTGATAGTTCCAAAAGAATCTATTACATCTTATTTAACTTCTAATTCTCTATTTCCTTTTTCAGGCACCCATAAAACACCAACTCCATGATAATGCAAATGTGTCCATTAATAATTGAGTTCCTTATTAATCATAGCTTAAATATGATCAGAGGCAGTAAATTATTATCTAAATATTTTTCTTTATTCTTCTAATTTTTCAATAATTTTCAACATCATTTCTTATTATTACTTATCATCAACTCTAGCTTTTTATAATTCATTAATTTTAATCTCATAATCCTTTATAACTCTATTAAGACTTTCATCATTATCAAATCCTACAATATTTTTAGATACATTATTTTCTATCTTCTTAGCATTAGTACCAAATCTCAAAGTAGATAATGTTTATTCAAATTAACTATAACATGGATTAATACAAAGTATTATAGCAGTTCTTGAATTACCACCTAAAGAAGATCGCAATATTTTAGTTAATGGTGAATTTCTATATGGTATATGTTAATCACTAAAAATGATATCATTTATAATTATTACTTTTTATCTTAGGCTCTTAATGAAATAACTTAAGTTAAAAAGAATAAACTTTTATTAATATGTTTTGATTCATTTTATCTATCTTTGTATTATGTTCCTCCACTTCCACCTACTGATGTACCTCTCTTTTTAAGCATTGAATCATGAATATTGATCTTTTCTGATCCTGCCAAATCTACAAAATTCAAAATCGATTCTGTAATAACTGAATTAGGTCCAATATAATTTGGAACACATCTTACATACAATCTAAATATAGTATGAGATCGACTACTACAATGATTCATAATTGTTGAAGCATAATGTCGATTACTTTCTCCAAATTGAAGTATATCCATAATTTCATTAATATTAGTTACTACTTCTTCAATTGCTCCTTTGATAACAAATTCTTTATTGAAATCTTCATTTATTAATAATGTTTCACTCAATCTTTCTTGAGTAGCCAATAAATCATATACTTAATCAGTATAAATTTCAACGTAACTGCATCTTAAGAAATATTATCTATCCTATTGTTTTGCTATTTCACCAAATAAATCTTTTAATCCTTATTTAAGAATTCCTTCTTCTTAATCATAACCCATCATAGTATATGTTTTACCACTTCCAGTCTAACCATACATGAATACTGTGCCATTTATTCCTTATAAAGATGATAATGTAATCCTCTATATTTATTATTAGTAAATAAATTTGGTGGTGTGTTTAGAATCAAAACATTAGTCTATTCATAATTAATTATAAAGACTATACTAAATGTAAATTCCACTCTCTAACCTGGTACAAATTTCCTCATCCTTACTAAATCATTGAATCTATCATTTGATATTGTTATTGTGTCTTGATTTTGAACTGACCAAATTTCTAAATCATTGTTGTCTCTTTCAGTACTATTCGAAGGTCTGATCCGAACCACAACTTAAATGTTCTCCATTTATTTTAAATTAAATTATTAACAGATAATTTTATGCAGAAATCAATTATTATATATTGATATTAATATTTTTGATAATTCATTAATCAAAAGACCTCTTCTCTGATTTAAAGGAATTCGGAGGCAGCACTCACTTTCTAAGTAAGGACTTCTTATAATCTTTCAACAACTTCCAATTATTATTCTCTTTCAAAAGTTTAGGCTTCATATTAAGCTTCTTATTCTGCAGCCCATCTCTCTTAGATAGCCAATGAATCTTCAGCATCTTCAAGGAATAACTAATAGAAATTAATCTTAATCATTACAGTTTAATCTTCCAAATCTTCAACGGCCTCTTAAATGGTTACTTTGAATTAAACAATTGAATTTTCTAAGAAAGCTTTTCTTTCAACTAATCTCTTGTGTTCTTCTTATAAGTGACCACTTTAAACTTCCCAATTAGCAGCTTATCTCTCTTCTGTTGCAAGGAGAGATGCTCTACTGGCAACTAATTATTATCTGATTTAAGCCAAAAGTTCTAAAATCTTGATGATGCTCTTGTTATCAACCTTTGAGGCTAATTATGTCAAGGCATTAATGAGTGGCTTTAATATATAGGATATATATTAATACTTTGAAGAGAGCATGTTTGCTTTCCATTAATTTAGCTTAGACTTTTTCGAATCTGCTCTTGAGTTGAGCAAATGCAACACCTGCTTACAAATGTTAAACAATCTTTGAAGCTTCATCAATGGCATCCATTTAATCAACATGTTCAGCATCCTTTCTAACCCATGTTTCGTGTTATGAATTTCTTGTAGCTTATTCATCAGCAAAGCTCTTTTCATTGTTGGCAATATCAGATGTGACAACTCTGACTTCAGCTTCAGCTTCTCCCAAAGCTTCAGTTGTTGAATCTCTCAAATTAGAAAGAGCAACAATTTAGCTTTAATGATAAGCAATCTCTTATTCTAAGTCAGCAATGATCTATTAAAAAAATTATATTATTTTTCAATACCTTCTCAAAGGCAACTGTGTCACTTTCGTGAACCTTGTCGGCTTTCTTTTAATCTCCATTGAGTTATGAAGCAATGTTGTTTAAGAGGATTTAGATTTCTCCTACTGGTCCTCCTGTTGCCAATTAAAGTTGAAGGACTGACAATATTGAGTTTCCAAATGAATCCTTGTTGATTTAAGCCAACACTTCCTTTGGACTCTCACTTCTTGTTACTCTTGCAGTAGCCACTGCCAATATAAGTGTCAATACAGGGATGATTCTAGTCATATTAAAATTAATAATGAAATATAATCACATCCAACAAAGAAGAGACATTAAAAAACCCGTTTTTCAATTATTTGTTAAAAATATATATATTCTTATTTTTATTATTAAGTTTTTGTTTCGAATCCTCATAATACTTCTAAAATATTTTAATAACATAAAAAACCATGTTGACTCTAACAGGTCTTTTCATAAAATAACAAATATTATGTTAATATAAAATTATATCTTATTAATTTATAAAATATTTATCAGAGATAAACAATTTTAGTTTAAATTAAATTAAGTTGTTGATATTTATAATAAAAGAAATATATAAAATGACATTTAATTCTTAATTCTTCTACTTCTTTCAAATTATATTTACAGTCTCTATGAATCATTGATGTTCTTAGTGTACCTATTAAAATATTAGTTACAATAGTATAATTTTGTAAGATAATAGGTTATTTTTATAAATGAAATAATTATTGCAAAGAGACTACTAATAGAAATTTTTGGTTATGAGATGCCCATTTAATGATATATTATTGATTTATAAAAGGCTTTGTCAATAGATTCAGTTATTAAAATTTGGTTTTGTGTTTAAATAGATAATGGGTTGTTAAAAAATAATTTATTTATCTTTTATTACTAATCTATATTATGAATAATTAAGTAGATGATATTTAGTTACTAAAAAAAACTATTAATGAGAAAGACTAACAGATAAGTGACCTTGAAAAAAAATTAAGATTAGAGTAATTTAGAGTGAAAAAGCAATAGAATGAACTAAATGCAAAAATTGAAAATGAGAAATCCACTGCCCAAAATAATGCTGATTAAATCAATCGTTTTGAATTGCAGATAAATGAATTGAAATCAAAGGTAATCATGAAATTCATATTTTAGCTAAGTGAAACCGAAAAAAAAAATTTATAGTTAATAGAGGAGATAAGTACCTTAAAAAAAAGAAGAGCCTCAGGTTCTACAGATGAAGATTTTCAACCAAAAAAAGAACATTAAGGAGATTTTCCTTCTCTCCAATAGATTCTAGGAATTATACAAACAAATTAAGGCAATTATTAACCTGAGCTTTCTAAATTGTATGAATGTTACACAGAAGCTTGTTAAAGTAAAGATGAATAAATCAATTCTTTAAAGGAAGAGATTAAAGATCTTACATAATAACTAGATATTAAAGTATATTTGTTGGTTATTTCTATTATAGTAATCTGAATTAACAAAGTAAATGGAATAATAAGAAGAACGAATTAAATAATTAAAATAGAGTCTTGATGAGAGAGAGAATGAATTAAAGAATGTAGTTCAATAAACAAGTGATAATAGTGATCAAAAGATTTAAGAATTAGAAAAATAATATCAAAGTTAATTAAGCGAAAAAGATAAATAATTATAAGAAGTTACTAAGAAAGCTAAGTTTGATGTATTTAAGTTAAATAAATAACTAACAGAATAAAAGACTTTGATAGAAAATGAATAAGCTAAAACTAACTTACTTTAATAATAAATTAATAGACATGAAAGTTCATTGAAAGAATTAGAAATTAAGGTAAAAAGTAATTCAAATAATTTAAGCTTTCTGAATTAGAATAAAAGAATTTAATATTGATTGAAGAAGTTAAATAAAAGTAATAAGAAATTGAAAAGCTTAATGAAGATAGTTTGACTAGAGTTGAAGAGATTTCAGTAGATAAACCTTCTTATTAAGAATTGGTTGATTTGATATAGAAATTTTAAGCTAATGAGATTACTTATCAATAAGAATTGAAAAATTTTGAGGAAGAATTGCATTTAAAAAATACTCATTCTTTTGAATTATAAGAGGAGTTGAATTAATATATTGAAAAATTCTAATTGCAAGATAGAAAAGTAATATGATATAAAATAAACTTAGTATTAAGAAAGTCTAAGATCAATTAAAGCTTTAGAAGAATAATAAAGTAGTGATAGATAAGTTTCATAAGAATTATAACATTATGTTGAACAATTAAAATAAGAGAAAGAACATTAATAAACAGAATTTTTACATAAAATTAAAGAATTAAGTGAACATAATACTAATATTGATGATGCTATTAATGATGTTGAATAGAAGTATTAAAAAATGATGATGATTTAAGAAGAATAATATTAAAGAAGAGAATAGGAATTAATTCATTAAATTGAATAAACAGAGGAGAAATTAAGTTAATAAGAATAATTATTGAAAAAGTAGGAATAAAAATATAAAAATGAAATTAAATAATCTGAAGAAAATAATAATTAATTGATTTAATAGAAATCATAATAAATATCATAATTATAAAAATAATTATAAGATGATACACATAAGATTAAAGAGGAAACCAATAAATAGATAAATGAAATTAAATAAGAAAATAATAAAAAAGAGAAATCACTTGAATAAAAGATTTATGAAATTACAAAGTAATATGAAGGAGAACTTAATAAAATAAGAAAGATGGAAATTATTTTAAAGAAAAAAGAAAGAGAAATTACAGAAGAAAAATAAGGAAAATAGTTTGCTGAAGAATAATTATAAATTCTAACAGATAAATGTAATAAAATGATTGAATAATATGATAATAAAATTAGAGAGATATAAATAGCAAATTAAGTAAACAAATAAGATTAACATCGACATTCAATATTTGATTAGAGAATGTCAATTTCAAGTTCAGATATTAATAAAACATTCGAAATTGAAGTCTTAAAAGCCTAAGTTGAATAATTATAATCAAAAGGAGATATAGAATTATAGGCTGAAATTAATAGATTAAATGAAAAAGAAAGAGCATTAAAGAAAGAATTAGTAGATTTATAAAATGAAATAGGTAATGAAAGACTCAACTTCACTGTAATCTAAAGATAATTAGAATAAGAGGTTGAAAGCTTACATTAAGAAATTAATAATCTTAAATCAGATCATTAAAGTGAATTAGATGAAATTAATGATTAAAATAATAGAATATTATCTTCATAAAAAAATGAATTCTAAAGTAAAATAAATAAATTAGAATAAAAATTAGAATAACAAACAAATTAATTCCATAAAAAGTAAAATGATATTGAAGAAGAAAAAGAAAATATTATTTAATAATTAAAAAGTATTATATATTCATATATCTATTATTAGTTAAAATTAAATAATTCGAAGAATAAATTATAGAGTTAAAAGATAAGAAAAACTTTAAAAATCCAATTTAATAAACAATAATTTAAGATGATACTATACAGCTTTAATAGGAAATAAATATTTTAAATGAAAAAGAACGAGTATTGAGGAAAGAGATATTAGATTTATAAAATGAATTAGGTAATTAAAAATTAAGTTAAACTATAAAAATCAGAGAATTAGAAACATTGGCTGAATAATATAAATAAGAATCTATTCATGCATAATAAGAATAAGATTATGCTGAATAATTAACAGCAAAGATGAGTATATAATATGCTGATTTGGCAATGGAATATGAAAAAGCTGTACTTCAAAATAGATCTTATCGTAAATCATTTTCTAAACTTAAATAATGAACCACATTTTTATCATTATTATTAATTATATATATACTATTGAGTTATATTTATTATATGAATTGTCATATAAGAATATATGAAAGTGATTATAAATTCACAACTGTTTTAAATCACTTTTGACAAAGGTTGTATATTATTTTTAATTTTATAATAATATGAATTCCAAAAATAAAAACAACGATAGCTCAAGTGAAGATGATGCTAAAGTTTATGAGACTCTAACAAAACTTCCTCCAGCAAATGAAATTATGCCACGTAAATTGACCATCGATATTGATGTTAAATCTCTATTTCCCTTAAAGTGAGAATTTTATTTTTCGAAAAGTCAAGACCTTTGCCTTAATTCAATCAGTTTTATTCCACATTCGTTGAAGAAATTTAGACTCCCTAACATACTGTCGAAACAATGTAATAGGAAGAGAGAACTTTGCTTGAATATTTCGAGTAGAATAAATAAAATTTGATTTACAAACGATTTGATCAACTTGATCTATCCAAAAGGAGTCCTAACGATAGAACTTATTTTTCTACATTATTTGCTAATTTCAAAAAGTTCTTATTGCATTAAAATTAATAGATAATATCCACGAGTCTATTTTAGAGGGGATCCACTTTTTGATTAAAAGCTAATACCATGTCAAACTGATTAATTGAAGTTTGATTCAAATTTTGAATCTGGAAATTTATTCTGTGCTTTCAAAAAAGCTGAAAATGTATATGATCTAATACTTTAAAATGATATTAATACTAGAGGCAATACACAATGGTTTTTTTTTAGTGTAACTGGAGCTAAAGCAGGTTAAACTGTTTAATTTAATTTGCTTAATTAAGTAAAATAAATTAATAGTACTAGCTCAAAAGCAACAGTTTATTTAATGAAGGATTGCAACCAGCAATTTATTCAATTAAAGAGAATGAAATAAATAAGAAAGAATGGAGTAGAGGTGGATTTAACATAAGTTATTTCAAGAGTTCCTTTATTAAAGAATACCCTTAAACTATGAGAGCTAAATATTACTAATTGAGATTCAGTTACACTTTTAAATATAATAATGATAAGGTATATTTTGCTCATTCATATCCATATACCTACACTAATTTATTAGAATTTTTAAATACAATTCTAGATAATCCTGAAAAGAATTAATATATGTCTAGAAAATCATTATGCACAACTTTGGGTGGTAATACATGTGAAGTATTAACAATAACATCTAATTCAATGTAACGTAGAGCCTACAGAAAGGGAGTAGTTTTTTTAGCCAGATAACATCCAGGTGAACCTTAAGGATCATATGTGATGTAAGGGATTATTGAATATCTAACATCAAATAATCCATAAGCAGATTATTTGAGATAGAATTGCATCTTTAAAATATTTCCTATGATGAATAGTGATGGAGTTGTAAATGGAAATTATAGATGTGGTTTGGAAGGAAGTGATTTTAATAGAAGATGGAAAAAACCAAATAAATATTTACATCCAACTGTTTATTATGCCAAAAAATATATTAAAGGATTTAGTAAGGAAAGGTAAATCATTTTAGTAATTGATTTACATGGACATTCAAGAAAGCAATCATCATTTGTATATGGATGTGCTTACTCATCTTAAGTTAAGACAATTGAGAGGGTTTTTGCTTTATTAATGGCTAAAATGAATCCTTTTATGGATTATTCATCATGTACATTTAGAGTTGAAAACTCAAAAGATAAGACTGCTAGAATTCAAATTTGGAGAGAATTAAAAATTAATTGGGTATATACTTATGAATGTAGTTTCTATGGTTAATAGAAGAAGCATTTCTAAATAAAAGACTATATTAATTGTGGGGTAAGTATCTGTAATTCATTATCTTAAATTGTTAAAGATACTTCTAAAGAATTCACAAATTAAGCCAATATTCCAGATATTTAATAATAAATCCTTGAAGAATTAGGTAAGATGCCTTAAACAGATGATTAAGATTAAGGATCTGATACTAGTTAATCTGAAGCAGAATTATCTGATGATGAAATTGTATAATTATTCTAACCTAAAACTTATTCCTTAAAATAGAAGAATTTTCTAAAATAATTAGATACTAAAAAGAAATAAATAACTACCAAATAAACTTTAATTACTCAAAAAAATAGTATATTATAAGAATCACCTTCAAAAAATTAACAATAATAACAGGATAATAAACTTCCTTAAAGTAGTTTAAAACCAAAGAATGTTGCCTATAGAATTCCACCACAAGTAAAATTACGATAAATTGAGCCCATTAAAGAATAATAATAATAACCAATTATGGTTGATAAGAGCTGTTAAACAGATGATTGGATGTATAGATAATGGCTGATTTAAATTGGAAAATAGAAGAAATAGGAGGAATATTTAAGTTAAACCCCTACTAGAAATATTTATAAATCCTCATCATAATCAGCTACAAGGTTTATTGTTAAAAATACATCAAAGCCTGATAGAGGTCGAATTGATTCTATATCCTTAGTTAATTCAGGAATATAAAAAAGTAATAAAAATCACTCAATATATAGCATCATTTAGTTAATAAAGATAGATAATGAGATATTCAGGAAGCAATTTTATGTATTGATTTATGTTCATTTTTGTTTGTAAGATTATTTCATTCTTAATTATACATTTCTATTAAAAAATATATATCTATATATATACTAAATGATTTTATATATCCCAATTTAATCTAAAGTCATTAATTATAATAATATAATTTTGAATATAATAAAGAGTATTGTATCCAATAATAGTATTATTAATTCTAAACATATTATTATTAGAATATTTGAATACAATCAATAATAGCTTTTTCATAAACCGATTAAAATTATGAATGAAAATCAATTATTTAGTATTTCTCTTCTTATAAAATAATTATACATTTGTTTTCTTCTTATAGATAAAATCTTTTCATTTTCTATTTAATCTTAATGTGTTTAAATTCAAGAAGAAATCCTACTTTACAAAGTGGACTTTTTTTTTAAGTTTTCCCTTAATTTATTATATATCTCTAAATTTATTAATGATATTAAGTCTTAAAGTTTAGAATTACTTTGGTATGAATAAATATAAAATCTCCTAATGGAATAGTATTATTTATAAATCTATTTTGGTTTGGCCATTATTATTAATTTCTATAATTATTTTAATATTACGAATTAATTTTGACAGATTATTAACTTTAAATTGATCTTTTACATATATATACACTTTATAAAACTAAAATTTTCATAAGTATTAGTTAAAATATAATTATTGGAAAAGATAGAATTGATAATTCTTTTATTCAATTGTTTGTAATTCATTTTTTGAATTTTGTTTTTTTTAATACAATTATATAATGTTTAGGTTTCTTTATTATATTTGTATTCAATTAGTTAAAACTTTATCTAATTAAGTAAAGGAGATAAGGAAAAATATATAATAAGTATTTATTATTTTTTCATATAAAAAAGGTCAATTCAATTTGTTTCTGAAGGTCTTATGGTTTGATTTCTTACTGAGTTTATGAATTTTGGCTAATAAAAACTAGGTAGTATGATTTTAGGTGTCATTGGTGAATCTAAACCATCATTCTTATCCCAAATCTCATAACAAGTTGATTTAATAGATCCATCAAGATTTTTTTAACTTAGTTGAATTGATCTTAATGATTTTCTCTCAATAGCCTATTGCATAAATTTGTTGTTTAGGATATTGAAAGAACTCATATACTTTATAACAATTATTAAAAAAATTATGGTTATTTGGATTGAAATAAAATCTGAAGTAGCATAAATTACACAAATATCATATATATTCAAATGCTGTCTTAATTAAACAAGTTATTAGACATTTAAGGAATATTTTATATTTTTAAACTTTGAATAAAGAAATGATTTTATTAAAATGTCCGTCCAAGAATTTCTGTTGACTTTTTAAACTATAAAGTGAAGTTTAATTTTTGAAAAGAATATTAGAGAAAATGAATTACTTATCAATATATAATACATTATATGTACAATTTGTAATGTCAATATTTTATTTCTAAATAATCATTTTCATAAAATTTAGAAATCTTTAAAAATTTCTAAGATTTCATCATAATTATGTTATTATAGCAAATAGATATACATTAAAGAATCATTAAAAAGACTTTCTCTAATATTTCTCATTTAACCTAATAATTAGATCCATATTTATAGATTTTGGAATAGAAATGCTGTTAGAATTTTCTTAATCGTTTCTTAAATTTGAATAGGATGTATCGAGATCTGCTTAAGATTCAGAGTTTTTTTAATAAACAAGATTTTCAATTTATAACTTTTCGTTAATAGAATTTGGTTAGTCCCTTTTGTTTTTTAGCTTTTAAGAAGCTTTTTTATGGAACCTATTGTTTTATAGTCCAAAAGCATTCATAATGATTAAAATTTTTATTAAGATTAATTATAATGAACAATTAATCAAAAAATTTGTTAAATAAACTTGATATATTATTGGAATTAAATAAGAATATAAAATATGATTTTGATATATACTGTAATATAATAAGCTAAAATTGAATAATAAATATATTGTCTCTTAAATTAGATTTGATAATTTTTGTATTAATATGATATCAATTTCATTTATGAAAATTGTTATATCAATATTGAAATTAAAAAATTGAATTTAATAATTTAAATGAATAGAATATTTGTATTTATTATTAATAGATATATCATTTAATAAAAGTAATTTTAAACTAACAATATATTATATAAACATAAATAAGTAATCAAATAATCAACATTAACAAAGTTAAAATAGACTTTTCTTTTTTATTGATACAATTGAATTAGATAAGACAGGATTTGCATTACGATTTTCCTTTTATTATTTTTCTTCTAATTCTTTCTTTTTAAGCCACAGTTTAACTACATAATTAACTGCACTTTCTATGTTTCGGTTCTCTAAAGCGGATGATTCAAAGAACTCAAGTCCTTATGATGAAGCTAATTCTTTTCCTTCATCAAAATCAACTTCTCTTTTATAATTTAAATCACTTTTATTTCCTATTAGAACTTTAATTGTATCAGGTGATGAATTCTGTTCTACTTCATTAATCCAATATTCTATTCTCTTAAATGATTCTCTATCAGTAATATCATAGACAAAAAAAATAGCATGAGCTCCTCTATAATAATTTCTGCTTATCGTTCTAAATCTCTCTTATCCTGCAGTGTCCCAGAATTATAATTTAACATTTTTCCCTTATTGTTCAATTATTTTTGTTTTGAAGTCTATACCAATAGTTGGAAGTAAATTTTATTAAAATTCTTAATCTGTATATCTCAATAGGAGTGAACTTTTTCCAATTCCAGTATCACCCACCAATATTATTCTTAATAAATAGTCAAACTCGAAATATGTTTCTGACATCTTTTTACTTTTAGGTATTTTATTATGAAAATTATAATTATTCTGAAATTCATGTTTTGAGAGTATTTCTCCCAGAAATAAACAGTATATATATTATTTTAAATAATAATTAAATTTTATTATTTTTTAAACCTAATTCATTTATAATAACAAATAAAAATTATATTTAAATATTTAGTAATAATATGTATAAAAAGCTTTATAAATTTTGTATAAATTAATTTCAATATATCTAATTTGAAGGAAAATAAGCACTTAAATTTCTCTATCTTTAAAATTAACTATTTTATCTTTTAGTTTGATTACTATCAAGATATTTTCTAAGTTATAATCGTGATTTACTGTTATTTAAGTCTATTGTGATCAACAAATATTCCAGGAACTATTCCAACATTTAATGCTTCATTATTGTAATAATTTTAATTAATTTTCATTTCCACAGTACTCATAGATTAATCTCTTTTTTTCTTTGTTTATTATTCTTCAATCTACATTATCAAATCTTATCGATACTATTTTTACTTCTCTAACTTCCTTTACAAATCATCCTAATCTTTTCTCTTATAATGTTCATTTACAACTCCAAAATACTCTAATTCTTATGATTTCTATTGCTATTCTCTTTCTTTCCATTCTCGTTTGTACTCAATTTATTACATAATAGAATTATAGGTTTCTTTATTCTTTTTTTATCTTATAGCTCTCTCTATAATTAATCTTTATTCATCCTATTGTCTCTTTTATTCAGCAGCTTCCTTTATTATTTTATTGTCTATTTCGTATTTCTCTCTTTCTTTTTATTAGTAAATTTAATTATATTTCTCTAATAATCCTTCATTTTGATGATAATTATGTTTTAACTTATTCAAAAACTAGTATAAAAAATAGATAATACATTTCGTCTTTACTCTTCATCTTATTGTAATTTATTAACTTCTTCTTACATACTCTGTTTCTCAAATAACTTAATTTTATTTTATTCAATTCTTTTCTTATCTTCCATATCTTTATATGATTAATTTAACTCATAAATAATTTAATTTTTTTTATATTATTTCTCTATAAGTTCTTCCTTAAAATTTTATTAATTTTTAATCATTTATTCGTTAATCTATTATTTCTCATTTTAATTATATTGTTTCTATAATATTTTCTTTATTTCTTATTATTCCAAACTATATTTTGCAAATTCTGCTTCCTTTTATTTCAATTAATTCAATTTCTGAATTTATTCAAAATCTTGCCTTTATAAACTTTATTGTATTTAATCAGCATATTAAAAATTATCCAAACTATCTGAATTCTTTTTATTTCTTTCTTACATTGCAGTTTGTAATTCCTATCTTTAAATACATTCTATATTATTTTACCTGTATTGTAATTTACGTTGATAATTTTCATATTTTAGTACTTGTTATTGCTGATCTGATTGAGAATTTTACTACTAAATTAATCTGCTCCATTCTCCAGTTGGATCTATCAAATTTTAATATATATTATTACTATTACTGCTATATTTATTCATTAAATAAAATTATATTGTCAAAATTTGACTTATTAATTATAAGATCATGAATGTTCAATCTGAATATGAATTTATTCACTAATAAGATTTTTTAAAAATGAATTATAATCTCATTCAGAAGTCTTAAAATATTCACTAAAACTTGAATGTTTTCGTATAGACATTGTGAGTTCATAAGTTTAAATTTTAGATTCTAAAATTCTATATTCCTCACAAACCTTTTAATGAGAATCAAAAAGCAAGTTATATTGCTCTCCAAATTCAAGTATTTTCATTTATTATTCTTAAACCAATTATTTAAGTTGTTCATTTTCATAAACCAATTTCTAATTCATAAGGGCTTCACTCTTCAATTCACAATTTTCATTTAGCAATATTAACATTCTTTTCTCTAGTTATAAAATTTCAGGATAATTATTATTTACATTCCTACATTAACTTTGCTCTAATTTATTGATTTCTATTTAGCTAATATAACATATCTACTTTATTCTAGTTCACTTATATAATCATATAGGTTTGTACTATCTTTTTTCTTTGCTACAGTGTTAGATTGGTAATTTTTGAATTAATTTTCATTTTTTTAAAAGGGACTACATTTAACTCCTGAGTTTGTTTATACTTTTACTAATCTCTCTGGAGTAGCAAAATTACATTATGAAGTTCTAACAGTATGGAAAGATTAACAAGGCGATCTGTAAGCTTTCATAACTATTTATTAAAATTATTCAAATTCCAATTAAGCAACCGATTATTATAAAATAAAACTTAGATATATTATTGATATTTGCTTTAAGAATTTGAATAAAAATGAGAAGAAATTATTTGATTCTCATATTATTTGAATGTTTAGAAGGCTGAAGGAGTTTTAAAAAGCATTAAAAAAAAAACAAATAAAAATTAATACAATTACATAACATCCTTCAGAGGAAAATGAAGATGTAACGCCAAATAAAGACAAGTTTAAGAAACATTTTATAAAAATAAGTTAGAAGTAAAGATATTTTAACAAAATAACATGAGATGTTAAATCATCACTTCAATTAGTTTAGAAGAGATTTGTTATTTATGACTTTAGCAACTAGAGCCCAAGCATTTTGGAGGAACTCTTCAGTTTTTGCTATTTCTTCTCCTAACTTTCTTAATTCTTCCCTCTTCTTCTGCTCTTCTTAATTCTTCTTTCGGAACATTTATTTCCAAGAGCAGGGTTTCTTTGTGATTGATTTGGATGCAGATGCTAGACTTTTCTCTTCACTCATTATTTTTAATTTTTTAACTAATTTAGACTCTATGTTAGTTAACTATTTAAAACGGATATAGCAAAAACGATCTCTTTAATATAAATAGTTCTCCTATGATTGAGAGATATATATATTATATTTTATGTGATTTATACTCATAATTCTAGAATAATGTTGGATCCAGAATCATCTTGATGTATAAATATTTGATTAGATTTGGAAGATGAGTACTACTATTAATTAATTAGTTCAATGAAATTATATTATTTATGTATTATATATATATATTTATATAATTATATTATTACTTAATATGAAAAAGTTTAGAGAATTAAAAAAGACCGGGGATGGAACATTTGGAGTTGTGATTAAGGCTGAAAATATGCAAAGTCATGATTTGGTAGCCATAAAAAAGATGAAACAAAAGTATCATAATTTTGAAGAATGTACTAACTTAAGAGAAGTTAAGGCTTTAATGAAACTTTAAAATCATCCAAATATTGTCAAACTTAAAGAATGTATGAATTGAATCAAATTAGTATTTTTGGACAACGACACTCTATGTCTGGTCTTTGAATTTGTAGACAAAAGCATTTATCAAATGTACATACAGCAAAAAGAAATGGTAACCAAATATAAGATGGAGCTTAGGGTAAAACAATTCCAGAAGACCAAATCAAATCACTTATTTACCAAGTTGCCAATGGACTAAGTTACATGCATAAACATGGTTATTTTCATCGAGATTTGAAGCCAGAAAATCTATTAGTGTCTAACAATGGTGTTGTTAAGATTATTGATCTTGGATGTGCAAGAGAGATTAGATCAAGACCACCATATACTGATTATATTGCTACTAGATGGTATAGGGTATATTCTCTTTATTAATTCAATTCAAGGCACCAGAAATATTATTAAAATAAGCCAATTACAATAGTCCAGTTGATATATTTGCTCTCGGTTGTATTATGGCTGAATTATTTTTAAATAGACCTCTATTTCAAGGTAATTCTGAATTAGAATAATTTAATAAGATTCTTTCCACTCTTGGGTAATTTGATAAAATATCTTAATTATTTTAGTACTTTCACTTAATTAGAATGGCCTGAAGGAAGTAGATTAGTCTCTCAAATGGGATTGGCATTGGCGTAATTTTAACCTCTTTAATTATAACAATTGATACCTAATGCTAGTACAGAGGCCTTAAATTTATTAACATAAATGATTAGATGGGATCCTAATAAAAGAATCACAGCTACTCAAATGTTAACTCATCCATTTTTCTATAATATTGAGAAGATTGCACCTCCTATCATTTTTGAAGAATAAATCAAATCTAAAGATGAATTAAAATTTCCAGAGATGGAGAAAAAATCTAAATCATATAGTCAAAAAGAAGAACCTTAGAATCAATTCAAACAAAAATAATTTGCATAATAATAACCATTAGAAGATGATAGTAATGATCTGGATGATATTTTGGATTTTATTACAACTGAAAATAAACCACTTCCTTCCAAATAATCTACTTAGTCTTCTAAAAGTTTAGAATATGGTGAATATGTTCCATCTATTCCTTAAAATAGACAACCAAGGAATTTATAATCAAGTCAATTATAAGAATAATAAAAGAAGGATAATAATAATTCGATATATGATTTTAGCCATTTACAAAGTTTCAAACCTGCAAAAATGCCTAATACAAATTCTAAATATTGATCAGTTATTCTAGATTTTTTTGCTTAAATTATTTAATGTTTCAATAAATAAAAATTAATAACAATTATCATTCATTTATAATTCTAAATTTTTTTTGTATTAACAATTTCTCCATCTTTAGAAAACAATATCAATAAAAATTATTTATTTACTTCTGAAGATAATCTTATTTTTCTATACAATTAAAACCATTAACAATCAATACAATAATCAACTAAATATAATGAATGTTTATGCTCCAAATCTTATTTATCATAAAATACTAAAGGCACTCCAAATATTCTACCTGATTCAATTATATATTGATTACAATATTTAGAATATATTTTTAATTCTAATTAATCAACATATTTATTAGAAATCAATAGTTTTGCCAATTATCCTAAAGTTATTTCTTATGTATAAATTGTAAAATTTATCAATCTTAAATATTCTTAAGAATAATTTCGTTTTTGTTTATTTAATTCTACAAATTAAAACTATTACTCCATTAAACTCTTATCTATTTATACAATCTAAGGCTTATCAAATTCCTCACTATTCATATTTATTAATTCATTATAAAAATCTGATTCTAATAAAATGATTTAGTCTTCTGGAAATTCAGTGATAAATTTATTAAAGGTCCAAACAGCATCTTAATTAAAAAAGAAAGAAAAATTAGCATAATATTTCATATTATATATATATATATATATTAATATTGTATTATATTTTGAGTTTAAAAAATAGGATTGTAGGATATATAATATTTAGTAAGTAAATTTATGATAATCAATTACTTAAAAAAAATTATTTTAAGTATCTAGAAACATTATGTTTTAAAATTGATACTTAAAAATCCTTATCTTATAATCTTTATTTCAGACTCATTTAGAAAATAGTTTCATTTGTTAAGTAGTTTAATTTATCAATAATTTATGGGTTTAGTTAGGATTTTTAATTAACATTTTCAATAAATTGTTTAATTTTACTATAATTCTATCCCAAATCAAACACAGTATTGGTTTTAGGAATTTCAAATTTTAATTCTTACTAACAAACTGAATTCTAATTACTTTTTCCTTCTTCAACTTTTATCAAATCTTCTAATTTATTTTATTACTAAATTTTTTTTAATTCCTTTAACTTTCTTTTTTCTTACTTACCTAAACTAACTCCATCCAATTTTAACTTTTATTAAATTAATTATAAGCTCATATTAATCCCTCTAGCTATGTTTTCAGGAGCTTTTTCATCAGGATTATTCTCTTAGGAAATTGTCTATTAAACATTATAACAGCCAGTTTAAAGTTCTTCCAATTATGTTAAGATTTCTTATTACAATCTTCTTTTGAGTTATTTTACTTCCTTTCTACTCAGATCTTTTTCTTCTGTATACATCTAAAATAATTTAATAAGTTTATAAACTTTTGAATGTTTAATATTAATGAATTCTTAGTTCGGTCGGCCCAAAGGGTCTATTACAATTATTTTAATGTGTGAGTCAATTTCAACTCTTTCTCTTCTGCTGGTCTTCTTTTCTCTTCTACCTTCTTACTCATACGTCTGTAAAATTGCCTTACAAGTGCAGGCCTTGGTTTTAAACATCTCAGCTACCTATAAATATTAAAAAATTCAATTACATTGCATAAGGGCAGTTTCTCAACTGTCAGAGCATGAAGTATTAGAGATCGAGTTTCTTGGGATATTTTTTGATAAGGTCTTTTTGGTTTATTCGTTTCAAATGTCGATTAAATGGACTAATTTGGGAATTGTTCAGCATGTTGTTCCATGGGAAATGAGAAATTTTAATATACTAATTATTTATTCGGAATCTTTTTTTCCAAACCATATAAATTTTTTTCTAATTTAGATTTGATGATTGCTAATAAATTATAATGTTTTATGAATTTATTTGAGAATTTAAAATTATTTATAATTTTCTTTTGAATTTATTATATTATTTTTATTAGAACACTATCCTTATATAAACTGAAACATAATAGATGAAAAAATATTTAAATATTTTTTCATTACTATTTAAAATTATCAACTTATTCGGTTAAAAAAATTGTAATTTATATATAGAATAGAACATCTTCCAATTAATTAAGTAATAAAAAAATGTTCAAACAAATATTTATAATGAAACTAATATAAAAAAATAGAAGGAAAGCATAATATTTGTTAGATAAAATGAATATTTAAAAAAGAGTTTAAAATTAAAATTTATACTCAGTTGATTCTTCCCTTGATGTAGTTGGAAGCTCCTTCTAATTTTGTAGCAAGGATTGATTCAACTTATCTAATTATACTAATTTCAGTAGTTCTTTATTCGGTATCTCTTGCATATAAAGATCTCCAATTATCACATTGAGCTTCTTTCATTTTCTTTCCATTAGTAGCAGATTCTAATTCTCTTCCTGCATCATACTTTCTCTTTTTAGCAGCAGCCAACATATGTTCAACTTATACAATCTTAGTTTCAGCCTCAGCCTTAGCAGATTAAATAGCTTCTCTCTATTCTTAAATTGAATAGATTTATGCTTCAAAATTGAGTTATGATTGAATCTCTTCTTCTCTGTCATCAATTAAAGCTTATTCTAATGAAGCTCTCAATTCACCAATTTTAGCTTAAACACTTTATAATTTTTCTGCTGAAAATGTTGAAGCCAACTAAACAAGAGCAAGAATAGGATTGTCTCCACCTACTCTTTCTAATTCGGCAAGTACAACTTCAGCATCAGCTTCAGGTTAAATGGCACTTAATTTTGCAGCAATAACATCAAGAGCTTCAACTACTTTAGGTGTTTAAATTTCTCTTTCTTAATAAGCAGCATGATCTTCAGCTCTTTATTCTCTCAATTATTCTTCTTATTGATTGAGGATATTTAATTAAATTACTTAATTATCTATTTCTTATTATAAAAGTTCAATTTCAGAAGTATATTTATTAATATCCATAGTAGCTTCAGTGATTTCATTTGAAGCAAAATCAATTCTTCTATTGTATCCATAAATTTCAGCTTCACAATCAGCCTCTTAAGCAACATGTACTAATTCAGCATCTTATTATTAAAGAACCAAGTTTTCTCTTAAATCTTGAAGCATCTTTGCAATATCAGAGAGTGGTGATTGATTTCTCATTTAGATTGCAATTGTATCAAGAATCTTTTTTCCTAAAGGATGATCTTCAAGATTTTCAAGTTAAGCAAATACTGCAGCATGAGGATCTGAAGCATGTTTAATCATAACTGCTTGTGTGAATGCGATCAAAGCTAAACAGATTACAAACTTCATTTTTAATAGTGATAATCAAGAAATTTCGTTTTTTTCTTCAAAGCAATCTGTTAGTTTACTGTTTAAGTTTTATTATTTTAATATATGGAATGGCCTTTCAATAAGAATAATTCTATAATTTTTCCAAAAGCAAATGAATTTAACATAGCCTTTATTTTGCTCAAATTATTTAATAAAACATATAATTAAAATTCTAGAAAAAAATATATACATTCAAATTAATTTACAATAAATATTATATCAAAAACAACATTCGTAATCAAAAGGACATAAATTACTATTACCTCCCTTCCCTATTTTCGATTCTTCAGTACTATATACTTTATAACCTTCCTATGTATACTGTATTTTTGCTTTATTATTCGTTAAAATTTTTAGATTTTTTTGTATTTTTCTAATGGTTTTACTATTGTTAAGATTTTCTGATTTTTTCTATTGTTCCTTATTTTTTAAGTCATTTTAGATTTAATCAGATTTATTCATTGTCTAATTACCTTGTTTTTTTTATTGATTTAAAAATTTCATTAATGTCCTTATTGGAAATTGAGTTTTGTTCTTATTTTTTTACCCATAAAATAATATTAATTAATTATAATTGGGGAATATTGTATGTTTATATTATACAATTAATATGATTAAGCTCATCATTCTGTTTAAGCAGCTCCCTTTTGAACTGAGAAATATTTAACTTTGATATCTTATTCCTCTTAGACAGCAGCTTTAGTAGCATCGTTTAAGGAAGCAGCAACTTTGTTGTAAGCAGCTCTTGAAGCCTTCTTGAGTGCCTTATTCTAAAGGAAATATAATAATTAATAAATACCTTCTTAATTTTCTTTGTTCCCTTGGTATTGGCTTTGATAGCAGCAACGGCAGCAGCTCTTTGTTTTTTAGCATATGGGTTCAATCTGTCCATAGCCTTGGAGTTTTTCAATGGGTTTTTCTTTTAAACTTCATGAAGAACTTTGGTTGTCTTGGCTGGTTAGACCTTTTCTTAGACTTAGTTAGAATTGATGATTCTAGCCAAATCTGGATTGGTGATGAGTGGTCTCAACAATTGATATCCATCCTTGATAATTGATGTATATCTGTATGTTCCAAATAATTTATCGAGGTGAGCAAAGGCGCTTTAAGTCCAAATGACGAATCTTCCCAATTAACCTCCTGGGGCAAGTTAGAGGAGATTTAATCTTGTGACATTGACGACTTCAACTCCTGGAACATCTAATTAATTTATTAATATATATGATTACTTCTGAAAGCTTTCAATAATTTAGCATTCTCATTGAAGTAGACAACCAATGGTCCCTTTCTAACTCTGTATTTCTTTCCTCTTTATTTGCTGATTCCAGCTCTGACAACTTTAGTGGAAACAACTTTTTAAACATCTTCAAAAGCACCGAATCTCTTCAAGAAATTGAGAGCATCAGTAGTCTTTTCATATGATTCAATCTTGTCTTCAACAACAAGTGGAATTTAAGGGACTTAACTGATTCTATGTCCTCTAGCCAAAACTAATGGAACAATTCCTGTAGCGGCAACAGCTGTAGCAGCTGCATGTCTCTTTTATTTGATGTTGACTCTTCTATGCCATCTTCTCCATACTTTGATTGGTAAACTCATTCTTCCCTTTCTACATTAGTTACCAAAGGCAGCTTGACCAGATCTATGTGTTCCTGATCCAGATACTCTTGGAATACGAGCTACGGCTCTACCAGTACCCCAGGATTCAGCACTGTGTTACATACCAGCTTATGGGTTGACAGCATGAGCTATAATAGAGGTTTATGATAAGTCAAATACCTTGTCTTCTGTTCTTAGCAATGTTAGTATGAACGAATGAGACGATATCTGGTCTAATTGGTGTTTAGAACACAGCTGGGAGTGGGATGTGTTTAGCTGTGACCTTAGATGAGTCATCGGCTGAAAAAACTGATACTAAAGGAACGGATGTCATTTCTTAAGATATTTTTTTAAATAAAAAATTTTGGTTTTTAAATTCTTGCCATTAATTAATATATGATAAATGACTAATGTATATATATTTCATATAATCATTTACTTTAACATAATACAATGATTGAAATTCAATAAATCTTTTGAATAATCACATTCCTAATGTAAAATATATTGTTATTAGAAATATAATTAAACAAGAATTCAAATATTTAAAAAAGAATTTCTATTAATTCTCACAATCAAACTCAATATCTTACAATAAAAAATAAATAAGATTAAACAATAAAGTATTTTATGATTAAATTCATCCAATATTATTTTTTGATTATATTTCATTTATTAAAAATGAATATCATAATTAATCATTATATTGGCTGCATGGCCCTGTAGGAAGTTTAAAAAACTCTTTCTCCATCTTCTTCAAAATGGTGCATTCTCAAATCTTTCTATAATTATGGGTCTAACTTATTTGGAGGACCTTATTTAGTGCCATATTATGAATTATGAGTATTATATGTGCCTAACTAACTGCCATAAACAAAATGTTATCTTCTTAAGTCTTTGAGTTATTCTTCACTTAAAGTGTTAGGATGTGGAGTAATTTGACTAATTTTTTAAGGATATTCTATAGGATCAGTTCCTAATTAAAAATGATGTTATCTTAAATCTCTAATTTAATTTTTATCTAATTTGAACTAATCAACCTTTTCTGGTATTTAATAACTAAAATATTAATTTATATTACTTTCTATTGTTTTCAGTATTATAATCTACTTATTCATCTCCAAATTTAACAGCTGAGATTCTAGGATCTTTAGCTAGTTCAGGTTTTTAAGTATTTGGATTTGGATAGTTAGTATTATAACTTGTTTGATAATATCGATCATTCAAAAATCCATGTGTACCTATAGTCAATGAGCAAGTTGGTAAGTTTGGTTAAGATACAGCAATAGCTGTTTTTTAAAACATAGATTATTTTGTTGTTTATGGCATATCTGATTTTTGATAAGCAAAATCAAAATGTGCTGTTCTTAAATCTAATAAGACATCTTTATTAACTCTAATGACTTCTTTATTCTATTATCCTTAGAAAGCATCTTTATTTTGTGAAGTTTTGACTGAAGGATCTTCACCTAAGACAAGATGAGACTCTTTTAGAAATTTTTCTAGATTTCCTTTATCATTTGTTTTTGAATTCTATTACCCATCATGATATCGAGTGTAATGAGTAGTATAATCTATTGGATTCTAAAATCATTAATAAATGATACATTTCCAATTTATATATTAGTCTTACGAATATCAGGGGCATGATATTCTTCTTTTTCAACTTTATATTCTTTATTTGTATCTTGATATGTAGTTGTAAAGTATGTTTTCAGATCTCCAAAATCATGATGATGTTTACGAATATTTACTTATTGTTTTTTTTGAATATCTAATGGTTAATTCTTATATTATGAATATTCAGTCTCACTTGGAACACTGTGAAATCCCAATTTAAAATGATGATTACGTAAATCTTTTTAAGTTTCTTCAGACAGTTGTGCTTTTTATGATTCTTTAGGATTAAATGATAATTTTGCAATAGATTAATAATTAACATTATCCTCTCCTAATTCAAAATGAGCTTTTCGAGGATTTGCGATATATGCTTCAAAATGTTTTGCTTCTTCAGTTGCTGGTAATTCCTTATCTGGTTTTTTTGCAATATAATCATCTAAGTAGTTTGTACTACCAGAAGCTAAAATGAAAGGTAATTGATTATACATTTATCAAAGCCAACTGAAAAATGAGCCATACGAAAATCATTCATTAATTTTTTTGTGTCGCTACTCATTAATATTAGACAATAATTATTATATATTAAATTTATATTTGTTGTTTTATATTGTCTCATTAAGTTTGTCCAACAAGTGCTTCAGCAGCTTAAGGTACATTATCTACTGAAACTTATTATTCTTAACTTTATGTTTCATTTTATTAAATTTAAGGGGTTTCAGATAATTATTAATCTTATTATTATTATTATTATTCTTATTATTAAGCATCAACTTCTACTTATTATTATTATTCTTATACTTACTCTGTTTATTACACTTATTATTCTTATACTTAATCAATATTCACTTATTGTTCTTCTTAAACTTATGGTACTTCAATTTATTCTTATGTTTCTTAGATCACTTATGGTTATGGTGCAGTAGTTATATCACCTTTATTATTAAAAATAAATATATAATACTACTTGATGTATTATCTGATCCAGTCAATGATTATGATGGTTTTGCAATGAATACATCTTTTTATGTATCAGCCATAACAAGTGGTTCTGTTAAACATTTTTCACTTGTCAAAAAAGCCAATTATTCATTTTTAATAGAATCTAATGTTGTGAATTATTATCTAAATTATTAAAGATAATGTTACCCAATTGGAACATATATGGAGAAGACTGGAATTTAGAAGTTCATAGCATCTTCAGCTTTACATACTTTTCCAGATGTGCCTTTGAAATCGCATGAAGAGTAAAGTACAACACAATCTCCAGTGGCTGGTAAATCTTTTTCATATTAAGCAGCCAAAAAGACTTAAGATTAATCAGCACTATTTAAGGATGATTAATTTTCATCTTCATAATTGAATCCAGATTCATATTGTTTGGCAGGTTCTGAGTTTCTTGCTAATTCCTCCTCTGTAAACAATGAAGATTATTGGGCAAAGATTGTGATTTGCATGTATGGTTTTTCCTCATCTTCCAATAATACAGCTGGTTCGTCTAAAAACTTGACTGCCTTGATAGCAACAATGAGCAATAAAATGTGAGATGCACGCATATTTATATATATATAATATTAAAAACGAATTACATAATTTATAATAATTCAATTAGAACCATTTTCTTTTTATCATATAATTATTATATATATAAATATAAATAAATATCTAACAATAGAAAAGATAATCTTTAATTGCAAAAATCCTTACTCCATAATCTTTACATACCTTAAATACAAAATTAATTGTTTTTCCACTTAATTATATAATAAGATCATAAAAATAATTGTATTAATTATATGTCCAGAAAAGTACAATTTTTAAAGAGTTTATTTTAATGTGCAATTTCAGATTGACATTAACTATTAAAAAATAAATTGATTCTTTAATTTAGACAATCTTGATTACAATCATTATTCAATTTTTGGATTACTCATTTTTTAATATACTCTCACTTTCAAAGTCTATTAATTAGAATAAATAAATCTATAGACATTAAAAATTTAATATTTAAACTTAAAATTACAATTGATATTCATTTATCATTTCTTCTACTACTCCAAACCTTATTTGATACGAGGTACCAATTCCTCTATTATTAAATGATAAAAATTTCATACCTCTAACTTATCTAGCCTTCTCTCTTATTTATTACATATTCTTGCTCTTAGCATTTGCTCTAATCTTCTTGAACATAGGTGCATATTTAAACACATCTGGAATCACAACAAATCTAATCTAACTGCCTCTCAAATAAACTTATTCTAATGACATAGGTCTTCCATCTCTAGTAACCATCTATACCTCATCTAATCTGACATTCATTGTATCCTATTAATCATATTTAAAGTTACTTCTGCTTCTGCCATATATCCAGTGAACATCTCACCTGTTTTAAGTTCAACTGTTACTATATGATGAACTGCTTCATGCATAATTTTAAGAGGGACACCTAAAGACATTTTAATTATAAAATATTTAATATTAGTATAAATATACTTATATATATATATAAATAAATAAATAAAAGATTTTAAAGAAATGGACAATAAGAAACCACTATACGAGAGATTTGGAGGTGATCAACAAGTGTCTGAATTGATCGATTAATTCTATTATAAAGTCTTATTTGATAAGTTGTTAAGAGACAAGTTTTTGAAAGCTGATATGAGTCGTGTTAGATATCAATAGAAGAGATTCTTTTCTTAAATGATGGGTGATAAGAATACTTAATACACTGGCAGGTATGTATAATCTTAGAAATCATTAGAGATCTAGTTGAAGTTCATAAAGACTTAAATATTACAAATTAGCAATTTGATAAATTTAAAGTTCATCTCAAAAATATCGCTCAGGATATGGAAGTAAGTGGAGCTGATTTAGAAGAATTACTCGATCACGTTGAAAAACATAGAGATTAAATAGTATTTAGTAAAGCAGCATGATTTAAACATAACAAGTATAAGTATAAATAAGCCAATTCATAATTCTACTTTATATATATATATTCATTAATTAGTGTCTAAGTTTTGAAGGTTTTACCTAAATTGAATTGAATTTTTGTAATCTATCTTTCAAGTTAACACTCCTGAACTCCTTTTCTACTCTATCTTCAATTGATATACTAGATGGAACCTGATATAGAATACTAAAAAATAACAATTCTTAGTATACCTATGAGTAATATCAAACGAATTTTCAATTATTGTTCAAAATACTTTCCTTTTATAATATTTTAATGGAACTTTGCCTTTTGTTTAGTACCGATCTTAATAAACCAATTATGTTGTATAGCCTATTAAGCAGATGATCTCTAATCAGGATCAGAAATCAGAAGACCCTTCAACAAATTTATCCCTGAAGATGACACATTCCTACATAGTTACTTCCTTCTTTAACTAATAATACAATACTAAATTTAATAATTAATAAGAGCTGACTCATTCTTCTATAGTATCTCTTCTTATGTAGATCCACTAAAAGGGAGTTTGTTCAAAACATAGCACATAAAACAAACAACCGAAACTGAATATATCTGCTTTCGGAGTGTACAGTTTTGTTTTAAAGATCTCCGGTGCAATAAATCCTGGTGTTCCACATTTCTTGTATTGGGTTTAAGAAATTTAGGTTTCTGAATAGCAGAAATTAGTCAATAAGACAGAAGGCAATTGACTCTAAATTAGAATACTATCTAGTTTGATATCTCTATGAAACACTCCTCTGGAATGCATATGAGAAATTGCCGTTAGAAGATTGAACATAATTTAAGCAACTAATCTCTCTTCAAAATTTTAAGAATTCTCTTTTATTCAATTTCTCATATCTAAACCCTGATAATGATTGTAAACAATATAAATATTTGAATCATCTTTATAAAGTTCATTAAAAATATTATCAAAGGATAACTATGTTATTAAAATAATTCTTCAATTTACGAAGGTTACTTATTGCTTTACTTAAACATTACAATTAATAATTTGTTATGATTGTTTTATCAATCAATTTAACTAATTTATAATTATTACTATGAATGCAATTATAATAGCATTATCCAAATAAAGGATCTGTCATTTTAGATCTGTTAAGTACTTTAAATTTTTGTTTAAATTTATCCAAAAAAAAATATCTTTTGAATAATAGAAACCATTTTCTAAATTCCTTTTCTGAATCTAAAAGAAATGTCTCCTATTAATATCTTTATTGTAGTGTAATGCCATATTTATGATTTGGTAGAACTTATTCATAAAATGTAAATTTTTTCAATATACACTTGTATAAAGAACAATAAATATGTTGATTTGATGAAATTCTTTTATATAATCTCTCTGGACATATTTCCAAATAGACAGGGATAAATTTGTTATATTATTTCATTAATACATTCCCTGGATAAAGCACAATTGAATTGTAATTTGTTATTATAATGGAAGAGGTGGAGGGTGATTATCTTATTTCCACATTACTGGGTCTTCATTTTAATGAAAAATAGTTCTTCTAAATTATAACATTATTTATATAATATTTTTATATTTGTATATTGATGATCAACTTCAACCTTTTTTGTTTTCCAAATTCTCGAATTTTACCCATGAAGATCCAGATTCAATACTTTCTAACTAAAATGCAGATATTTAGACATAGTTTACTTCATCTGCTATATCTTCTTCTGTATGTCCACTACGTAATACTGATGTCCAAAAGTTTAACCACTCTTCTTCAGATATTGTACCACTATTATCAGTATCTACTGACTTAAACAATTCTTCTGTATTCAATTTTGCAAAATTACTCTTCCTTCATTACCATTGACATTTATATATATACCAATATTTTATTGTTTCTGACTTCTCAATTGACTTTGATCCATCTACATCGAATCTTGCAAATAACTTTAATACTCTCTCTCTCATTTATGGAGATAACTGAATCATTTACAATTTTATACTTCTTTGCCTTAAGTTGGACCCATTCCTTATATTTTTTATAAATTTATTAATGAGTGACTAGGATTCTGGTTTTCATTTTCCAAAGCCAGTTCAAAATCAAATAGAAATCGCTAATAGAACATATAGTGAAATCCTAATGGAACAGATTGTAAACGATGATGACTTCTTATATCAATCCATGATAGATGATGATCAATATTCTAGAGCCAAAGTAATTCCTACAATGGCTAATTAAACTATTATATGCAGAAATACAATAGAAATGAAGAGATAATAACCAAATATATTTTAAAGATGTTTTGGAGGAAAGAAATCTTAAAATAAGGTTACAATGGCCTAGATCATTGATCTTAGATAAAAAGAATTATTTAATGATTATGTATATGAGACTGAAAAAGAGGGATTTCTAAAAGATGTCTAAAAGTACATTCATAAAGTCAAAGTTCTTGAACCAGATTCTTAATTTTATATATTTTGGTAGGTATTAAATAGTGTGTTAGTAATCATATTCTTCTTTTAAATACCTTTTGTTTTTGCATATCAACCTCTTATACTAGAGAATAAATCAATTGACTATTAAAACTATTAGATTTTTGAAACATATACATTAAATTTAGGATTAGTAATATTTATTATTGATATTGCTCTTACTTTTAATATTGCTTATTACAAATAAGGATATTTAGTTAGTGGTAGAAAACAAATTGCATTAAACTATTTAAGAACTTATCTTATCTTAGATTTGATACCATTATGTTGTTTAATTGAATATCGTACATTTCTTCATTATAATAGATATTTTGGATTTGAAATATTTTTATTCATTCTTAAAATTTACGAAGTCTTTAAAACTAGTAAAATGATATAAGAATATCTATAATTAGAACCTTCAAAATTAGCAAAATATAGATTTTTAGTTGTTATGTTGACTATTACATGGTTATGTCATTTATTTGCTTGTGTATTTTTTTTTATTGGAAGAAGGGAATTAAAAAAAGGATATGACAGTGCATCTTGGTTAAGTGAAAGTGATTTAATAACAATGCATGGTGGATATACTACATTATAACAACACATATTTGAATTACATTTATATTCATTTTATTGGGCAGTTACTACTATGATATCAGTTGGATATGGAGATGTGACTCCAAAAAATGCTTGGGAAGTTGTTGTTACTGTAGTGACATAATTTATCTCTTGTATTGTTTTTGCTTATTCTGTTAATGCAATTTGGGAAATGATTAATTAATAGAATGAAAATAAATAGAAATTTCAGTATTTCTTAAAACATTATTTATTCTAGAAAATATGTTAATGCAATTGAAAGATTCATGAGAGAACACAATGTAGATAGAAAATTAAAAGCTAGAATTGAAGCCTACTTATATCATCTATGGGAAACAGAAAAAGCAAGAGATCATGAATTAGAATAAGCCATGATATTAAAATTAGCTCCTGCTCTTAAAGAAGAATTAATTTATTAAACTTTAGGCAAAATGTTCAATCATAATCAATTCTTTAGTTAATTTTAATAAGATCTATTAATTGAATTAGCATAAGATATTTAATAATAATATTATTCTTAAGAAGAAGTGATATTTCAAGAGAGAGAAGAAATAGATGATTTTCCAGTCTTCTTTTTAACAAAGGGTTCTGTAGAAATATATTTAGATAGTGAAAAGAGAATAAAATTACATATTATGAAATAAGGAATATTTGGAATAGTTGCATTTATTACTGGTTATAAAAGAACAGCTTCTGCTCGTTGTTTAACATATTCAGTTATATATAAATTATCTAGAATTTAATTTTTAAAAAGATTAGAGAAATATTCAATAGATAAATAGAAATTCTTTGAAATCCGACATCAAGTTCTATTTAATAATAATTATGTTAAATATTAATTAAAATGTTATATTTGTGAAAGTAAAAAACATTTAGCTATTAATTGTAAAAAGACTTTGTATATACCTGAAAAAATTTCAATTATTTTAGAGACTTACAATTTTAAGAATCCTAGAAATCCAACATATTAAAGAAGAGTAGTTAAATAATAGTTTAAAGCTCTATCTCATATAAAGGAAGTTTAATTTAATGCTGTTGCTATTAAAAAGTACTTCTAAAATATCACATTTACTTAAAATTCAAGTGATGAAGATATAGAATATAGTTCAGATGTAGATGATTATGAAGAGGAAATGGAAGATATTAAAAAGATAGTTGAATAAGAGAAAGAAAAAGCATAATTAAGAAAAAGAGGATAATGGATAGCTGATGATGATTATGAAATGAAGATTGATGAATGTAAAGATCATCATAGTGTAGAATTATCTGATGGATTTAGAAAGTCTTAACATTTAATTAAACATTCTGATGAGGAAATCAAAAAGAAATCAAATGATCATAAAAAAAAGAAATTCGAAAGTTTTGTTAAATTATAAAAATTTAGGAATGTTAGAACATCATCTATGTCTAGTTTAACTCCTATTTAAGAATAAGTTAAGAAACCATCTTTAGTAAAAAAAGACAAAGATAAAAATTAAATAATACCAAATAATTATTTAGCATAAAGAAAGAAGAGTAAATTATTATTATAAAATGAAATTCAATTATGTGATAAATCATAATAAATACATTAATCAAATGAAAAATTAGATAAAGTATAATCACCTGATCGATATATTTATTATGAATCTAAAAAAAGTGAACTTATAAGAAAAATGAAATTACTTTAAATAGCTTAACCTAAAAATAAAGAAATATAATCTATTATAGATGAAATTAAGTAACTAATTAATATATTATAATAGAATTTTTATATAACATAGTTAATAAGGTAGTGTTCTTACCAAAGAGACCAGCTCTGCTTTGAAGATTGAGAAGGTTGATAATAATATTTAATAATTTGATACTCATTCTGATGTTGATAGTTAATTTAGCATTGATCAAATGTCTAATTTTGATGCTTTCTTTGAAGAAGAGAATCCAGATAAAATAATTAAGAAATTCAAAAGACAAGTTAAAGAAAAACTTAAATAAAGAAGAACTACAATGATGAGACAATTTGTTTGAAAATTAATATACATATTTATTAGTTTATTTCACAATTTATTCGATATTTTTATTATTAATTTATAAATAAAATTTAACGTATATATGACTTAATTAGAACCATTTGAGCATCATTATAGTATATAATACTAAGAAGTATTTGGATGTTCTCATACAAATCGACATATTTATTCAAACAAAATGATTTGCACAGATTGTGGCATATTTTTAAATAATGTAAAATTTCATCATTAACTTTTAGCCAAACACCAAAGTTTACAAAACACTTAAAATGAAATATAATGCATTTTTCAATCCAATTAAAATTTTACAAGGAATTATGATAGAGGGATAACCAATTGGACCTATTAAATAACGATAATAATTCATAGAATTCATTTTATAAGTGGCAGAAAGACTTAATCTATCAATCAATACATGTTTTTTAGCTATCAATTATATTGATGAATATTTTAATAAGGTTACAGTAAATGAAAATTAAACTTATTTATTTGTTTCTACAGCTCTTATGTTAGCAGCTAAAGCATAAGAACTTGATGAAAGAGTTCCATTTATAAGCAAACTTAAAAAATATGCCTCTATGATTAATCATCCTGAAATAAGTCAATTTAATACATAAGATTTTAAATATGCAGAAAGATTATTAATATAATAATTGGAATGGAAATTACAAAGAAATACTTTATTAGATAGAATAGAAACTTTATTATCTTTTGGTGTTATTGATGATGATGATAGTTTAGGTTAATAGTAATAAAAAGAAAATAAGGATTCAACTCATTAATAACATATTAAACTAAGAGATTTATAAGAAAATTAGATTTTATAATATGTTTAAGAAGTTGAAAGTAAATATGTTGAAATAGCTTTATAAATTATTAAAGGTATTATTAAATTATATTGATAGATGATTAACTATATTTCCAAACTGATTAGACTATATTAGCTTTATCATGTGTTGCTTATCTAAGAAAAAAGGCTGGTCTTTTAAATATATGGTCTTAACAATTGTAAAGTCTGACTGGTTTTGGTGCATAAAAAATATCATCTTCAGTTTCTTAAATTATGACTCTTATTGCCAAAAGTAAGAGTTTCAAAACTATCACAAAATTGTAGGTTAATCCTTCAGATATTTATTATGAATAAGTCAACAATACTCCTACCAATACTCTTACTACTGTTAATTCGAATCATCTTATAAATAGATAATTTTAGTTTGAATAAAAAAGACAATCCTTTGCAGATGCTATGAATCAAAAAGTTAAAGTTCCTTTGTTTTCATCTTAATCAACAGCTCATATAAGTGATCTTAGTAAATAGCATATATACTATAATAATATGAATTTTACTACAAGTAAAAATTACTCATTTTTGAATGATAATTCTATAGGTCTTAATAATTATATTAATTCTCACAGTATTCATCAAAATGGAGAACTTGATAAAAAGTATGAATAAGTACATAAAGTTGGAGTCAGTATGTTTAGATAAGTGTAGTGATAATCATATATTTACTAATAATTATAATATTTATTTATTTATATTTATATTCAAAAAAAAAGAATTTATATATTCTTAAATAATATACATTAATTAATGAATCTTATATATTTAATAAAAGATTATTCTAATTAATTATAAGATTCTTATATATGTAAAATTATTAAATGAAAAACATACTGTTTATTGATTATATTTTGATTAATTTAATAAGTATATCACATAATATCAGAATCTATTGCTTTTTTTAATATTTTATATGTAATTATTTATTAAGATAATATTAACTTTCTAAAAATTTCTAATTTCTTAATTATTTTTATTTGTGATGTTGCGATTAAGTTTAAGCTTAATGCGAAGAAATGTTTTTAGATATCCTATGCCATTTATGGCTTTCTCATCAGATAAAGAACCTCCTAAAGGTATTTTTGCTTGAGAAAGCTTATAGGGTTTTAAAAATTTTAGAGAAAATCGAAACTCCAATAGGAACAAAAGAAAGAGGAAAAGTAAGAGCAAAATTTAGAATAAGAAGAGAATAGAGAAAAAAATGAACAGGTAATTAAAGAGGAATAAGAGGATGAAGAATAGCAATAAAAAGGTATAGAGTGAAGTATATTAAAATTTAGTCGAAAAACCTCAGAAAAAGAAATATCAATTCACTTATGATCCAAAATCATTTAATTTGTAAGATGAAAATAAGAAAGAATAGAAATAAGAGAAATAAGAGTAATAATAAGAGAAATAGGATGTTAAGGAGGATGAATAAAAAGAATAGTAGCAATAATAATAATAATAATAATCTTAAAAGATATCTCCATTATCTAATATTAATTTTGAAAAAATTTATGAATACTTCAACAATCCTAAAAATCGAAATTATATTTATATGTTCTTAGGAGTTAGTGGTTTAGCTGCATTATATTAAATTACAAATTAGGAAGAAGAAATCACATATACAGATTTTCTAAAAAACTATCTAGAAGTTAATTAAGTGAGTTCGATTACCATTTATAAGAATGAAACAAGTAGAGTGAATTAGGCATCTATCATGACATTAAGAGGACCATCAAAAAGATTAATGATTATGAATGTGGATAATTTTCTAGAAAATCTGGAAAGATTTTAGACTGAAAAAGGATTGAGTCCTGAATAATTCATACCTGTTAATTTTGAAGCATAATTAGATAAAGGTAAATTAATGGATAGAGTATTAAATGTTTTATATTTTGGTGTCACTGTTACATTAGTAATAGTTCTATTTTAATCACTTAAAAGTAGTATGGGAGGTATCAATAAAGGAAGTGGTGGAGCTGGAGGAAATGATGTATTTGGATTTGGTAAATCTAATGTAAAATAATTTGGATTTGAATAAAATGTGAAAGTCAAGTTTAAGGATGTTGCTGGATTAGATGAAGCTAAATTAGAAATCAAAGAATTTGTAGATTTTTTAAAGAAACCTCGTAAATATAAGGAAATGGGAGCAAAATTACCAAGAGGTGCATTATTAGCAGGTCCTCCAGGAACAGGTAAGACAATGGTGGCAAAGGCATGTGCTGGAGAAGCAGGAGTTCCATTTTTTTTTGTAAGTGGTTCAGATTTTGTTGAAATGTTTGTTGGAGTAGGAGCAAGTAGAGTTAGAGATTTATTTAAATAAGCAAAAGCTAAATCTCCTAGTATCATATTCATTGATGAAATTGATGCTGTTGGTAGAAAAAGAGATGCTAAAATTGGAGGTAATGATGAAAGAGATAATACATTGAATTAATTATTAGTAGAAATGGATGGATTTGGAACAGATACTAATGTTATTGTATTAGCAGCTACTAATAGAAAAGAATTACTTGATCCAGCATTAACAAGACCTGGTAGATTTGATAGATCAGTAGATATTACATTACCAGATATAGAAGGTAGAAAATAGATATTTATGGTTCATTTGACACCTTTAAAATTAGATCCATCAAAAACTATGGAAGAATATGCAAAAAGATTAGCTACTTTGACTCCAGGATTTAGTGGAGCTGAAATTGCTAATCTTTGTAATGAAGCAGCTATCATGGCAGCCAGAGCTAATAAAATTTATGTTGATTCTAATGACTTTGAAATGGCATCAGAAAGAGTAATGGCTGGTTTAGAAAAGAAACGAATAATAAGTGAAGAAGAAAGAAAAACAGTTGCATATCATGAATCTGGACATGCTGTTGTCAGTTGGTTTTTATAAGGAGGACATCCTTTACTTAAACTAACTATTATTCCCAGAAGTAAAGGTTCTTTGGGATATGCATAATATTTACCAAATGAATCCAGTTTGGAATCTAAATAAGAGTTATTAGATAGAATTTGTTGTATTTTGGGAGGAAGAATTTCAGAGGAAATATTTTTTAATTAAATTACAACTGGTGCTTATGATGATTTGAAGAAAGCTTATGAGGTAGCTCATAGTATTGTAACCAAATTTGGTATGAGTGAAAATATAGGTTATATTGGATTTTAAGAAGGTGAGTTCTAGAAACCTTATAGTGATAATACCAATAAGAATATAGATGATGAAATAAAGAAGATTATAGAGGATTAAACTTAGAGAACTAGAGCTTTATTGAGAGAGAAGAAAGATTTTGTTGATAAGTAATTATATTAAATAATAATAATAGATTGGCAACAAGTTTATTGGATAAGGAAACTCTGGATCTATAGAAAATAATAGAGGTATTAGGAGAGAGACCATTTCCTCCTCGATCTAATTATAAAGCATATTTAGAAATCAAAAAGGAAGACTAAAAATAAGGTTCTGAATGAATTATATATTTTATGTATATTTCTTAATAGAATTCATCAGATTTTCAATGCCGCACGGGTATATTATAATGATAAATATATAAATTTTGGGGATTTAAAACAGAAGTATCTTTTAAATAAATCATCATTAAAGCAGAAGATGTCAATGGTTAGATAAATTTATTATATAAAATAACCTTCAAAAAGTATATGAAAAGATCATAGAAGTAGAGAAAGTAATCTAGAAATTCTAAGAATTCTGATGATATTACTGAGCCTCATTCAAAACTATTACTGGAACGTTTCCCATATTCTATAAAAGACCTTTAATTTAGAGAAGTTCCTACTTTGCACGTTAACTAAGACTTTTTTTTGGATCCTTTTAAGACAATAGATGATCTTTATGCCAAAGGGTATGAGAAATTTGGAATAGTGAAATTGCTTTTGCCTTCTGAGTTAATAGTTCCAGAAAAAAAGTTCTTTAGTGATTTGGAGATGAAGTTAAAGGGAAAGAAAGTGGAGACAAGAGTTTAGACTTTGAATTAACTATAAGCAGGGGAAGTAAGTGCGTTTTTTTAGATTAGATATTTGGTTCGAATATTGTTGGTTTCACTTTACAAGAGTATATGAGCTATGCCAACAAATTTGAATGTAGTTACAAGTTATAGGGAGCAAGGGAAGTTTCAAATCAAATCAGATAGAATGAGATAGAATTCTGGTCAATAGTTGACTTCCCAGATAGATATGATGAAGTGGAGGTAGAGTATGCAGCAGATTTATTGGCTACCAAATATGCCACAGGTTTCTAAGATGGTTAATTGGGAAATTTGAGTACCATTAACAAGAATTGCAATTCTATCTTCTAAGTTCTCTAAGAGAAGAATGAGATGAGTGGAATTTCAGTACCTTGGCTTTATTTGGGAATGAAGTATGCTAATTTCTGTTGGCATAAGGAAGACTTGAATTTAAATTCTTTAAACTACATGCATGCAGGAGCTCCAAAAACATGGTATGAATATATATTGTAACATTAGGTATGCGATACCTCCATCACATAGTGAAAAGTTTTTACAATATTTCAATAAGAAGTATGAGAAAGAAAGAATACATAACCCTCGTCTTTTATATGACATAGTATGTCAGATTTCACCTATTGAATTAGCTGAACAATAAATTTCAATTATCAGAACAGAATAGCATCCTGGTGAACTTATTATCACATTAGGTGCTACTTATCATGCTGGATTCTCACATGGTATTTTATTAAATATAAAAAAATAATAGGATTCAATTGTAGTGAAGCTGTCAATGTTGCTCCAACATAATGGCTTGATGAATATGATCGTGCTTCAACTGAATATCGTATGGATGGTAACTACAAAAAAGTAATCTTTAATTTAAATTTATATAAAGGTTAGTTTTCCATTGGAGTGGCTGTTAACTAAAGTTGTTCTTATGGCAGATCAAGTTAAATTTACTAAATAATCATGGATAAAGGTATATTTATTTATTGATTACTTTTTTATAGTTATCTGATAAGTTTAAAATGATGATCCAATCTGAAATTGATAATCGAAATAGCATTATAGCTCTTTATGAATAGGTTAAGATAGTTGAGTTTGCAAATAAATTAGAAAAGTATGATAGAAATGTATGTAAAATCTGTTCCAATTATATGTTCTTTAGTTATATTTTCTGTGGAAAGTAAATCTTATTTTTGATTATCATAGATGTTTAAAAAAGGGATGCATTGCTCATCAGAGTGTTTGTGCATGTTCAAATCCTAAAATTTCCCTCTATATTCGATATAATAGTGAGGAATTATAAACAATGCTTACAACTTTAGAATCAAAGGCTAATTCAAAAACGGTGTAGTGATTACAGAAAATACTAATTCATTTAAAAAAAATTCATTTATATAATACTAATTAATTAGTTGAAATTTATTTCATCACCCTAACACAAAACAAAAACAATATTTTCTAATTTAACTTCATTTTACATAAAACTTATTAACTAATTACATCTTTTATTTCATAATATTATGTTCCATTTTTTAAATAATTCTGAAATATTGAATTTTATATAAATATATATTTAAATATCTGATATACTATGTTTATAATAGAGAATTAGTTAACATTTATTCTTTATTAATCATTTGCTATCCAAAAATGTCATATTATACAATAATTATATATAATATTGATAAATTTAATTATTTTGATGGATGCTTTTCTAGCACATAATCACGTCTTTATACTTACTGTTGCTGCTGTGAATATTCTATTATGTCTCATGCCTCCTTATAATCAAACTATTTCAAAATAATCCCATTTTATAGATGATAATGATGATAGCATTTAAGAAAGCACTACTAAAGTTTAAAGATAAAATCATAAATTCTAAACAGAAGAGGAAGAAGAAGAAGATTAAATTGATTGTCATAAAAGTAACTAAGTCCATGAGTCTAAAGAGTAAGATGATCTCTTTTTTAGAATTTATGATGATCTTAAAAAGTGATTAAATACTCATTTCATAACAGATTATATTTTAATTTCTATTAAACCAAGTATTCCTTAGAATGGGATTAAATTCTAAAATAAGAACTAAAATGATTAATGATAATTTTTGTGTACTCCATTTAATCAATCTGAATAAAAAAAACAAATGAAACTAACTAGAAAATAAATAAAATTTTATATTAGAAAATGTAAATGTAACTAAGTAAATTTAATATAAAATGCATAGTTAATCTCAACAGCATAAATCTTCTTGTTTCTTTTTTTCTTATTATTATTATTATTACTATTATTATCTTGTTTATAATCTCAAATTTGAAGTTTTTTTAACTACAGCTTTTGAATTATGAATTTCTCTGTTTAAAATGTTTTTTGTAATATGATTAAATGCTGCTTCAATATTTATTGATGATTTTGCACTTGTTTCATAAAAAGGAAATTAATATTATCTTGCTAATTAAGAAATATATATAATAAAATTACATAATTCTAATCCCTCTTCATATGAAACTTCTCTTCTTTCTGTTATATCAGCTTTATTTCCAACTAACATTCTGTTCACTGATTCAGATGCATACCTTCTATAAATGATATATAATACTTATCAATTTCAGCAATCCAAGTTTTCACATTTTCAAATGACTCTCTGTCAGTAATATCATAAACTATTATAATACCTTAAGCACCTCTATAATAACTACAAGTTATAGTTCTGAATCGATCTTAACCTGCAGTGTCCCACTATTTTTATATTATTATATAATTAACAATTTGCAATTTAACATTATGTTCACCTATAGTAATAGTTTTAGTTTTAAAATCCACTCCAATTGTGTTGTAGAAATTATTGGTGAATTGATTTTCCTTAAACATTAACTGAAATGTAATACAGAATATCTCATAAGCATACATGACTTGCCGACACCAGAATTTCCAATTAATAATACTTTGAAAAGGAAATGACTAAGGAATCAAAAAAACATTATTACTAATCAGAGTTAGAGTTCATTTTTATTTAAAAATTTATTTATTACTGTTAATAATTAAATAAATTACAAATATAAAATATTCTAAGAGAATATAACATATCCTATCAGATTTTAATTGAATTTAAAATAAATAAGATAAAAATTTACAATACAAAATGTATAAATGAATCATAAATCATCTCTTTTATCATCACTTACAGTTTCCCATTATGCATCATCTGTATTTACTTTTTCCCATTTAGTTCCATCTTAATCAACTGTTGGTTCAGATGAAGCTTCAGGTTCTTCTTCAATTTCAACTTCAAATTCTTTAATTGGTGCATCTCTATCAATACCCAAGGCTGAATTAAATAATTTATAGAATCTACTGGCAAATTTTTCAGGATTTGGGATAGAATAACCTAGATAAATATAAATGATAAATATTACCTGAATTGACTAAAGCAGCTTCATATAGAACTCTAGCCATTTCTTCAGTTTCTTAATCTGGATCATCTTTAACTCTTTATAATAATTCTTATATAGCTTAATGATTTGGATTGATTTCAACTATCTTCTTACCAAATTGTTGAGAATTACTTCCCTTGCTTGAATAAGCCTAAGCTTTTGATATTCTTTCCATATTAGCTGAATATCCAGATTCTGAAGAAACAACAATGAGTGGGTCTTCAATCAATCTTTATGAAATGACTACTGAATCAACATTTTCTGATAATAACTTTCTCCACCAATCAGTCAAAGGTTAGAATACTTTCTTTAAAGCTTTTTATTTCTTTCTTTGTTCATCATTATCTTCAGGTTATTTGAAATCACCTTTTCCTACATTAACAAGTTTCTTTTGTTTATATTCATTCAAATGTTAAAATGTGAATTCATCAACTGGATCTTCCAACAATAATACTTCATATCCTTTTTTAATTAATCCTTGAATGATTGGAGATGCCAATAATTATTCTTTATTTTCACCAGCTAAATAATAAATTGAATCCTATCCAGGCTTGGATCTTTCAATATAATCATCAAATGAAGTTAATTCAGTTGAATTCTTACTTGAATACCATCTAAAATAAAATATTAGGTATAATATTTAATATATGGATAATATTAGATTAGAAATATATTGAATCAGACGACTGTTTATATAGATCATATAATAAATAGAAATAATTCCATTTATTATCTATATGAATTTTATCATCATACCCAACATATTTCATATAATAATTTAAATAATAATTATACCTTGTTAATTCAGCCAATTTCTATCTATTTGATGAATCTTCAATAACACCTAATTTGATATTCTTTCCATATTCTTTCCAAAATTCATTATATTCATCCATCTTCTTCTTTCTCTTTTCATCCTTTAATCTTTATTATTCTTCTGGAGTTGTTTCAGCCATATTATCATCTTCTTCTCCTTCTTCAGTTTCATCTTCATCTTCTTCATCATAAGAAGCAGCATCTTAAAATAATTCTAATATCTTCTTAACAATCTTTCTACTGATAACCTTCAACATTTTAAGTTATTATAGTGTTTCTCTATTAACATTTAATGGTAATTCATCAGAATCAATAACACCTTTAACAAAACTTAGATATCTTGGAAGAATATCTTCAAATTCTTCACTAATCAAAACTCTTCTAACATACAATTTCAAATTTGTAGTTTATTTTCCATAATAATTATCAAACATATCACTTGGTGCTCTTTTTGGAACATAAATAAGAGATGTAAATTCAACTTCACCTTCAGCCTTAAAATGAACCCAATTGAATGGATCTTCACCTGAATTCTTAGATAATACTTTATAGAATTTCTTATAATCATCATCTGATATCTCTTCTTTAGGTCTCAACCATATGGCTTTATTTTCATTTACTTGCATCCATTCAGATACCTTCTCTTTAATAGTTTTAGTAGCCTTCTTCTTTGTATCTGCATCATCATCATCATCATCATCTTTAACTTTGACTTCATCATCATCAGTTTAATCTTATTAATCTTATTATTCTGGTTCTTCATCTACTTATTTTGTAACTTCTCTTGTCACTTTTAAGTAAATTGGGAAATTGATAAATTCAGAATACTTTTTTATCAATTCTCTAATTGTACTCTCTTCAGCAAATTCTACTGCATCCTATTTCAAATGAATAGTGACTTAAGTACCACGACCTAAAGTATTACCTCTTGGATCTTTAGATACAGCAAATGAATGGGCTGCTTAAGATTCCCAAATGTATTAATCATCATCTGTATTTTTTGATGCAACAGTAACCTTCTATCCTGCCAAGAAGCATGAATAGAAACCAACACCAAATTGACCAATCAAATTTACATTACCTCCTTTAATTGCCTCAATAAATTGAGTTGTTCCTGATTTTGCTATAGTACCCAAATTAGAGATTAAATCATTCTTTGTCATACCAATACCACTATCTGTTACTGTAACTGACTTTTCTTCTGTATTTATTTCAATTCTAATTGCTAATTCTGTCTTATCTCCCAAAATCTCTGGATTCTTAACACTTAAAAAACGAATTTTATCTAAAGCATCGGCAGCATTTGAGATTAATTCCCTAAGAAAGATTTCTTTTTGAGTATAGAGAGAATTAATAAGAATATCCATCAATCTACCTGTTTCAGCTTAGAATTCATGGGTTTCTTAGGATTGTTCTAATAACTTTCTTTGTTCATCAGTCAAATCCTATGTCATCACTTATACTCCTGAGAGCATAAAGAGCAACAGTAAGGCAAAGGCCTTCTATTTACTATTCATTAAAAATATTTATGATTTGTATTCACCATAGCTTAAATAATATATATCCAAAAACACGTGTTATCATATATTCTAGAAATTAATTAAAAAAACCCCTTTTTTATATACATTTTCAAATCTATTTGAATATTCCTGTTCATTCTCATTGAATTAAACAAAAATTATTCAATAATTATCAAAATTATGCTTTTTCTTCACATTTAATACTCTTAATTAAAATGGAATTTGTTAAATAAAATTAATTAATTCTCATAATATATGATTTGTAAAAAAAGAAATATTATATTCATAAATTAATAAATCCAAATATAAATGATATCCTTATTAAAAATATTAACAAATAAGTATATAAAGAATTATATTCTAAAATATTATTCTTTAATTTTCTATTATTTTATTTTATATTTCTCATTTATCATTTAGTTTTATTATAATTTACATTAATAATAATATTATTATCACAATATTAATATGTCAATCTAAAAGTTATTATTATTTTATTTCTATCATTTATTTTTTATAATTATTTTATTTTTTAATAGAAAATCATATGTAATTAAAAGTGATAAGAAAAGAAAGAAAAAGTTTATTAATAAAAATTAGATGTATCCTTTTAGAGCAAATAAATCAAATTCTTAAGAATCTTTTTTTGTATTGCTAGTTGATGGAACAACTTCAATGAATGCACATTATCCAATATTTTTGAAATGTTTTCATAAAGTATTCAATAGTATCAAACATAAATTGGCTTTTCAATTTGGTATATCATAAGATAGAACTGATTCTGTTTTATATGATATTAATAAATACTTAGATCATAGGGAAAGCAATTTCAATAAAGTTTTTAAGTAATTATTTGAAATTTTGATTACTTAACATATAGATAAAAAATATTTGACGATATGTTTTATTTCAGATGGAGTTGAACCTTTTATTTTTGATGAATTTCTTCCATTAGTCAAACAAATAACTTCAATATTCTAAATCTAATTTGCTAGCATTGCTGTTGGCAAAAATTTCCCAACATTGATAAGCAATTAATTAAGAGAACGATTGCATAACAATGGAAATTTAGATTTTCCATTTATCTATTAAGTTATGGATCAGGGTTAAATAAGATAAGAATTAGATGATTATAATAATGTAATAATCAATCCTTAGGATGAAAATAAAATTATTTAAGAGTTTACGGATGCATTTGAGGGTTTAAAGTAATAATTGATTGTATATACTGGAAATATTGAATTGAATGAAATAGTATATAAATCATTCATATAGAATGAAGATTAAGCAACAAATGTTGTTTAATGTAATTAAGTATTTTTAGCAACTAATCCCACTGTTGAAACTAAAAATAATTAAGTAATCTAATGTTCTTAAGATGTTGAAGATTTTACTTAAATTTAGAAAGGAAGTATTTAATAACTATTAATACATTTGTAAGCCAATAATAAAATTGAGGATAGTTAAAAGGAATTTAAGAAACTTTTAGATATTTCTACAAAAAGTTAACGACTATTAGTTCAAATAAATTAATAAAAAAATCCAACCAAAGATTAATAATAAATTAATAATCATCCAATTCTTAATGTAATGAATGAATTAATGAATTAATTTGTATAAACTAATTATGTAGCCTCTCTTAAAAATAATGAAAATGAATATGCATAATTATAAGCAAATCTTGAAAAAAATCCTGAAAAATGCATTAAATAAAGTGTAGAATATTCTAAGAGTTTTCCTTAAGGTATTTTTATAATTTTATAAATTAGTTTCTCAGTTTTAAAATATAATTTAAGATCAACCATAATAACTTAAGGATATTGAAATCTAACCTATTTAACATATTCAACTAGAATAAAAAGTCTAAAAAAAATAAAATATTCAACATCATTAGTAAAATATCAATGAAGTTAAGCTAAATTCTAAATTAATTATATTGATTGATTCTTTTAAAATATCAGAATTATAGGCAGAGGATATAATAAATTAAAAAAAAATTATTTTTAATAAATAAGAAGAAGAAAATGTATTAACTCTTTGGTGGGCAGATAGTATTTAATAAAACCCAAAATTTAATAGTGAAGGCTAATAAATACCTTTAACATAAGCAATCTAATAAATATTTGGTATAATAGAATAAGATTAATCAGGTATCACAAATTTTATTATTTGGTTAATTATATCAGGATAGCATCAAGTAGACTTTTAATCTTTAAAAAAATAATAACAATAAATATAATCATAAAATAAATTGATAGCTTTTACAACCTTAATAATTGAAAATAATTAATAAAATGATGATGCCAAAATGGCTTAATTAAAATTATCACTTGAATTAAGAAGATAACTTCATACAAATTATTAAACTCATTCTCTCTAAGTATCTGTTAGAGTTAAGACATAAGAATTTCATTCATATTTAAATCAATATTTTATAATGGTTAAGGATTATTAAAACAAATTTTATAGAATTTAAAGAAAAGGATGTTATCTTAGAGGTATCACTCTACAAAAAAATGCAATGCATTTATTAAAATAATTTATAAATGATATAGAGTAGTTTAGACAATAATTCAATGAAGATATGGAATTTATATAAATTCTTAAATAAATAAAACAAAAATATTATAAAATGATGAATAATTTTAAAGAACAAGAGGTTCCAAATGAAAAATATTGTTTAGCAAAACTCAATACAATTTTTGAATTAATTGATAGAATCAATTTAAATAATCATTGTGATTTCTTAGATGAAATATTTAAAATAAAATTAGGATTTTATGATAGGAATTAGAAAGTAGTTGATATTAAATAATTGAATAAGGCAAGAAATATAATGTAGAATAACAATTAGTCATAACCATCATTAATTACAAGGTCAGCTCTTGCTTTAATATTTATTTACTTATTTTCATGGATAATGAGAAATTATTTATGAAACCTTAGATTGATTGATAAGTTTTAATCATGTTATAGATTTTAATAGAAATAATATATTATATTATAAATTTGAACAATCAAATAAAATCATATATATTAGTGTTGTCTGCTTAGACTATTATAAATGATGTATATAATCATCTAAAATTTATCAAAGATATATTTACCTTAAATAAGTCAATCTTACTATTTTCATACTCCAGTTGAACTGCTTTCATTTATTTCTTTATTTCCTAAATATAAATAACTTAATTCTGTAATACGAGTCCATCTATAAAATAAAATAGATTAAGAGTTTTAAATTGAATTTCTAAGTTCTATTATATAAAAATAAAATTTTAATTTATAATTAATTAATAACCTATTAAATTATTATTATTATTCTATTAAAAGTAATTATTTATTTTTTGAACTCTCAATCAAGATATACTCTAAATTACATAATCCTTTCTTTAAATGTAAGAAATTATTAGAATGTTAATATTATGTATTTCTTAAAATTTATGATAATGCTGATTTGTTTATATTTTCAAGAAAATTAATTAAAAAAATAAAATACAATTTAATCATAACTTTCTCTTTTAGAGTTCTAATAAAATAAAAACAAAAAAGATTTAAAATAGGTAACTTTAATCAACTCCTTTAACTGATTTTGAAATTTCTTTTGAAATGATAGGTTAGGTATTTGGAATTATTTAATTTTGGAAATCTGTTGTTTGTTGATTGATATTTTATTTTTTTGATGGTTTCTCAATTTTAGTTATTTATTTTGATAATTCCTGAAATTGATTAATTGATTTAGTTTCTACTTAATTAATTAATTTAGTTTCAAATTAATTATTAATTAATAGTTTATGTTTAAACAATGTTGTCCAATTGATTCTGTCTTTCTCATGATACAAAAGCATTTATTCAATCAAATTTGGAATTGAATCATCAAGCTTAAACTAAAGGGTAAATATGAATATAAAACTTCAGGTAAATCTCTACTAACTTTAATGGGTTTATATTTCAAGAGAAACAACTCATGTTTAAGTCGTTAAAAATCTTTAGCATCAAATGGAAATGAATCGTAGATTAATTAATAAAATATAATCCCCAACTATTGAGATAATAATTAATCTTACAGAGTAGATATCAGCTGAATAGGAATATTAATAATCCCAAAATAATTAAGGAGCAGCATATCTAGGAGTTCCTAATTTTGTATAGATACCAAATTTATCAGCTATTCTTGCCAATCCAAAATCTGCTATCTTAAGATTATTAATATTTTATACTTTGTAAGTATTATTAAGATAAAGTATATTTTATGGTTTCAGATCTCTATGTATTATATTTTGTTCTAAGAGTAATTTATATCCATTAGTTATTTATTTAATAATTTCTAATGCTTCTGCAGGTGTAAATCTTTGTTATTACCTTCTTCTTTTTCTGATTAAGTCTGATAGATCACATTCACACCTTTCTAAGATTAAGATGACATGTTCATCATGAAGTAAAACATCTATAACATTAACTATATTTGGATTTCCTTTAGCCACTATCTTTAATTTAGACATTAATTCAAATTCTCTTTTTGATTTTTCATCTTATAAGAAACAAGTAATCTTAATTATAAAATTCTATTACTTTTTTTGCACATATTTTTTTATTTGGGTCTTCATTCAATAAATCTTAACATTCATAAATAACACCACACTATCCTCTTCCAATTTCTTTTTTTAAATAAATTTCATATCTATTTTCTAAAAGTATAATTTCTTCATTTTTAATCATCTTTTTTTTATATATATATTTTATTAAATTAAATTGATGATACAAATAATAAAGTTTATTCATAAAATTTTATACATTATCTATCTAGCAATATATTAAGCAAATCTATTTTTATGACCTCTTATCTTCTCTAATACTCTAGAATATATATTGTAATTATTAATCAACTTTGTTACTTTTGAGATATTATAATGGGGGTAATAATAATCATATTCTTCTACTTTATCAATGTTTGTTTCTGCATTAAATATCTAAGCCTAATTATCTTCCAAATTATCTTAAACATTATTCCCAGAAGGCATAAGTAAACTTCTATGACTTACTTACCTCATGATTCTATTTTTTATTACATATCTTTAATCATTTTAATTCAAAGAAGCCTATTATGAATGTTAAACAATTGTCTAATCAGGATATGATGCTTCATCTTCCTCATTTCTTTGTATACCTAATCTAATGAGAAGTTTGCTATCAACTACAGCTAGAGATTTATTCAAATCCAGAATTTAATCTAAGGCTCTCTCCTTTATTAATTAACAATTGAATCTTCTTTTCTTTCTCTATCTAATATGCATTTGTCTTTCATGATTAATGCTGCTATTATAAATTGAGATAACTTTATTTTTATTTTTTCTAAAGAAAACAAGTGGACAATGTTTAAATTAATGATGACTAGAACATGCCTCACAAATTATCTAATTGTTATTGTCTCCAAATTATGTTCTATCCAAAGTAAGTCTATATTTTTCATATTATCTAGTATCCTTCTATAAAATATTCAAGAAATCAGTTTAATTAATATAGGCTACTTATACAAAAGTTTAGGCAACCATATCAAATTACATATAATCTTAAAAGAAGAATTCTCTTTCACAAACTAATTTACCACTTACATATCTCTTTATTGTTCTATCTAATAATACTGATTTGATTCTTCCTGATAATACTATGTAGAGTTTATCAGGATGATCATCTTTCTTAATAATAAATTCTTCAGGAGCATAAGTTCTTTCATGAACACATTAACATAATTTCTTAAGTATTTCATCTGATAGATTTGAACCTAACAATTTTGAATTTTTTAAATAACTATAATACATTGCTATTTAAACTTCTTATTTTAATTTTGGATTTAATTAACCCATTAATTCATCTAAATCTAATTCTTCCTCTTATTTAAATTATAAATAATATTCAATATACTTTCTAACTCTAAATTGTAATTATGTATTTAATCCTCTTTATTTTATATGATTACTTACTAATCTAAGTTTAGCATTATTAAGATTTTATTATTCAGCTAATTTATAGAAGATACTTTGAATCATTCCTAAAGCATAACCGAATGTACCAACTACTAAAAATGTTAAAAAAGTGACTAAGATTTTTTCAGGAGTAGTCACAGGTACTATGTCACCATATCCCACAGTCATTGAAGTTATTGTTACCCAATATAATGAAGTAAAGTATTTTACATATGCATCTGCTTCATATATTCCTTATTAATGTAGCCAAGTGTGTGAATATCCATTATCTACTTCAAGAATGGCAAAATAATGAAATAAACATGCACAAAAATGAGATATCAACAAAAGAGAATAAATTAAACAAAATAGAGAATATATTACTGCTGTCTTTTCTTTGAAATTTGAGATCTCCTCTATGACTACCATAGTCCTTCTTACCTTAGTCATTCGTATCAACATAAGATAATTGGCAAATGAGTAGCCAAACCATGAAAGAATGAATGGTAACACAACTGTCAGATCTATAATGAACTCTCCTTTCACATAATGCCAAAATATATCACGTTTTGATGTATGTAATATTCCTCTTACATAATAGCCTTTAAAAAAATTCAAGACTAATTCGACCAAAAATATGCAACTTGGAAGAGTACTAAATAAAAGGTATGCATTTCCTATTTCTTCTTTGCTCAAGTCAAATGACAACTATAATGGAACATAGAGTATATTCATAATGGTTACAAACATTAAGATAACATCCCAAACAAATAGGAACTTATCAGCAGGTAATAAAACAGTTTGATTACTTTTTAGAAATGACCATGTTCTCCACCAAATAGCATTAGTTAGTTTTCCTTCATACTTCATTTAACCAAACTATTTCATATTAAAATAACATATACTCTTGTTGGCTTTTTTTCTAACAGTCGACTATAAAGGTAATATTAAAATGAACTTGTTCGATCCCTTATCAAATAAAATATATTCTTATTCAATATCTTAAATCTATAAATAGGTGAATAATGTTTCATTTTAGTGATAAAAATGGCTATTTTTTGAATGATCTTTAAAGGCTTCAATTTCCATACACTAATTATTTTATCAATTTACTCACTGTTCTCGAACTGTTAGATTTCTTTTTCAACATTATTCATGGCTTCTAATTCAATCCTCTTATCTTCTTAATGTTTTGCTTCTCTTATAGCAAACTATAACAAGAATCTCGGCTTATTCATATGTAATGATTTAGATTTATAAATTGCTTATAAAAAATTAACCATTCTTATCACAGATTATGTTGTCGAAAATTAATAAAATGTCATCTACTATAAATAATAGTTATAAGCTCAACTTTTTTATAAATGTTTTATCAATAAAAAACAAGTACATTTCAATACCCATTATACTGATATTTTAAGAATTTGTAGATATGAAAAAAGATTTCTTATTAATGTAGACATTTTTCTAAACAAAATAATTGGAATGTCTAAATTATCAATGTGTTTTTCGGTTAAAAATTGATTATAAATTATAAAGGATTGTTTATTATATTGCAAAATTGAATTTCTATTGATAAAACTTCTTACAATTTGATATATAATTTCTTTATAAATGAAAGGATTAATATATCTATAAATCATTATTAGATATATAAGCAATCGATAAACTATTACACTTTTTAGAACAAAATTATAATTAATTCATTTATGGAAGAAGAATAATAAATCTTGAAATATGGAGATAATATTATTCTAAGATGCATGGTAGATAATAAAATATATTATCTACTTGCTAGAAATGAACAATATTTGATGGAAACAAGATTATAATTAGGTAATTCTTGTACATTTAATATGTATAATTTCCCTCAACATATGGTATTTACTGTGTTCCCAAAACTTTTGTATGAAGCTTAAAAAAAATATAATTCTGATAAGTAGTTTGGAGCTTCTTTAGATTTTTAGAAACAACTACTTTATACAAGAATGGAAACTGAAAAAAAATATAATCAAAATCTATTGAAGTAAACTAAAGGACAAAAAATTATGTATGGAGATACAATAATGCTCTATTAGCCATTGAGTTAAGTATTTTTGTTAAGAGCAGAAAACAATAATTCAAATTCAAATATAGGAACCATTTTGAGTTCTTCAATGTATTTTACAGTTCAACCTGATCCTTTAGCATTAGATATAAAATAAGGATGTCCAGTTCATTCTTTTGATCAATTTTTACTTGTTTAAAGTGACACTATTTTAAAATTTGATACTTTATAAGAAATATATCGATTGCCTGAAGTTGTAAAATCTCAAAATCTTGATCACAATAATTAGTTTCTAACTATTCCAGCAATCATTGAAAATTAATATCAATTTAAATTTTACAAAGCCCAATATAAATAATTTGCTACAGATTCAAAAGAATCAATAAGCCATAACACACTTTAAGCAATAGTATTAAAAAGGGATAAAGATAAAAGTCATTTATTTTATGGTTAATATGTAAGAATAGTACATATGTAATAAAAAATAAAAAAAGAGAGATAGGAATCAAGAATTAGATCAATAAAAATTGATGATGCCTAAGATAATTAAATAAATAAAGGTTATTTAACATCATCAATTAATGCTGTTGGATGTTATCCATCAGTTTATTTATAGATAAATGATATATAGAATTCTGATTTAATTGAGAAAGCAGCATCTATTTTTTAGATCTTACCAGAAAATGATTAAAAATATAGTGATGAAATTTAATTTCATGTTGGTAATAAACCAAATTTAGTTGGTTATACTACTTTCTTACTTAGACATATGTTAACAGGAGAATTCTTAAGAGTAAATCCATTTGATAATAAATTACAATTATCTAAAGAAATTATTAATAAATATAGAAATATTAATACTACATCATCTAAAAAATTAGATTCATTAAAATAAACTGAACCTAAATCAACAACATCAAAAAACTTACCAGGAATTAAATTATATAGAAATCTAATGAATCATATTAATAATAATAATAATTAAAATAATATTTAAACTCAATAAGATGAACGTATTCCAACTTAATATTAATAAACATAAGGTAATTAGGAAGAAATTGATTAAGATTAATGCTTAGCTGATCATTAATTACTTTTTGTTACTAAATTAGGCAATAATCCCATATTCTATAAAGATTAATTGCCTTTCACAATTGATACAACCTTTAATATTGCTACAAAAGATGGTAAAAGTCCAATTGAAGTTGACAACTAAGAAGAAGGTGGATATCAGGTTAAATTAATTACAAAATTAGGAATGTTTAATTAATATGGAGAAGAAAACTTAGAGTAAAAATTATATAAATAATTACATGATGAATGGGTTACTTTGTTTCCTGATTTAGATTCATTCACAAAAAAGAATAAATATCAATTAACATAATAAGAAAAAGAAGTACTTGAATTTATTGAAATTGAAAAGAGAAGACAAGCTAAAAATAAAGTTGATATGAGACATTATAAATCTGATGATGAAACTTTTAAACCTACATTTATTAACTTAAATCCTCTTAATACTAAATATTTAGATGTATTAGCAAGTGAAGAATTTTCAGGTTCCAATTTTAAATTTGAAGTTGTAGACTAAAGTGAAATTGAAGAATTAAGTGAAGTCTTAGATTTAATGTTCCCTCTTATTGCTTTAGCTAAAAATTCTATGTAATTATCTACTCTTAAATTCAAATTCAAAGATCTTAAATTTAAAGATTCTAAAGAATAAAAAGATCTTGCATCTCAATTTCTTAGATGTCAAGCCTAAACTATTTAAAATGTAAATTAAGCAGTCAAGTCTTTAATTAAAATTATGTTGTGGCTAACTGCTACTCATGAAACCTTGGCCTAAGAAAATTTAATCTCTGAACCTTTAGTAAGGAGATAATGTATCGCCAGAGAAATTGGTTGCATAGATTATGTGAATAAAATTATCTATGAATTGAATATTAATGGATTATTATATGAGGATAAAGATTTTATTAAATCAGATGAGGTATAAGAGGAATTATAAGATGAAGAAATGTTTTAATAAGATATCAACCAATTAATTGATGCACTTTCCTCATTTTTATAATTAGTATGTAAGAATTCTAATGATAATTCCTTATATGTTGTATAATGGTATTGTCTCTATAAACATATACTCCTTAGAGGACAAGTGAATGATTTAATGAGATTAGACATCTTAATTACATAATTATTCTAATAGTCTGATGTTATGGTTTCATTTGAATTTGAAGTCACTCAATTATCAAAGGAAACAAAATTTACAAATTATAATAAACATGCATTCAATTTATTAATTGCCTTTTGTCTCTTCACTGAATTTAGAAAAAAAGAAGGTATTGAAGGAATTATAGATCATATCTTTAAAGAAAATAAGGATTCTATTTTCTCATAATTTATATTTGATGGTAATATTCAAAGGATTTTAAAAGAGAAACCATAAGATTTTTCAAGAACAATTCGAAAATCTATAGATTCTAATAATCTAGCTAGTAGCCCAAATATGATTGATGGTTTGAATTCCCAAAACAGATAACCATAACATGATTATATAATTTCTTGTGTAAGATTGGCTTCAGAAATATCTAAATCATCTCCAGCTTTGACTTTAAAGTAAATTAAAACTTTATTCCCTTTCTACATAGTTGCCTAAATAATTCAAGATAATAATATATCATCATTAACAAAATCATATTTTTTAGAGTTATTCTAAAATTCATATATGGCTAAACACTTAAAACCATTACCAATGGCCTAATTCCCTTAATATTTAAAGATGGTTGTTAAATAAAATAAAGGTAAAGGATTCTTAGCACTTTTTAAAAAAGAAGAGTATGAGATTATACTCTATGCATTTGCACAAAAAAAGATTTCTGATGTGTATTAGAAAGTGGCAAAAAAATATTTAGTTGAAAGTGATAAGACAGTGGATTTTTGGTTGTATTTATCAGAATTCATTTCAAATTTCTGGATAAACAAATCAATTTATGAAATAAAAGGTAATGATCATGTTTATATCAAATAATTGATTTTAACATTTACAGAATTTTTAAAAAAAGGATTATTTATTGAATATCTTAGTAATGCTCACAATTTTTATAATATGTATCATTAATTCATTGAATTTTTAAAGAATTCTGTTGTATCAGCTACTCTAGAAGAGAAATACATTAAACATTAATTATAAGGAAATAAGAAATCAAAAGAATAGAAACCTTTAGAAGTGAAAGATTATTTGTTTGAGAGTACAGTAACAAAAAGGGCAGTATCTAGAACAACTTATGCAAAGAGTATGATTTGGCTTGATGAATTGATAGAGATTCTAATTTTATTAGAGTAATTTTAATAATCAAGAATGGCAGATTAATTTATTATCACAGAAGATAATTAAACAATATTTGATGATCTTCAATATTTATAGAAGTTTGCAAAAGAAAAAAAATATGCAGAAGTAGTTTAAAGATTGAGATAAGCCAAAAGAGCTAGTTATCACACTAGAGGATAACAATCATAAAGTTAATTAAATTAAAAGGATATATTTACAACATAAGAATTGACAACAATATTGAGAGAGTGTTCTTATGCTCGTAAGACAGTGATCTTAGAATATATGGGAGGTATAAAATAGACAGATATATCTTTGGTTTACTTTTTAATTGAATTACTTACATTAAATTAAATAAGATTATCAGCTAAAGTTACTGAATTATTATGGCTTATTTATTCATCAAGAAGTAATTTTCTTTAAACATTAAATTAAACTATTTTGATTGAGGCATTTGATTAAGGAGAATTAGAATTATAAGTAAATTAAAATATATTTACAGATTTTTCTAATATTTATTGGAAATTACATTTTGCAATAATAGATTTAAAATCATCTTTGGAAAAAGATTCTAGTAAACATTATGAAACAATAAATGATGCTTTATCAGATATGTTAGTAATATTCTTTCCTGATTATGCAGCTAAATCTGATATGTAAATGTTTATGGAAATTAATTAATTGGAAAATGAAGAAAAACATTATTAAGCATAAGAAGAAAAGATGGTTAAAAGTAAAGTAAGATAAGAAGTAGCTGTTATAGAATAATTTGTATCAAAAGCAGAACTTGATTTAGTTGATATTTCAGCATAAAGTCCAATGAGGGATAAACATGAAGAATAATTATAATCATTGAAATCTGCTACAATGGATTAATAATAAAAATATGTATGGAAAATCAATAATTCATTATCAATTGATGTTTTGACTATATTTTATAGATAAAAATTATTAAGATATTTAGGATTTCATGATTTAATGTAAAAATTAATTGAAAATTTAATATAAGAAACAAGTACTCTATTTAGAGAAAAGGATGTACTTGTAAGTAATGCAAATAAAAAAGGATGGGAAATAAAAAGTGATATTTTAGAAAAGAGTATTTTATTTTTGATTTATTTTGTAATAAGAAATGAAGAAAATTAAGAAATGATATTAAATTTAAGTAAGAAAAAAGATTCATTTCTACATGAAATGTCTAATGTAAAGAGAAAGTAATTATAAACCTTAATATATATTTTATTTGCTGAATTGTTTAGAGATAATTATAATATTTTATTCTCATTAGATAAATATAATGATGAACATTCAATTTTAGCCAAATTATTTTCTATATTTGGTAATAATTTTGCAAATAAAAATTATGAAGCAGCTATTTATTTTCTTTAATTTTTGTAAATTTTATTAAAAGTAAAAGAAAGTGATGTTGTATAAAATAATTATGCTATTATTCATTTATTTTAATCTACTAAATAATTAACAACATTTGCTAAAGATATTGGTACTCTAATTCAAACACTTTATCTCTTTAGATTAGAATAATTCTTTACTGCTAGTCATGCACCTGCTCCTCAAACATAACATAATTAATAAAAACATGCATCATTTAATGGATCAATTGAAATGCCAATAGAAGTTTTATTCATGACAGAACTCTTAAGATTAATGAGAGTTATTTGTTCCAAAAGATCTATTTTAATTAATGAATTTGTTAAAAAACTCTTTCCAGTTAATAAAGTAGCTGAAATGTTGAAATAATTAGATGAATGGTATCCATTAAAATTAGAATTGATACTCTATTTTCAAAGTGTATTTTTAGATAATTTATAATTCTTAACATTTGAAGAAAAATAAGAAGTTGTTAAAACAATTACTGAAGTAATATTTAAATAAATGACTGTAAGTTTTGTTGACAATTAGAATCTAAAGAAGATGGGAAGTGCAAAATTAGTAAATAGTGTTGTATTCAATATTTTTGGTATAAGAAATTACTACACTAGTTAAGAATTTATTATGTCTATTACTCATGAAAAAGCTAGTTTTATATATATAATTTTTGGTGTTTTAGAAGTTACTAAAGACTTTGTAAAAAAAGTATGTCCAAAATATTTTTATAAAGAGGAATAAGAATACTTTGAAGATGTTGTTTAGAATGAAATTATTTTTATGGCATAAACTATATATGAAACTATTTAAAGAGTTTAAGATTTCACTACTGATGTTCCTAATGGAGGTCTTGGTTGCAAAATGAAAAATTCTAATTTTAAAAGAAGAAGTGGATAAAAACCAACTAAATTATTTAATTTAACTCATAAATTATTATCTAGTAATTAAGATGAATAGAATCAAGAATTAAGTTTTTTGGCTAAAGAAGAAAATGAAGTTGATAAGGACAATATTAGAAGAATAATTGATACAATATCATTCTTTTAGTAATCAGAAATTGCCTTTTAGTTATTGAGAAATGATTTGTAAATAGGAGAATAAGGGATTTTAGATAAATGGACAAATTCTATAAAATCTTAAAGAACAAAATTAATAGATGAACATCTTGTAGCCTCAGAAAGAGAAAATGAAATTTAATAATTAGTAAATTTAATTGTTACATTAAAAAGGGATGATACAACAAAATTTAAGAGAATGGTAACTGCACTTATTTAAATGTTATCTGAAACTTCAGTATCTCCATCTATAAAATTAAAATCTATTAATATTGTAAGAAAATTATCAAATTATAAAGAAGATCTATAAATAACTAAATCAATTCTTAAAGATTTGGGAGAACTTGGATTTACAGATTTTTTATGTGATTTAATTAAATAAGAAGTTGATTCAGAATAAAAACTAGAATATATTAAAGCATTTGTAGATTATATAGATGATTCATCAAGAGAAATATAGAATTCCTTTTTATTATATTTACAAAGAGATCTTTAAAATACATTTATAATTAATTTATAGAATTTTATAACAGATATGTTTTAAGATGTGAAAATGGCAGAGATATCAAAAATAGAAAGAAAAAATAGAAATATAAATAAGATTTTAAATAATAAGATAAATGGATGTATTTTGATTTTTGAAATGTTTCGATTAGGTTGTGAAGATCATTTTAGTGATATGTAAAACTTTTTAAGGATTTAACCTAATAGTAAATAACCAATTAATTTTATTATGTTTACAGCTGAATTATTTGAAAAATATGTTGAAATAATGAATGAACATAATGCAGCATTAGGTTAAAAACTATTAGATTTTTTAATTGAATGTGTTTAAGGTCCTTGTTTAGAAAATTAAACAGAATTATGTTAATCAACTAAAATATTAGAAGTTCTTGAATAAATTATAGTTCAACAAAGAGTTGAAAAAAAAAATGAATTTAAAAGAATAGACATAGTATTTTCAAGTTTAAGAAGTAAAGTATTTTTATTATAATTATCATTAATGGAAGGTAATAGTGAATAAGAAATTGCAAGGAAGATATCTCATTATTTTAATCCTTAGATTTTCTTTGAGAGAGCAGAATAAGTTTATTGGAAAATCATTAAAAAGATAAGAAATACATAAATATAAATAAATTTAGAAGTGAAAGTATTGGATAGAGTGAAAACAGAAGCAGAAGAAGCTATTAATCATCATGGTGTTATTTAGACAAAGGACACAAAAGAAACTTTGCCTAATTAAAATTAATTCATGGAATTCTTCTCTGAAAATCTTCATAATAATCGTTCATAGCAACATTTGAAAATTTCATAATAATCTTTTGTAAATGCAATATAAGAAGAAGAGATGGAGGAGATGGTTGGTGAAACATTTATGATGTATTTATTACTCAAGAAATTGAGCAAATATATTCCAAGGATAAAAGATCATGAAAGTAATCCAAAATTGAGAAGAGCTTTAAATTATTATAAAAATGAGACTGCTTCTATTGAAATTGTTAATATGAATGGAAAATTAGAGAAAATATATTTTTAAGTTCCTACTCTAATGAAATATTTAACAGAAGAAACTAAACTATAATTTATGGAAGAAGTAGAAAGAGATTCTATAAATGATAAGATTAATGGATTATTAGATAATATGGATTATTTTTATATGGAAATGGTACATTTTATGAAATTAAGAAAAATTGGAATTAGATTTAACAATAATTTCATTGTTTATTTAAGAAATATCTGTATAATTTTAGCACTATTATTGAATATTCTAATTACAATAAATGATACTGAAGAAAAATTAGCTAATTTTGCTAAAGCTATAGCTATAGTAGATTGTATTTTATATGGATTGATCATGCTCATTTGGATATTTATAAGAATGTAATTAGAGTATGATCGAATTTATAAACAGGTTTCAGATTTAATATAATTAAATTATAATAAGAAATCAAATTAAGGATAGTCTTAGTAGGTTAATCAAAAAACTGTTATATATCCTTTCTAGATTACATTATTACAAGCATTTTATATAATCAAAAGAATGTTATTTAGTAGTTATACTTTTTATTGGTTTTTATTACTTGTTATCAATTTGTTAGGTCTCTTATATAATAAATTATTTTATGGATTTCTATTATTAGATATTATAGATCATTCATAAGTGTTACGAAATGTTATCAAAAGTATTTCACTAAATTATAAGTAATTGTTGATGACTGCTTTATTGGGAGTATTAATAATGTATTTAAATTTTATATTATATTTAGGTATTTGTATTCTTTGGTAGCATATTAAAGTAATGATTTTAAATAATAATTAAAAGCAGATAATGTTAATATTGAAGATGAAGAATCTTTAGATGCAACAGTTTGTTATTCTGCCTTTTAATGTCTAGTTTTTGTAATTCATTAAGGTTTAAGAGCAGGTGGAGGTATAGGAGATGTTTTAGAGGCTCCACCAACTCATTCAAATTTAAATTATTATTCATAAAGAGTTCTTTATGATGTAAGCTTTTTTATTCTAATAAATATCATTTGGCTTAATATCATCTTTGGTATCATTATTGATACTTTTGCTGAATTAAGAGATTAAAAGAATCAGAAAGGTAATAATAATGAATTATGTAAGATTTTGATTCTTAGAATAGATGTTATATATGTGATTTAACAAGAACAGTATTTGAGAAAGAAGGTATATCCTTTGATAATCATGTTCACAAATATCATAATCCTTGGAATTATTTAGCTTATTTAATATATTTAAAAGTGAAACAGAAAACTGAACATACAGGAACAGAATCATATGTCTATAGCAAATTTTTATAAAGTGATATTAGTTGGTTACCAATATAAAAAGCTATTGATTTGGAATTAATAATAGAATAATAACCAAAATAAAATATTGATATCAATTATGAAGAACATAATTAAAAATCCCTTCATTGATTAAACATTAATTTAGTTAAAAATATATTTATATCAATTTCATTGAACAGGACATTATTATGTTCTTCCTTTATATCTTTCATTTTCTAGACATTCAAAACAAATTGCAAAATCACATTCAGTACAATCTCCACCTCCTGGTACTTTCATTTATGAAGAATTCTTATCACATACAGTACAAATCAAACCAAATACTTTTTTTGTTATTTTATGTCTTGCAGGACAGAGTACAGTATTTTCATGTGGATTCTTTGTTAATTCAGGTTCTTGACATTTTAAACATACAAAAAAACAACATAAAGGACAACAATATCTACAATTTACCTAAGTTTTTTAACATTTAAAACATTTCTTTGTTCTATCCTCTCCATTAGGATTCATCCAATATTATAACATATGATTTTTACTACATTAAAATTATCTTGATTCTACTAATTTACCTTATGTTAAAAATGGTCCTTATTATTATTATTGTTGTTGTGCATCTATAACTTATTTAAATTATTATTCTTAGTTTTTTAATAATTATGTTAAATCTGTCAATTATTTTTTCATTTCATTATTTTCTTATGTTATTCCTTTAATTTATTATTTTACACTTTATAATTCATTAGATTCTTTGCTTGCATGAGTTTTTAATTCTTTAATTGAAAATTCTGATGTTTCTTTAAACTCATAGAATTTTTCTGTAATCTTTTCCAATTATTATTTGAGTTCCTAAAAACAATTATGACTTTAATATTTAACCAATTTGATATCTTCCTTACAAATATTACATTATTTTGTTGCAAACTATTAACAAGTTTATTCCTTAAAAATATATATTAATAAATTACATGTTATTTTTATTTTGATTAAGGTCCACTCCATCCACAAAGACACTTAACATTCTTAAATTAACATTCTTTAGCATGTTAAAGTACATCATTCATTAATATAGGAGCTTTACAACCCTGAAATTCATTTACGCATTAAAATGTCATTTTTGAGAGTTCTTCTCTAATCAACCTATGAGCTTGTTTAACTTTAAAGTCCCCTTTACAATCAGGACATCTAATAATATTCAATTATATTTATACTAATCTTTTTTCCTTTACCAAAATTTTGCGCAATCTTCACAATATAGTTATTCACATATTGAACATTCAACAGCATTTATGGCAACATATGTACAAATTTTACAACATAAATTTTGACTAATTTCTTTAGTTGGTATAAAATATTATCTTATTTCTTCCATCTTTAATATATTATTTAATAGAAACTTAATAATAAAGCTATAAATAATCTTAAAAATATATTATTATGATTTTTAATATATATATATATCAAAAATGTCTTAAGAATAGATAGTACTTTTCATGAATTATAAATAAGAATATCTTATTGATATAAATTAATAATACTTAATTATTATTATGTGGAATCTATAATGATATCTTCAAAAAATAAAATTTGATTATAATAAATTATAGAAAAATAATTATTAAAATATAAAACTTAATGAATATATCTGAAGAAGATCCCTTCAAAGAGTTAATCTTAAAATAATAAGAAATAATTGATTAGTAAGACCTTTAGATTCATTTAAAAAATCAAGAAATATTTACACTTTATTAACAGATTTAAGAATGTCAGAATAGACTAGTTGAGACTTAAGAGTTGGTTTTATAAATGGCTACTCAGGTAGATGATATCAAAGAATCCAACATAGAAAAGTAAGAAAAATATAGAAAGGAATTTCTTTCATTTCCAAAAAGATTAAAAGGAAATAAAAAGTTTATAAGCATCATTTGAATGTTTATTTTTGTTCATTCTTAATTCTAGCTTTAAATTATTAATAAATTACTATTAATTATTAATTAAATGTCAAAATTAGATGATTTCTGGTTGAGAGATAGAATGTATGATTTGTTGGGTGTTTATGATAATATCACACATGATTTTATTAAAGAATGTGCAAAAAGCTCAACAAGTGCAGAGGAATTGAAAAAGAAATTGATTGAATCTAGTTTTCCTGCTGATGATTAATTTTGCATAGAATTACTAGCTAGATTTGCAGGAATTAAACCTCCAAAGCTTTCAGAATATGAATTATGGGAAAAGGAATAACAAGAGAAAAAGTAGAAAGAGTATGAATTAGTAGAAGCAAATAATGCTTAATAAAAATAAGTTCATAATCCTAATGAGAATAAGGAAGAGGATAGAAAAGCAAAGGAGGAATTACATTAAAAATTATTAAAAAAGAAGCCATTGGATAAATAATAAGAAGAATTATTAAAGAAGATTGAATTAGAGAAAGTTAAAGAAGAGTCTAGGATGAAGTATTTAAAAGAAAGAGAAATGAAATAATTGAAATTGAAATAAATGATTTAGAAAGATGAAGAATAAATCTTTGATGAAGCAGAATTGACCAAGAAAGAAAGAGAAGAGAGAGAGTTAAATAAAACAATATTAAAAGCAGCAGAATCTTAAAAAGATAATGATATAGTAGTTGAATATTATAAATAACCAGATTTATATGAAGAAGATGGTAAAATATTGAAAGATAAAACTGATGTATTAAAGAAGAAAGCTACAGACATAAAACCTGAAATGCCTGAAGAAGAATAGTGGTAATAACACATATCTACACGAGCTAATTAACATGTAAGAACATGGGATGAAATTGAATAAAAGAGAATTAAAAAATATGAACTATTATATGAAAATGCAATAGACTTTGTTTAATTAGAGGTAATCAAAGAATTAGGGAAAGTCTAAATGAAAAAATAAAAAAGATTGAAAGAAAAAAAAAAAGAAAAAAAAAAGAAGAAGAAATAAGATAAGAAAAAGAAGAAACATCGAAGTTCTAGTAGCAGCAGTAGTTCAAGTAGTAGTAGTAGTAGTTCAAGTGAAGATGAATAACCTAAGCCTTCATATCCTATGGAACCTTAGAAACCTTAAAAAAGTGCTATGTAGATTGTCAAAGAAGGTTTACCAATTTTTAAATTTAGAACTCAATTATTATCATTAATAAGAGATAATAAAGTTATTGTTATGGTAGGAGAAACAGGTTCTGGTAAGACTACATAATTGGCATAATATTTACATGAAGTTGGTTATACTAAAACAGGTAAGATTGGATGTACTTAGCCAAGGAGAGTGGCTGCTATGTCAGTGGCATCTAGAGTAGCATTAGAAATGGGTGTTAAATTAGGACATGAAGTTGGATATTCAATAAGATTTGAAGATTGTAGTAATGATTCTACTATTATCAAATACATGACAGATGGTATGTTATTGAGGGAATTTATGATTGATCCATTATTATAGAATTATAGTGTTATAATAATAGATGAAGCACATGAAAGAACGTTACATACTGATATATTATTAAGTTTAATTAAAGATATTAGTAGAGCTAGAGATAATTTAAAAGTTATTATTTCTTCAGCTACACTTGATGCATAGAAATTTAGTCAATATTTTGATGATGCTCCAATTATTCAAATACCAGGAAGAAGATATTAAGTAGATATCTACTATACACAATAACCAGAAGGTAATTATGTAGAGGCAGCTATTGTTACTGTTCTACAAATTCATGTAACATAAGGTGTTGGGGATATATTGGTTTTCTTAACTGGACAAGATGAAATTGAAGATGCTGAAGAAATGCTTAAAACAAGAACTAAAGGATTTTCTAAAAAAATACCAGAATTGATTATTTGTCCTGTTTATGCTGCTTTACCCAGTGAATAATAAATCAAAATATTTGAACCTACTCCAAAAGGTTGTAGAAAAGTAGTCTTGGCTACTAATATAGCAGAAACTAGTATTACTATTGACAATATTATTTATGTTGTTGATTGTGGATTTGTTAAGTAAACCTCTTTTAGTCCTTCCACAGGTATTGAATCATTATAGGTTGTACCTTGTTCTAAAGCTAATGCTAATTAAAGAGCAGGAAGAGCAGGTCGTATTGCACCAGGAAAGTGTTTTAGACTGTATACAGCATGGTCATATAATAATGAATTAGAGGATTCACCTATTCCTGAAATCTAAAGAACAAATCTTGGTAATGTTGTTTTATTGCTCAAAACAATGGGTATTAATAATTTGGTTAATTTTGATTATATGGATGCTCCTCCTCATGAAATGTTATTAAGAGCATTGGAATAATTATATTCATTGGGAGCATTGAATAATGATGGAGAATTAACTAAATTAGGAAGAAGAATGGCTGAATTTCCATTAGATCCTATGCTTTCAAAAATGGTTGTTACATCTGAACATTTTAAATGTGTAGATTAAATTATCACTATTTCTGCCATGTTATCTGTTGGAAATACAATCTTTTATCGTCCTAAAGAAAAATAAGTACATGCTGATACAGCAAAAAAGAATTTTTATAGACCAGGAGGAGATCATATGACTTTATTGAATATATACAATTAATGGAAGGATTGTAATTATACTAAAGAATTCTGTTATGAAAGCTTTATTCAATATAAAGCAATGAAAAGGGCATAAGATATTAAAGAGTAATTGACTTCATTATGTGAGAGAGTAGAGATTGATGTTAAGGATGAATCTCTGTCTATTTATGAAGATAGTAGTTTCAATATCAGAAAATGTATTACATCTGGGTTTTTTTATAATTCAGCAAAAAAATAAAAGAGTGGTACTTATAGAACACTTAAGAATAGTCATGAAATATAAATTCATCCTTCATCTCTTTTATTTTAAGAAAAACCAGAATGGGTTATATATCATGAATTAGTGTTAACTACAAAAGAATATATGAGAAATGTATGTGAAATAAAACCAGAATGGCTGTATGAAATAGCACCTCATTATTTTACAGAAGATTTTATTAAATCAAATTAAAAAACATTACCTAAAGCAAAAATTGATTATAATAAATTTTGATAATTATATCCTCATTTTTATTTAACTTTTTTGTCTTTTTTAACTCTCTTTACTGGGCCTTATGTATGCTATTGTACAAATCTTAAACCTATTAAAATAAATAGTGTTATATACCTAAAAATAGAATGATACTAAAGAGTGAAATCAAACCAATAAAAATAATCATTTATGTTGTATTTGATAGCTTTGATAAATCAACTCCAAATAATTTATAACCTTATGGTTATTATTATCTTCTTCTTGGATCAACTTCTTCATCATCATCATCATCATCATAACCTTATTCTTATTTATATTTTTTTTATTATTCTTACATGTTTTTATCAAATTGCTAGATTAATTAAAATGAATACTTCAATTTCTTTTGATAATATCTTTTCTTAATCTGTTAATGTGTAATCATCTTCTAAACTCAAATCAGTCATCATGAAAACATCTTAGAAATCTTAATATTTAAATGTTTATTGTCTCAATTAATTAAAGAGATCAGCCAATTATTAATATTAGATTTTTTGTATGCATTACATCACTAATTAAGCTTATAATTTTTCATATGCATTTCTTTTGTCTAAATCATTTGAAATTGATTTAAATAACTACATCAATTCTTGACTTCTTTCCTAAAGGTGATATTTTGTTAATATAATGCATCCATATTGTTATTGTTAATAATAATTTTGTTATTCTATCAATTAATTATTTATTAATACAATCCTATTATTAGAATAGAGATTCTTAGTCTTCTTCACTTAATTCATCTTCCTGGGTTCTAAATTGTGCAATACTTAAGGCTATTAACAGTAATTTCCACATTAAAAATTAATATGTGATATTAAATTTTATACAGAATTCTTAAAATAAGTTAATTATATTAAAGTTATCATAATAATTATTGTAATAGTTCTTTAATATCTTCCTTTACTCTTTTACCAAATTAAGGGCATTCTTCAATGTGTTTTTGTATCATGCAAAATAAGAATTTACTATCTATCTTTTTCTTTTATATCAATCTTTCAAGTTATTATAATAATTTTCTAAATGTTTATTAGTTATTTATACTCATTAAATTATTTTTAAATATCTTATGTTGATTATCTACTCTTTATTTTCTCTTTTATGTTTTTTTATTCTAGATAATCTTATGATATAGATGAAATCTATCTTACTTGTTTCTCAGGTTTATCTAAACATTCTTTAATTAAAAACATTTAACTTTAATCATTTTATTATTTCTATTTTGAAATTTCTTCAAATAACATACTATTTTAATTTCTATTCTCATTTTCTCTTTTTATAATCTAAGAATTTCTCAATTATGACATTATATTTTTAAATTCATTTCTTTGATTATCTGAAGAAGATTTAACACTCATTTTTGTATTTTGAAATTTAATATCATCTTTTAATTGTACATCATCTATTTAATGTTTTCCTATAAATATATCAGAATATTTAGTTGGTTCTTAAGTCTTAGTATTTGAAATATATTTTTTATATTTGCTTAATAATTCTTTCTCCTAATTGTTTAATAATTCCATTTTTGAATTGTTATTTAATTTAATATAATTTATCATTATAAAATAATTGATATATCTACATATAATATATTATTCATGTAAGTGATCTATTGAAAGTTGTTAATTTCTCTACACCTTTAATTAATTCAATTTATTGATTGGGTGTTAATTATTAAGTAAATTGATTTACATTTTCTTCCACTTCTTATTGTATTTATTTCAATTTTTTCATTTCTGTATTAAATTTTAATAATAATCTAGTTATAAAAAGATGATAATACTATTATGAAGTCTTTCTATGATTTAATAATTTATCAATAATTGGAAGTACTTTATAAATTAAATTCTCATCATCTAATTTAGTTTATTTTTTAACAATTTCAACATAGTTATTAAATTCATCATCATCTAAAAATAATATTAAATACAATCATACAATTTTTAACATCATTATTATAACTAATTAATTGCAACCCATAATTTCCTTTTAAGAAATTTCTTTGAATATTTTTAACTGCATATTTAAGATAGTCTCTCCTTTTAATTCCACATGTACCATATCTCATCTAATAATTAATTATTATTTATACTAAATACGAATCTAATATTAGTTAAGCTTAATCAGATTTTTTGCATTCTGTAATTTAATCAATGGAATTTGAATTAGCAATTATCATACTATTTAAAATTGGATGGGATGAAAGTAATTAAGTCAAATAATCAAATGATTATCTTGTTGTTTTTTTATATTCCTATATTTTTTAATCTAAATCAGAAACCTTATATATTAAGATTAAAATGTTACTTTTTTCTCTAATAACTTCAAATACACCTTCTTTCGTAAACGTGAATTCTTAGCACTTTATCTTAATCGTTTATTTTTTGATTCAACAGTTAATAAATCATTAGCAGATCCTAAGAGTCCAGCTAAACCAAATTTCTATTCTTTTGATATTTCTTCTGATGAACTTTCTACTTGTAAATCTTCTTACAATTCTTCATCTAAAAGTTTTCCACCTTCTACACTAAGCAAAGATGTAATTTTTTTAATGTATGCGTTCTTAACATTACCTTTTATTTCCTATAATAAAGGGGCTTGTTCTTTTAAACTAGCATTAGATTGAATTCTTTAAATTGTTGATTTAGTTTTCTTAATCTTTTTACTCTCATGAGTGATTTATTAATTTATATAAGGATTCTGCAGAACACTCTAAGTGAATAAACTTTAAAAATTGAGCATTCTCTATTATTCATGTAATTGTTAGAGTAGACGAGCATTTTATACCAACAATTAATCTTAAGTAAGGGCTTACTGTAGGTAAGGAATGGTTGATTAATTATTTAAGGTTTGTATAAATTAATCTAATTCTTCTTGTGGTTATTACATATATATATTTATTATTTATCATAGACAGGTTCATTATATTCTTAGATTCTCTGTCATTATTAATAAATATTATTACATTTAATAGCGAAATAGTATGAACTATTAATTTTGTAGCTTTGTATTGTGATTTTCATTGATGATAAAGAATTAATTTAAATAAGAAATGAGTTATGAATATGAGATTATTGATGATCTTTAAAGTACATGGTAAATTAATGTTAAATTGTAAATATTGTAATTGAATAAATAGAATAAAATGAGTTATGATTCACTTGAAACAAAAGTAGAAACTAAACACAATAAAAGATCAAAGTTTTTTGTAACGAGTGTATGTAATGATAGAGTACAAAAGGGAGATGACAAGCATTACAACTATGATAATCAAGTAAGACGTGGGTACAAAGTCGAACTGTGCCATCAATCTAACTGCTGCCTCATTAATAAATTAGTTTACTAAAACTGTAATTTGTATTACTAGTCAAGTTGTATTGAGTATTCATATACAAATGCTCATAAATTGTGAACTCTTCTATCTCCTTTCCATCTAAAAACAATTAAACATCAAGCAACAGAATATCAATTTTCGAAAACATTTGTATGCTTATTGGGGGATCCCATGTTTACTCCATCTTAAATATTCCACCTCTTTCAGATACATCTAATTCTATAAAATCAGCCTATAATATGATAGATGGAATAATAAGGGCCAAAAAGAAGAATGCTATGAGCTATTATGTTTACAATATACACAGTAATATATGCAAAATTATACGTCTCCGAAATATCTAGAAATATTCTTACAAACTCTCTACAAATGGATCTTATCTAATTTACTCTTTCTCATGTAAGAAGTACTTCTATTTGATTGGTTGAAATTCATTTCCCATTAACCCTTAATGTTCTTTCATTAATTATTATAATTTAATTATATAAATGTGTCCAATCAATCAATAACAAATTGGTTATAATTACTCAAGACAAATTATTTAATTTTATTTTCAATCTTTTCAATAAAGAACCATTAATAACATTAATCCATTTTCAAATATCTATAATTAAAATATTAAATTCTCTCAAATTTTTAAATCAATTATAGAAAAAATTATTTAAAATTTGATGAATAAAAATAAACTATTGAATAAATAGAGAATCTAAATATAAAAAATAGTTTATTTATATAAAAGAATTCAGAAATAAAATTAAATAATCCAAAGATGAGAATAGATATATCAAAAGTAAAGACTTTTAATTAAAATCATTACTAATTTAAAAAGGATTATTTAATAATTATAGAATACAATTCTTTTTATGTATTTTATATTTGCACAGTGTAAACTTTTCAATTTCAATGATAAAATTGAAAATGTCAAAATTGAACTTATGTTTTTTTCTTTATCTTTTTATTAATCTAATTATTTTATTTTATTATTTTTTTTTATTTCTTTTAAGGTTATCTTCTATTTTCACATTCTGTACATTAACAATGTGATGTACACTTTTTTCCCCTAATAAAACATTCACAATAACCTTTTATACATTTAGTTTTCTTGCATTTACATCCCCATACTTATTTTGTATCAAAAGAATCTAAATCATGATGTGATGCTCTTTATTCTTTCATCTTAATTTATTCAACTGCCTTCAATACATCTTCCTCATGTTTTCCATCATTATAACAATCATTACACTTACATTCACTTATACATTGACGTCTATTATGAAAACATGAACAATATAATTATAAACAATGAGTTTTTGTACAATGACAAGGTTTCATTTCATCTTATTCCACAGGAGAATTATCAACATTATAATTTATTTTATTCATTTTTCTTCTTGTTTGAATCTATGGTATAATTGGTATTTCCTATATATCCAATTATTTTATTTCTTATCCATCTTATTCTACTTGCTTTTACTATTTCTTTTAGGGTGAATATTTAATTGGACTTTATGCTTCTATTGACATTTACTTTTTGTATTAAATTTGATTTTCTTCAAGGGACATTTACGAACTATTCAAATTATTCTAATCAATACACAAATAGGGTTAATCTTGGTACAGGAATATCTTCTATTTATTCAGCTGATGACAATTAACTTTATGTTTATCCTAGTAAGTATTCTTATTTCATATCCTCCCTTTATTAATTATCTTTGGGTATAAATAAATCTTCATCTTTTTACAAATCATTAGATGAAGAAATATACATGCCACTTCGACTATCTTTATTAATCATTCTTAAATTTAAATAAAAAAAATATTTTTTAAACAATTTTTCATTTTTGTATAGAATATGTTAAAAATATATTCAATTTTTATGTTATTCAAATCTCTACTCTTAAATTTTTATTCTTATATCCTTAAATTCTATTAAATTCTTATTTTCAAAATTTAAATACTCTCAATAACCTATAACAAACTAACGTATTTTTATTAAAGGATATCTAATTTATAATTATTCTATTATGAATATAAATGAAAAATTCCATTAAAAATACACTAAATATAAATATCTTAAATTTAATCAATAGAATAAGTAAAATTGTATTATTTCATCTATAAATTTACAATCTAATTCTACTCCCCAATTATAAATATTAATAAGATTATTCAATTAAAATAAGTGAATAAAATCAAGTTTTTATTTTAATAGAAATTGTTTTTTATGCCTAAATAATAAATCTTAACAAAAATAACTTAATAAATAAAAAATATCAAAAATATGATAATAAAATTTAAATGAAAAAAAAAAAAAATACTTAATCTAAGTACTAAAATTTAAGTAATATTATTTAGAATAATAAGAAAAATTTAATTTAAAATTTAATATTATCCTTTATAGAGAATAAATGATGACAAATTTAATGTATAATATTTTTTAATCATAGAATTTACTATTAAAACGGAATGATTTTAATAATTATATTTGATAAATCTTATAATTGATAGATTAAATTCATAATTCTAATACTATATTAATTCATTCTAGATTATTTTTTTAGATCAATTAATAATCTTATTTTTTAAGTGTATCTTATTGTAGTTTATAATTTGATTAAAACTTTTGGATATGGAAATTAAATTTTATAGAAAACTAAAAAAAAATATTATTAATTAACACATATGCAATAAGTGGAAACTTAATATTGTTATTATAGCAATTTCAATTTATTTGAAAACACATCTCAATTAATAAAGAAAGATAAGTTTATTAAATCATTATTGCAAACTTTAGGAGAGGAATGGCGTATTTATGCAGGACAAGCAATCACTATAGAATTGGATGGATAAATAAATTATATGGCATGGTAATTTTGTTTTGAAAATTTACTTTTTGCTTGGTTAGAGAATGAAGATTCATAATATTTAGAATTTTACAATTAATCAATTTAGCGCATAAGTCCTTATAATATTGGTATCAAAGAAATAAATTTATATTAGATGTTGTTTATTTTAGACCTGTATTTGATGGTTATTTTTATTCTGCTTAATAATTATGGTAAAAGATGAGATTGAGTAGACCACCTTCATAAGAATCTTTTAAATCTTTAGATTAAATAAAGTAAGAGGAAATTAAACCAATGTCTAATATTCTAAAACCATTAGTAATAGTAAGTGAAAGGATTATCAATTATTTTCGTAAAGAAGAATAAACTTAAACATAAAGAATTGAGTATCCATAATAATAATAATAATAATAATAATCAAATTGGAAGTAAATTTCAAAATTAACAGAAGATTCTTTACCACTTGATTTAGTGGAGAATGCATATATTTATGTAAATTAATTCATTTAGAAAACTTAAAAGAATTGTTAAGTAGCTAAATCATTTATTGTTAATATAATAGAGTTAAATCATGAAGTATTGAGCAAATTTTAGATTTCAAATTAGTAAATTAAAATTAGAATAATGTAACCATCTTGTTTAATGTATGATAATTTATTATCAATTTGGACATTAGCTAATGCAGGAGTTTAACCTTAATATTTTGATTTAATTGGTAGGGCAAAATCTTTATTGGGAATTAATTGGAAAGATAATTATTAATAACCTATTGAAATATTTTTTTAGTTAATGGCTAAATTATATGGAAATATAATTTTAAATCCATAAATAAAATCAGAAGATTAATTAAATCATTTATTATAAAATATGAGAATATAAATGGCTTAATTATGGGAATAAGAAATAGTTTAATCAACATTAGAAAAATAATGATTAATATTATATTATATTGTGTATAAAATATAAAATATTAAATATAATTGATATTATGATTGATCCTTAATTGATGGAGAAATGGAAAACAGAGCTTTTTTAAGATCAAGCTCTTAATAAACTTTTTGATTAACACTTAACATTAGAAGAATTTGTCTTATTAATTCTAAAGAATTGTATTATTATAATTCATTATTAAAATAGATAATATGGTTTAATTGGGAGATATATTTTAAAAATTGACTTCAATTAATTAATCTATTTCTATGTAATTAGATCATTACATAAAGAATAATTATGAATTGTTGATTGAAGATCTAAAAGATGTAAGATTTAAAAATATTACTAGAAATCTTAACAATGTGATAATGAAGTAATTATTGAAGCCTTAGAAAAGATTAAATTTATATAATAAAGACTTTAAGAAAATTATGTTAATAAATACAATAAAATAATGAAATTATTACCAATAAAATAAAATAGTGAATTAGCTTTGTAAATGTGTAAACAACTTCAAAAGTTTAGTGTTCAATTAAAATTATTGAGATCATTAGCTTAATAACAAAATAATAATATTAATATAACAGATGCATAAAGAGTTGCTAATGCTTTATTTGAAATAGATAGATTATAAATTAAACAATTTCAATTTTATAAGAATAATCATACTTATATTAAATAAGTTGAAGAAAGTTTATAAATAAAAGTAACTAGAAAATTTGAAGATTCACTCTCAGCAAAGAGTGTGCCAGATTTAACTTAATGTTTAGGAATATTTTATAGTCTTGGTAGATTGTCTGAAATACTTGAACTGAAATGTAATTAAGTATTAAAATAAATAAGTGAACAATATAAAATATTATTCTCAAATTCTAAATCCTTTTTACCTGATTATAGAAATCAAATTAAAAATGAATTAAATTAGATGATTTTAATTTGGTTAATATATTAAGCTATGAATTAAAGTAATATATATTATGATATATTTATTTTAGCTGATTAATATCATTTAATTACTTATTAAGAAGAACTCAAAGATTAATTTCCACATTTATTTTTAATGGTATGGAAAAAATATACAGATGTACTTTAATAATCAATCTAAATTATTATTGATAACAAATAGAAATATGAGTCTACTTATAATAATTTAGTACATTTTTATCCCATCATTAAAGATATCTATTATGATTAATTAATTATGTTTAGTGAATAAATAGTAAGAATTTATATCCATTTTATTTAGCTTATATTTCCATCATCCATATTATTGAGTCTAAATTAAAATGAAATTTAAGAATAATTAATGTCTTCCTTAAATATTTTAAGACCATTACATTAAATGTAGTTTATATTATTGTTGAAAGAACAAATCACAAATCTTGCAAATGATGTATATGTTTAAGAAAAAGGTTAGACATATGTTGAAAAAGTAAATTTTTATAATTTATATTTAGGCTTTGAATACTTTAACTTCATTTATTGATTTTGTTAAATTAGAATTTGAATAAATCAAATATGATGGGCAATCATTTAAATTTATGACTTAAAAGTTACTTCATGAATATAATTCATTAATTGAATCTTTTTAAGGTATGACTTATACTAATGAATGTTTAAATGTCTTATCTGTATCTATGCCATATTTTTGGAAATAACTTTTAGATCATCCTTTAAATCATGAACTTGAAATGTCAGAATTATTCATTAAAAAAGATGGATTTAAGTAAATAGATTCAAATTTATAAATCTTATTTGATTAATATTTACAAAGACGTAAAATTACATAAGATTTGATTAATGCCTTATTAAAAAATTGATTTTAATGTATAATACAAATTTTATTATTATTATTAAAACATGTTAAGGACTATCCAATCTTTTTCTTTAGATGGTGAAGCAAAATTATCCTTTTTACCTAAAAACAAAACAAATTATTATCTAAAATCTTTAATAAAAAATAGAAAATTGAGACCAAAAAGTCAAGAAGCAGACGATTCTAATTAATAAATTATAAATCAAAAGATAGGTCCATCAAGAAGAAAAAGTTGTTATTGTAATTTATGTGGTTTCACTAGTAAAAAATAATAAACATTTATGGATTTTTAGTTAATCAAAAATTCCACTTTGATCAAAAAACCACCTATTCATAATGATAGAAGAAGTACTTTAAATCTACAAAGTACAAGTAAGAAATTATCATATATAATAAGATAGAAGTGTTTTTTATAGAAGGAACACTTAAAAAAAAGAGGAAAGAACAGAACTTCCAAAATCACCAGTCTATGATCTAGGTGATTCAAAAAATACTGATTGGTATGTACGCTAAATTGTTAAAAGAAATTCTAGAATTAATGTTCAAAAATTCGTTGATAATTCATTCTCTAAAAACTCATAATAATAATCCTAATCAAACAAAAAATTAAATATTGATGATTTGATGAATGTAAAAAGTCAATAAACTATACATCTTCCTTATAGTATAAGTATTCTATATAATAATAATGTAATAAGATAGTCCTAGTGTTAGAATTCGAACTATTGGGGCCTTTGACTAAGATAACACAATAACATCTCCAAAATGTAAAGATCTTCCTAAGTTATCTCCATATTTAAGCTTTCGCTAACTTAATACAAATCTCCTTGTTCCTATCAAATACAAATCTAACATATCAATGTCAAGAAAAGTCTAAAAAAAAATATTATCATATTCCAAAACTTGAATAGTTAATTTGTAACTTAATTATTTTGTTTCTGTTATAAATATTTGATTTTATCTTTAAAAGATTCAATATCTTATATAAAACATAAAAAAGGGCTGAAATTTATTACAATTTATCTATTAATAAAAAAGTAAATTGTTTTTATCCTTATATTTTTGCATTAAAAGATTCAACATTTATTATATCTAAATTATATGATAATATTATAAGTCTATAATATAATACTACATAGAATAACTAAATACTTTAATATTATTTAATGGAACATCATAAATAAAATAAATGATTATATCTGTATTCAAAAATATTATATAAAAAAATAATATTTTTATGTTAAATTAAGCATCAGATAATTGAATTAATAATTAATTTATACTTCAATTATAATTAATAGATATGCTACTTATGTACTATATTCTTTATGATATTTTTAAATAATAATTATATGATATTATATTTACATTAAATAATCTTGATCAGATCAGATTTTTTCAACAATAATTTAATCTAACATGTCTTTGTGTGTATCTATGGTATAAAATTCATCTATTTTTTTATCTGGCATAATCTAAGAATAAGTCTTTGCTTAAAATGTTGAAACTATATATTTTATTATTATTATTGATACTTTTTTCTTATATATTTCTTATTCTTGATGAAAGCATACATTAATAATTGGACAAAGTTTATAGATGCATTAATTTATATTATAAAGCTTCATCTACATCCATATTTGGTTATTTTTCATAATATTTAATCATTTTATCTACAGTATTAGTCAATAGTTCTAGTTATTCATGTTATTATAATATTAATTGTTCTTAATATTTTTAGGGAACAGAAAACTATTAATTAATTCTTACAGTTCCAGATAATTAATCATATGATTCTTTCATTGTTTATTAAGCTTTTTAAAAATCATTGCATTAAGCCTCTTCTTTTTTTAAGACTTCTAATCCATCCTCTGTTATTTTTTATACCAATCCAACAGTAGAAATATATTCATTTAAATTTTTAGACAAATCTTTTTAACCAGCTAAAATTTATTCAGAAGTGTCAAACACAGATTTTGTATCCATTTAAAAGATAATTTATGAAATAGGTTAAATCATTTATTGCCATTATTAATTTTGGGCTGGTTGATTAGCAAAACTTTTTTCTGTTTCACTTATCTTTTGAGTCACTAAATTATATTTATCTTTAAAGGCATTTGAATCATTAATAAAAGATTGAATCTAATTTTGCTGTTGATATTATAATCCATTTTATATAAAACCTGGTTATTGTTATTAAGGGTTTGTAGAAAATAAATTGGTTTATTAACCTAAACCAGGTTATGTAGTACTAAATAAATTAGAAGTTGCTTATGGCTGACCAAATATACCCTAAGTTTAAGGTGGCTATCCCAATATTGGATTTTATCCAAATCCCCCTATTATATAACATATTTTGATATACCTATGATTGGTTGAGTTTAAGTGTTTGGCTATCCAAATAACATATTATTTTGTTGTGTTGGTTATGGATTACCAAAAATGTTATTTGTTTATGGTTATGCAGGTGCACCTGAGAATAACATATTTGGTTGAGGAGGTTTATTTCCAAATAAATTTTGTTATGGTGGATTCGTACTCATTATAATAATTACTTAATTATTAGTTTAAAAATTTGAAAAATTCTAATAGTAATAATAATGAATAACACTCAATTTTAATGATAATTTAGATATGTAACGTAGTCTTGAGGATAAAGATAACAATAAGATAAATAAAGATTTGTAATCTCTCCAACTCAATCCTATCAAGTGGAATCAATTTAAAGACTAGTTATATTAACCCATATGAATTAAATGAAGCTCTGCAAATAGATAAAGTATCATCTATATTTTTGTAATTATATTACCAAGATCTACATATATATTAAATTAAAAATCATCTTTTTTTATAATGAACTCTTATTCCTATAACATAGAAATAAAATTTGCAAAACAACATTGCCACAAACAGATTTATCTTTATGATAAATTATCTCTATAACTACAATATTTTGTTTATTGTATTATTTATTTTACATATATTATCTATCATTGCATAATTAAAATTTTCACTGTAAGATTACTCTATTGATAGAAATTTGCCTTCCTTTTTTTAAAATGAAATTAATTTAATTATATATTAATTATCAAGTGTCAATTGATTTATTCTTATTTGATTTCTGATTAAATGTTATTTTTAGCTTCATTCAATTTATTCTATTATAATGATTGATCAAGATCATTTAATTTTTACTCAATAGATGCCCATTATGGTAAATTAAAATAAATAAGATCAGATGTGATCCATTGACGCTTCAAATCATCATCCTTTTTTTTTAAGCATTACTATAATAAAGCTTATTATGATGAAGGTGATTTTCCTCTTTTTGGACTATTCTTAATTATAGATTTTGATGTATTTAATTTTGATTACACTTTCTTTTTTTTCTTAGGTTATTGTTCTTCATCACTTGTATTCTACAATTCTAATCTTGCCTTATATTTATGTTTATCACAAAAAAATTTAAATTGATTCTCAATCAATTTACCTTATCATATAAAATTCATATTTTACCTGTTTAGGAACTCTTCATTAGACAGGTAAAATGAAATGATTAAGGACATACTGCACAACAGATAGTAGCTCCTGATCTACTACATAAAAAACATTTCTAAAAATTTATATAGTATATATATTACAGTTTTCTTAGATTTTTCAACTTCTTCATCAATATTTTTAGGATCACATTATTCTAAATTACTAAAAAATACTAAGTTTTAACTCCATAATCCACACATTTCATGTAATTAATATTTTTCACTAGAATTACTATTTGAAGGTATTAATAAAAGAGGTCCCAAATTTTAATCATTAGCTTCTAAACTACAAAATACACAATTTCCTTCATTTTATTTTGGATAAATTAATTTTTAATATTAAAATTTTTATAATCTCCCAAATGTTATTGTTGATTCCTTTATTTCTTATTTCTATTTTAAAATAGGTTTGATTGTTTCTGTCTATTATTCCAATTAATTACCATTAGAATTTTAAACTTAAGTTGTAACCTTTTATTAATTATTTTATGTGTTTTAATTTTATTAAGACTAAAATTATCCCAAATTTTAGAATTGCTATAATTACAATTAAGATTGTGTTTAACTTTATCCTAAAATAGGTTAATTCTATATAAAAGAATTTTAAATTGATTAACCTGTATTTCTTGTTTATTTGAATAATGGAAAATATTTTTGTTCATTTTGAACTTATTTTGGAGGGGCTTTTTATTCAATGTTTTTATTAATTTATTCTTATTGATTTAATTCTTCAATTACATAAGTTTATGGATTAGAGGGAATCATCTCTTTTAAATCTCTTAATTATTTATCCACATCCTTATGAAATTTATTAAAATATTCCAAAATCTTCATTTAATTATATGATTATTTATCTAATTGTTTCATACTATTAGAATCTTCAGTGATGTTATTCAAATGAAATCTTCGCTCCATTTTTTCTTATTATTTTCTTTTTAAATAATTTGTAAATTTTTGAAGAGTAGCCTTAGTTAATGCCAATAATTGATCAGCATCTGAAATAGCTTAATCAAGTTCTTCAGCGGCTTATTCTAAATATAAATTCATTTAATAATATATATTAATTTTATCAAAAAATAAACATGACTTTGAATTGAATTATTAATTTTTAATGTTGTGTTATTTTTATTTGTTTTTTAACTTTTTTTTTAAATCAAGTGATAAATACAAAAATTATTATTCCACCTCCAAATTTAGACCTAAATTGTTGATAATGATTATTTTATCTATTAATATTCATTAAATACACTACATTCATTTTTTTCAAATACTTAAAATATTTTTTAGTGTAATTTTCATAATTCTCTAAAATAAACTTTAAATATTCTATAAATTTCCTTAAATATCATTCTGTTATTTATTACAACCTTTAATTTGAGAAGTTTTGATCTGCAACTATACAAATTTATTAAAATAAAATAAACTTTAAGAATCTTTAATATTAATATAGACATCTTATCTTTCAATGATATCAGATGATAAACTTTATGAATTATCTGTTTTTACATCTTCTTCGATTGAAATTTTAATACATTTTCTATTCAATGTTTAACGAATTAAAAATAATTTTTTAAGTAAATTTAGATATTCACACATATATTATCATCAAAGGACTTCATATCATTTTAAATTCTTAATTCTAGACACTTGGCTGAAATTAAATAATAAATTCCTTTGAAGATACTATCCTACTTGAAAGAGTGGAAATAATTTTGTATTTTAGTATTTTATTTTCTAATATTTAGGTATATCTGCATTTTTTGTGCTTCATCTTTATATTTTTTATGTTTCCTTTACGCATATGGAATATTATAGTCTTAGCAGTCGCATATTTGATACTCAATTTTTTAGCAGCCTATTATATTGTCAATTCAGTATAATACATCTTTGATTTTAAAACCTTCCTTGAATACCAGCTATGCAAGTTATTCCTTTGAATTAGATGGTACTTTGATATAAGTTCGTTTATATTCCTAAAAGGCTCCAGGGACTAAATTATTTCGAGGCCTAAGCTCTTTTTTTTCTTAAGGCTTCTCAATTTCTGAACTTTCATTATTTGACTACTCATTTTCATTAAGACATTTAAAAATGTTCATTATAAATAATAATTTTGATCCCATCAACATTGTTTTGAATATAAAGAGCGATTTTAATGCGTCATAATTAATTATATACGAGTAAATTATATAAAAATATGTAAGGAATTTGCATAATATTAATAATGAAATCGCTATATTAATATAAATTAATAATAAATTAAATCCTGATCAAATTTAAGTAATTTTATCCAAATTTAAAGAAAAATACAAGTCTTTTATTAATTTATCACAAAAATGAAGTTAAAAACAATTATTAACAATTTAAGAAATATTATAAATAGTTACATTAATAGAATGTTTAAGATTTGTAATAGAATCGAAATAAATATGTGATTTGCGATAAAAATAAAAATAATTAAAAAATTCTAAAAAATCTTAAAATCATTCAATCAATATATCAAAAGTTAATATTAGATACTGCAACTTATTGAAAACAAAGTATAGAATTTCCAATTTAATTGTTAATCATGAATTAATAAAATTTTATTTATGCTTATAATTTATTATTACTAGTTGCAAGTAATAATATTATTTTAATAATTTATATTATATATATATATATAAAGCTATTAAAAATATGTATTTCTAATTTTAATGAAATGAGTAGATTTCAAATTTCTTAATTTAATATATTAATTAATTAATTTAAAAAAGTTTTTATTATTAATTAAGTGATTTAGATTTATATGAATAGTTGGTAATTATAAATTTAATGATTTGATAAATTTAAAATATAATGATTTTTCTTTGATTTAATTTATTATTTTGAAAGATTTTCAGATAAAGAGTAGAGTTATTATTTTTAAGAAAGGAAAGTATGGAGTTAGAAGAATAATATAGTGAGCAAGACGATAAAGAAAGTTACATAATTGAGAATGGAAATATAAAATTAATAATAATATAAATCAATTTAGTTTAAAGAATCAAATTATTATGGACATGGATTTGCTCAGTTTTACCTGTATTAGACCTCATACTTTTTTTTCTAAAACATATTACTTGAAAGTAATGGATGATGAAGTTTTGATATCAGCTGTAACCTTATGATTCTAATATTCAGTTTAGCAATTATTAGAACCCCAAATATCGTATAGAACTTAAATTAACAACATAAATTTTATGGAAAATGGGAAAACAATCATTAAAAGCATTTGGAATAGTTTACCAGAATAAAATTAAATATTTTGAAGCATAGTAAATACATCTTGAATCTTTGAAAAATGTTATTGGTGGTAAAGTGATTTATAGAAATATGGCATCATTTTATGAACCAGTTAAATTAATAGGAGAGGGATTGTCAGCAAAAGTAAATTAATTTATTAAAATTAGGTATTTTAAAGCATAGATAAGTAAAGTAAAAAAGCAGTTGCTGTGAAAATGATAAAATAAGAATTTGGAAGAGAAGACCAAGCATTGGTAAATAAATTAAATTGATTTTCATTTAAGGACATAGTCAAAACAGAAGTATCAATCTTAAAGTAGCTAAACCATTAAAACATAATAAAAGTACTTGAAGTCTATGAAAATGATTAAACATTTTGGATAGTTTAAGAATTTGTAGCTGGAACTCCATTAAGTGAAACATTGAAACAAAAACTACCCAGTGAATAGATAAAAACTATAATGATTGTATAATATATATAATATATTAATAGGGACTATTGAATACAATAAGTTATTTACAATCTTAAAAAATTGTTCATAGAGATATAAAACCAGAAAATATTATTATATAGAAAGACAATTCTATAAAAGTAATAGATTTTGGATTTGCAGCAAATCTTAAATTTGGATCAGTTAGCAGTGTATGTGGTACTCCAGGATATTATGCTCCTGAAGTATTAAGATAGAAGGAATCAAGTTATAATTCAGACATGTTTAGTGTTGGTGTTGTTTTATTTAATTTGTAAAGAATTTTCAAAAACTATTAGAATAACAAATCAACCAATGCTTAAATCTAAAATGTATAATGCATAGCAATTTGTAGCTGATGAAGAAGCAGCAGATCTTCTAAAGAAAATGTTAGAAGTGGATCCTAATAAAAGAATTACTGCCACATAAGCATTGGAGCATCCTTATTTTAAAGATAAAATGGAAAAAACTAGTTATGAAAAATAGGATAGTCATTATCCTTCAGAAAATAAAATTATATAATAATAATAATACTAATAATAGTAGTTAAATAATCAATAATATCAGCAAAAGAAAAGTAATAAAAGTTTAGATGCTAAAACTACAAATATTATTGATTAATGAATTTATAAATTATCATTTCTACTATTTCTTTTGCAATATTTTATTGTCATTTAATAATTTTCAGTTTAAATAAATTCTCTTTAATTTAATTATTGAACTTATGGATTTTCTTATTTATTCATCATCTATTCAAAATGTATAACAATCTAACCAATCCATAAGAATCTAAACAATAAGAACTAATTAGAGATCTAACAGTTTGAATTTTAGAAATATAAATGTTATCATTAAAGAATTGAATAAAACTCACACAAGAAGAAAAAGCTGTTATTGCACTGAATGTGGATGCTTAGGAAGATTCTAATTCGAGAATATGAATACAAGATTGTTATTTGAAAACAAATAAAAAAGAGAAATTGTAAATACAAAAAGTGCTTTAACATTAACGCTACCAAGTATAAACTTACTCCTATATCTAAAGAATAAGAGATCTTCTTTTAAAGAAAGAGAACAGTTAAAAAAACAGATAAAAAAACAACGATTATTGATAGTAACACTACTGGTGATAAAATCGATGAATAAAAGACATAATATTTCAATTTCAATATGCAATCAAGATCTTCAATTCTATCTAATATCATTGGAAAAAGAGAGTTATAGATTAAATAAATAAATAAAATCAATAGACCATAGTGTTTAATTAGATTGGAATAGAAAATGAAATGTCTTATTCCAATTACATAGAAACATATTGAATTATCTTTCCCTGTTTAATATTGTTGTAGTCGAATCAAAACTGAAAATTAAAGTTATCATCATCAACTTTAAAGTCCAATAAATAGAACAACCACTAAATCTAATTATAAGAATTCGCCTTATTATTATACTTATAGATAAACATTAACACCAAAAGTTAAATTTAGAAATGAATAGAAAAAAAGGAAATCATCTATTCATTAATGATTAAATTTTGATCAAATTTTTATAACGATTTTTTAGATTCTTTAAATTAAGATAAGATATATTATAATTAGTTTATTAAGATTCTATAAATTTATATATAACTCTTACAATTAATAATATTATAAATCCATTATTATCCAGAATCAAAATAAATGCATTAAACACTAAATATATATATATATATAGTAAATGTATCAACAACAAGAGTAATATTTGTTATCAAATATATCGCATTATTCTTTTATTTAATCTTTTGATGGTGGTATCCAATGAGATTATATACCTTTATGAAAAAATGTTAATTTTATATTTTATATGTATCCATAATTGTATGGATGATAATATCTAGGATAAAAATTTAAGTATGAAATCTTTTCTCTTTTTGTATGTTCCCAAGTTGTCTTACCAGTCAATATCAACATAGTGTGATATAAAAGTAAAACACCTGTAAATATTCCAAATCCAAATGATGTTGCTGCAATTAATAAAATAATAAAGTATTAATATTTGTATTCATCATTTCCAAATTCTTCATCATAAGTAGAATAATATGCAAATTGTTTATTAAATTAAAATAATCCATCAAAACATAGTAAACATTAAAAGAATAAAAATAACCAATACATTCGATGATTTAATTCACCTACACATCCACCAATCCAAAAACAATGATGATCATATTTAGGTATACATTTCTAACATTTAGAACAATGTTTTGTTCTGTAAGATTATATAATTTTACATTCTTAACATTCATTTCTATCAGGTGTTAAAGATTCAAATTATTCATCATCTCCCCTCACATTAGAAAAAGATAATTAAGATAATTCATGATCTTCTTATTCTACAACTGGCTCACCTGTTGAATCACTACATTATAGATAAAAATATCCAGCAGCAATAGTCTCAATCAATAATCGAATTCCAATCAATATTGTTAATTCATTTTCAAATATTGTAAGTGTAAGCATCCCTATCAATTCTGCTGAGAATAGAAACCTTTTACATGTATTCCCTAAATTATATACTTATGGTGGCACTGCCATATATTTAATTATTTAATAATGACATAAGAACCTAATCCATTTAGTAATAATATACAAATATAATCAAGAACATGTGACATTTATGGATACTAATTGTGCAGCCAAAGCAGGAATGGTCACTGTAGCTGGAGGTGCAATGGGTTTTTTAATGGCTTTATTTATGAATGCAGTAGAAATGAGAGACATGGATTATGGTAGAACCAAATAATCAACTCGATATGTTTTGAGAGTAATATAATTATAAAATACTAGAGAGATATAAATAAAATGTTTGGAATGGCAAAAGGATTTGCTATTTTTGGTGCTTTTTATTCTATATTTGAATGTCAATTAGAAAAATTAAGAATTAGAGATGATGCAACAAATTCATTTCTTTCTTGCATGTTTTCATCTATGGTACTAGCTGCTGAATCAGTTGGATGGAAGGGTTTAATGATGTCAGGATTAGGAGGAGGTATGTTTGGAGGGGTTATGTATTATGTTTAGATTAAGTTTATGAATCACTGATATATTTTATTATTAAAATGAAAAAATAATTTCAATTCTAAAAGAAACATAAAGAATGGCAATAAGAATTTTAAGATGTGGATGATTAAGCAATATTAGAAAAAGTTCAGTTGCCTCCCTCTGAAGATGAAGAATAACCAGTTTAATTAGAATAATAAATACAGTAAAAGAAATAAGAAGAAGAAAATGAGATCGAAATTGTAGAAGAAAAAGAAGAGATTATTGAATAATCTAATTAAAAATAAAAAAAAATTGAATGGTTAGATTCTGATATTGAAGGAGTTGATGATATAGATGATGAAGAAGAATTGATAGAAGATGCTGATGAAATTGATCATGATCAAAAAACTATATTTGTCTAAGGACTTCCATTAAAAATAAGTGATAAAGAAATTGTTGAATTCTTTTCATAATATGGAACAATTGTGTCTATTGAAATTCCTCGTAATGAAGGATCTTAATTTACTAAAAGGAGAGCATTTATTGAATATAATACCATTAGTGAAGCATAAAGTGTAACAATGCTTGATTTAGAATTGAAAGGATGTTAACTTAAAATCAGAATAGGTATTTAATAAAAAGAGTTAAATAATAATAAATAAAATAGTAGAAGTAGAAGTAGAAGTTAATCAAAATGAAATAAACCGAATGAATAATTTATACAATTTATATATTTCTTTTAATTTATAGTGTATCATATAAATTTAAATTAAAATAATATGGATTTCTTAGGAATCAAAAACAATAAATTCATTAAGAATAAAGAACTTAATAGATAATAAGAGGAAATGTTCTTGATAGAAGATAATTTATAACAAGATGATAATGAAACACATATTATTGTTCCAGAATCTCCAGAATTTAAATTCATTTAAACAATTAAACAAAAAAGAACTTTTTGAATGTCTAGAGAGCGAATTGAGTTTATTTTTGTATTATTTTGTACTTCAACACTAATATATATACATAAATCATTCTACTTAACTCATTACTCATATATACAAGACCAAATATATCGTTTTGTAATTTGATAAAATAACAACCGACAAGCAAAAGCAGACTAATTTTTATTATCCCAAAAATATAAATATAATACTTTATTATATATGTTTCAATAAATGTTATTTGAAATATTCATATTTTGGACACTCTAAAGAGATTGTAGAAAAATATTTATAATTATAAATAAATAGAAGTTGAATATTAAAAAATAAGTTGCTAATTAAAAATCAGGTAAATCTATTCTCATCATTTTTATGATAGATTTCATAAAGCTTTATAATGTTATTTAATGATCATTCTTTGGTTTACTCTTACAACACTCTTATAAAATTTATCAAAAGTTTTATCATCATTTTTTATTAAAAAAGCATTATCCCCCCAAAAGCATCATTAATAAACTCTCTTATCTTATATTGCATTTATAAATTTGAGGATATAATAGAGATGTTTTAATTATACAATCAAGGTGACTCAATTTTCTTTTTTGACAAGAAAAGATTTAAATAATCTAAAAATAACTCTTATTCATCATTATTCACAGTTACACTTATTAATTAAATACTACTAAAATAATCAAAAAAAGACCTTATTTATAAAAATCTTAAAATTTTTCTCATCATTTGATTAATAATTTTCATAGATCACAATTGATAAAAACCTTAAAGAATGTCTGTAGGGAATACTTTAAATAGAATATAATAAGTAACAGCCTTCTCTTTACTTTTAGTTTCTCCAAGATAACTTTTTCTCTTGCAGTTGAATAATTAATAGTAAACTCTTTTATATTGAGTTTTAATTCTAAATTTTAAGTCACTCTTTAAATCTTTGATTTATCCTAGTATACTACCAGCAAATGTGAAATTTTAAAGGGAGATCTTAAACACAATATAATTAGAATCTAAGAGGGCTTTAATACGATTGATTACTAAATCTAGTAACCAGAATATTTGGCTCAATGTAGATTAGTGATTAAATCAAAGATTTATGGCAAGAAAGACATTTTACTAATGTTCATATTGGATCAAATTAAATGAGAGTCTCAAATTTTAATTTTTAAGTGCTTAATTTAGATGGTGTAGAATATTGGAAGGCTAGTTCTTTGCTTTTAATGTTAGTGTCTTTTTTAATAAGAATTGTTGATATAATGTTGAACTCTATATAAATGTCTAAATATAAATAAAATCATAATTTCTCATTTTGCAACAAATACTTAATTGGTTAACCTTCTTCTGAAATCAAAAATTTACAGAAGTCTTAGTTGATTTTTCTACCGTTAGCCAGCTTCTCATCATACAATTACGGAGTTTGTCTCTTTAAAAATTTGTATAATGGGTGAGTAAATTAACCATTAAATTCCACTTTCTAAAAAACTTTAAATCCTTATAATTTATCTGCTATCTACTAATAAGTGAATTTGTGATCACATTAAGGAAAGAGAAGTACTTAATAGGGTAGAGATTTCAAATAGTTTAATTGGTCATTCAATTCAGGAGAATCGATGGCAACATTAACTATTACAACTTTTTAACCTTAATATTGAGAGAGTGATTCTTCAGATTTATTTATATTGATGACATTGATTTCATGAATGGATTTAAATGGAGTTTCAACAGGAGAATCTAAAAACCATAATTTTCGTATTCCTGAATTTCCCATAATTAATTTATTAATTTTTATATTTTTCCCGTTATTTATTATTCTTATATATAATATATATATATAAATTCGTTAAAGATGGACGAAAAACTATATGAATTGTTCCAAAAAACGTTGATAGAAAACTCAAATGTGAATATTCAGAAAATAGTATAAGGATAAGTTAGAGTGATACAATAGAATACTCAACCATTAGGTTAAAAAAATGAGACAATTTCAATAAAAGATGTTTAAAAGAAGTTAGAAGCAATTGAAAAGAATCTAATGATCTAGGATTCAGCAAGGAAAAGAAGAACATCTCGTTATCATTCTAAAAAATGTAGTGTTAAAATGAATACTCAAAATGGATCAAATTCTCCATCTCCATATTAATTAGATTTTGAAGATGCTAAAGATTATGAAGTTGATATTTTAAGAAAAGAGAATGAGAAATTATAAGTAAAACTAAAGTAATTAATTAGGAACGTTTAAAATAATTGAAATAATAGAATGATGTAGATAATTCAGAGGATTTGAATAGAGAAAGAGAGAAACTTTAAAAAATGAAGTAAGAATATCAAAGTAAAGATGATGAATTGAAGATATTAAATAATAAATTAGATATCTTGGAAATTGATTTAAATAAAAAACATTCTTAATTATTATTGCAATCTAAAAAATTAGAAGTTTAATAATAGAATTTGCAAAAGAATGTATAATAAAAATATATTAATAATTATTAGGAATAATAAATTAAAGTAAAGAGAGATTGTATAGATGCATTACAATAATAAATCAATTTAAATATATCATAAGTTATTTCACTTAATAAGTATTAATTATTTTATTATTTTTTAGAATTGAATTAAAATAAAAATTACCATAAAAATTAGGAGTCTAATTAGATGTTATTGAATAACTTATGTTATCAACTTTTAAAGAAAGATAAGTAGCATAATAAGAATATTTATGTTTAAGATAATTGAAGAATGTTATTAAAGACCAATAAAAAGAATATTTAAAGAAGATCTAAATCTGAATAACTTATCAATCATCATGATCCACATGAACTTATTAAATACTTTTAAAGTACTAAACAAAATTAATTGGAGAGAACTTCTATTCTTCCCTTTTAACTTATTTTAGTTATTATCTTAACGTTTGTTTTTTTCCACCAATTGTATTTCCTAAGAGATTTGTTATTTAACTGGATAGATGTGGTAATTCAACTCTTGGATCATAAGGTGGTTCATCTCCATCAGTAAATGAATCTTCTAATTTTTACTTCAAAGACTTAAAATCATTAATCATACACTTATCTACTCCTCTTATATCTGGATCATTTGGAGGCAATGCTTATTTCATATCATTTCCTATAACCAAGTAAACATATAATAAAAATCCATCTAATTTTGATGTTAGATCTTTAGCTCTTCTATCATCTATATCCATAGGTTTATCTCCTCTTATAATAGATAATTTCTCAGCAAGTCTACCTACACTTTCTATAAATTCATGAAAATTCATTTAATAATGTTTACTAGAATAGAGTTCATCTTTTTAAGTTATCATAGATTGTAAATATATTAAATAACATTCTCTTTCACTTAAATCATCACAAATTAATTTTGATTATACAATCCAATCTTTAAAATCTTAGACAGAAATATAATCATATTTGCATACCAATTTATCTTTCTTACTTAATTTACATATATATTTAAAAAGAGATTTCAACATAGCCAATCTATCATTAAGTATGATATCGCATTTTTAATTCCATAATCTACTCTTTCTCCACATCTAAGCCTAATCAAATTTAGCAAAGTAATCTTAAGCTTATTTTGTGACTAAAGTTATAGCCTCAGTCATAGTAGTGCATATTCCTTATCTGAGATATTTATCATTACACATTCTTATCATTATTTCCAATAATTAACAACGTACTAATCCTTTATCAAATGCTTATGGAAATTGAACATCCTTTGCTGCAGTTGTTGATGTAAAACTAATATCAATATCATTTGTCTTATATCCATCCATCAATGAAGTCTATACTAAAAAGTCAATATAGTCTTAAATCATTATGCATGGTATTGGGCTTCCTAATGAACCAGATGCATGATATTTATATATATGGAATAATTGACGATATAAAATCTTTAAATTCTCTTTTATTTCCAATAATTCTGTATCTTTTACTAAACGAGTAACTTTTGAATTCTAAAAATCAAATTCAAAGCATTCATCAATTAATTATGGGGTATCTGGTTAAAAATGTTTAAATATTGAACTCTCTACTGACCATCTATGTTTTTTTATATTCAAATAAGGAGAAAAATCAAATTTAGCCATTGGTTCTCTAGGTTTACATTATACCATTGGCATATATTTATCAAATAATTATTATTTATTGGTTGTTCTTAAAACATTAACTTAATCCATTACATTTCCATCAACCAATATTTCATCATTGTACAAAAATGGAATAGATTATATTTACATATTTTTAATATTTTAATCCATAGCTGGTTATTGAACTCCAAGTATTGGATTAGTAAAGAAGTAATGTATTTCTTTATTTGGAGGACACATTTTAATAAAAAAGAATTCATTATTAAGAAATGTCATTAATAAAGGTCGATAATCTTCAAAATCAAAATGAATAAAGATAGGTTCATTATATAAACTTCCAGATTTATGGGCTATCCATTCAAATTTAATTTCTTACCATCCTTCACATATCCAACATGTATCCAATTTATTTATTTCATTTACTTTCTAAACATTCAATTTAGTTGATCTAATTTTCCTTGATCTACTAAAAGGCATTACAAGTGATTCTTCTCTTCTTATTTGAGTTTATTCAACTTTAGCCTCCTCTAATAATTTGAAATATTATGGTTATTTATATAGTTAAATTAATTTATCTTTTAATTATGAATGATATACAATATTATTAATTAAAAATCCATTAGCATTAACACATAATTCAGCTTAATTACCTTCAAAATGAAAACCATAAATAGTTTCATTTTTTTATAGTGCCTCTGCAATGATTTAGGCTTATGGATATGTAAATTTATTAAAAGAAAGATCTACATGTAATAATTCATTATAAGGTCTTGATACAGCTTTATTAATTGATTAAGCACATTCAACAGATGCAATATTATTATGAGACAAATCTAATATTTTAACACTAGTATTTTTGTACATTGCTTTCCAAATAGTAGTACCAGCACTTGCGTTAAAGTAATTATAACCAAGATAAAATTCTAAAAGACGTTGAGTCTATTTTAAAAGATTCGAAATTGATGTACTTGAACATTCTGTGATTTAATTATTATTAAGATTAAGTGATTATAATGTATTATTATTGAGAAGATGTTTCATTATTATTTGTGTTCCCAAATCACGAATATTATTACATTCAAGATTTAATTTATATATTTGATTTTTTCCTACGAATGACATCAAAATTTCCATATGCATATAATTTAATTTACAATTTTATAATTCTAAATCTTTCAATGTAATTGGAAATGTAAGTAGTATATCTCTTAATTATTTCGGAGTAAATTAATTATGATTTAATTACATGGCTTGAATTTATCTACTTTATTAAGTAAGCATTGCATTGGAGAATGCATTACCATCTTCACTATTTTTTATTGATCTGCTAGCATTAGCAGTTACTAAAGATCGAGTATTCTGAATCAAACCAAAAGTTTTAGGGACTCTTTCAGGTTATGAGAAGTTTAAACTTAAGTATAGATTATGTGGTTGCTATTTATATAATTTAGAATAATCTTCAAATTTCTAGGAATAGCGAACAGTCTTCAAAAAATCTTGAGTATTGATAACTGATAGTTGCTTGCTTAAGATGATTAATGAAAAAATACTTGCCTAGTTTCATCTTATAAAAGTAATTAGTTCTATCATTTGTGGGACTTACCATACTTGGGTTAGTCTTCATCTTTAATGTTAAAGGGGATTTGATTTCTTTTTTGGTTATATCTTCATTATTGATTTATTAAATGGCATTGTGTTCCTTTTCTAAGAAACCTTACCAATCATTAATTTCCATTTTTAACAATTAGTCTTATGCCTCAAAACTCTCATTCTATTCTTACACACATTGGAATCTCTTCTAAAACAGTTATTTCTTATTTTTCTACTAAGCATTTCGTTCATTGGTTAAATCAGTATACAATTCTGAAACATCACTCTTTTACAAGAAAACTAATCTACGATATGCAGAGGAACTCGAAGTACCCAAGGTTGTTAGTTCAGAATAATCATCCTTCATGTTATTATTATATATAAATAAATATATATATAATCAAAAGTCATGCTTATTCCATCTCATTTTGTAACATTTCCTCCTCTCTTTACTTAAAGTATTAAACAACATTAGTCAATAAGAAATTTTATTTTAATTGCTTCTGTTATTGCATCTACTTTATAACTGTGAAAAAAGATAAGGCTTTCTTTAATTTCATTCCTGTTTAAATTGTTTAGACTGGAACTTATTTCAATTATTCCTCTAATGATACAGCTTCTACTGCTGGATTATATGGTTTATCTTCTTCCTCACTACCCATTTCTTCTATTTATTGTTATAAAGTCTTTTATTTTCTAGTCATACATTTATCAAAATCAGTAAAATCTTCAGATTCTTTCAATTACTATTTTATAGCATCTCCAGCCCTTAAATAGATAAGAAGTAAAAAGGCATCAATTTTCTTATGAAGTGGTTCTTGTCTTCTATCATCAATACTCAAAATATCCTTAGTTCTAATTAATGATAACTTCTCAGCACATCTACATAAAGCTTCATTAAATTCATAGAATTCCATTTAAAAATGTCTCAAACTATATAATTCATCTACTTGGGTTTGCATAGATAACAAATAAGCCAAATAAGCATCTCTCTCTACAAAGATATCACAATACAAATCACATCTAAGCATTAAATCTCTAAAATCCTTAAATTGAATCCAAGTGTGTTTATAGAATTTCTACTTAGGATTCAATTTTGATGTAAATTTAAATAATAATTTAAGCATGGGTAATCGATCCTCTATTAATATTACATTTTTTTACTTATCAATATATCACATTGCTCATTCCATAATCTCAAATCTCTCCAATCTTAAGCTTTATCTATTTCCTGTAATCTGGCCTTAACAAAATCATCCTCAAATAATTTCAAGACACTTAATTTCATTGATTTACATATTCCTGTTCTAGTATACTTATCAAGTGCAATTCTTACGAGTACTTCCATAAATTGGTATCTTACTAATGCCTTTTCATAAACATTTGGATATTGAATATCCTTAACATTTGATGTCGATATGAAATTCAAATCGATATCTCCAGGTCTGAATTTGTCAGTCAACACTGCAGTCTAACCAATAAAATCGAAAAAAGCATTTGATGAAATACAGGGAATCTATTCATATAAATCAACTATTTTACACTCGCTCCAATTAGAGTAGAAGCATAGAATTTATAACTAGCAAAGATATATGGATAATATTCCCTTAAGATTTCCTTTACTTCCATCAACTCTTAAGGATCACGTACTATCCTGTTTATTTTTGAAGTTTGAAAATCATATTCAAAACATTCATCAATTAATTCATCATTGTCTGGTTGGTAATTTTTGAATATTGAAATTTCATAACTCCAAAATGCTTATTTTTTATTCATGTATTAAGTTAAATCATATGTTCTCTCTTCCTCTCTGGGTTTACTGAATATCTTAGGAATATATTTATCAACCACAGTATGTTTTCCTTCAGTGAATACTTCATTCACAAAAGTCATTTTGTTACCTTCAATTAAGATATCTCCATTATATAGAAATTCTTGTAATCCTTAAGCAATTGGATCATTTTAAGGAGTTTGCATAATCATTTAATTTTTTGCAGTGGTTTAGATTCCAAGAATTGGATTACTGAAGAAATACAGAATCCTTTAATTGGGTGGACACATTCTATATAAATGATATTCTCCTTAATGAGGGTTCATTAAAACAGGACGATAACCATCAAAATTGACATGCAAAAAGATTGGATCATTATTCATACCTCCAGATTTACCTGGACTCCAAGTGAATTTGACTTCTTCCCATCCTTCACAAATCCAACAAGAATCTCTTTATTTATCAAATTATTGATTTTATTTAACTGGTTTCATTCCCCATATTCTTCTAAATCGATGAACCTAATGAATTTCTTCTTTTTTATGAATACTCTTTTTTGGTTAAACAGGAATGTCATCATCTAATAATTTAAGAGAAGTCTATGGATTTTTTCTGCATTCTTCAATTTTTTTCTATCTTGTTAATTCTTCTGCTTCAGTGTCTCTGAGATGACCAGTAGCATCCACTGCGAATTTGGGACAATTTCCTTCATAATGAAATCCATATATATTTTGATTTATATTCAGAGCCTTCATGATTTCAATAGAAGAGGGTTCATCGAATCCATTATGTGATACATCTATATGCATTAATTCAGGATATGGTTTAGCAATGACTTTGGCCATCTATTGAGCACACTCAAATGAAGCTGTACGATTGTATGATATATCAAAAACCTTTACACTTGAATTCTTGTAAAGAGCTTTCCATATATTAATGCCTCCTTTACTATTAATAGAATTGAAGTGTAAATATAATTCAAAAAGTACATTTGATTTCTTCAAATAATTTGATAAATCATTAGTACAATTATCTAAATTTAGAATAATCATATAATTACCTGTCAGATTGTTACGACTTAGATTTAACAAAGTTAAGTAATCATTATCTTACAATGCAACAAAAAGATAATTGGCACCTAGATCTCCAATTTTATTGTTTTCCAAGGAGAGTTTCTTTACTCTTGATTTTTACATATACTTAGCCAAAGTTTCACAGGCTTTTGAATCCAATCCATTATTATTGAGATCCAAATCTTGAATTTATTAAGGGAAATTTTCAACTAAACTCTTTATTTTTGGTGATGTTAATTGATTATGACTGAGTTTCAATTGAGTAATTGATTTACATTGAGGAGATTAGAGAGCTTCTGTGAATACCCTAATTTTAGACTCATTCCTAAGCATTCCTTGTGATTCTGCAGTTTAAATGGAATAATTGGAATTTATTAAACCAAGACCAGATTGAAAGATATTGTAGACTGAGACTCAATATAAAATTAATACCTTAAGAACTCTTATTTAATTACAAATAGATGTTGGGTTGTTGTTTATAGAATTAAGCATATTCTTCAAGTCTCTTAAAATTTTTGGCAGTACTCCTAAAGTCTTTTTGATTAATCTTCTGTAGGTTTTTACTATTCATGTAGGATAAAAGTAACTTACTTTCCTAATCTATAATTTTTTAGAAATTTTCCTCGATCTGATAAATCATCATAAGGTTGATCCTAACGATCCTCATAGAGATAAGGCTATTATCTTTTGAGATCTTCAAGTTTTGTAGGAGCTATTAGCGTAGCACCTCTTCTCTATGGTCTTTGAGTTTAATTTGGTTAATGATGTTTACGATTAAATGGACGCACTGTACTGCTTTCTTCCTTGACTGTAAGTCTTTATGATAAGACTTAGGCTTCTTCGTTTAGTTGATCTATGAGTTTCTGATCCTCTTGGTAAAGATCCTACATAGTCTCCATCCTTAGGTTCTAATGCATCTCCTTTAGTTCTTCGTTGTCATTGGTACGAATAGTATGCATTTACATCCTCTATCGTATAGGTATCTCTGTAATACGAGTACATGAATTCATATTGGTGGATGGCATTCGCATTTTCACAATATCAAGTTGTGATTTAACAAGGGGAGACTTTTGATTTAGGCTAGTCCACGTACTTCTTTAACTTGATTGCCGCACTAGATAAGGGCTATGTCGTAGTACCGATCTTCTATATTTCTGGGACCTTGTTATCTGATCCCTATTGTTCTTCTTGTTCTTATTGCTTGCGAACTTCTCTTAATTTCTCCAACAATTTGGCTGGAGTGTTATAGATCTTGAGTTTCTCAAACAACATAATTTTATTAATGAAGTAAATTGGTCATTATACATACGATGAAATAAATTGTCTCGGATAAGGAGCGTATGGTAAAGTGTACGAAGGATTAAACACTCTCAATAATGAAACAGTTGCCATCAAGAAATTAGACTTGATCCTTTTCGAAAAGGATAAGTACTTACGAAAACAAATAGGTAAATTATCTATTCAAAATCATCTAAGTGTAGGAGATAGAAATCATGAGTAAACTGAATCACAAGAATATAGTGAAATTTGTTGAACTCTTGGCTACTAAGAAATCCTTGTTCATTGTGACTGAAATGTGTCGTAGTGGAGATCTTAAATCATTGATTGCTAGCAAGAATATTAGTGAATAATAAGTATACTCTTTACTATATGGTCTAGGCTATTGATATTATGCTATAAATATTAGAAGGTTTTAAAGAATTAATTAAGAGTGGAGTTATTCATCGAGATATGAAACCAGCCAATGTTCTAAATGATATGGGTACTGTCAAAATTGCAGATTTTGGATTTGCTAAATACGTTGAGAATTATTCTTCACAATTACTTAAATCTTGTGTTGGAAGTCCCCTTTATATGGCACCATAAGTCTTAGAGAGACATCATTATAGTACTAAATGTGATATTTGGTCAATCGGAGTTATTTTTTATGAAATGTTGCACTTTGATGTACCATGGAAGGGCAGGGATGAAGAAGACCTCTTACATAACATCAAAACATAACCTTTATAATTTAAAAATGATCTAAGCACTTTTTCAAAAGAATTTCTAACAATCGTAAATATATCGATTAATTGTAGACTCTTGTTATTGAAGAGGAGAATCGAGCTTCATGGAATCAACTTTTTGATCTTTCAAATGCTTCTGTACTTCAAAAATCAGTTTCTGCTGAAGATATCAATGAGGAGAGTATATAAAAATTACCTACTTGGGTTTAAAGACCTAGTTTTTAATAAAGATAAGATAAAAAAGTAGAAGAATAAAGGTATTAATAAATAGAGGAATTATAATAATTAAGAAAATAATTAGCATATTAACACTTTATAATGACAGAATGCTATAATGAATAAATTAATAATGAAAAAAATGGAGAATTACAATATGAGAGTATTAAATAATTGATAAATTATTTGAATGATAATATTGTAAAATAATCACAAGATTTAATCTAAGTAATTTAAATGAATACAATAGACTAGTCTTGATTTATATTCAAAATTTTCATAAAAAAATTAACTTTGGAAAATGCAAGAATAATTAAATATGGAACATAATTATTATGTATAAATGTAGATTGATGCTAAAAAATTGTTTGATACAAATTAATTGTAAGGTAAACCTGACGATAGATTAATAAATGAAGCAAGGAATTAATTATAGAAATGTAAAAATTCAAATGTAAATAATTCTTTATTGATAACTTAGATAGGCTGCTTCAATATTGTTAGATTTGATAAATAATTAAAATTGGAAAATATGATTCTTATTTAAATTATAGATAATCAAAATTGCCAAATTTATCCTACTGTTAATTTTAATTCTTTTTTATTTATAGATATCATAATTAATTCTTCATTTTTTAAGTATTTTTTCATCTGATAAACTTAATAAAAATAGATTCTAAAATAATAAGATATTAAATATCAATTAAAATATAAATGGCATCAGCAAATTAATAATTTTCTTTTTTTTAAGACTATGCCCTTAAGAAAATACAATTTGTTGTGGATAATATAAGATATGAATATGATAATCATAGAATGTTATGGTCTACAGATGTTATTGAAGAAGATGATAATCCAGATGAAGAGATTAATAAGGAATAACTTAAAAAGAGAGGATTAAAATAAATAGAATTGAGAGAATAAGTAAGATAGAATGAACACACAATTTCTAAATTAGCATCAGAGATTCAACTACTTAATGATAATATAAATAAATATTAAGAAAAATTATAACAAAGTCAAGCAGAATAGAATTAATTAATAGATGAGTATGTTCATGAACATTTAGAAACTGAGAAGATTAAGGCTGCCAGAGAGAGATTAGATAAACTGAAACGTGAATTAGGATTATGAGTATATTAAATATAATGAATAATATTATCGATTTTATTAAAAAACATGGGAATCCATTTGAAACTCTAGAACTTGATATGACAGCAGATAAAAAAGAGATTAAATCATAATATAAAGATTTAGCTAGAAAATATCATCCTGATAAGAATTTAAATACCAAGGAGAGATTTATAAAAATTTAAAAAGCATATGAGTTTATTGTAAACAATTTTGCAGATATTCATAAATATGTTGAGCATTAGAAATTCAGATAATAGGAACATAGTAAAATGAGTAATGAATAGAAATAATATGCGGAGGATTTAAAAAGAAGAGAATAATTTGCTGAAAGATAGAAATAATAAGAAGAAGTAGTAAAGTAAATGAAAGTGAATGAAGAAGTATTAATATATTTAATTTTAGATGAATAGACTTGAAGAATAAAGAAAATTTGAAGAGAATGAAAAGAAATAGAAATAAGAGAAATTAATCTAATTTGAGTTACAAAATTAAGATCTGTATAAGAGATTAAATACAATAAAGATAAAATGGGCAAAAGATTAATTGTATACATCTGATTTGATAAATTTATTATTTAAAAACTATGGTGCTATTCAGGAAATTAAAATTTTAGATAATAAGAGAAAAGCAATGATTACATATCATACTACTGAAGCAGCTGTAAATATATAATTTATATAATTTAGAATAATGCAGTGATTTAATAAAATAATGGATTTTTGAAGGTTAAACATTTTATGAAAGAGGAAAAGAGAAAGTAAGTTCAGAAGTAATTACAAACAGAGAAAGAAAGAATCAATAGAAATGAATAAGATGTATATCAACTTAGTACGGATACTTTGAAAAGAATTTCGCATTTTTATAATAAAGATTCTAAAATATAGGAGGGTTTGGATGATCTTAAAAGAGAATAAGAGAGATTAAAATTAATAAATTAAATTTATGAAGAAGAACTAAATAAATGAGTTTTATTTTATATTATCATTTATGTATATTTATATAATTATTGATAATATAGAGAGGATTATATTATAACATTATTGATTTAAATCTAATAATCATAAATATTTTTAAGTTTATAAAATATAAATTAAGAAGAAGGATATAATTATTGATTATTAAAGATTTAGATATATTATCCTTAATTATAAAGTATATTTGACACATGAAACTTATAATCTGACTGAAATATTGGATCAAATTGTGTAAGTTGTCATGTAAATAGAAGGAGTTTTGATTAAATATTCATAAATTTGGAAGGTAATTCAAAAAAAGTGTAATTTAAAATGTAAGTGAAAGATTAGAGTAATTTGGTAATAATAAATTAGATCAATCTACATAAAACTGGAACATTAACATAAAATAATCTCTAAGTAAAGAAGGTTCATATTGCAAAATTATTTGGGTTGTAATAGATTAGATTTTGCTCTAATTGATTATGTAGAAAAGAATTTGAAAAGGAAATTCTTTAATGAATATTAATAGAATTTGAAGAATCAAATAAGAATAACTTTTCAAATTAATAATTATGAATTTCAGACAGAAATTTTATAGATAAGGGGCAATTTTTAATATTTTATTAGTTTTAGGAGTTATGCTATTAAGTTATGAATTCTTTAATATTATTTTTTAAAATTGATACTATGATATTTATTGTATTATATTTATCGTAAAAATATACAAAATTAGTTATATATATATATATATTCTTAGTGATTTTCACCCAAATTTTAGTGAATTTAAGTATAATTTATATTTTAAATTTAAGATTAATTAAATGATAAATTAGAAATAAATCTATTATGCTTACAAGAAAACAACAAAGAGAACTTCAAATGAATAAATAAATAATAAAACAAAAATAAAAATAAAGTTAATCATCTATCAATACTAGTTTGTCATCTGAATTATAAGAAAGTGTTTTACTTGAAATGTTAGATTTACTAAATATTGGAAATAAATTGTAAATTGAAACAGATTTTCAAGAATCTTCTTAAGATCCTTAAATTAAAAGAATTGAAGATTTTAATAAAACTTATCATCATGAATGCTTATAAGTTTTAATCTATGATTAGAATGACTCTAGTTAATGTCTAGCTAATCATAGAATAAGAGAATGGGTTAGAGGTAAAATGATTGATTGGATGATTGAAGTTTTTGCATCTAATAATAAAGAATATTCAAATAATGATCTTACCTTTTTTAGAGCTGTTAATTTATTAGATGCATATTTAAGAAGCTCTTATAATTTAAATGAATCAGACATGTATTTAATTGGAGTGACTTGTATTTTAATTGCATCTAAAATTGAAGACATTTATCAAATTTCCATTAATACTATTATTTAAGATCTTTCTCATAATAAATTCTCTTTATTTTAAATCAAAGAATAAGAATCATTCATTCTTGAAACTTTAAATTATGATACTTGTTTTCCTACTGTAAATGATTATTTACAATATTTTTGTTACTAATTATTTGGATAATAACATAAGTATTCTTATTTAAATATTTTGTTTAGTCATGCTCTTTAAATAATCTAAGAAGCAGCTGTTTACACACTCAAAATGTGTTATCATGATTATGCTGTTATGCAATGTCAATAAATTTTATTAGCAGCCAGTATTTTAGGGTTTACGATATAAAATTATGTTGAATTACATTTATCCTAATTAACAAGCGATTTAAAAAAATAATTACTTTAGACTGTATGTACAATATATAATTTTAAAAGTAGCATACTCTTTTAAGAATAGGATCATTAGAAATAGCAGATTACATGGAATGTATTCAAAAAGTTGAAGAATTAACTTAAATATTTCATAGTAAATATCCTGAATATTAAAATCTATAAAGATTTAATTGAGTATATTATATTATAATATTTTTAATTAAAAAATTTATTAATTTATTAATAATAAAAAATAAAAAAGAACCGCCCTCCAAGGGGGTCGAACCCTTGACATTTGGCTTAAAAGGCCAACGCTCTGACCAACTGAGCTAGGAGGGCTAGCTTAACACATTTTCAACTCTTTCTATTATGAACTAATCGAAAATATATTTTTTAATTAAATTATATATTTAAGTATTAATATATAAAGCATTTGTCAATAGGAATTTATAAACTGAATAAAAGAGAAGTACAAATAGAGATAGAACTATAATAGATGTTAATTAAATATTGATCTAATATAAAAAATTATTTGATTTTAGGTAATATATATAGTGAATTATAAATCATTTTATTGAATAATTAAAATGAATAAATTATTTCGTTTTGCAAAAGTAATTGTAAGATCTATTTATAAACCTGCTTAAAGAACACTTTATAGAATTCCATAAATTAAGTAAGTTCTAAATGATGATCATAATTAGAAATATCAATTTAATACACTGGCATTTTAGTAATTATTTTATATATATTTCTAGAAACCATTTGCAGTTGATTTAAATATAAAATTAAGAACAAATAAAGTAAAAATTATAAGCTGGACTCTCAGAATTAGGTAATTAATTTATAACTAGTTCTAGCCAAAATAAATGCATAGTTATTGAAGTAAACTAATTATGTAAGGTTTGCTGGAGACTTTAGTCCTTGTGTTAATCCTGAGTAGTTTGTTCATGCATTGTAGTTTTATAGATAAGGTGCTTTGGCTTAGTTCTATAGTATTGATGATTTGGAGACAATTAACAGTGTTTATCAATCAGATTCTGAAATTGAGTTTTAGGATAGCCAAATTTTATGAATAAACTATTAGATATACTTATATAGATAAATATTAATTTTTTTAATAAGCTATTCATAAAAAAGAGATTTTTATTCAATATTCATTATTATAAAATTTTATTTAATATTTCTCTAAATTATATAACACTAAGCACATGATTTATAGGATTATTATTTGAATAGGCTTAATATTATTATCAATTAAATTCTATTATTATTATGAATAAATATATTTAAATATAATATGAATTAAAAAAAGTTGCCGATTTTTAAGTTTATAATTGTTGGAGCTAGTAGTAAGTTATTAAATTAGATTTAGATGTTGGTAAAACCAGTTTTATTAAATAATATTCAGAATCCATTTTTATTGATAAGTATGAGACAACTCTTCCAGGAGGATATATTAAAACAAAAATAGTTGTTGTGGATAAGACTGAAGTAAAATTATAAATTTGGGATACTGTAAGTTCTAGTCTTATCATATAGGCTGGTGAAGAAAGATATCGTAGTTTATTAAATTTACATTATCGTGATGCAGCAGCAGCTTTTGTTTTATATGATGTAAATAATAGAAAAACCTTTTCAAAATTACATGAGAATGTAAAAGGAATAGATGAATGTGCTCCTTAGGAAATTATTAAAATTTTAGTTGGAAATAAATCAGATTTAGAAAGATAGGTATCTTAATAAGAGGCAGAACAATTTGTTAATGATAATAAGTTTGATTCTTATTTTGAGACCTCAGCCAAAACTGGTGAAAATGTTGAAAAAGTATAAATAGTGATTGATTTTAAGGCTTTTGTAGAAGCTGTTAGATCAGTGATTGTGCGCATGTATATGAATGAATCATTTAAAAGCTCAATACTAACAATCGATAATAACATAGAAAATTCTAGATTTGGAAGTGGTACCCCCATTAATAATCCTCCTTAAATTTAAGAACGTAAACGATTAAAATCTATACTATAACAATAATATGCAATTCCATAATAATAATATGCAATTCCATAATAATAATATGCAATTCCATAACAATAATAAGAAACAAATAACAAGCGATGCTGTTGATATTTTGAATATTATTATTTCTTGTAATATAATGTAAATGAAAAAAAATTGTTTATGACGATTTTATTTAAAATTTAGTATCCTTTAATTTTAATTCCAACTTTATATGCAATCAATTAATTACATCCTTTAATTATATTAGAAGTGATATAAAATTCAAATTCAAGAATTCTAATAAATGACACTCAAAAATAATTATATTAAATTATAATAAATTGAGAATATTTATCAATGCTTATTGAATTAAACACAAGGCTTAAAATTAAAAGTTTTTATCGAGTAATTGTATATAATAAAATTTAGAGAAAAATAAATAATCTTTATTAATTTTCAATTTGAATTAATAAATGTATAAAATTATTAAAATATATGGATAATTATAATTTCTAAATATTTGTTCCTAAATTTGAAATATATAATATTTTCAGTTAAAGAAATATAATGCATAAGTAGAATTGTTTAATATTATATATTTCAGTTCAGCTTACGTGATAAATGATTAATTATATTTAATATATTATAATGAATAGTAGAACTAATTTCTATCTCCTGATATTATTGATACATATATATAAACATAAAGTCATTTATTTTATTCCAATATTCCACTTGAATTACACCGTGAAAGGGATTTTTTATTTATACTTCTCTTTCTCAAACGTTCATTAAACTAATGTTCTTATTAATTGACACTCTTTTTTATCAAAGAGGCATGTCTAAGATTTATTTAATTTATTACTGATCTAGCTTCTCATGATACTCATCTACCATACCTTAAACCTTTTCTGGTTATTATTTTACAACTTAAATTACTTATTCTTAAATTGCAAGTTTAATAGATTTTTCTTTTTTTTTATTTCGAATATAATGCTCATCTTCTTCTATTAGAATAGGTGATAGATTATTAATTTTTTAATTAACAGGTGATTATACTTCAGTAACAAGTCTAGTTTTTAGACAGCTAATTTATTGCATTTCATAAAGTGCATTTTAGATTTTATCAACAAAGTAATATTTAATATCATCTTTACGACTGTCATAAAACTCTATGCATTGCTAATACATTTGCACTACTTGATTAACACGTTCAACAGTGCATTCTTTAACAATTTTTTATTCAAGAGTAGAAAGCATTGTGAAAAATTGTCTTGTAAGTGGTTGAGGACGATCTAATTTGAAATATTCCTCTGGTGGTACTACACACATATCTTCTTGTTAACGAGGATCAGATTTTGTGCGTGATCTGCTACCTCCTAATTATTCGAAAGCTTGTCGAAAAATTCTCATTTTTTAATTTAATTTTATTATTAAATGATGTAATTTTTAAAGATGAACTCTGTTATTAAATATCAATTGTTCTAATTTAGTGATGATTTCCATCTCAATGTTATTCTACATCAAATAATGTAAATTTAATATAAAACTGGATTTCTGAAATTCAATTACTCATCTATTTTTTTTTATAATAGAATTTCTAAATATCTAGAATTAATGAGTTTTATAAATATAAGTCTTAATAAAAAATTGAGTTTTGTATTTATTAATATGAAAAATTTTATTTATGATATAATAAGTAATTTCAAAATTATTAATATTGAATCCATATTTTAGTATCTAATGTGGCTTATAATAGAGTAAGAAGGTTAAACTAAAACAAGATTGATTGTAGTTAAGGGTTACTCTATCGAAATTTGGGTTACTCAAACTTAAATAAACATAAATTAAAATGATTTTACATGAATCACTCTTTATTTTAATTCTAAATTTAAATAGGTGTAATGATTTAGATGGATGATCAATAATTTTATTATAAGATAATTGTTCAACCTGGTTCTTGACAATATAATGGATAACTAAAATGTACCAAATTCAAAAAAAGCATCTATAGATCAAAATGATATAATTAAAAATGGTTTCAATCTGATGAAAAAATAAAATAGGAAATATATGAAGGTGTCTTTGTAGACTAAATAGTAGCTTCACTTAATGGTTTATTAACAAGGAAAAAAAATAAAAGAAGTAAATGATTTAGATTTAATGATTTATAGGCTGCAAAAATTCTTGGTATAAAGTATGCAACAGCAAAAACAATAGTATTTCACAAAAGACAAAAGAGGAAGGCAAGAGGGAAATGTGGTATAAAAATGTGTGGTTATACAAAAAAGATGGGAAATAGAGTTTCTTATTTTCAGATCATTTCTATAACTGGTATTGTTACAAAGTATAGTATGGAGTATATGATGTGAACATCGATTGTGATTTTTTTCGTTTCTTTTTGTTTAGGAATTATGAATATGAATAATTAATCCTTTATATAACATGAAAGAGGATATATATAGAGAAGAAGAAGAAGAATTAAAGTAAAGTAAAGAAAATAAACTTAATTAGATAAAATTGTAACCAATTCTAAACATAATCAATTGTTTTCTATAGGTCTTTTAATATATTTGAAATGAGAAATTAATTGTTTGACTACATCCATCAAGAGTGATTTTAGTACTCAACTTGATGTTTTAGAGAGAGATAATGATAAATGAAATATTTTTTATGGGAAAATTCTACAAAGCATTGATGAATTCATTTAAATTATTCATTATAATAATTATAATATTATCTCATTTATTATTTGGCCATTTGATTTTCTTTAACAGATAGTCAATTAATATTTCAGGATTGTGCATTTTAAGTGTGTTTTGATTAATCCATGATACTTTTGGTGCGCGGTTGTTCTTTTGTTTCCAAGAAACTTAAAATAATAGGTTTTATCCATCGTTGTCTTTTCTAATTTACAAAATTTCATCCGCAGAATCACCATCATCATAATTTCCTTCTCCAACTTCTTGAACTTGTTTTTATTTTAAAGACTATTCAAAATCAAGCACATAAGTCATAACAGATTGTAAATTTTCAATTGGTTCCCAAGTTTTTTCATTATCGGAATATCCCTACCATTTTACTTCATATTCGGTTCTTCCATTCTTGACTCGTTTATTTGTTATGGCCTCGACCATATATTCTTCTTAAGAGGAGACTGACACAGGAGAACCTGACATCTTTAATTAAATTAATGGCGCTCATAATAAACATCTTGTACTTAAGAGTCTATTAATTTCCTGGTTTTAATTTGTTAATAATCACATTATAAAATGGCTGTCAATGATGTGGAACCTCAAATCCTTATTAATATAATTAAATATAATATCTTATAACCATTAATAATAATACATTTGGACATTCAACAACAACATCAAAAAAAAAACAATGTCTTTAAAAAGTATCCAATATCAAACTATAATGTTAAGTAATTAAATTTGGAATGTTTTTTTGGATACAGTACTAAAATTGTGATGTCTTTATAGATATTGTGTTTTAATGATTGGTTTACATTATAAAGGATTAATTAATATAATAAAAAATGCCACCTAAAAAGGATGAAATTGACATCAATGCATTACCACCACTTAAACATCTTTGTGTCGGTATTCGAATTGAAGCAGGAAAAGCTCGTGCTGCTAAATTAATACACTTACTTAAGGAATGCAAATCATTTCAAAAGAATGTAACTAGAGAAGAAATAATCAATTTTTGTAAAGAGAAGTAATTGTATGTTGATCCTGCTACTTTAACTGATAAACAAAAGAAAGTACAGTGTTGCTATTGATTATAGGATTCTAAATTTATGGCAGAAGTAGCTACAGAACTTACATCAGAAGTTATGAATAAGGGATTTTAGATGTTCATATAGGATTAAGTCTTATAGATAAGGAAAGCCAAGTATTAAGCAGCACAAGCATAAGCAGCAGAAAAGGCTGCTCCACCAAAGAAAGACGACAAGAAAGATGCAAAGAAGGGAGGCAAAGAAGCAGCGGCAGTTGCACCTATTCCTGAACCTGAAAAAGTTGTACCTGAGAAAGAGTACACTAAAAATTTTGACATTGTTTTTATTGTATAAGGTTTCCCTTAAGTACCATAAGAATAGATTGAATTTATTATGCATGTCAAAGAGAAAGTAATTAATTGGGGTGGAATTGATATGAATTTATTAGAATAAGGAGAGGATTTCTAAGAAGAATTGGAAAAGCGAATGGAAGAATTTGTATAACCAGTTACAATTAAGAGATCCTATTCAGAAGAATCTCTACATTATACAGCTGCAGAAAGAGCAGTTATAGAAGAAATCAAAAAATAAAGAAATGGTTCTCAGAAGACAGATCCACTTAGATAACTTACAATTAAGGAATTGATATTGGAAATGGATTTAGAAGCTGAAGAAGAAACACTTAAATAATTCCATGAATAATTGATTGAAGAAATATGTTAATTTAGTGTAGATCAATAGTAATTTAATGAATGGATTGTGAATAAGAAACCAATTCCTTTGATTACAAAGGAAGCACCAAAAGATCCATTTGATTTAGAAGTTGAACGTATTAAGCATGAAGCTCAATAAGCAGAAGAATAATAAAAGGCAGCAGAAGAAGCAGTTGCTGCAGAGAAGAACAAGAAAGGAGCTAAGAAAGAGGCTAAGAAAACTGATGCAGAATTAGAAGCTGAGAGATTGGCTGAAATAGAGAAAAATAAATAAAATGAATTGAGAAAATAATAAATCGAAATAGCTTTGGAATAACAATAGAAAATGAAAGACAAATTACATTTATAATATTATAAGCGATAATTATCTGATGTGCAATTATCAAAAGTAGGACCTTGCATCTTATTAGAATGTCTATTAGATTAATTATCTGCTGAAGCTGCTTATATATAAAGTTCAAAAGTACCTCCTTGTTTAGAGGATCAAGAAGATGCTGAACAAGTTAATAGGCTTTTAGCTAATCAAAAAAAGGAATCATAATAATAAGTAGAGAATGCAAAATAATTGATATTGGATGAATGTGATTGGATTGAAGTAAGAGGACATTTTGGATAATTACATGATTAATAATTTATTGTAGAGAGAGAACATAAGGTTTTCGACAATTTATGTTTTCCTGGTATTGATAGATAAGGTATGCCTGAAATAGCAGAGAAATCAGAGAAGCAAAGAAAGGCTAATAAGGCAAAGTTGCATCCATTTATAAATGTAGATGTAAGTGAATTTGAAAGAAGACAATTACTTTTAACTTTTGAAGAATTACTCAAAGAAAATGAACCTGAATAAGAATGGTATTTGGGAGATCGTATATATTTAGAGAGACACAATAAAAATACTCTTAGATAATAGTTTTATGAAGCATTATTACATGATCCTTAAGTAGTTTTAAAATATTTACCAGATGATGATGCTCTTATGGTTTGTTGTTATTATAAGAATCCTCCTGGAAGAACATTAAGAAAGAAGTGGTCAGCTGAATGGAGAGTATTACCAAATTTGGAATACTTTATTTAAGTTCGTAATTTTAATAGTGAATACTATTATGATATTGATTATTAATAAATTGGTGCTATTACTGAAAGATCAAAAATAATGTATCCAACTGATAATTCATTAATAATTGCAACCAAATTTACTNAGAAGTTGAACGTATTAAACATGAAGCTCATTAAGCAGAAGAATAATAGAAGGCAGCAGAAGAAGCAGTTGCTGCAGAGAAGAACAAAAAAGGAGCTAAGAAAGAGGCTAAGAAAACTGATGCAGAATTAGAAGCTGAGAGATTGGCTGAAATAGAAAAGAATAAATAAAATGAATTGAGAAAATAATAAATTGAAGAAGCTTTGGAATAACAATAAAAAATGAAAGACAAATTACATTTATAATATTATAAGCGATAATTATCTGATGTACAATTGTCAAAAGTAGGACCTTGTATCTTATTAGAATGTTTATTAGATTAGTTATCTGCTGAAGCTGCTTATATATAAAGTTCTAAAGTACCTCCTTGTTTAGAGGATTAAGAAGATGCAGAACAAGTGAATAGACTTTTAGCTAATCAAAAAAAAGATTAATAATAAATAGAGAGTGCTAAATAATTGATATTAGATGAATGTGATTATATTGAAGTAAGAGGACATTTTGGTTAATTGCATGATTAATAATTTATAGTAGAGAGAGAACACAAAATATTTGATAATTTATGTTTACCTGGTATTGATAGATAAGGCATGCCAGAAATAGCAGAGAAATCAGAAAAACTAAGAAAAGCTAATAAGGCAAAATTGCATCCATTTATAAATGTAGATGTAAGTGAATTTGAAAGAAGACAATTACTTTTATCTTTTGAAGAATTACTCAAAGAAAATGAACCTGAATAAGATTGGAATTTGGGAGATCGTATATATTTAGAGAGACATAATAAAAATACTCTTAGATAATAGTTTTATGAAGCATTATTACATGATCCTCAAGTAGTTCTAAAATATTTACCTGATGATGATGCTCTTATGGTTTGTTGTTATTATAAGAATCCTCCTGGAAGAACATTAAGAAAGAAATGGTCAGCTGAATGGAGAGTATTACCAAATTTGGAATACTTTATTTAAGTTCGTAATTTTAATAGTGAATACTATTATGATATTGATTATTAATAAATTGGTGCTATTACTGAAAGATCAAAAATAATGTATCCAACTGATAATTCATTAATAATTGCAACCAAATTTACTGTAGGAGAAGTTGAACGTTTAAGATATAGAGTTATTAAAGAAAATGTTGTATTTGGAATATAAGGAGGTTTTTATGCATAATTTAGAGATTTGAGAATGAGTGCTTAAGATTAGATAATGAATTTGACATTTAAGAATGGTCTTTGTTTAAGGTTTACTCAAAAGGGAGAAGTAGTTTAATAATATTTGTATTAAAAATAATAAGAATAAACTCAAACATTATTAAATTTATATGATAATGCAGAAATCAATCATGAATTAGAAATTAAAAGAGTTATTACAGGATAAGGAACAGTAATAGTTTATAAAAAAGATGGATCAATCATAGTATTATATGCAAATGGTAATGTTTCTATGTACAAAAATGATATGTGGATAACAACAAATAATAAAGGATTTAGAAAATCATAGAAGGGAATAGAAAAGATTCCTTGTGCTACAAAAAATGATCCTGAAAGTGGTGCCAAAGTTTATATTAGAGATGATCAAACTCTTATTATTTATTATAAGGATGGATCTCAATATACATAACATTATGATGGAACAATAATGCTTATAAAAGGAGATAAGGTGATTGTTGAACATCCTAATTTTGCTAGTGTTGTAGTCACAATAGACAAGGTGAAATAGAGAACTGGAACTATTATTGGAATGGGCAGTGCTTATGCAAATGTAGGTTTTGATAATATCTTTGAAAGAAGTAATGATGGTAGAGTAGTTGAAACTTATTATTAAGGATGCAAAATCATTTCATATATTGAAAAATAAGAATTACCAGAGTATAAATAATATAAAACTAATCGAATTCATTTGATGTACACTTAAGATGGAAGTGTTGCTAAAGTAGTTGATGATGGAGAGATTGTCATTGTAACTGCTGAAGAGAGAGTAAGACTCAATAATAAAGGAGAGAAGAAACCATTAGGATAAGATCTAGATTATTGGTTATAATTGTTTTCTGTGTCAGATGAACGTAAAGCTGGAGTTTATACAATTGATTTGACTAGAAAATGTATTTTTACAAAAGATGAAGAATCTAATTATTTCTAAATTGATGAAGATGGAACTGTTACATCTAAGATATCAGTATCCTTAAATCAAGAACCCTCTACTCCTGATTATATTCCAGATGGTTTGTTTGTAGATGAAGAAAATAAAGTACTTCCACCACCAAAATCATGGGTTCCTCCAAGATTATTTTTAGTTAAAAATGATAATACTGGTATAGAATTATTTAATCAAACTCAATTACAAGATTACTTTAGACTTAAATCAGAAAATCCTTTCTGTACTAAATTAATTGATGAATTACCAAATAATGTCAAATCTATTTCATTCATCACTGAATTGAAGAATTAAGCCAAAAAGTTCATTGAAGTCAAAATACCATAAACATTAGATATTGTACCCAAAACTATTTAAAAAACAACTATAATTCCTCATAAAGTCTTTACCTATCGTAATTTTTTGGAATACCTTCCTTTTGATAAAGATTAAAGAGTTCTTCATGAATAATCATTATAAAAATATGAAGTTTGGCAAAAGGCTATGTAGAAAGCATAAAATGAATTTGGAGTTATTTAAAAATCTGAAGATGAAAGAGATGCTGAATTTATTATTTAAATGAAAATCTTGGAAAGCAGAAGAACTGATTATTCATATGAATCCTATGATTAAGCCAAAAGTAAAATTACTTTGCCTGATACAACATCCAATATTGTTGAACCTCTAGAATAAACTCTAGTTAAAACAGCTAAAGTATAGTAAGTTGTCTAATAAGCCTTTATTGATGTACAAAGGAAAGTACAAACTATTTAACTCTAAAAATCCATCAAACCATCTGTTGAAGCCTAAGGATTTGTATTAAATTACTTTGATACAAAAGAAGGACACGAATATTTGAAAACAGCACCTGAAGATCCTCCAATAAAAAAACCAAGAGAAAGAATACAATAACCTACAGAAGAACAATAATAACAATAGTTAACATTGAATCAATAAGATGCTTAAAAAACATTACCAGAAGGAATAATTCCATTAGAATAACCTTAATTGCCTTCACCATAATATAATAATACCAATAATCTTACAAAAGTAATTATTAAGCCCTCTGTATTCACTCAAGCAGAAATTGATGATGAAGTTAAACAAAGAAAACTACTTGATGACTCAATCAGATATAGATAAGTTAAAAAGAAAGATTTTGATGTCTATGGAAAGGATAGAAAAGATATAAAATTGGTGCCTTGTCTTCTTAAAACTAATCCAAAATCTGAATTGAATTAAAAGTACATTTTAACAGATGCTTCAACAGATAATAGAATTAAAATTAGTTCTATGGCTACTAGAATTTATTAATAAGCTGCTCCTATTAGTTAACTTAGAAATGAAGGCATGCATCAAACTATAATAAGGACTTTTGATAAGAAAAACAACTTAGATGATCTTATTGATAAAAAGAATCTAATGGTTACTGGTGATATAAATGATAGATTAAAAAAGGATCTGTTAATTTATCCTATAAATGTTTAGTTTGGAGAACTTAAACAAGGTGGATAATACGAATTCAAAATTTCTGTTAAAAACGAGGATATTATGGCTTAACGTATAGTTTTAAAGTAGCCATTAAATAATAATATCAAAGCGTTAATGAAATAGATGGGATCAGTATTCTAATTTATTAATTATTTTTTTAGATATCCCTCGGTTTAGTCAGAGAAGTATTTGTACATATTAATGCAGAAAGAGTTGGGCAATTTTCTGATGAATTGTAAATTATGTCAAAACATTCAATTTATACAATACCAATTACTGGTAATGTACTTGAATAAAATATGTTTGATAAACTCAATTCAGAATAGATCAAACTCACTAATAAACCTCTCTTAAGAAAATATGTTAAAGATTTGAAAGATGTATTATATTATAAATTATTATATACAGACTAAACAATAAGATATAATTGGAGATAGTTAGGATTCTGAACTGTTACCAAAAATAAATTATGATAAGAATGTTAAAATTGATGCTTTTTAAAATTAAAAGAAGGATGAATAATCATATGAGGAGGAAAATTGATTATTAAAATTTATAATATATGGATTTAGTAGATTTATAAAATATAAGAATATTATTCTATAATAGTTATTTTAATTAAATCATACTTTAATTTTCTTAATGTTTTTCCGTAGTATGCTTTACATTGATTTAGTCTTTTCCAAAAAGTTTTTGACTCTTTCATCTTCTTTAAATTTATTGGAACGTTTAAGATTTTCAGCAAAACTAATTGAATCAATTTTGACATTATCTTTGACACATTGACATGTTTTGGCTTCTAATAATAAAGGTAACCAATTAAGAGTGGCTAAATTCACTGCTTCAGCAATATTGAATCCACAATTGAATCCTTAATGATAGGCTCCAGCAAAAATAAACATAAATTCACCTTAATGATGAGCCATTTTTGATATTCTAATTTCAGGTATTTTCTCTTTTAGTAAATATGGATTTATAACTGTTGTTTTATGTCTTAAATATTCTGAACATTTATTAAAATGATCTCCATATATTTATTTAGCATACTTTTCAATCAAATGACTATCAGCCTCAGGTATAGAATACCAGAATCTATATAATAATAAAAATTATTCTTTACTTATCTTTACCTACATGAAGGTAATTGACACTGCAAAGATCTAAATCTTCTTTATGCCAAGCAAAGAATGTTTTCCAGGAACCAACATAAATATAAGGTTCATTAACTCCTGGGATACGGTTCTTGAGTCCAAAATTGAGTAAACTTGTAATTTGGTTAAGGTTCCAAGAATTGTCAACATCCATGAGACTAAGTTTAATATCAGCACCATAAAGAGGAGGACTAAAGGCTAAACTTTTCCAATAGAGTTTTTCAAGTTGGTCTGAATTTAGTTTTTCATGTTGTTTATCTATTTCTGCTTGTTTAGCTCTATAATCTTTAAGGGGCATTGACTTTTTTTAAATGTGCAAACATTCATAGTTACCACCTTTACCATAAACATTCTATTCAATAGGACCTTAAATAATAAGATTGTCAAGAGATTTATTGTAATCTTACTAGCGTATTCGGAAGTTCTTTGGAGGAATGATCTACGAATTAAATTAAAATAATAGAATTTACTTTCACCATCCCATAGTTGGTTGAATATAATTTATCTATTTTCTCAATGTAATTATAGAAATTTTCAAACTCTTAAGGTGTTGGATGTAATACAGGGCACTCCTCGATGGTTGTCATTTTTTAAAATAATACTTATAAATCTTGGAATCAAACAAGCCCTTTGAGTACCCCGGTATGACAATATATATGTTTATATTAAAAGAAAGGGAAAGTAAGAAACCTTAAAGTTAGACAGATGATTTAAATCTGGATTAAGATTTGATTGAGTTTGTTTACTTGGTTACTTGTATTTTATGGCCATTGCATCTGCTCCCCTACAACACTTTAATTAATTGATATATTAGAATCATTTTTCCGTATCTTCTATAATGTATTCCAAACCTCGTTAAGCTTCTCTCCTCTAATGAGCAAGATTATTCTCAATCTCATTGGCAGCATCAATCTGGAAATGTGAAACAACCTAAGAGATCAAATCGCTTAAATGAGCAAATCGTACAAAATTAGCAGTACTAGTTTCTGCCATTTACTTTGTTTAATTTAAATTCTTACTTGTTAATGATGCATAATAGTGTTCATAATCATAAAATTTTATGTTGCCACATTTTAAATTAGACTCTATAAACTCTATTATGTTTATCTTAGCTAATCAATTGATGTATTAATGTCTTCTTAATCAGGAATTTGCTAAACCATTTCAATCTCATTTCTTCTCTTAATTTGATTCAAAAATTATCCTAATTAACGCATACATCTTACTTCCCATCTCTTCTAAAATATTTATGTTTAAATTCCAACACACCATTGTTGTGTCTCTTTCTGAATCCATACATATTCAATTATCTAATTACTATTAAGGTTAAATACCTTAGAAAACTAGGTAAATTCTTATGACCAAAATATTCTGGAAGCAAATACTATTACAATCTATCCTAATCAGCCAATACTAGAATTCGTCCACTTTCATCAAATCTGAGTATCTCTTGTTCTTAATTCCCTTATACGATTGTATAAAGTTTTGTCAAAAATACAGGTATTGAATGCCCATTCTCCATTAATTATAATGAATAATACATCATTCACTCAAATCAAGAAATTATAAACATCCGAAATTAGATTTGTTTTCAATTAAACCCCTATATACTTCTACCTGGATATCTATTAATAATGCTATTGCTCAGGAGTACATAAAGATATATTAGTTCATCTTCTTTTTGTAAGATTTATTTAAATGTTCTAATGGAATGATCAATTTATTATGATGCATCTTAATAGAAATCTGAAGGTTAAACCCTTTATTACACACTATCCCTATTTGTACTCAATATAAATGGAAAACTATTGCAACACAAGATAATAGAGAATGAAAGAAGATATTTAAATATATTTCACAATATTAGACTAAAGTTATTGTTAATCATAAAAAATAAATTGATATACTCTGTATTTTAAATACTCAATAAGAACCTCAAGTAAATTTTATATAGAATTAATTAATTCAAGACTCTTTGTTTATTTCATAAAGTTTTTATTTATCATACTTAAGTTTTTTTTAAAACTGAGTCTAGATACTAAATTTCAAATGTATAAGTTTTTAGATTTTAGATGCAGAAGTTAAATGAGGGTATAAACTTTTTAAAATAATGTTCATATAATTAATATTAACAATAAAACAATAATTATTATTGTTTTATTGTTAATATTAACTATAATCTTATTTTGATATAATAAATGGAAATTACTCTTATCTATGAACTATTAAAAACTTATTCTGCTTCAAATGATATTAAAAATTCTAATTCAATCCTATTAAATCAATAGAATTAAAAACAGAAATTCTCAAACTTTTTTTGATAAAATATCATACCAATTTTATAAATTTGAAGACTATTAGCAAAATTTATTTGATTTTTACTTATAATCTTTGAATTAAAATTCAATTATATATACATAATAAGATTGATTTGTGAATTCAATTATTGTTCCTATTATAATAATTCAAGATGTCTTGTTAATTTTAATTTAATATTTACTTTTTCTTAAATATCCTTAAATCTTATAACTAGTAATTTCTTGTGAATGAGGTGTTTTTTAATAGTAAATGAAATTTAGAGATTTTATTTATAATCAATCATATATATTAATATTGAGTTGATCTTAACAAATTAAGTTATTATTATTATTTTTATTCTAAATCTAATTAATGGCTTAAAATGATTCTGAAGCTACAAAGTAATCATGTGAATTGCAGACAGGATCCAAGAGAATTGCCAAATAACAAGGTCATTGGAATCAAATAGAACACAATGCATATCTCAACTTTTTATTGGAGAATGCCAACCACACCAAAGGGTAACGATTATTCAAGAGAATGAGTTAAGTTGTTGGCACTCGTACACCAAGTTAATGCAGGTAAGAACCCATAATATAAGATCGCATCACTAAAAATTTAATCCATAAAAGACAAAATCTTCTATAGATACAAGTTTTTGGAGATCCAAACAATTTGCCAGAAGCTATTTCGCTTAACATAAACAATCTAATGAAGATAGTAATTGATTTATCTTTGTATATTATACTGAAATGTTAGTGGCATTTTTAAAAGATAGTATCATTTCTTATTTTTGAATCTATATATAACATAAAAATTCAATTCAAGTTTCTCTCTTCCCTTAAGTATTTAACTCTTCTTATGGTAATTTCATAGCAATCAGACTCAATCCTTTTAAAGTATTGCTACTCTGAATTTAATATACTTGCTAGCATTGATAGGCATTTAAAATTACTTTACTACCCATCGTTTGATTACGACCTTATACATCTACTGCAAAGTTCTTTTATTCATACTTATGAGAATTGAATTCCTATACTTGTGCTTGCTATTTTAAATTGATTTATAATTTCTCTTTCAAACTTTAATACTTCTAACATTTCTGTCTAATATAATTAATTTATAATTTAATTTACTTCAGCATCTCAATCATTTCATAATCATATATAATTTATTTACTCTCATATTCCAATTCTAACTATTCTTTCATTTCCAATCTTTAAAATCCAAACTCTTAAATTAATTCAACATAAATTTATCTTTAGCTGTAATTCTTTCCATTATATTTATATCTATTTTATATAACATAATGAATCTATGGAATTTAAGGTTTCTTAAGTCTTATAATTGATTTCTCTATCTTTTTTGAATGTTTCAATATTTGATTTAATTTTTTAAATTCATTTAATTACTCTTAATATTTCACTTCAAATTTTTCAAATATTTCTTAATAATGTCTCTATTCCTCTTAAGATAAAGATTCCCATTTTCTTTACAGTAAAGCCCCAACCATATTGATACCAACTCCATTTTACTAAAAAACCTTGCTCTATTCCTTATAGAAAATTTAATAAGCAGATATATATTATCTTTTTGGCAACTAATTAACCATTTTCACTTCAAATTTTTTTTTATTTACTTTTTCGATTCTTTTATTTCAAGAATAGATATGTAAACTAGAATAACTGACTCCTTTTTTATTTATCTTGAATGAATTAGAAAAACTATTATACTATAAATCTAAATGATTAATTGTATTTTTTAATAGTAAAAAAATTAAAATGATAATGTTGGTTTAAAAACAAACATTTTAGAATTATGTATCAAATTTAACCTTATCTTTATATATTCTATTAAATTGTATATTTATTTTTTATAATTTTTAATGATTTTCTATTTCTTTTAATTATTTATACAAATCTTGATTTATATAATTATTAAGATATTTCCTAATAGAAAAAAATTATCAATTTATGATTCATGAATTAAATTAAACAAAATTTCGTTATTACTAAAAATTTAGATAATAATTTAATTTAAAAAAATGGACTATTGTGATTCATGCAGAACTGTGTTATAAGAGAGATCTTCCTTATTAAACCATATTAAAAACTTAAGGGGGAAACTGGAGAAGGCTGAACTAGAATTATAAGAATTGAAAGATGAGAACTAATTATTGAAGGGCAATGGACATACATAGTAGAAATTAAAACGCAAAAATAATATGTTTAAATTAGAATTGGAATAAAGTTACTAAAAAATTGAATAATTATAATTGATAATTCAACATAAAGATATGATAATTGACGAATAAGCATTAAATGATAATCTTACAGAAAATACTCCTACAGTAGTATAAGGAAAATGAATTACTGAATATTAAATATATATGTATATACTATTATTAAATTCTAAATTTAACAACTTTAATTTTTAAACTTAAATAATAAAACATAAGTCTTTAGTAATTTTAGAATAAGTATAAATTAATTATGATTACAGAATTTGATATAATATCAGATAATTATTATATAGATATTATAAAAACAAAAGTATATGATTCACTTTCTTAACATAATGCACAATTCTTTAGTAGAAACTGCATTTAATGTTGATGTTTTGAATTTGAAACTGAAATTAATTCTCACTTTAGATTATCTTACAAATTTGATCACATTCTTCTTAGGAAATATATACCAATTAGAAATTATCATACTTTTTTTAAATAAAAATTCTATTAGAGAATTGTATTTATGATTACTATAAGAATTAATGAATTTAGGATGGAATGGCAATGGATTAAGATTATTTAAAAAAATTATACAACCTTTCCAGTAAATGAACATTTTAAAAGAATATTCAGAAACTTAGAGATCCTATTTTTCAGTAGGATTTTTATCATAAAAAATATTGTTTTGTGTCAAATCCAATTCATTACTACTTTGGACATCTGATGAAGTTGCTTTTATATTAAACTTCAAGAGTTACTCGTTTTATGCATGATTATAAATAATTCATGTTATTGATACAAGAAGATTAAATAAAGTATAAATTTAATTATTAAATTTAGTATTTTAGTAGGAGAATCAATAAAATTTCTCAGTTTATCATATATTCAATAGTGAGAATCTCTAATAATCTTGATCGTTAAGATTCATTGGAATATTTAATAGAATTAGTAGAGAAATTATATTAATATACTGATGTAGTGAATTATTAATAGTATAAAATTATAGTATTCAATTAAATTGAAAATATTACATAGTAACAATGATAATGATATTTCAAGATCAAAGGAAAATAACTTGCATTAATGATTTATATATGAAGAACATATAAATCAAATTGTAATTAGATTTAAACATCACTTCATTTCATAAAATTTTTACTTAAATAAAACGTTTAGAATAGTAAGTCAAAATTAATAAGAAATAATTTGATCAATTATAGTTATTAATTAATAAATTTTGAGTATTAGTGTATCAAATATATAATTTTAATTAGTTTCAATTTTCAAAAGATATCATAAACACAACATATAAACTTCTTAAATATTTAAGTACATTATTATTTAATTAGATTAAGTATATTCTTTTATTTCAGATAATGAGCATGAAATACTTCATTATTCTATTATATGAATATTTAAAAAGAATAAAAAATAAATCTATAAATTCCTTTTGATAAAGATTCTTTGGTGTGAATGGAAGTATTGAATTGGCAAAAAAACTTATTGATATTGAAATGATTATAAAAATGATTAAAATTGATGAATATGTTTGATATATATTTTTATCTAATTAAAAAAATTGATAAATTATGAGATAACAATCACCTAATTTAAAATAATCAAGGGCAAGTTCAGCTTAACAAAATAATTCTGTTGCTGTTAGTCAGATTGAAAAATCAAAAATTGAGAAATAGTAATAGGCTGTTACTAAACATGATAAAATGAAAAGCTATGCAAAAGAATAATAGAATGTTTCAAAAAAACATGAAACTGTATAATATGAAATTGACCTATTAGATAGAACCTACTAAATTAATTGAATAGAATATGAAATTAAAAGAGTAATTACAAGAATTAATAGTACATCTTGATAATATTGTTAAAAATTAAAAAGAAAAGTAAAAAGTTGAAAAAGAAAAGAAATTTGCTAAGCCTTTAGAACCTGCAGATAAGAAATCAATTTTGAATTAACAAGAAAAATAAATTAATGATAATATTGCACAAATCAAATTATTATCAAAGTAATTAGAATAAACTTATGATATTAATAAGTAATTATAATTGTTAATAGTTAGAATTAAAGAAAAGGAAGATAAGAAAAGATATTTAGAAAATGAATATTAAAAGTTATACAAAGAGTATGAATCACAGTAGAAGATTGATTAAAAATAAAATGAAGGATTAAAATAAATGGACTTGAAAGAATAATAATAAATTATTGCTTAACTTAAAAAAGAATTATAGGAAGAATAAAAAACATCTAGAAATTTAATTGAAGAAATCAATAAGTATGAAAAAGATGTTCAAAAATTTCATAATGAAAGAGTAACTAAATTAAAACAAATATCAGATCTCTAATAAAAAATTGCATAGAAAAAAAGAAATAAATAAGCTGAAGAAGAAGTAGATGATAATAAATTAAAATAACTTGAAGATGAAATAATTGAACTATAAAAAAAAAAAGATGAATAAATGAAAAATTATAGTGAAAAATATAAAAAATTAGAATATGATAGAAATTAAATGAAAAATGAAGTTGAAAAAAAGAGAATGTTAATGATTAAATTAGAAAGAGATACTAAAATCAATAGAGTTTTTATACATGAAGCAAATAGATATTTGAGATTGGAAGATAAAAATTCATAAAGATCAAGTAAACCTGTTTTCTCAGCACCTAGAAAACCTACAACACCTAGAAAAGAGACTCCATCTCCTAAATCAGATAAAGGATCAATAAGAAAAAATCCTTCTTAAAATAAAGTCGAAACTATCAAAGAAGAATAATTTGAAGAAACAGTACCAAATTTAGAAATTTAACAATAAAACTTAAGATAACCAAGATCAAAAGAATAAACTGATAAAAATACACATTAACATAAAGATATTAAAAATTAAGAGATATCAGAATCTATTGAAAATAAGGAAGAGTAATAAGAAAATATATAAATTGAAAAACCTATTGAATAACAACATTCACTTCATACTAATAATGAAGAAGAAACTAAAAGTTTGATTGATTAGAATGATAATAACACATAACAAAATCAATAAATTCAATAGCCAAAGTATATAAATATATTTAATATTAAGCATTTATAGAAAACCAATGATGATGTTAAAAAAAAAGTGATAACATTAATTTATTTATTTATCAGACAATTTATTTATATATATATTTATATATAATTTCATATAGCAAATGATAGCGATTTTGATTCTTAATCAATACTAATACTATTCTAGTTATAATCTTTTGATCTTCTATTAGTAAAGTATCTAATTTCTAAACTTGGTAAACGAACTCTCTCAACACTATTTAAACTGAATTTTGGTTTCAAATACATTTATTAGTTTTTGTAATAATCTTGTATTGAGTTTAACAATTAATCTAAATTTAAAAACTTTTCATCTTTATTTTCATGTAATAAGGATTTTAAAAATAACGAAAACTTAGACTAATTCAAGTTTATATAAGTTTTAAGAGATTTATAAAGATTTATTTCTTCTCTTGGAAGTTCTATGTACTTTGGGTTTATTTTAGTAATTTTATATTATTTAAGAAGTTCTGTTTAAGCTTAAAATTCTTCATCTAGTTCAGAATACTTAATTTGTAAACTTGCTAATTTTTTTCTAAGTTTCATTATTTTAACCATCATAGATTCATGTTAGAATTTGATAGTTTCTAATTCTTTAGTTAGGTTTTAGAAATCTTCAGAACTTAGAATATAATATGATTTAACATTTCGACACTTTCTTATTTAATGATTATTCTTTCAGTAGTATTTGACTATTTAGGAGGCTTCTTTTTAGCTTATAATATTTGATCAAGTGATTTTATACAAAATTATAAACTAGAATAGAGTTGTTAAATCTTTGGATCTTCGTTTAGCATAAATAATAATAATATTTCTCAAATAATAAAATTGTATATAATAATATTTGTAAATATATATGATCCACATTCTAATTTTAATAGATGATATCATTTAAAATAATGGCTAAGAGACCATCTAACCATTTTATAAATAAATGATTAATTTGGGAACCGTGTTTGATTTATTTAATGGCTTATCTTGAGTTTCTGATTTATATTTATTTATTCTTTTTTATACAAAATTTAATGTTTTAAATATTTAAGCACATCTTAATATTCTTATAATTTCTAATAATAATAATAATCTATTAGATATTAAAATATTATTAATTCAACATAATGTTTAAATACTCCTAATCTATTAACTATTTATTAATTGTAAATCCATTAAAAATGTATACTCAAGTTTGAAAATATTAATATCTGATATCTATTTATGACGATTATGAATTTTATATTAATTTTGTAGGAAATTAATATATAATTAATTAAAATTTTAATTTGATTACAAAGATGAAAATTAAAAAATAGAATAATAATTCATCTTGAGTAAAAAAGGAATCTATATTTTAATTCAAAATAAAAATAAAAAATTACATTGATTGAATTAAATAACTAATAAAATAATAATAATTATTATAAATTCATAAGTTCATTATATTTACTAAATTATTTCAATTATATTGTTAATGTATATTGTAATGTAAATATAGATTTCAAACTTTCAAAGTTTATAATCTCATTTTTTCCATCAATTTTTTTACAGCATCTGCTTACATAGATACTCCAGAATTAATTAACATCTTTGGAATACTACCTTTAGGATCAACATTAGCAATGATAATAACCTAACAAATTCCCTGAGAAATCTCTTTAATCAAAAATGCTGAAATAAATATTTCACAACGAATATAATTCTTTTTATTAGGAACAGAATCTAATTAAACAGATTTGGCTGAAATAAATTATAAAAATATTACAAACAACCATGTGAGTACCATCTTTAAGTATGGTTCTTCTAGTAAGAGCAACCATGTCTCTTGGGTCGACTAAGATTATAGGGGATTTGCCAGCTCCATAATAAATAACATTATTTTCGTCTATTTTCTCTACAATTTTGGCCTAAAAATGATAAATTTAATAACTTCCAAGAAATTCTCATCAAATTCAGATCTTTTAGTCATATCAAAGATAATATCCATGGCTTTCTTTGGATCTACATTCACTTTGAGTTCAGTTCTAGTCATTTTTAATCCAACTTGATTTAATTTAGAATATATGATGCAGTCATTTTTATCATGTTCCTTAGTCCATTAACCTTCCTATGGCTATTAAAAGGCCATTTAAATGGCTTGTTCTTAGATTTCTAAAAAAATAATTAAGAAATGAGTTTACAGTCTAATTAAGCAAGGTAGCTGTTTTCCATTAAAGTTAATAATATAAAAAAAGGATTTCTCATAATCTTAAATATATAATTTTTAGTATAAATTTCTACATTGTTCAAATAAATGATCAGAAATAGATTCATTATTTAATTACATACTTATAAGAATGGTTATTGAGCTATTTCAAATATGAAAGTTGAGTTTTAATTACTTGTTTATATTTATATTAGATGTTATTATTAACTTTATAATTTCTCATCTATTTCTGCAATTGTTTTAATGAAGAAGAATAAGTAATAAGTTAAAATAAACATAAAAGAGTACCTTAACAAATCCAATAAAAGAGTACCATTTAATTGAATGTGAGGCAGATGATTAATGCAATAGATGCAATTATATTTAAATGAATGAGATAAAACAATGTTAAGTAAGTAGATAAATACAAAGAATGATTTGTTATTATTAATTGGGTGATGATGAATAAATTCGATATCCTTAAATAGATTATAAGGCATGTAATTTGCATAAAATTGGAATATTTTCAAGTGAATTTTTCATAGTAGTAATTATTTTTGCAGTAACTTTGTTTTCCTGGTATGTTGTAAGTAAAGAGAAAGATGAAACCGAGAAATAGCTTCTATATAAAATTCTAAGGAGCTGAATAAAATGCTTGAATTTATTATAATTCATATAGAAAGAGTATAATTGATTTATTTGAATTACCTTCATATAATACAATATTTTTGAAAATATTTATTTTTGCTAGGATCTTTTATTTGTAATTGGGAAATTTAATTTGAGAGAAATAATACATATAAGAAAATAATTAATGGAAGCAAAGAAGATCATTGGCTTAGGCAGTCCATTGTTAGATATTTAGGCTGAAGTACCAGCAGAATTTCTTGAGAAGTATGGTTTGACACTCAATAACACTTTTTTTGCTGAGGAGAAACATCTACCATTATATGAGGAATTAATTAACATTCCAACTCATTCTCATGTTCCAGGAGGTAAAGATTATAATTTATTCAAAGGATCTGCACTTAATACTATAAGATTGGCTAGATGGATGGCTTAAGCAGGTTAAGATCAAGTGAAATTTATTGGTTGTGTTGGAAAGAAAGATAAATTTGCAAATATGTTAATTGAGGTTACAAACTAAGATGGAGTAACAACTTTATTTGATGAATAAGATCAACCAACAGGTAAATGTGGTGTGTTATTATGTAATAAGGATAGGTAATTTAATATTTTATATTTAGATGTTTGGTTCCATTAATTGGTGCTGCAGCTCATTTATCTGAGGATTATGTTAATTAACATATTGAAGATATTAAAACAGCTTCTGTATTATTTAGTGAAGTGTATTTCTTATATCCAAGAGCTGAACTTACAAAAAATATTTATAAAGTTGCTTCAGAAAGTGGAGTCAATACTTGTTTGACTCTTTCAAGTGTAAATGCAGTAAGTGATAAATTCAATGATATTTTGGCTGTATTACCATATGTTGATTATTTGTTTGGTAATGAAGAAGAAGTTGAATAATTTGCTAAGAATTTGAAGTTTGAAGGAGATCTATCCTAAGTAATGTAATAAATAGCTGCATATGAAAAACATGGACAAAGAGAAAGAGTTGTTGTATGCACCTAAGGTAAGAAACCAACATTGATTGCTAAAAAGAATGAAGTCATAACTGTTGAGGTTTAATTGGTTGATGTTTCAAAGATTGTTGATACAAATAGTGCAGGTGATTCATTTTGTGGAGGGTATTTAATAAATTTTATATATTAATTAGATTTATTGCAGAATTATTAAATGGTCCAGATCTTGTTAAATGTGCTAAGGCTGGTAATTATTCAGCATCATAAACTATCTAACATGAAGGTAGTACAATTCCAAAATATGCACCAGTAAAAACATGGTGAAAAAATATTTGTTTTTACATAAATAATAAATATAAAATATTTTAATGAGTTTGAGTTAACAATTAAAAGAAGAGGAAGGAGTTGACTAACCCATTCTACCTGTCTCTACAGTTCCTGTTCGTAGAAAAAATAAAAAAAGGCAAATTGTCAATCCTAGTTAAAACACTGGACATTGGAGCTAATAAGAACATTAAACTTATTTAGACTTTCTCCAATAAAACCAACAAATTATGGAATCTTAGGATTAAAAGAAAAGCAATAAAATCTTTAAATAAATGAGTGAGATTATTGGAAGTCGCAGTCCTTCATAATGTAGGTAATACAAATTCAATTTATCAAATCAGATCACATCATTAAAAATTCAATCCATTTATTCATTAAGTCAAGAAAAGATAAAAAGGTGCAGGGAGAAAGAGAAAGGATAATCAAATTACTTAACCAATTTAGCATCTTTATCATTTCTATTAATAACCCATTATATCTTAACATCAATTAGACTTTCCTATATTCTAACCACCATACCCTGAAGAAATGATCTACCCATAACCAATTACATCAGACAGAAGTCTCCTTTACAATTTCGGTTTCCTTCCATAATTTTCTATCAATTTCAATTACTATAATGATTTGTTGGTAAATTAGACTATGTACTAAAATGATAAAGAGAATCAATTTCAAGAGTAGTGATAGTATTCATAATTTAAGTTTACTCAATACTATATCATAATCCCATTTATACTTAATTAAATCAACCAATCTCTTTTTTAACTTTAGGCTGACATTTTTGAGATCAAATTTTTAGAGATTAATTCTAAATTGTACATGGATTTCTTTCTTTTAATTGTCATACAATTCAAACAAATAAGGAATAGTGATTGAAACTTTTTTTACATTTAAAAATTCTTACTATCATCTGATTGATATTTTATTATATAATTCTTTTAGTGTGTCATGTAACTACTCTATATTTTAATTTCCTTTTTACTTATGTTTATTAAAGCCATTCATTCTTCAGAATAAGAAGTTGGTCGCAACGTTAGAAGGTAAGTTTCATCTTTATGGCAACTTTAGTTCAAAAAAGAAATATCTATGGAAGTTCTCAATAGATAATGTTGATCAAGAAATAGCCCTTTTTATTTCATCCCTTTCAGGCAAGAAAGAAGTTAGACACAATGGGAGAACAATTCATTAAGAATCTAGGTAAAACTTTTTCCATATCATTTATTTTCAGTTTGTTTGGTGATTTTAGATATCTACATTACATTTAAAAGTGTCTTATAACTATTGCACCCAGATTCGATTCATATGAACTTTATTTGGATAATATTCCTTTTGCTGAATATTACAATACCCGCAACATAAATCAAAGTCATAATCCTCAAAATAGACCTTTAAACAATGATGATGGTGATTAGTATGATCTTAGTCCTCTGAAAGATCCAGAACCGCCAAAAAAAATATCATAAGAGCAATTATAGAAACTTAAACTAACTGTGCCTAATGAACAATCAAACAACACTTCAAATAAAACTGTCTCAAAATAATAAGAACTTTGGTGGAAATAAGGAGTTAATGAAGAGTTTGGCAATTTTGGTACACCTTCAACTAATGGAACAGACAATTATTTTGGCAACTTTGGTTTCACATTTGATACCCCCTAAAAAGAATCTAAAAAATCAACTTAATAAATTCAACAACAAAATAATCACAATTAAAATGAAAAACCTAATCCTTTCTTTGAATTTAATTAGAATTCTTGGAATGTACAACCATAACCGTAAAATAATTGTAATTTTGGTTGCACTCAATAATCATCTCAAATTAAGCCTTTACAGTCACCATAATAATATACAGAACCAAAACTTCCTAGTAAAACAGAATAATAATATAATAATATGATTACACCGTAAATATTAAACTAATAAAATCAAAATCAATTATTTAATTAATATAATTTTAGTAATCAATAATAATAATAATAATCATAATTAATATAATAGCAATAATAATAATAATAATAATAATAATAATAATAATAATAATAATAATAATAATAATAATAATAATAATAATAATCATTATAGATTCAATAATAGTAATAATAATAGTAATAATATTAATAATAATAATCATAAGTATTCAATTTTTAAAATACACAACCATAAGTAAGATAATAATAATAAATTGATTTATTGGATCTTTTTGAATCTTGTTAACCTTAACAAAATAACACAATCTAATAATAAGAATTCAAAAAGAGTCCTTCTTAAGCTTCTTTTATGCCACTTTAAATTTAATCTTAGATTACACCTATATAATTACCAATATAATAAAATCAAATTTTAACCAATCAATTTCCTAATCATTTAAATTATTAATCATAATCCTAATATTCAAATTAAACTTAATCCACATACCCATAGTATCGAACTACATAGTCATTAACACCTTTGACATCTTCATATTAATAAATACAAAAGCAGATGCCAAAAGAATTAGAAGATATGTTTGATTAACCAGCATAAATTGTTTAACCACCAATTTAAAGAAGGTCAACACCATTTGATGATGATTTGTTTGCATGAATTATAAATTAAGAATGAATAAACATAACAATAAACAATTATTATTTTAATTAAATTAACACAATTATAATTATATCAACCAAATCCATATCCTTCTAAACCAATAGTAAAGGCAATATCTAATTTTTATTTCATTTATCCATAATTTGTATACAAAGGAACTTCAATTGATTTAAAGCATGTATGAGCTAAAGGCAATTTTCGAATATCCAAATTACTTTTGAATTCAACTGATATTATATATGAACTTTAATCAAATGGAATAGCAGAGGAACCTAAAAATAAAATTGAATAAACAACCAGTAATAAATTTTAACATGTTCTTTAATGTTTATGGATCTGCTTGATTGATATATGTTTCAAAGTAAGATTTGTGATTTGCCTTACCTCCATGATATGATATCTTTTGTAAAATAACATCTGGTTTAATTTCAAGTAATCCTTGTGTAAGTAATGATATTTCAGAAGGTTTCAACCACTTTTAGAAAATCTTAAAATAAATTAAATTAGAAATTACCTTTAAATCAACAACAGCTGTAAATCCTTCAATAAAAGATTCATAAATTTCTTTAAATTATTTATAAATAATATATTCTGCTGTTTTGTCTAAATATTAATGAACATTATTTGAATTCACAGACATTGTAGTTCCATTTGGAATTAACTCAATAGTAGAATTTCCTATTTAATAAGTAAAATCCAAATATAGAGATTCTAATGTCTCATGACTCATATCTCTAAGATTAGCATAATTGGTATATGTTTATTTATCCCAAATTAAGAATAGATCTTCAAATACAATTTTTTCATCATAAACAACTTTCCAAAATGGGCTTATAATATCAATTCCAATTATATAATTATTTGCTATTGCATTAGCAATTAACTATAAATATATAATTAAATAATAAATAATACTTTTCCAAATAATAAAGCATATTTATTTTTATTTTTTATTTTGTTAAAATTATTATGCAGAAAATATTTCCCCAAATTTCCTTGAACAGGTTAAAAGAATTTATAAGTATCATCTTTTAAAGTATTGCCTATCATATCATAAAATTCTCTTTTGAGTCCTCCAGCATCAATACCAGGTTCATCTTAAAATTTAATATTGAAATTATAATTCATCTGTTTATGAGCTAAAACTAATAAATCTTATAAGAAATTCATTCTTCTAACCACTAATTCATAATTAATTTTTTTCAAACTTTTTTCTAGTTCTTCTTCAAATTTCTTTCTTCTTTTTTCTAAACATACACCTGAAATCTTAATGGGTATTACTTTAAAATAAAAATGATAAAATAATACTTTTTTTAATTTCTTTGTTAATCAAAATCTTTATTTCTGTAAATCGTTCATTTTCTTCTACATCATCAGGAGTAAAATGAGCTTTTGCATTCATAGATCCACTTTTAGTCAAATTTTAAAAATTAACTTATAAAGTAGTTCCTTGAATACATATAATTTCACATATACAATCTAAATAAATATCATTTTCAATATCACCATAAATATTTGAATAAGAATCTCTTAATTAAAATGTAAATGGAATATCTTCATAAAATGGTATAGTTTATAATTCTTAAGGTATCTCAATTTCACTCTCTTATAAACTAGGAGTATTAGCCAAAATAACATATCTACCTTTTATTCTGATATCATCAATATACAATTTATAGACTCCTTTAAAAGTTGGAGTCCAAATTAAATTCAATCCTATTCCTATCCTTTCTTATTTTGGAATATATTAAATTTAATTAAATAAGGAATGTACAAACACTAGAGTAGTGTATGAGAAATTATTGATAGGATTTTCCAAATTATCCTTAAATTCAATATAATCGATTCTTTCTTATCCTGTTCTTGATGCCACTCCAAGTTCTTATTTACTTAGCATATTAATTGTATTGTTTAATTATAAATCTTTAGAATGACATAAAGGTTCACATTCTTTATGTAATAGTATTTCATCCATTTTTTAATTTGACTTTTTTAATAAAAGTTTCATCATTTTGGCTTCCCCAACTCCAAAAGTTACTTTTTCATTTTAATCATTTTCAATTATATTAACTTTACCTTCTATTGTTACTTATTTATGAGTTGTTTTACTTAAATCTTATGTATTTTAAGTATAGTATTCAAATGTAATTTGATTTTATATTTGATTTTAAATTATAGATAAACTATGTGGTTGTGAAGCATTTAATTAGATTTTTAGTATTTTATCACTAATAAATTCAAATAACAATGTTCTATTAGTTATAAATCTGAATGAAACTTAAAGTTATCCTTTCTTTTTTTCTTTTTTAATTAAATTGGATAGAGTTGTTTTCTTTTCTTTAGCTTATAATATTTATATTTTATTTAATTGAGAATCCAAAGGTTTATTAGATTCTACATCAAATATCAATAAATAAATGGGATTGCAAATATTTTAAATATAGGTGATTTATTAGAAATAATTAATTAATGGTTTATAAGTACAAGATTTCAAAGTTTAGAATTTAAGATGGATTCCATCTACTTTAAAGATAAGATAGATTTAATCAAATTAATTAGGATAAATTATATCTAAACCTTTTAATCTCCCTTTGTCTAAATTAAATATTAATATTTCAATTTAAGATGTTTCTTCAATTCCACTTAATAATTCTTTAGGATTAAGTTCTAATTTATCTATAATAATCTCTGATTTTTCATATTTGATTTTATCGTTATATCTATTATTAATATAAAATTAATTTTTATTAAGATAATCTAAGAAGAAATCACAGATATTAAAATCAGAAAAGGTTTCATAATTAATTATTAAATGAGATTAATTATCAATAAAATAGTAGATAGTATTTTTGTATTATGTTTTAATTTCTTTTTATGCTAAAATAGATACCTATAATTTAATATCCTAATCAATCAATGTCAATAATTTAAAGAAATATTTTGTTAATAAAATGATATCAACTACTGTTTTAATGCTTTCTACTTAAATATCTCTAACTTCTACTATATTTAAATTTTCATAAGTAAAATAGGATTCCATTTTATTGATCTAGAATTTCAATATTAAGTTAAATAAAAATTATGCAATCTAATCTGAATCAGGAACTTATACATTATTCTTATTATCAATAATAGTATAGAATCTTAAGATCTTATTTTCATATTGAATTAGTTATTTTTAAGTTTCATTACTTTTTTCAAAATAGAATTCTATTTTTTCAATAAATGTTTTTATGAAATTCATTTTCAATATTTAAATTGATTAAATATCAAATAGATATTATAATGAATTATTTAATTTTGGATAAGAGTATCCATCTTTAAATATTTAATAACCATATTAAAATGTTTCAAATATAGTTCCTCCTACAATTATACAATTTAAATAATAATTTGGATTTGAATTCAATTAATCATCAAAATGAAGGAAGATGTTTTCCAATTCAGTATGGTCATTTAGAAATTTAATGAACTTTTTCTATAATTATTGAGCTATTATATTGGTTTCAAAGTGACAAGCCATACTAACAGATGCAATATCAATTGAATCTAATTTGAATTTATCTCCATAGATTCTAACATAAATTGTTTATCCTTAAATTAAAGATTGTTATTTCTTTAATTAATGGATGGCAGCAAAATCGAAATTGATTTAATCTGGGAAAATTGGAGTTAATTAAGTTAAACTTAAATCATTATAGGAGGAAACAAGACCATATCCAAATAGATTGTCAAGTTTCTCTTATTTATTGAATTCATCCTATTCACATTAGATTTAACTCATAAGAGTTACAAACTTAGGTTCATTACATATTGATATATTTCCATATTGATCAGTGAAAAATACATTTAAAATTGATTAATTAAAAATAGGATCAGATGGCCAAATAGGTTGAAAGAGTATTATTGATATTAAGTCTTCAATTTAAACATAAAGTAGTTCATGATTAGAATAAGTTTATCCAGAATAATGGGCTTAATTTCTATTAATTCTATCATTTGTTAAGAGTGCTTCATTCATTTAGTCTAATTAAGAGAATAAAAAGTGTCCTGGTTTAGAATTATAAACTAATTAACATGATACTAAATTATTTTTTTAATTTTCACAATAAACTATCATACAAACATCTCCTAATTTACTATTATTTACATAATAATTCTTAGAGATTTAAAATCCAAAATGATATGATAATTTTATATCATTTTTTTATGTGACTTAACATAATCTCTATAAAATCTTAGATTTCTATTTTAATTATAATTATCTTGTATTTGATACAATTATATTCATTAATGGTTGATTTTATCTTAATGCAGATAATAAACATGATAATCTAATATTAAACATTTCATCAAATTATTCATCTTTTATTTATTTTAATATATAATTATACAATTCTTCTTTAAAATATTTATTTAATTTTAATAAAATATGCCAAATTTATTCCATTTCTTTTAATCTACTTTTACTATTCTTATTTTAATTAATTTTAGAGATTTCACTTTAGAAGATTGAAGCTAAAGATTAATGATCTACTGATAAAGTTATAGTTTTATTTAATAATTTACTCAATTAATTTGAATAATCCAATAAATGTCTATCAATATCCAATTTATTAAATAAGTATTACACTAATTATTCTGGATTGAATATTTAATTATAGAAATCATATTCATTAATTATACTATGAAAATATTCTTAAATTAATGGATCTGGTTTAAATACATATCTAATATTTTATTAAGTCTATTTATCTTATTAAATTATTATTTATTATTATTATTAATTACATATCCTAATATTTAATCTAATTATCAGAATGTGATTATAAAGAAGATAAGTAGTATTTCCAAATTAGAATATCTTATCCAATCCTTTTTTTAAATTATTCTATACAAATTCAACTCCTTACTCTTCATTGAATTCAACATAAACACCCCTAATAACTTTTAATATTTATTATGCTTTTATCAAATTATTATATAGTAACTAATGTAAAATCATAATCAATGTATCCCAATTAAATACCAATTCAATTACAGAATATATATTAATTAATTTATTAGGTATTTATTACATTTAAACTAATTTACTTACTATAACTTCTAAAAATGATATTGTATTTATTCTCCATACCAATTTACTTTAATCTTCACTTCTACCCAATAATTACTGTACTTTTTCAATAAATGCAACCAATTTTGTAAATATCATTTAAATATTGTATGTTGAAAACAATTAATCTTAGAATATAAAGTTTTAATTTTTAATATAGAATGGAAATTCCAATTTCCAATCTTATAATTATTTCTATTCAATTATATTACTTAAATATTCATTATATCTATAAAAATCTTATATAATCATTTAAATTACAACATTTCCATTATATTTAATATTGAATTCTTCTTCAGATAATTTTATTAAATTAATTACTACTTATGGTTGAATGAAATGATAAAATTCAGCAAATATTAATTCTTTTTTATTTTTATATCTCTTTTACTATCTAACTTAATAAGTATTATCAGGTAATAGCTCAAACATAAATTGAAAATCTTCCTTCATTATTTATTATTGATTTAAAGTTGATTATCTTTGTAATTGAATCCCTTATGATTGACTCTAACTCTAATGAATTAAAGAGGGAGGTTGTCCCTAAGATTGAAATATTTGCTAATCACTTTATCTAATTTATTCATGTTAATGAGGAGCAAATACATCATCTATTTGATAAATACCAACTTTATCAAATTTTTATTCCATAAGATTCTTGAAAAAAATCAATTCTTCTAACACATTCTGCTTAGAATTGATAATAATTTCATGAAAATCTATTGTTTTTATTGAACTAAAATCAAAATACTTCCAATTATCTTAAATTTCTTAATATTGTATTAATTGAGCAACTAAATTCATTTAATAATTTGCCATTTTTAATTATGATATAGCTTTAGCAATATATTCTTCAAATAAATAAAATGAATCATTCTCATATTAAAGTGGTATAATGAATCTTCCTTCTTAATATACTATCTATTCTTATCCAAAAACAAGAAGAACATTTTTGTTAAAATTATACATTGTTATAATCACCTAACTCAATCGTTCAATAAATCCTTAAATGATTTCATTTATCTATTAAATATACATTATTCCTTTTAAAATGGCTAATTCCTATGAATTCTCTTTTTCTAAAATCTATTTAAAGTAATTAGAGTCCTTAATTTTATAATCTTAATTTAATAAAGACAATAAGAAGATCATACTATTTTCAGTTAAAAATGGTTTTTTCATTATTGTTCTCTATTCAAATTTTAATAAATTTTAATATAGTTCCTTAATAACTATTAATTTCTATTACTATATTACCTATTTTTAATACTGATCTTTTTAAATGCAAAGTAATAAATAAAAGGCATAAGCAATATTTTAAGTCATTTAATCTTTATATATAGAATATTCTTATTAATCATGAATTTTTGTTACTACAATTTTCTGTTCCTATTAAATTATATTTCCTTCATAAATTATTTTTTAATCTTGATTTTAATCCTAGTTCTAATTTATATTATTTTAATATTCTTATTATAAAGATTTCTATTCATTTTATTATTCTAATTAAAATGATTCCTAAAATTGATTATAATAATGATATTAGACATACTTATTTAATACAGGAGTTTTGTATAAAGCATGATTAACTACAATCACTGTTGAAATAGTGAAAAATACAGGATTTGTAATTTCAATGAACAATTTAGGATTAATAGCAGCAAGTTCATCATAAATTGGATTTTTAAATAAGGTGTATTTTTAGCATTATTCAAGAATCATCCGATATTTTTCCTGTTACAAATTAATTGATCCATCAGGTTATCTATATTCTTTTAAGACTTATCGTAAAAGAGTAGGATTAAATTAATATTTAACTAACATAGTCCATTTATCTAATGCCATCTATATAGTCAAAGATTTATTGTGAAAATAATAAACTTCATTCAAGTTAAATATGTAATTGATACAAGCCTATTCATATTTTATGAGTTATTGTATTTATTAATTTCTATGTTATGATTTAAAATTAGTCTTTTTACATTATTTTAATTCTAATTAAGTACAACATAAAGGTAGATTATTTTAATATAATTCTATAAATTTGGAAAATGGAGTATTATTATTTTAAAGTTATATTGATTGAAAGTAATTAATATCAAAATGTTTAATTAATGTTAAATGTTAAGGATTAATGATATTTGAACAATAATTTAAAATAAAATAGTTTTTTCTCATTAATGCCAGACTTAATATATCAAACATATTATTATCTTAACAAATTATATCTTTATCATTATTATTAATATAATTAGACAATAATTCATTTTTTAGAATTTTAATAGCCTTACTCTCTCCATGAATTTAAATCATAAATGGTAAATAAATTTCTTCAAACAATATTTGTCTTCTCATTAACATTAAATAATATAGAATTGGTTAATTATCAATTTAGAAAATTCTGTTTGTTTATTTGACTTAATCCTTAATATATTGATAATAGAATTTTATAATATGATTATCACTATAATTACCTATTATAATTAATTAAAAGATATTCTATTCATAAACAAGTTTACTTGGTTATTGATGAAGTTATATAATATAAATTATAGTTTCAATATTTCCACTAATAAAAGCAAGAACTAAGTTTTCATAACTAAATTATTGTTTTGATAAAATATGATTATGTTTACCATAAATCAAGAAAACTTAATTTGATGTAAGATTCGCAAGATTAGCACCAACTCCACTTATAAATTTACTGAAGAATTCCATTCTTTAATTAAATGTTTTATGACTTACATCATAATAAGGTTTTTGTAAAATATTAACTTCATTTTTAGAATAAAATAATGTAGCTGAATTGAATTTGATTTTCTATAATCCTTTATATATTTTTTTCATAATTGGTACCAATTTAATATTCTGATATTTCATATTCATCATAATATAATTTAAATCATTATTACTTGGATGATATTTCCTATCTTCACATATTAATTCAGATACAAATAATTCTTACATTTTAGGACGTATATTGATAAAATTATCCATCATATATTTATTAATAAAATTTAAACAATTAACTTTCAATAAATCTATATATTCTTTTGATTTTTTATCTAAAAATTTAGGCCCACTCTTTTTTAATAAAAAGTGTTTTATTAATATTTCTACTAATTATTCTTTTTACTGAACTTATTATTTATTTGGATATCTAAGAGCATACATCATTTCATAAAAAGGAGATAATTAAATCAAATTTTTTTAATTAGCCCATTTTTATACAATCTCAAAACATTTCTCATAATTTTATGATTGTGAATTCCTACTTGATTAAAATAAACAATTATAATTTTAATTTTATTTTGAATATGCTTAATCTTATTTATAAATCAATTAAGATTCTAAATTATTAATATATTCTTGCTTTTTAACTTGATTATTAATAACTTTCTTAGAATAATCAAATAATTATTATGCTTTTTTAGTTATAGTTACAATTGAATCTTTTTATTTTAATTGTTTCCTTTCTAAAGTATATGGTTAATTATAACTAAAAAATGAATATCTATCCGTTTTCTTTAAATATTAAAGTTATTCTTCTTTTAGAAAATCTATTTAATTATCCAATAAGGATTCATTATATGGTTAAACTTTAGCTTCTATTAAAATAATTCCTAAAATTTAACAGAAATGTTCCTTATTTTAAACTCTATCAAATGAACCAATTAATTTATTCAATATTTCTATTTTCTCATTCAATCCTTCTCTTAAACATAATAAATATTCATTGCTTAATTTTGTTATATCAAATTTATTTTAAAGTAAATATTTTTTATATTATTGACAATTCAAAACAAAAAAAGGTTTATGTTTTAAAGCCAATAAATAATTAATGTATTCAGTATCAATTCTAAAATGTGTACCTAACATAAAATTCATCTTATATTTAATTTTCTCTTCATCTTACTCCAACAATCCTAATAAACGATTTAATGTATTCTCATCTTTATTCAAATAAGCTTTTCCATATAAATGTTGTATTAATTTTATTCGATCATTTGATCCTTCTAATTTAAGATAATCAAATATCTAATTAAAATTTAATGGTGGTTTCTAATCGAAAGCCTATAAAAACATAATTTTCATTAAATTTAATGTTCTTTTTTGTAGATTAGTTTCTAAAATTCTAGATAAGAGTATAGTCTTCAATTCATTATCATTAGTACATATCCTAATTAATGAAGTTCCAAGTTTCTCTATTAAATCCTCTTACATATCACTAATAAAATCAATAATAACATCTTTATATCTACATGAAAGTATAACCTCTATTAAATGACTATGTTTAATTGTATTTACTAAATTTGATTTAATCATCCTAAAAGACTTCAAATTAATAAATTAAAAAAGATAACAACTCCTCTATAAACTCAATTAAAAAGGTTTTTCATTTTAATTGCATGTTATTATGTTTATATTTTCAAATAATTTTATTAAGGTTTCATTAAATTTTTCTATTTCCTTTTCATTTTCCTTATAATTATAACCAAAAGGGAAATATTCTTGAACCAAAATATAAGCCAATATTAAATGATTAAAATTAGTATTCATTAAAACATAATTTAAATTCTAAAATGAATTATTCTGTATAATATCTTTTAATGATAATTTATAAAGTACATCTTCTTAATTTTTTTTAGGAAAAAAATTATGTTATTTTAAATCTTCATAACATTCCTATATTGTTATCAATGATACAATAAAAGGTTTGCGATTTTTGAGAGTATAAAAAATAGCCTTTTCTTTATAGTTGTTAGTAACAGGATATTCTTTTGGATACACTATTATATTTGGATTAAAACCAGCTTATGCCTAATTATAATAGTTTTCAATTTGATCTCTTTAAATAGTAAAAATAGTAAATTTGCTTTATTTATCTTTTTTAAGAGCAAAATTAAAATTTAATTAAAAATCTCTTGCATAAATGTACAATGATTAACTTAAAGCATTATTACTAAATTCTAAGTAATTAATTTATGATTTCAAGCCTAATGGTTATTTGAGAAAGTTATCATGTGAATTTAGTTTAATTAAAGTTTAGACTTCTTTTTCTTAATTTAAATTACATATTCTATCAAATAAATTTTACTTATTTACAGTGTATTCATACTATTTTATTTTCAAGAACTAAATAAATTCTTTAAAATTATATTATCGATCTTGATTATCACTAAATGTTTTTAATACTAAAACAATTCTTTATGTATGATTAATTTTTTGATAATTTTTTTTAGATTTTACTTTTTTTCCTTTTTTTTTTGGTTATTTTGTTTTTTCATCAGAAGTATCAATTTCTAATTAAAAGTTAGCTACAAATGGAATATTCTTATAAATTAAATTAATAAATTCATCATTTACTTATAATAGTTTATGATTTAAAAAGAGTTTTCGAATAATTAATAAATTTGTACTTTCATTTTGTTATTATAATTATTAAATGTTAAAACATTAATCAAATTATCTATCATTTAAATTTATAAGTTGATTATAAATACAATCAAAGTAATATAATTTTGGATCAGAATTTCCATTTAGAGAATTATTAAATTTGGATCTAGCATCAAAGTATCCATGTAAAGGAATATTTAATAATTAAGGATTTGATTTTATTGAATCGTTAATAGTATTAATTATAGGTATTAATTAAGATCTATCTTATGTTTATTAGATTATTTAGATTAATTTGGATATGAATTGTGATTTAATATTGATATCATAATTATTATCATTTTCAAATTATTGTAAATAATATGATTTCATTAATTCAACTTATTTTTTAACCAAATCAAAATAATTGTATTAAATCAATTAAATTAATAGTGGTCTCACAATACCACTGAATTCATATGGATAATGAGTTGAATGTACATCGAAATTATTAATCCAATTTAATTTAATTTTGAATTAATGTTTTATCAATTATTTTGCAACCTAGATGTACTGAAAATAAAATATATCAAATATTTCATAATTCTATTCTTCATAGTTTTTAATTATGAATCTTTTTGGTGTTTTTTTATTTTAAATTGAATAAAAGTATTTAATACTTGGATTTATTCTTTATTTCTTCCAATCTAATTTATTTCTTTCAATTACAGATTTTAATACTTCTAAATAGATTTGATAGAAATCAAATTCTTTTTATAGATATTAACTTAAGAATTAAATGATTATATCTTAAGGTTTCAATTAAGAATCTAAATATAAAACTAATGGAATCTATTCATTATAAGGTTAGAGTAATAATTATTTTAACAAATCTTAATATTCATTCAGTTTATCAATAATGGATTTGGTTTCATCGATAGATCTTTGGGATTTATTTATACAAAAACAATGGATTAAATTTTTGCCTTTATTTGTTGAAAAATGTAATGATTTTTCTAAATAATATGGATATAGAGTAATAAATTGATTTATAACATGAAATGGAGCTGTTTGAAATAACATCATAATTGGTGTGATTTAAGAAATATTTGGCATCAAATAATAATCATTAGAATATTACAAGAATAAATCCCATTTTTATTAAAGTGCAATTTAATGGAATATATTAAATTATAAATGGAGTAAAACAACTTTATCAACCATCTTGACAGTACTTTATCCTAATGGTATTGATTTAGATACAATTAAATTTTGAAATTGATATTCCTTTTTAGCTTATTTATAAATTAAATAGTAAAATAGTTTTGATGGATTATCAGTTAATTATATAAGTTTACTAATACATCCAAATAATTTTAATTAAATTTAATCTTTCATATTTATGTATGAATCAATATTTACAAATTGCAACTGATTTAATATACGAATTACTTCCTATGAATTTTATATTGATTAGATAAATTTTATAGTTTATTCTATTTTTTATTTGCTACTAAAAAATGGTTTCATTTTATTAATCAATCTAATAGCAGTGGCTTATAAAATCTATCCATCTGGTAAATTATGATTTAGTAATACATATTGAATTATTTCATAATCATCTATGTAAATGAGGATTAATTCAATTAAATAATAATTTTAATAATTCATTAAAGATAAGACATCTATTATAGATTAATTGTATTTTTGACAAATTTCCTTAAATATTATTAATAATTAATTTACATTAAGAGAATCTAATTTTAATTATTTGGTATGTATTAATCCTTCTACTTCTTCAATAATATTAATTTATTCATTAGAGTTTTATTTCTATTACTATTTTTGTAATCTCATTCTTTATATAAACTATTTAATTGTTTCTGGAGCTGTTTAAGAATCTTAATAATTACAAGTATTATAATACCTTATTCTAAATAAAATTAATGACAACTTTCATTTTCACTTTATTATTCATCTATTAATTAGTATTATTATTGAGTTTTAGGACTAGAATATAATAAATTTAGTATTTTTTACCTTTATACACTTTCATCTTTTAATATATATTAAGGTTCAATAGAATTAGAATTTTATGAATTAAAATGTATTTATTTTTAATTTTCACTAAAGAGTATCTCTTAATCTGAATCAGTTGGATTATTTTTAATTTACATATATTATTTCTATTTTGTAGTTTATGTTTTATGATTTTAGTATTGATCTGACGTATTTTATTCAGGGTTTTGAATTTCATTGGTAACTTTATTATAACAACAGCCCATTATTTAAGTAATTTATAATTATTAATATTATATATTATATAGAGTAAAAAACATAACTATATATAAATTCTGGTCATTTCTGGAGAAATCTAAATGTATTGTATAAGATTCAATTATTTTTTAATTCATAAAAATTTGATTTTTGAATGGAAATCTCAGTAATATGAGATGGTTTTTCAAGATGTAAACCAATTATATCTGATTATTAAGTATTTCTCTTATTCCCAATCCTTGTTTAACGTGGTATTTTATTTCCATATCTACTTTTCTTAGTATTGATATCATCAAATATTGGATCATCACTAATAGAAATTATAATTAAAATACATTAATTTTAATTTTCTTTTTATTCTAAGTGCTTTATTCATAGCCAAATTATTAAAAGTATACAATGAGAAATTATTCCCAAAATTCCTTCTTTTATCTATATTCATCTTTAATATTCTCAAAGCTCTGGGTACAACAACACTAGGATTATTCCAACTAAAATAATATTAAAAGTTTTTCATTTATTCAAAATTCTCCAATTCCATAGATTAAGAAGGACATGAAGTATCAAAAATAGGAGCAGATAATTCTTAATTTTAAGTTTGTGAAGGATTATCCTAAATCTTTAAAGTCTTTAAAGTTTTAGTAGTTTTTGTAAGATTAGTTTTTGAATTCTTCCTTTTGAATACATCTCTTTTATCAACAAATTAAAATTCTTATGAGATTTCTCTGATATCCTTTGATAATCTTGATTTCCTAATTTGATTAGAGAGTGATTAACCTCTATCTCTTACATCTAATTATGTTTGAGATTAAATATGTTTTAATGAATCATCTTTTTTTAATTTCTTTGTTAAACCTGTTTTTTAATTGGATTAACGCTGATTATCATTGTTTGTTAATAAATGTTGATCATTTTTTAATGAAAATTTGAAATCTTCATATTTCTGTAAATTAGATATAGAAATATTAACAGATGATTATTATTATCTATCTTAAAGTGAATCAGTTAATTATTCTTCTTTTATAGATGCTAATTTATTATGAATTGAATCTGTAACACAAAATCCAGCAGTTTATATAGTTTACTTGGTTTATTTGACTCTTGGATTTTATAAACCTCCACTATCTTTTGAACTATCACTTTCTTAAATAGGTTGAAGATGATTATCTTATGATAGACTTCTATTTTAAGATTATTGTCTTGATAATTTAGAGAGACTCTTAGTTTAGGATGCTAATATTAATAATTGTTATTACAATATTCTTAAGGAGATACAGCTAATTCACTTTGTGAGTCTTCTAATTCTTCATCAATACAAGATACATTATCAAATGCATAATTTGATTGGAATTCTTTAACTATATTAAGATTTTATTTAGATTCTTTAAGAGTATGATACTTTTTTCTACATAACTTTTTTCTTTAATATTTATAATTTCTTTCTTATAGAAATGGATAATTGGCTTTCTTTAGTATTTTCTCTTAATCAGCAACATAATGTAATACTGGACAATCTTTGATGAGATGAGTGAATTTGTTACATGAATAACAACTCAACTTTGCTGGTTAATAATTATTACTTTCAAGTATACTATCTCTAACTTCACAAAATCTTTCCTATCTTAAATTCTCTATAAAAATACCATATCTAATGGACATTATGCCAAAACATTTAATAATTAAATCCTTGAAATTTTGTATGCTCTTGAAAAACCTACACTCTTTGCAGATGCAGTTCTAGGCATTCCTGTAAAAAATGCATATTCTCCAAAAGAATCTCCTTTGCTTAAATAAGAAAATTCTCTACAATTACTCCCTTCGTTTATATCTTAAAATTAAATGCAAATAGTTCCTTTAGTTATCATATACATTGCAGCATCATCACAAGTATCTTATATTATAATTTAATCTTCAGGTGAATATCTTACTTCTTCAATAACTAAAGATAATAATTTTAAAGTTTTCTATGAGAATTTAGCCAATAATGTATTCATTCTCATTACATTATGTCTAATCTCAAAATTCAATTCCTCCAATAAACTATTTGATAATTTTGATTTAATCTATGAAACTTCTTCATCATTAATTTCCTATTCTTCTGCAAATATATAATCATAATAATTTCGTATACGTTATTATAATTCTATCTTAATTTGATTTTTTATTAAATATTAATTTAATAAATTAACACTCTTCTTATATAGAACCTATCTAGAATTTAGATTTGTAAGCATCAAACCTATTGAATTAAAAGAAAATGCAAAAACACCACAAGCCAAAAACATACTAAAATTTGCACAAACTCTTTCTGCTTAATTTTATGGTGTCAAATCACCGTATCCAACTGTAATCATTGTTTAGACTGCCCAATAAATTGCATAATTATATTTTTAAAACATTTCATCATCTTATACATATGTATCTATCCATGTTTAACGATGACCTTATTAATAAAATGCAACACCATGCCATAAACAAGCAAATAAATGACCTACATATATGACCATGAATAATAATTTAATCAATTCTATGAAATCTTAATATAAACCAGTAAAATTAAAGAATCTAATTTAAATATCATATTATAATTTACTCTTCTAATTTACGAACTCTATCTTAAAGTTTAAATTATCTACTACAATAAAATATTAAATATGGACATATTTACCATCCTAATTTATCATGAGATCTATCTATTTCATTCTCAATCCCAACAAGAAGAGCTATGAATGACAACTTTTATAAATTACTATTAAATACCATATCATAAATTCCTTAACTATTTAAATAATTTATAAAAATCTTCCTTCTTGACCTTATAATTACTCCTTTCTCTATAAATGAAGTATTAATCACAATAAGACTATCAATCAGTATACTAAATAGAAAACACTTTTCAACACTTTTTACTGTCATTTCCCCAAATACTATCTATTAATAGGTAACACCAAATGATATGTTAAAAGGAGTCCAAAAAAATACAATTATTGTAGTTAAAATATGCAGTATTTGCCATCCGATTACAAGGTTGCTACTTTGATCTAATATCGGAAAAAATTTGAGACGTTTACATATATTTTATAACCAATTTTTTTTGACTCTCTTATGTTAATATAAATATCTAAGATCATCCATTAAACTTTTTTAGTAATCACTAAAATGATGAGATTTCTTCACATAAGATTTTTGTAATAAATTATCTACGAATCTGTTAAATGAGCTTTTTGCAATGACTAATTTTAAGAAATTATTAATCTATTAAGAACCATTTATTTAAGCTGTTTAATTCTGTAGCTTTGAATCATTTGATTCCCTATTAATTTCTAATTTTGATGTTAGAACCAATGGATTTTCCTCAATTACTAAATCATGTGGTGAAATCTGCAATTTTTAAAGTTCTGAAGCTTTTTCTTATCTTGAAGACAATGGGTTTTCTATGATTTAACTTCCAATTGAAGGTGCTTATATAGGAGTATCTCCTTCCTCAAAAGGATCAATTTTTATAGTAAATCTAGCTGGTCCACCACTTCCTTTCCTATTAGAATCCTCTATATGACTATTATTTTAGCATCCCTAATGTTGATCGACATTGTAACTTTATTCGAATTCAATAAAGATGTCTGAACTCATATATGATAATTAATATATATATATATATTTTCATCAATTTAAAATACTATCAGACTTTATTGTTAATATATGATGTTTAAAAATCAATGTAAAGCTAATGTATTCAATGAATTGTATTTTTTAAGAATTTAATATTATTAGGGAAGTTTAAACAATTAATAAATTGAATTATTTTTATTTATGCTTCAAAATCGAATATTAAGAATCATACAAAGAACTCCAAGGTTTTTCTTTGGAAACAAGAAGCCACCAAAAGGGTTTGAAAATTTTGAGAGACCAAGAGTTGAAGAAGAATAAGGTAGAACTGGGTTAGGATAAGAGACAAAAGAGGAACAATAATAGGAGTAAGAGAAATAGGAATCTCAAACTTCTAACAAAAACAATAAAGATTTCAGTTCATAATCAAAATGGAAGAGACAATAATAATAGTAGAATCAACCTGAAGATTAAGATAATCAAAGCAGATTACTATTCACAATATCAGCTGCATTAATGGGATATTATTTGATTGATTATATATTGCCTGGAAGAGAAACACGAATCAATATCACTTAATTTGTGAATTAGATTTATGCTACTACAAAATCAATAGAAATAAGACCATCAACTGATTCAGAAGCCATATATGCCCATATCACATCAGAAAAAGGAAAATATAAATTAAAATTAGCTAATCCTGACACCTTTTTAGAAAATTTAGAATATTTATAATTAAAAGCAAATGTAGAACCAGAAAAGCTAATAAAAGTATCATTTAAAGAAAATTCTAATTCATAATTATTAGATAGAGTATTAGATATAATTCCACTTGGTTTTGTGATAGTAATTTCTTATAATATTATAAAATTTTTGAGATTATTTAGAGAAAAAGGAGCAGGAGGAATGATGGGAATGTTTAAATAAAATCATAAATAATTTTAGATGGAATAGAATGTGAAAGTTAAATTTGCAGATGTAGCAGGATTAGATGAAGTGAAAGTAGAAATTAAAGAGTTTGTTGAATTTTTAACAAATAGTAAAAAGTTTAAATAATTGGGTGCTAAAATTCCAAGAGGAGCACTTTTAACAGGTCCACCAGGAACAGGTAAAACAATGTTAGCAAAGGCATGTGCTGGAGAAGCTGGAGTACCATTTTTTTATGTAAGTGGTTCAGAATTTGTAGAAATGTTTGTAGGATTAGGTGCAAGTAGAGTTAGAGATTTATTTGAATAGGCTAAATAAAAGAGTCCTTCTATTATATTTATTGATGAAATTGATGCTATTGGTAAAAAGAGATAAGCTAGATTTGGTAATGATGAATCTGAAAATACATTGAATCAATTACTTGTTGAAATGGATGGATTTGCTACAGATCATAATGTTATTGTTTTAGCTGCAACTAATATGGCTGATCAATTAGATTCTGCTTTAACAAGACCAGGTAGATTGGATAGATTTATTGAAGTGACCTTACCAGATATTAATGGTAGGAAATAAATATTTATGGTTCATCTTAAACCATTGAATTTAGATCCATCAAAAACTATGGAAGAATATGCAAACAGATTAGCAACACTTACTCCTGGATTTAGTGGAGCTGAAATAGCAAATTTATGCAATGAAGCAGCAATATTAGCAGCTAGATAATCCAAATAACATGTAGATGCACATGATTTTGAAATGGCTGCTGAAAGAGTTATGGCAGGTATTGAAAAGAAAAGAATTATATCTGAAGAAGAAAGAAAAGTAGTTGCCTATCATGAAAGTGGACATGCTGCTGTAAGTTGGTTTTTAGAAGGTGGAGATCCTTTATTAAAAGTAATTACTATATTATTATGTATATATAGTTAACAATTATACCACGTTCTAAAGGTTCTTTAGGTTATGCATAGTATTTACCTAATGAAAGTGCTCTGTTTACAAAATAGGAATTATTAGATAAAATATGTTGTATTTTAGGAGGTAGATGTAGTGAAAAACATTTCTTTTAAAGAGTAACAACAGGAGCTTATGATGATTTATAAAAAGTGAAGAATTTGGCATATAATATTGTTACTAAATATGGAATGAGTGATAAAATTGGTAATTAAGGTTTTAGAGATGAAAATGTAAACTCATTTAGTGATGAAACAAGTAAAATAATTGATGATGAAGTAAGAGAGATTATTGTTTAATGTACAAAAAGAACTGAGGAAATTATTTAAAAATATCATCAACAAATCTAATAATTATCTGAGTAGTTATTAGTCAAGGAAACTCTTGATCTTAATGATCTTATTACTATTTTAGGTGAAAGACCTTTTCCACCTAAATCAAATTTTAAGGAATACTTGGATACTAAAAAAAGAGAAAAAGTAGTTGCATGATATTAATTATTATTATTATTACAGTATATTATCATAAACTGAATCACAGTTCTTAATAATACTTTATTTTACTTGTTATTCACAAATAACTTGTAAATAAATACTTAATTATTAAAAATTATAAAAATTTATAAATAATTATAACAATTTTATATTTTACTATCTATAAAAATCTAATTCTTATTTAAACTAAAGGATCTAATTCATAATTATTTAAATTTATTATTATTTATGATATACATAATTTATGGATTTAATATATATATATAGAATACTTCTGATTCTTACTGTTGTTCTCTGAAACAATTTTTTTAAAATATTGTCTATATAATATAATTAAAATACTTTAAATTTTAATTCATTTATATATAAGAAATAATTCAATGTTATCAGAAGCAAACAAGGATACAAGATAGGATTAATTGGTTCCACAATTGAATCAAACTCCTAGTAGCACATTCTTCGTTTATAATTGTTACATACCTGTTGTTTAAGATTTTATGAATCAACCACCAACATTATAAGTTAGAAATTCAAGTAAATTAACTTTAAAATATTTAGGTGAATCATTCCCATAAATATTAAAATAAACAGATAGTTTATAAATGGGACATCTTGGAGGTGGGATGTCAATTCCAAGTTTTTAATTTGGTGCATCTACACCTTTTATTAATGCAGAAGATGTAATGAGAAATGTACAACCACAAACAACTTAGAATCATTTTGCATCATTCATTTTAAATGAATAACTTAAACCATAGAATATGCCTTAAAAAAATAGAATCATAGAAGGTACACAAATATTGTGTGACATTGAAATTGTACTCATTTCTCGTTATTTCGATATGAAGGCTTCTGTAATTGATTTGTCCGATTAAGATAGGTATTTTGCTCTCCTAACAATAAATACAATTTAAAAGATGACACATCAATTTCAAATTCAGAATGGCTGAAAGATAGAATGTCTTACAGATACAAGAAACCTGTAAACTAATATATTAATATTATAAAGATCAAGGAATCTTTTTGTGATATGATTGAAGTAATTCAAAAAGAAGGTGAAACTAATATGAAGGGAATAGTATAACCAATTAAATTCTAATAAAATGGTTTCGATTCTATAGAACGGCAAGTACCAAAAAGTGTGAAATAAGAAAAACCATTCTCACATTTTATTTTAGAAATACAATAACTTATTTCTTAATTTATATTTAATACCTATTGACAAAATTGGACTGAATGTTGTTTAAATTTATATATGTTCAATATTTTAACCATTTTCCATAAATTATTTAATCATTATGCATCAATAATGTTTCACTATTCCATATTATCCAAATTAATTATTATTAATAATTTAAAATTAATATAATTATACACAAATATTTTCATAAAATTAAAGAATTATCCTTATATATATAAAATAATTATAATATATTTATTTATTTATATACTCAACCCCATCTATACATACCAGGTGGATAAAATGGACGAGCTATCATTTTATCTGAAGATTAATATTTCCCTATAGCAGGTAAACTTGCAAAATTTTCATTATGCTTTTTCAATCCCACTAAAGTTGTAAAAACATCTGGTTTGTAATTTCTTAAAATTTCCTCAGCCTCAAACAATTGAAAATCAATATATGTCAAATTATCTCCTACAGCCCATTTTTAATTCTCTAAAAATTTACTAAGTTTTTCAGCTATCCACAGCACTTCTTAATTAAAGAAATCATCCTTCTTTGCTTCATATTTGTCTTCTGGAATTGTAAATAAGGCAATCAAACTTTTGAATAAATCTTGTAAAACACCTCTTATAGATGCCAAAGTAACCTATTCCTTTGGATTTTGACCTAATAATTCTGGTTTATTGGCACGGTAAGCCAAATAAATATAGAGTGCTTAACTCTCAAAAACTAATTCTTCTCCATCTTTTATATAAGGTAAGTTCACTAGAACATGTTGATTAAGTGGAGCAGATGTAACATCAGCAAACCATTCTTCAGGTTTGTAATATCTCTTTTCCTCATATGGTAATCCTAGATACTCTAAATAGAATCTCACTATAAATAGTGATTATATAATTTACATGGTTAAGCAAGACCTCTTATAGCCCAATATCCTAAGACAACTTTGTCTCCCATATTTTAATTAAATTATTAATCAAATTTAATATTTAGGATCGCATTTGAAGGGTAAATTATAGTATAGATTTGGAAAATTCGATAATTTAATATATTCAAAAAGTTTATGTATATAAATTGATAAAATTATAATAATAATAAAAATTATAAATATTAATAATAATAAGCAAAAATAAAGGGAAGTGTGTCTTTTATTTTCTAATTTAAAAATAGAATTTTTATTTAAGTGGTTATAATTAGAATCATGTAATTTTCATAAGTAAATATTTAAGCATAATAATATTAAAATTAATTGTACAATAACTAATTGATGTTGTTAAACTGTAAGTTTTTATGATAATAAAATTTATATATCATTATTATAATGATAAAGCAGATTTTAAAATATAAAAATAATTTATAAAAGTCTATCCACATAGAGCTTCATGAAACTAATGCAATGAGTAATTAACTTAATCAAATTGAATTTTATTGTGATTTAAATTTTTAGATTTATTATTGTCAATACCTTTTGTTTTTACAAATTTAATTATGAAGAAAGGAAAAGCCATATAAGTATGAAACATGTTATATTTTGAATAGTAGATGGCTTAATAAATAGGCAAAATCAAGGTTATGGATATAGTTGAATCTTTAGAATAAGAATAATGAATGATTCATTAAATTATACAAAGACCATATTCACGTTCTTTGCCAAATTCTACGATTTTCTCGAATTCATCATTGTCTGGAATTTCAATCAATTTGGCATCAACTTTGGTTACATATTTGGAATCCCTTACAAAGCTCTTGGTTTATTATGTTTGGATAGCCGTTTAAGATGAGTTCTATTGCATTTTTTATTATTATATATATATATTAAATAACCCCTTAATCAAAATTATGGCACACTTTTAGGCTTTAATAACAGTTCACAAAATTGTTTGAGACCATCAATTCCTCTGACTTCATTCTCTTAGAGTGGCATAATGACAACATGAAAATCATCATATAAATCAATCATTTGATCTAAATATTTCTTTTACATTTTAGCTCTAGCATTACACATTTTACATTAATCATCTATATATATATATATATAATTAATACCTGGAAAGAGTACTTAATTTATAACTATGTTATGAATATCTATTTTAAATTTAGTTAATTCTTAAACAAGTCTTTCAGTTTCATACATAGATAAAAACTCTGGAATACAAACACCTATAAATGTTGTTTTATTCTTTTTTTATATAAATTAATATATACCTTATCCTTCATTTATGCATTCACTTTAGTAACAGTATCTTTCATGGTCTCAATTTTACTAAACATTTGATTCATTTATTAATCAAATTCTTCTTATGATCCAAATAGTCCTTAAAATTAAGAAGCAAGATTTTAGAAATTATATCTCAATTAAACTAACTTATTCAATCCCTTTTCCATAATATTAGGAAAATTAAGTAATCTCAATGTATGTCCAGTAGGTGCTGTATCAAATATAATTAAATCATATTTCATCTCATCAACAGAACTATATTAATATTTAATAATATATTATTACTTCATCAATTCAGCAAAACTCATGGCTTCATCAATTCCTGGTACTGAACTAATTAATTCAGATAACAAAGATTTTGTAGCTTAATCATTCATAAATCCTTAAAGAGTTGGTAATTTTAGTTTATCCGGATCTACAGTAGGATCAATTTCCATTGCACTTAAATTTTCTATTCCTTTAATTTAAGTTGGTTGACCACCTATCTTTTAATCAAAACAATCACTCAGATTATGAGCTGGATCAGTTGATATTATTATTGTCTATACTAAATTCTTAATCATACTTTCTTTCCACTTTTTGCAAATAATGTTGCTAAAGAACTAGAAGTAGTTGTTTTTCCTACACCTCCTTTTCCTCCAACAAATATCCATTTCAAAGATGGATTCTCTAGAACATTCTTTAATGTTGGTTCCATTTATTATTACATTATTTAAATTTATATAAATTTTCCATAAATCCAAGACTTTCTTCTTAATATTTATGTAAAATTTAGATAAACCTTTTCTCATTATTATACGAATTTATAATGAGAATTTAAGTTATCATTAGAAAATATTCAAATTTCTTTTTTTATCCAAGGATCTTCTTTTAATATTTCAGCATGTGGTCTTTAATCTTTATTATAAGTACAACATCTTTTGATAAAGTTTTAACATTCTTTCGAGACATGAGTGGGTATTGGTGGACATTTCAAATTTTATATAGCCTCTAACAATTAAGCTAATGATTTTATATTTGGCCTAATCTCATTACAAAATTTCTATTTACCATGGATGTTCTGCTGTTGCCATCTCTATTATTACACATCCCAAACTCCATACATCAACTCTTCTACCATATTTCTTTTCTTTCAATAATAGTTCTGGAGCCATCCATTTGAAAGACCTTTTATCTAAATAAAATATAATACCCTTTCATTGATTAACAAAATTCAGTATCAGATAAATTAATTGCTTCTTTCCATGATGATGATCCAAAATCAGCTATCTTTATTTATCCTCTTTAATTTGAAAGAATATTTCCACATTTTAAATCTCTATGTACAACTGCCTGACGATGCAAATATATTAATCCATCCAAAATTTGAATTGTAAATTTTCTTATCAAAGTTTCATTAAACTTTCCAAACTATTTTAATCTATCAGACAAACTGCCCCCTATTTTATTCTATATTCTTATTACCATCCATATATTCTAAATAAACATTTAATATTCCTGCTTCTCTCATATAACCATAATATTACACTATGTTTTTATGAGTCAATTTTGACAGAATTATAATTTCATTATCCACTGATTCTATTAATTACTTTCCATCCATTTATTTTACAGCAATAAATTTACCTTAAATGAATCCTACAAAAACATCTCCAAATGCCCCACTACCTATTTTCTTACCTAATCTCAAATCTTTGAAATTGTATTCACATCCAACTGCCTTTTAAGAGTCTTCCTATTAATCACATAACATAGGTTTTAGAACTAAAGGAGCTGGTTTCCTAATTCGAAAATCCTTAGGACTAAGTAATGTCTTAGTTTATGGTTCCGGAGAGTAAACTAGACAAAGTTAAGTAATTTAATTAGCACTATCACTAGGATCGATGCTCTATTTCATTTATAAATAAATAAAAAAATAATCATCTTATTTTAATCAAAATTTTGAAAATGCTTCTTCAAAATTACTAATTATTTCTTACTTACAATATTATTAGGAAAAATTTATTATTATTATCAATTTTACACATTAAATGATTTTACTTAAAAATTAGAATAAAATTTTATATTATGATTATAAACTATTCGTTTTTTATTAAAGTAAACTATACATTCTCTTTTTAAATTGATAACTAAAATATCAATAAAAACGTTAATGTTAAATCGAAATTTAGCTATGTTTATTAAAATCTTCATAAATTTTTAATTTGTATTAAAAATACATTATTACACTTTCACTATTAATAAGACTTATTTAATATTTTCATAACTCATATGAATAATTAAATAAATCCTTTTACTCGATTTCAAATTATGTTAAATTGATATAAATAAATAAATTAATAGAAAATATTTGAGAAAAATGCATTTTATTATGTATTTAATAAAGCAAATCAACCATGATAGCAAATAGGACATTATGTAGACTTTTTCAACCAACTAGTAAAGCAAGTTAAATGGAATCTATGGATACAAAGTAATATTGCCAATTTATCTCCATTCAAGTATGTTTAAGCACAAATAGCACATTCTAAATTACACTCTGATAAATTAGGATTAAACTTAAATTCAGTCTCAATATAATTTAATTATTATTGTTCTTATTATTAGATTTCATTTTGATTTATATAATTATTTTATTATTATTATTATTATTATTATTATTATTATTATTATTATTATTATTATTATTATTATTATTATTATTATTACTGTTATTAATTCCATAAGAATTAATTATTCTATTATTATTATTAATATTAAAGCATTTATTTTTAAGGTTGTTTTTTTTAAAATACTTTAGTTATTTGTCTCTATTCCAAAATAACTTATGGTAAGTATTCAGGAGGTATATCTGGAAATGATTATTTTATATTATCATATTCCTCTTATGTCATCTAAAGGTAATTTAAAAATCTTTAGAAGAATATAGGTTAATGTTAGTTGACTTTAGACAAAGCCCTCCTTAGATATTAAAATTATCCTGCATTATTAAGATAATTTGGAAGCTTGTTTTATTAAATCTCATTAGCTTATATTTTTTCTTCTTTTTGTTCTTAAATAATATTATCCTTATCCTTATCCTTATCCTCTTCAACTTACATTTGAATAAACTAATTTTGAACTTAAATTTTGTGTTCAAAATTTTCTTATATAATTTTTTAATTTAATTGATTTTTCTCTTTGTTATTAGTTAATGAATTTTCATCATCATTCCCAAATAACTCATTAAAACACTAATAGAAATTATTGGTTGAATTATGTTATTATTTTTAAATCATCTCCTAATTATTGGATGTTATATTTTTGTCTGATATTTATTGATTACTCTTCTTTACATCTCTTTTTTTTATTACCTTCTTAGTGATTGGTTTTTATTATTTTTATTTGACTTTGCCTTGATAAACTTTTTATTAATAACTTAAATACTTTTCACTCTTTTAATTGTTTAAAACATACTCTCGGATTCTTCGGACGAAGAGGTATTTCTTTAAGCTGAATTTACTTCCAAGTTATCAGATGAAACCTAAAATTAAGCATCCATTTTAATTAATATTACAAAATATAATGATTTTCTTATAGAATATAAATAAAATAAAAATCTATTTAATAAATGGTAAAACTTTTTCAAAAATAGATTAAACACACAAGAAACCCTCTAATAAATACTTATAACAATATAATTATACATAATATAATAAAAATCAAATAAATTATATATTTATTGTATTCTATATTGAAATATCAAAATAAAAATATATGTTTAGAGGGCTAATCTATTGCTATTTTAAGAGTTATTCAAAATAACCATCACAAGCAGATATTTTTTTTTGGATAAATTTTGATTTAAATAAACTGTACAATATTTATTATATTTTGATTGATTAATATAATTGATATCTTTAAACACATTAATATTCTTAATTTAATTAACCACCCCCTACTTTATCAAATAGTTATTTTTTTAATTTTTAGAATATCTTCTGATTTTAATTTATAATGATATTAAATCAAAATATATTAGTCTTCAAACTAATATTGATATTCAACAATAGTCTTATTTTTCTTGATGTTTAATTCACTCTTTTTTAGGTTAATTCAGGAAAGTTATTTATATTAATTATTTAATATACAAAAAAATAATGAAATTCTAGTTTATAATTATATCATCAGGAGGATATATAATAATATTTTCTTAAGCAATTTCTAATAGTTCATAAGAGGGTGTAACTATAATATAATGATAATTCATAATTTATTTCAATGCTTTCAATTTTGTTGATTCAATTATTAATTTCATATTGATTTTAATTATTGTTTGATAATTATGATGAACATCATTACAAATAATATAAAGTATGTTTAATTTTTTATAATTTCTCATGATTTATCCTTTAAGTTAAGTTTAGAGCATTTTAATTTATGTTTCTACTTTGACTTTTTATCTCTTTCTATAGCATTTGATTCATCATCACTTGTACATGTATCAGATTTATCATCTATTTCTAATTAGTGAATAAATTTTGCTCTACAAACTATTTGTTAAAGTAATTTATACCATTAAATTTTAATTTACCTGTATTTTCATTATCAATAATATCCTCTTACCATTTTACAGATTTGTTAATTTATTTAGTTATTTTGTTCTTTTACTATAATTATGTTTATTCTTATTGAATCTTATAAATATCATTGATTTAGTTACCTAATCTTCTGTTTAAGTTAGTGATATCATAAATTAGTATAAATAATAAGAATATTAGAATTAATATTATGTAATCGTTCATAAAAAACAATCCCATTACAGGAAATGCTGTTAGTAAAATTTAAAATAGAGGGAAAAGAACATTCACAGCACATGATCATATTCAAAGTTCATGTATTGTTAAGAGTACTCCTTTGAATAAAACTCCTAACAGACACAAAATCCCAGATCATTCAAATGAGCATTTCTATCCATAAGATAATTCATATTAGAAGAGAGATTTAAGAAAGAGTTTAAGTACATTTTAACCTAAGGAAAATATAAGGGATCCTCTTAGTAGAAAGATATCAGATATTTATGGATAGGAAATAAAAATTACTAGATCACCTATAAAATAATAATAATAATAATAATCTGAGACAGTATCTCCTTAAAAAAGAAGAATAATGGATAATAAAAGTTCACATGTTGATTAGAATGATATTTATGAAGTGAATCTCAATTATAATAAAGAAAAAACACTTCCATCTGATGTTAATTGGTTTTATGTTGATACAATTAAACATAGACATGATTATAAAATTGAATAACCAAATCCTTGTCGTTCTTCATAGAAAGATTAGAGAAGTGTATTAGATTAAAATAATAAAAATGTTCCATAAAAAAATTATTATTAAAAATAGAATGATAAACTCTCTAAAAAGTAAGAAGTTGCTCTTTAATATACATATTTAAGAGCAGTTAAAAGATCAGAATTGTTGATTAAAAAAAAATGATATTTACTACATTAATTATTAAATTCAACTTGTAAGAAAAAAAAAAAAGGATTTAATATATTGTCATCTACAAGATCCCAGTTTCCTTGGCCTAAAAAATTAATTGATTACAAAGTTTTATCTCTCTATAAATTTATCATGATTATGATTGTAACAGGCATTTCTATTTGAGCTATTATTTCGATGTGGAATCTAATGTTTACTAGTTATAATCCCTAACATATTATTATATTCTCCTATATATTTATTTGTTTTAATATTTGGAGAATGTTAAATTTTTGGTAATGCAAATTATTATCGATTATTAATTTTATAGTTGACTGGGCTAATACCTTAAGTTTTTTATTTTTCATATAATTCATCAGATGTATAATGATCAACCTATATCAATTCACTTTTTTGAAGTCTCCCTAATTCATATTTTTAATGAGATCTTCTTCTTTATTAAATTATTTTATCTTCACTAATCATATCAATTAATATTTTTATATTTAATTGTTCTATTCAAAATAATATACAATCTATTAATCTAAATATAGAAAATATCTTAATTTAAATATTATTGTAATCAAACAACTTATGACTTAAACATAACATAATAATAATACATTTATATAGGTTTATATAACATAAATAAATCTAAAAAATATAGATGATTCAAATTTCAAAAGTCTTCAACTATTCTACCAATTAAAATTATCTAAATAATTAAGTCATATGATGGATTAATAATAATTTATTCTAATATATATATATATATAATTGAATTTTAATTATATAATTGCGTGTAATTTTTGAATTTAAAATGCTCAAATTGCACCAACATATCTAGGAATAAATCCTTTAATTAGTTCAATTACAGGCATCATTCTTCCACCAGATGGTCCCTAATCATCTCCATTATTTTCATCATCAGAATATTCTTCCTATTATTCTAAGTTTTCTTTAGAGTCCTATTCCACTTTACTAGCATCCTCAACCTATTCACTTTCCAATAATAAATATTCTTTAAGAAGCTACTTAATAGGTATTGATTAAACTTTATTCTAAATAATTAAGTTTAGTATTACTTATTCAAAATAGAATACTTTATCATTTAAGGTGATTTCGGTATCTGGGACAATGCAAATTGCTTGTCTCATGTTTTTTAAGAATGTTGTAGACAAGCGTGCTATCATTGATAAACTAAAATTGATTAATTTATTTAATGGGTTTGATAAAAAATATTATATTCCTTCGTTGTTTCACTTTTTCATATTAGCACCTTATTGCATACTAGGTTGATATGTAAAATTAGAAAAATTTTAATTTGGTAACAAGGTACCATTGACAGGAGTGTCTTTTGCAATTTATTTAGTCATTCCTTCATCAAAATACTTTAACTCTTTTTTATCGAATTTATAAGGTGGTTGGATCTAAATATAAATGAGAAATGAATACTCTATGCTATATGATTTCAGCCATATCAATACCAATAAAGAAATCATGTTTCATTATATCATATCCATCATTTTCATATCCCAAACGTTTTTTTGGCTAAATAAATATAATAATATATAATTTACATCTACAACCAATAATTACTCCAATAAAGATCGAGCATTTTCGGATAAATATGATGGATATGGTATTGGTTATGTCAATATTCTCCGAATCATTTCCTTTTTATTTTCTTTGTAATGAGGTGGTGCTCCTACTAACATCTCATATAATAAAGCTCCAAAACTCCACCAATCACATGTTTTATCATAACCAGTTTCTTTAAATAAGAATAATTAATACTTGTTGTTAAAATCTCAGGTGCTAAATATTCAGGAGTTCCACATAAACTAAAAGCAGTTTCATCTTCTTCCATCATAATTTTAGAAAGACCAAAATCAGTCAATTTTATATGACCATTTTCATCAAGTAAAATGTTTTCAGGTTTAAGATCTCTATATATTATATGATTTTCATGTAAATATTATAATCCCAATAATATTTCGGCTGCATAAAACTTAGCTACATCTTCTTTGAATCTTCCTACTTTTCTTAAATGATAAAATAGTTCTCCACCTGGCATATAATCTACAACAAGATACAATTTATATTATGATTAAAATGCATATCTCAATCTTACTAAAAAGATACTAGAACATGTAGCTAATATGATTCTCTCTGTCTCAGTATGTCGTTTTTATCTTTCATTCTTGATATTCTTTTTTTATAAAACTTTCATTGCATAATATTTTGCTATCCTTAATATATTTAATACAATTAGATTTATATTGCACTAACATAACTTTTCCAAATGATCCCTTACCCAAGACTTTCAATAATCTAAAACTATCAATGTTAACTTTTTAAGTTTATTAACCCTACCCTTCACTCTCCTATGCTTTAGATGCTATATCTAATTATCTTGTATTTTCCTTAAATTCTTAAAGCAATTTAATACATTAGATAATTTATAAAATTCATCCTTTTCCACTTACAATTCAGGATCATCTGTCATTTCAGTTTAATTCTAATTTACTACTTCGCTTGTCTAACCATCTCCACTAGCTCCATAATCATAAAATTAATTTACGTTTTGGTTTCATTATTGATCCTTAAACAGATTCTGGTTTCTTTATTTCCTATCCTCCTAATAATTTCTCTTCATCATAATCTCTATAACACATATTCCCCATGTTAATAAATATAATTTATATTAATATTATGAATCATATTCCAAACTAAAAATACTACTAAGTGAATAGTGTTTCACTTTTGTTATTTTTAGATATAATCAAGTCGTCATTTAAATAATTAAATATATGGAATATTATATTGCAATTATATTTTGACATCATATTTTTAATTATAAGACATAAATAATAATAAACCATTTTTGAGATTCATGATATTTTAATATACTCAATTTATCTTTTAATATTGCTCAATTCGAGATTTCTTAAAGTATATCTATAAAATCTTACTAATTATTATATAGAATAATCTTATCTTTTGGCTAAACTATCCCTCTAATCAATTGCCCTTTATTTATATTACTTCTCCTCTATCAACTGATTCATCACAGATTGAATCTCTCCTCTAATATTAAATATATATAATCCTACTCTAATGATCTTTGTGGTTTTCTAGGAGATTAAGGCAAAATTGTATCAATCAACTAGTTGATTATCGAAACTTTGTCACAAGGCATAGAACATGAACGGACATGAAAAAATCTACTACCCTACCTTTCCTGATGTTATTATCTGATTTAATCAACAATTGCTATGCATTATTGGATCACATCTTAAGTTTTATTTGGAACAGATTATATGCAAGTCTAAATTTTAAATGATGATCCATTCACTGTAGAAGCTTACCTTGTTAGTTTCCTTATGAATTTTATTGGAGATTATGAATCCTTTTAAATAATAATGTTATTTACAGGGTTAGTACAACCAGAAGGTGGTCTTGTTGCAAACTCCATTATATTCAATGAACTTCTCTTTTTGATCATTATTTTTTTGTTTTATGTAATAAATGTATCTGTTTATATAATAAATCAATCAAGCTCTTTTGCCTCCCAATGCTTCCCATAATGATTGCATACATAATTTCCATTCTCCATTTCTATCAAATTCTCTCATCAAGAAATATTGCTCTTACAAAGTTAAATTAAATCCTAATTCTTATAATCCTTATGATAATTCTTCAAAATCAATGTATCCTTTAAGTTATTTATCCAATTTCCTATTTATGTTAATAACATATAATACTTCATCAAATCCAACAAGAAACTATCAAAATTTGGATATCCATCTGCAAATAATCTTAATTTAGCTATGATTTAAGAAATGTCAGCCTCTTTGAAAACGTCTGATTTTTGTTTCATGTAATTAATTGTGAATTCATCTGCTCTCATCAATTAGAATTTGTAAACATTAAATTAAACAATACCACCCAATTAGAAATCCTTAAATTAAAGCTTAAAGTAAATACCTTTTCAGTATAATAATCATTAGTTAATGGATTCTTTTATCTGGATCTCTCTTAAAATTTGCCACCCTATTAAAATAATCATATAAATATACCCAAATTCCACTATTCCTTTCAGATGTTTGATATACTTAGACAGTATCATCACCACAATAAAATGATATTATAAATCTTCTTGAATTCTCCTCTCTAACCTCACTGATTTATCTAGCTTCAAATCTGAGGATGAATTGATCTTAAGTGAAATTCTTTCTGACATCCTTCTTAGGTGGTTTAGGCTATAAAGAATAGACAGATCCTAAAGAATCCTCTTCATATCCATAACCATTATAAGGAGGAACAGGTTGATAAAACTTTTTGCCTCTCTCTTATTTTAATGTGGCAGGTCTTATATAAATTTTATATATTTTACTTTTATTGGATTCCTAATACATTTAAGTAATATTCTTTAGTGAAATCATCACATCCATAAATAAAGCATTCTCTACCATAAATCTTAACTGTGTTCCCACAAATAAGATCAGGAGGACTGTAAAATTCTTCTTTTTTAAGAGTCATTCCTGGATAATGAGTAAGAATGGGAGCCTTAGGAATCTTTTGTCTTCTCAACATCAATGGATAAGGATCTTTTCCTGAATTCTATTTTCTAACTTCTTTGACTTCACATGTATCATCAGCCAAGTAAAAGTTTAATGTGTAATAATTTAATTAGCCTTCAATGGATGCATCATCCCATATAATATCAAAAGATAAGACTTTTCTATCATTTTATAAATATTTATTAAGTCCTCCATTAGGATGTCCTCCTCCTAATTTAACTTCAAAATATTCTTTATATTCTTTGGTATCAGGTGGATTGATTTTAAGCTCTTTAGTTTCTCGTATGTTTTCAAAATTATCTCTTGGCATTTGTTCTGGTAAATTCAATGGTTTACCCATATATTCATAAAATTCTCTAGTGAATGTATCACAATCTTAAATTCTAAAGACCTAGATAAATAAAATTTTGAATATATACTCTTTCATAAAAATTTATATTAGAGCATAATTGAAAATCCTCCCATTTGTAGAAATCTTGTTTACCCAATTTTTTAGTTATCTTCTATCTTTTGATAAATAGACCTTAAGGGATTCCAGCATTAGGTACTCTTGGCTATAAATTAATTATTAATATAATGTACTTCTGTCACATGTATTGTTCCATCTGATAAATAGTAATAAATGATGACTTTTCTAATTCTAAAGTTCTCGTTAGGATTTTCAACAACAGATTCTTGGAAGTAACCATAAAAACGTAAAACAGCTCGATCATATTTCAACCATGGTGGTTAGATGCGAGGAATGTAATCATTTTCTGGTGGTTGTCTACTTCCATAAGTTAGATTTGGAGGAGCATTGAATTTCATTGAATCCATTAGGTTTGGATCAAATTCTTCATGGATGAAGTTAGTTTTCTCTTGTACAGTGCCATTGATGTGTGAAAATTGCTGAGTTTTATGATGATTTTCTTTGAAGGGATCTGAGAAGACATGACCAGGTAAGAATGGGACTTGCTTTGGGAATTGTGAATTAAGGGACATGTGATATAATAAAAATATAACTGATTATCTATTGTGGGGGATATGCAATATGAAATAAACAAAAAAGAGAGTTAGCTATATAAAAAATTAAAAACCTACTAACATTGAATGGATCCTCAATCTCTTAGATCAAATACCCAAATATTAGCTATAACAATCAAATATGAAGAAAATTTAAGCAACTTAATTAAGCAAACTTCAAGATTGTGATCAATTACTTAAATCAAGCTTGTACACATTCGATACAAAAATAAATAAATTTACTTAAATGTAATTTACACTATATCCTAATATGCTTATTGGAGACAATTAGGAATACTTGGTCTTATCATCTTGCATAATGAATAAGAAAATAATCTAATATAAGGAATTTACAGCATAAGGAGTATAATTGTTAAATAGTTAAGGCAATTTATTCTTATTTTATGAGTCATATGTCTAGTAACTGAATGTATAATTCTTAATTATTAATTTCTAGTGGGAGAAACAATTGAAGAGATTTTGCAAACTATAAAATTTTTCCAATAAATACACAATTCAAGAAAAACTTTCTATATAAAATCATTATGCTTGTGTGAAGAACAAAAACAGTAACTATTTATATGAATTAAAGATCGTGTTTATACGGTTTAACTAATAAGATTATCAAGTTTGAGTGAATAATTATATGAAGCTTTGATGAATGAAATAAATATCTTAATGTGCTTTAAATAAAATGGATTACACTAATTTCATGCTTTATTTGAAGATGGTGATATACTCTATATATTATATGATTATTGGGTAGGTGATACATTATATAAATTACTATAACAAGGTTTTAAATTGACAGCTTCATAGATAGCACAAATTATTTTTTAGATTATTAAAGTGGTTCGTTTTTTGCATTAGAATAATCTATATCATGGTGCTATATTACCTAGTAATATAGTTTTACATAGAGCTACAGGTCCATAATAAGGTTAACAATTGAAAATTACTTTATTTAATTTTGCTTATCGAGATGCAAATCAATATAATTTAACTTGGTTAAATAAGAGAGTACCTAAATAATGGATACCACCTGAATTTAACAATTTATAAATTAAACCTGAATTTTAAAATATTGATGGATATCAAATTGGAGTATTATTATATTATTTGACTTTTCATACAAATGTAAATAAATCATAATAGTCATTTATAAAATCTTTAGATAATTTCAAAGTTGATTATCAATGGTTAAAATCAATAAAATAAGAATAATAATAAGAGTATTCTTTTTCTCTAATTGAATTGTTATGTGGATTATTAGATCCAGATTTTTAGAATAGGATTACTTTAAATAATGCTTTAGCTCATTAATGGTTAACAAATTAAAGATAAAAATAAAATGGATAAAATGAGAAACCTAAGATTTTGCCATCTTTAAGAACAATATTGGAATTGAGAGAATAAAGTTCTTGTGAGATCCTATCATCTAGACTTGGTAAGGAAGATCTACATGTAACGAGTTCAAGTGAGGATGACATTGAGGTTTGTGATGATGAATACATACATAGAATTTCAAAAGAAAATAATAAAATACCATATTATTAAAATATACTGAATTTGATTCCAAATAAGCATCCTTCTAGAAATAAACAAATTATAGATTAATGTTAAGAGAGTTAATTTTGATTAAATATTTATATATATTTGATTATTAATGATTGAATTATAGTATATTTATTTAAAATTAAGTAACAAACTTATATATATATATATATATTGTAGATATATAAATAAATTAAATAATTTTAATAAAATATGTTATGTGAAATCTTGCTTTGTTGTTCATGGCTATGCAATGCTTTTTATTCTTTCGACTTTGAGTAATCTTCCATATATAATTTTGAAAGTTGTGGTTATCGATAATTGAGTTGTTAATACTGATAGTATTTTTGTTATTATCATACTACAAGGTAAAAATAAAATATTGTGTGCTTTTTTCTCCAATTATGATTATCTCACTCAACATAATATGTATTAAAAATAATATATATCTAGAAATCTTGGAGAACTATGATAAGTATTCTTTCATAACATTTATTTTGCCAATAGTAATTTATTAATAGAACAACAAAGAGATATTTATGAATAGGTATTTTATGATGATCAAATTGCTACATCTCCTTTTATTGATGTTGTATTATAGTTTACAAGACATTTAGAATGGTTAGCCAGTTATTCAATTCCTAATAGTAACTTTACTCTTTCTAGCCAAAAACTATAACCCAGAAGGAGAACCCAAATCAACTCAGGACAATACAACAATGATTGAGGAAACATGTAATTTGAAGTCTCATCTAGAACATAAAAAAATTAATGATAATACAAATGGAATAGCGGGTGTAATATTATTAAATGAATAGTTTGAAATAATTTATTAGAATAAAAAATCATCTCATTTAATTAAGGATAAATCAATAAATGACTTAATTATGCAATCCCCAATTCTAATTGATAAATAAACTAAATAACTACTCCAAGAATAATGTAATATCAAATTATAATCAATCCAAGATTTCAGAGATTCTTTAACATTACCAACAACCTTAAAGGAATTATTGGAAAACATTAAATCAAATATAAATCTACCACATTAATTGGATGTATATGTATTATAAGGTTTTGAGGAATTTTATTTTTAAATTCTTATTTTAAAGGGGAGTAGTGATAAAATAATTTATAATATACTTTTTTAGTCAATGAAAGACTATGCTCATTATATTAAGAAAAAACATTAACAAACTACAATGAAATAATTATTCAAGAGTTTTAGTCATGAATTAAATACTTCATTAAATTATATATTAGCTTTAGCATAAGTGGCTTAATGTCATGAAAATGTACCTAAAATAGTATCAGAAAAGTATTTTTTACCTATTTTACATTGTGGTAGGATAATGCATAGTTTAATTAGTGATATAATGGATTATAATTTAATTTTAAGTAAATAATTTAATGTAGAAGTAAGTAATTTTAATATTCCATAATTGATAAGTGAAGTTGTTGATCTATTTAAATATTAAATAAATTAGAAACATCTTAATATTTAATTTCAAAATAATCTACTTAATTATGATTTAGTTAGTGATAGAAATAGAATTAGATAAATTTTAATCAATTTGGTATCTAATGCTTAAAAATTCACTTTTTCTGGTTAAATTAAAATATAAGTAGGAGCAGTAATAAATAACAAATAATTGTGTGTCATATTTCATGTAATTGATACAGGAATAGGAATGAAACAAGAAGAAGCAGAAAGATTGCATTAACTTTTATCTTCAGGTATTCCATAATCAGTTAGAATCTCATAAAATACAGTGGGTTTTGGATTGGGATTATATATATCCAATAAGATTGCTGAAGTATTAAGTTAAACTAGATATGATAAGGGAGGAGGATTAAGATTTGAGTCAAAGTATTAATAAGGATTTCATGCTTGGTTCATGGCTAGAAATTAATCATATAGTCCTGTTTATTAATAAAGTAATCCTACACCTATTATTCGAATTCGTAAGAAGATATAGATTGATACAATGGAATCATAAATAAGTAGAGTAAATGCATAACCAATGAGATAGAAATTCTCTTAGATTTTAGGAATCAAAGATATTAAATCAGAAAGAGGATTAAGTAAAGAATTGTCACTCAAATTGTGTAAACCTCCATCTAAAATAGCTAGAGAGTTATTTCTTGCTGCAATTACATCTGAAAGGAGAATTGAATCTTTTAGTATTAATTAAGAAACAAATGATTAAGAATTTGAGAATAGAATTAAACATTTGAATGAGAATTTTACAAATAATTAGAAATGCAATTGCCCCTAAATTTTGATAGTTGATGATGAATAAATAAATATTATGGCTTTATCAATGATGCTAGATTAAATGGGTTATACAAGTGATTCAGTATTCAATGGAGAAGAATGTGTCAATCTTATATTTAGTAATTAAAAGAAAAGTAATTTATAATCAATATATAATATAGCTAAATGTAATAAATGCAGATCTTAATAATATCGTATGATCTTCATGGATATTAATATGCCAATCTTAGATGGAATTCAAACAACAATAAGAATTAAATCCAAATATTCTAACATAATAGTTATTGCTTGCACTGCCTTTTCTGATACAGAAACTAGAAATATTTGTTATAAAAGTGGAATGAGCTATCATATACAAAAACCAGTCAAAAAAGATTAACTCATTGAAATACTATCTTATTATCTAAATTGATTATATATAATATTAATTTTCATTAATAATTTAATTGAATCACTACTTTCATTTATCTTCTATATCATATAATTTATCTATCTCATTCTCTTTTACAAATATTAAAAAACAAATATGTTACTTATTTAGAATATTGCAAACACTACAAAAGATCCTCTAATTTCTAATCTACTTAAAAATGAAAAGGAATATATATATATAATACTACTAATTGCCAAGCATATGATGTTCAAGAAATTGCCAAGCATATAAAATTATGTTATAAACTTTATTATTACTCCTGTCAACACTTCAGTATAACTAAATCCAATTAATAATACTTGACAAATTATCATAGAAAATAATTCTTATAAAAATTTTATTCATTAACCCCATCTTCTTTAAACAAAAGATAAATATATAAACAGGTGGAATTATACTATTCCTAAAATTAAAGTAAAGAAATTACAGGAATAACAAATAAATTCATATAAATCTAATAAATTATTGATATAATAATTTAATATTAATACTAATTGATAATCTATTTAAAGTTGAATCTCCATCTGACATTCAAGCAAATAATTAAGAACTATATGATAATATTGCCAATAATCCACACTATTTTAGCCTTTTAGGGCTTATTTTTAATTAAAATGATATTGTACTACCACCCTTTTTATATAAAATTGTCATTACTATGTATCTGAATAGGAATACGATTAATGGAATTGCAAATACAATCTATTAATGATGAGAGTTCTTTCCACTTAAATCACTATCACTATCTATTTTAACTAAACCCATGAAATTTTTAATAAGCAATCCTCCATCAACAAAGAATCCTCACATCACTATTTTTTATGGACAAAATACTTTTAAATATATTGGTATTATGAAGATACAACTACAAACCATATAAAAAAATCTGAATGTTAAATAATTTCTTGATTTTGAATCACTGTAAATATATTTAACAATCCACAAAAATCTTCAATAATTAATCATTAATTTCTGATTGTATATTTCAATAATCATTTAGTCAAAATTGCAACAACAGAACAACATAAAGACAACATTGTAATAATTATTCTTAAGTTTCTGATCCCATAAATTCACTATTTATTATAAAAAAATGAAATATGATACTGAAGAAAATGACATTGATAAGCATGGTAAGGAATAATCAAAACCAAAATTGCCTGATAATATTGCTATCATTAAGAGAGTAAAGTGAAATTTTGAATTCATATCTTCATCAATTCAAAGTTATAATTAGACACTATGAGTTTTATTGAATATCAAGAAATCCTTCTATTTGTAAAATGAAAGTTAAGTTTTAGATAAAGAACCATGAAAATGTTATAATTCATTTGTTTAAAATTGAAGTTGATGTTACATTTGTCACAATTAAACAAAAATAATATCAGATTTATGTTAATAAAGCTATAGAATCGTATTTAATTTACTATAATCTACATATTATAATAAATCGATTACTTCATAATTGTATATTATTTTTTATTAAACAAAAGGATATCTGAATTGTAAATGCATTATCAAGATTAATATAAAATATATGGCAAATACGCACTTTAAGTATTTATGAGTAATTAAATTTTTTTTTTCTAAAAATATGCAAACACTTGATTCAACAGTTAAATGGTTCAATAAGACTGAAGGTAGAGATAAGATATGCAAAGTCATGTAATATGGATCCAGATTTTTAATGTGGCATCTCAAAGTAAACAGAGGAAATGAATAATTGTCTAATCAATTTAAGAATTTATTTTGTACTTGATTTGTTTATCATTATATAGAAAGCACAAGAGATGCCAGAAAATTATTCAGATTAGCTAAATCTCTGAATGAATTATAAACCATTATTGATAAAGTTGGATAAAATTGCAAGACTCCTCAAGAGTAGATTGCTAGGGGATTAAATATTTTAACAAGAATTTGGTTTTTATTATATTGGTAATCAAATCATCCACTAAGATTATAGGTTGTTTGATAACTTGAGTGTATTATCATCAATCAAGTTTACCACCAGCGATCCAAAGCCATTGTAAAAAAAAGCAATGACATTTTGGTTTATTGCAATTATTACAAACTTGATTGACACTGTAAGATAATTGATAGTCAACTTATAATATATCTAACAAAATAAAACTAATCAGAGTGCTCAACAATAGATAAATAATAAATAACAACAAAATAGAGTTCTTTATTTAAACTTGATAAAGATATTTGGAGATTTAATGCCAGCTGGCTAAGGTTCAGAGTTTTTCCCAAAAGTATTAAAAATCAACCTTAACGATGGAGTCATAGGCCTTGGAGGTCTTATATCAGGAGCTGTTGCAGCTTATTAAGCATATTGATTAATATCCAAGAATCATAATATTATTAATAATATTTTTTTAACAAGATTCATATCTTATAATTATATTAATCTGGATTATAAATGATTGATAATTATCATATTTAATAGGAAATACATCCATTAGAACTATGATAGTATTATAGAATTCTATCATTAATCTTAATAGAAAATCAAATTTATATTATTTACTTTTTCCTTATAATGAAAATAAGATAAATATAATACTCTTTTTTAAGATACATATAAATATATAGATTATTGTGATTTATAATTAATAAATTTGAGTTATACTTTAAATATAAATCAAATATTCTTCATATAAAATTCTATTTGGTTTAAAATAGCTTATGTATCAGCATTTGAAATTGGAGTAATAGATTATACAGCATGTTTTACTCTTTTGACATCATTAAATTCTTCCAATTTAGATGTTAATTTAAATCTAAACTCTTTGTATGCTGATTTACTTAATGCATCATTCTTTTCTTTTTCTTTACCTTCTTCTGTTAATTATTTAAGTAGATTAGCAGGAATATCAATTATCTAATTAGCTTATTAATCACCTACACTAACCCAGATATTACCACTAGAGTCAGCTATTTTGCAATTAAGAATATATCTAAACTTAGGTTCTTTCATTGTCAAATTGCACGATGAACAATAAAATGAATCCAATTCTGTTGTAACTTTCTTAAGACAATTTGTACAAGATTAATAATAAAGAGTACCTGAGTTTTTAACTAATACTAATTAAGCTCTAACATCTGAGTATATTTTTAAATTCTAATCTAATTCACATCTATTTGATTCATTTATTAATTCAGATATTAATTTAATCTTAGATACAGGTTCAGCCAATTTTCCATCAAAATTCTATAACCAATTTTATAATTCTTTGACTTCTTTTTAATTTTTATCAAAATGGATAGAAGTCAAATAATTATTTTATAAACTTTTTCTTCCTTAATATTCATTTATCTTTAAACTTTTGAACATATAAATTTCTCCAATTTAAAATGGGTATTGTTGAGCTAAATTTCCATAGAGTGTTATTTCTATTTCTTATAATGAATCATCATAAACTCCTAATTAAATTCTAGTTGATTTCTCATCTTTATTTTTAGCTTAAAATTCTTTTACACCACTAGTTGATTTTATTACAGCTACTACATCTTATATTGATCCAACTTTTTATTGGGTTATTGAATTAAGTTTAACAAAGTTAAAGATATTTAAAGGAATTCCAGGGACTTCATCAATTTCAATTATTTAAGAATTTTGATCAAAAGTATAATCAAAGGGAAGACTCCCAATCTTTTGTAATTATTCTAAATTTTTGGCTGGTTTTACTTAAACACCTGAAAAAATGTAACACTTTCCTTAAACAATATAATCATGAAATTTTTCAGCTGCTTAATCAAAAAACATAGCAGAGATAAGATTTTCTTCATCAATAACATAAATTCCAAACATTTTTCCATCTTTTTAATTTTTTGTAGTATAGCTTTTTATTTCATTAACTTTAACAACTCTACCTCTAAATGCTTATTAAAAACTAGGATTAATTTAATAAAGAGGGAAAAACTATTATGAAATAATAAATATTTACATCAATCTAAGGATTATTTTTATTATTTTTTTGGTTAGGTATTTTGTTATTAAATTAATTATTCTATTGTTATTATTATTATTATTATTATTGTTATTATTATTATTATTATTATTATTATTATTATGGTTATATTTATACTCTTAGTTATTATTTTTTTTAATTTAATTAATCCTGGTTATTTTTAGTTTATTATATCTATTAGAATTGCTAATTTTGGGCAATCTATTCATACTATTACTTCTAAACTTATGGCTTTTACTATTATTATTATTAAACTAATTCTGTCTATGGTGGATCTACTTATTATTGTTTTTAAAATTTAGTTTTACTTAATGAAATTTTAATCTATAATTTAACATAATAGTATTACTCCTTGTTTAGGTTTTTCTTCTTATTTATTTGGTATTTCTTATATGTTCTGTTATATTGTATTTTTTGGAGGAATCTATCCAATCGATTAGGATTTGTGATTTGAAAACAATAAATCGTCAATCCCAGCAAATTCGTAGTCGTCTAATGAAGTAGCTCCATTAGGATTTTAGTAACCATTAGCAGCATATGATTTATAGGACATTGGTTAGCCAATTATTTTTTCAAGAATTTAAAGTCTTTCAAATTCTAAAATTAATATTGGAAAATCATCGCCCTCCACAGGTTTTCCCAAAATTCTAAAACTTGTGACTTTTATTAATGGATATTTAGTTAAAGGTTCTGTTTCTCTTAATTGGACAAAGTCAGGATTTGGAGTTCGAAAAAATAAAGCTTTCATTTTAGCATAGCCATCAGAAACGCGGAAACATAACAATTAATCCAATTTTTCTTTGGATGATTGAGGAAAATAGTTCTCTACAATTTAAAAAGTATAATTGCATTCGATCTTCTATTTCAAATCTATAACATTCTATCCTTGTTGAACAATTTTTCGAACTGCTTCAAATGTTAAATTCATAAATTAATGTAGTAATAATCAGAACTTGAAAATTTTTAGATTGATTGGTCACAAGTAAGTAAGCCTAAATTGTCTGAAAAGAGAACAAAAAAACAAGAAATCAAATAAACTATCTAAACAGAAGTTAATGTCTTTGACAGAATTTCAATTTGTTTTAGATATAGGATATCCACATTAATTACTCAAATGGGTAAACCATAATATTATTGCAAATTTGATCCTAAATTAAAAAAAACAGTCTAACCAAATAACAATCAAAAGAAAAATTTAGAAGAATAGTTATCTAAAATTGCTGCACAATTAGAATTAAGCTGTCGATTTATTACTAGATCTATGTTTTAAATAAATAGATAGCCTTTACTTAAATCAATGGGAAGTAAATATTGTAAAATATACATAAGTTGATATAAGAAGTGTATTAACTAAAGCATAAAATGATAAAGAATTTTAGAAGTTATATTTGGATTTAGATGATTAAAGTGAAGAGTAAAGGAAAAAAGAGGAGGAAACTGAAAAAATATTGGCTTAAATATAACCATTGTCTGAAGCTCAAGTTAAGGAAGAAATTGAAAAATTGCGGAAAAAACACAATTTAAATCAAAATTAATATTTATATGTAATATAAGGATCATATTTTGATGATATGAAAACTCTATTTAATTCATTAGGTATAGTATTTAATTATCTATTTTTATTAGGTTGGGTTGAAATAGATGATGTTTATACATAAGTTTATGATTTCAAATTTTGTTATTTAAAGAAATTTTTACATAAACCTATCCCTGAATAAGTAGTTAGTAGATTTGCTAGTACAAAACTATTAACAACAAAATTTGGATTGGCTAGATCATTAAAAAGTTGTTATATTTTAGGTGGAGTAGACCCTAATACATTCTTTCCTAGATGTTATGATTTAAGTGATGAAGGAGATTTTGAAGATTTTTTGGAGGAATATAAATTTACATTTGCTGAAAACTATCTTAAGAAAAATCCTAAGGATGAAGAAAAGATACTTATTGCAATATAAATATTAAATAATAAATTAATGCCAATTTAAAATAAAATCAATAGAATTGTATAATTTAATTTATATTTAGACTGCTGATGATTATCCTGTATGTACTCCTTAATAATGGTAAATTTTATACAATAAACCAGAACCAAAATAAGAAATTGTTTAATTTAACAATCCAAATATTATGGAATAAGTTAAATAAATATTATAAAATTTATCTATTGTTGATCCTTAATTTAAAATTTCTAAAGGTGATAATATTTGGGTTACAAAACCTTTTGGATTATCGAGAGGAAGAGGAGTTAAATATTTTAAAGAATTAGAAGAGATACTTGCATATACTTTTGGAGCTAAGGATGTGAATTTTGTTGCTTAAAAGTGTTTAGAAAATATTATGACAATAGAAAAAAGGAAATTTGATATTAGATAATGGATGATAGTATCAGATATTTAACCTTTGACAATATGGATGTATAAAGAATGTTATGTACGGTTTTGTGGAGTTGAATATAATACAGATGACTTAAAAAATAGGTATTATATAATATAATTTATAAATTACAGATATGCTCATTTAACAAATTTTAGTGTGTAAAAACATAATGAAGACAATTAGGAGGAGAAGTTGATGATGAGTTAAGAGGAGTTTGCTAAGGTTTTGAAAGAAAGAGGATTTGACTTTGAGAGTTAAGTTAGACAATAATTTATAAATATTATAATAGCTACAATGAAATCATGTTAAAAGTCAATTGAAATAAGAAAGAATACTTTTGAAGTTTTTGGATTAGATTTCATTGTTGATGATGATTGTAATCCTTGGTTAATAGAAGTTAATGCTTCTCCAACATTTGCATTTTCAACTCCTGTAACTGAAAGATTAAATAAAATGGGTTTAACAGATTTGGGTTAATTTATTGTAGAACATATTTATAATAAAACAAAAAAAAAGAATTATGGTGGATGGGAATTAATATATAAATAAAAATTATGATGATAATTATATTAATTTAAATATAAATTCTATCTAATGTTCTTATATTATCAATAATATATATGTTAATAATATAAAACATATTTATATTTAATACTAATTCAAAATCAACCAAAAAGATAACTTAGAAGTTTTTGTAGTTCATTTTTATTAACAGGTTTGCTTATAAAATGAGACATGCCTAACTCATAACAATATTATTTTGTTTCGCTATCAGTAAAGGCTGTACAAGCAATAATTTTTGGAGCATCCTTTTTGTATTTCTCAATTATTGCTTTTGTAGTAGCAAATCCATCCATTATTGGCATATTGATATCCATAAAAATAAAATTATATTAACAATGAGCTAATCATTTATTAATATAATATTTACCTTACTCTAATTTAATAAGTGCTTCTTGGCCATTATAGGATGAATCTGATTCTAAATTGAATGATTTTAACATAAGTTGCAATCCTAGAATATTGATCATCTCATCATCAACAATGAGAATTTATTTACAATTACAATTAACAAGGGCATTACCAATTTCATCAGAGGAACTTTATTTGCTGGATTTACTTAATTGTCGAAGAGGAGATTATTTGATATTTTAAAATTATAGTCTTTTTTAATAATCTTCTTTATTTGTTTCCTCATTAATACTGTCTTATTCTTTTGTAGATTATTGTATTTATATTGCAAAAAGAACCCCAAATTTATCTTTTGTTGAAAAATGTTCTTTTACTAAATCTTCATGTAAACTTTTAACTTTTGGAAACAGAATAGTACTAAAGTTATTAGTTAATTGATTTTTAAGAAATCCTAATCCAAACTCAATTTAAGATTGTTTAAGATCAATAACAGCATTTTTTCCAATTTTTAATATTCCACTAGAATTATCTTAAGGAGCAGTAAGAGTATAAGTGAGACTGAATGGTTCATTAATAATCTTGAAAACTACTTTTGTACCTTTATTTTCTTAATCACTATAATATCTTATTCCACCTCCTTCCTCATATTTTAGATTGCTTAAACTCATTGCAATCTTATTACATAAAAAACTACCTAATCCAAATCCAGCAGTATTTTTTGATATCTTTTTTTCTTATTTATAATCATATTTAAGCATTTCAGTTAGATTAATAATTTCACTTTTAGTCATTCCTATACCTGAATCTTGAATTTCAAATTAAACATATTTATTTTATTCAATTGATTTTACTATTATTTTAATGCCTCCTTAAAATGTAAATTTTTAGGAATTCTAAATCAAAGTAATCAATATTTATTTAAGTCTTCTGCCATCAGTTAAGATGGTTTTCTCAGCTAAAAAGATTTCATATGTAATTTTAAGACCCTTTGATTAAAGTGTATGGATAAAGATATTAATGACTTCTTCCAATAATAAAATTATCTAAATTATTACATTATATTACATCTATTTTTTCTAATTATAATTCAAGTTTCTTTCCTTGAATATTATTGTAATCTACCATATCTAATACAAAATTATGCATTATCAATCCCATAGATTTAATAGGTAAAAAATAAGTAAGCAAATCAGAATCAGAATATTTTTCAATGGCTACTTAAGCTATTGCCAATAAATAATTTAAGGAAGTTCCAAATTCATGTGACATTGTACTTAATAGTTATTTCAAAATAACAAATATATATTTCTATTTTAAATATCTATCTCTTTCTTCTAATTCTAAAAATTATATTTAGAAATCATTTTAGTAAATAATTCTTACAAAATGATTATTTATTTATGGATGACTATATTCAATTATTTGAACTATCATAGGTAATCTGTTAGCTCTAATTTAATCTAATAAATTTTGTAAAGAGCAACCTGGATTTTTCCATTAAAGTATGGATTTTGAATTAGAGTCAATTTTATTGATAATTAAATCATGTAGAATAGATTACAAACTAATTTCTTAACTTTTAAGTATTGGACTCTATTTCTAAAAACATGTTTCATTAAATTAATCATCCAAATATAATACAGAAAAATTTGGATCTGTAATTCTTTCAGGTTATGAATCATACCCTGTGTATTGTATTTTTGTATGAAATAAGATATCTGGTTTCTTTTTATCTTTTTCAATTTATGTATAAATATGGATACTCTGAATAACTAATAAACCAAGAAAAACAAAAATGCTACGAAAAATTTAATGTATTTCAATTGCAGTTCCAAATATAAATAAGATGAGTAGTAAAACTATTTTTTATATTTTTTAGTAATAATACCTAGCCATTCTAACATTAACAATTTAGAAACTTATTGATAGACTGTTAGACGAACTATAATATGATAAGCCCCAGTAAAATATTTATATTGTGAATTTGGCATCAAGACAAAAATTAATATTGCTTAACCCAACAGTATTGCCCTTTAAAAAAGCTCTGGAAAATTAAGTTTATAAAGTAAAAGTAAAACAATCATTCCAGTGAGCTCCAAAGCTAATGCTATAATCTCTTTTGGTTCTTCAAACTCAGAAAATGCTATAATTGTTGATATAATCTAGGTTGTGATAAGACTAATAAAAATTTTCATAATTAAATAACATTACTACAATAGTAAATACTTAATCAATAATACAAAACAACAAATCTCTTCAACTTAATATAATTTAAATGAAGTAATAAAATCAAATTATAAATTATTTTACCATTATATGATCGAAATTTTGATTAACAAATTACAAGATACTTTAAAAAAATATTTTCATATCTATTCTTTGTTTTGTATAAATTTATTTGTACAATATACATTAATATATCTCTAATAAATTAATATATAAATGTAATAACCCCAATAACAAATCCCTAATACCGTTCCTTTAGATATATTATTGGCTTAATTAAAAAATCCATTGATTATTAGAGAAGATCATTAATCATGTATTTGCAATTTATAATAAAAGTATTAAAGTAAAAACATCATCAGATGCCTGAAATTATAAATAATAATTATGAATTGTTAGCTGATAAATATTTACTTTTGAGTAATGCTTTACCAGGATGTTCCCCTGAATTAATTGTAGAAGAATTTGAAAAAGTTGTATAAGTTGTAGAGAAATGTTGCAATTAATTTATTGAGAAAATGAAAAAAGTTATTACAGATCTATAAGCATTTGCAAATTATGATACCTAAGTTTTGAAAGGATATTTAACATAAGCAACTGATGTTTTTTAAAGATGCTTTTATTTAGCTGAAAAAGACTTAACAAGTTTTGATGTTGATTTTTTGATGGAAAATTTTACTAATCCTGAGAATGGCATTCAAAATCATTTACTAACATTAATATTTGAAAGAAATTAAAATCTATAAAATGTGATGTAAAAAGTCTATACAGAATAACTAGATTTTGCAGCATAATTCCGTGCATAATTTGAATAATTATGTAATACTAATCATTTTGAACCATTAAACAAATTATTAAATAATTAGAAACAATTTTGGTCTAACAGAGTGAAAAAACAAATATAAACATAAAAAAAATTAATGGAAGAACAATAAGCATAATAAGTTTTAGTCTAATCAATTATATAATTTGCACCTTAGATATAATAATTTTAATAATAATAATAATAATAATAATATTAATAATAATCTTAAATAAATTAATCATAAAATTAATAATAACAACCTCCATAAGATTCTTCATGGTTAACTAAATCACAAATGATTTCTATTGAAGCTGGAAATTAATAATTAATTGAAACTATGCTTAAATTAAGAGCTCATACACATGAATTAATGTAATAACATGATAAAGACTCAAAAAAAGATCCCAAAAGACATTGCAAATTAGAAGGTGGAGGTTCTTTTGGGTAATTAATATATAATTTCATTATAGTTATTGCTGGACAGGAGGATATGGATGGAAAGGAACTATTTATGAAGGCTTAGAATTATCTAATTAATGTCCATAATGCTAAGTTCTAAATTAGGATATGCATAACACAGCTAAAAGATTGTATGATTTAGAATACAGAGACAAAGGAACTTGGTGGGTTAGAGCTTGGTTTTTATACAAGAGATGATTATTTTTAATTTATAGCATCAAATAAAGAAAATTTCAGTTACTTATATAAATCATTTTTAATATATATCGAATCTATCATTTCACAATGACGAGCTAAGTTATTCCATTATAAACTTAAGAAGATGAAAATTTAAACTCAGATAACAGTTAATCAGTGATATCTAAGAATTCGAGTGTGAGACAATAACCAATTGCACCTGTTCCAATGCCTTCTAATAAATTAAGAAAGAGAGGAACAGTGTAATTGGAAAACGAAGTTGAGGAAGAAGTCAATTCTGTTTTTCACCTAAGCGTTATACTAGTAGCGATTCAGAGTGGTAATTTTTCTTTGGGATATTCCTTATCCTATTTATCAATGTCATTTACAACATTATTTTCATAAATGTATTAGTATATATTAAATGAAGCACGCTGAAAGGAACTGAAATTGAAGAACAGGGATTGTTTAGTGCAGTGTTATCAATAGGCTAAGTAGTAGGTGCTCTTATGACCTAGCCATTATTAAAATATACAACAAGAAATTAATCACTTTTGATAGCTGATATATGTGGAATTTTGAGCATTTTACAAGTTGTACCTAACAGAGAAGTAATTCTAGCCTTTAGATTTTGTTATGGAGTATGTTTAGGTATTTCCACAATAATTATGCCTGTCTATGTAAAAGAGCTATGTCCTTAGAAATATTATGAAACATTCTCTGTTATGGCAGGCTTCTTAGTTGCTGGAGGATTATTGTTTACAAATTTTATTGGTTTAGGATATATAAATGATGATTTAAGAGGAGAATAATCATATTATTGGCAGATTGTATTTGCTATTCCAGCAGTATTGCATTTTCTGAGATCCTTTATAGTTACTGTTATCTACAAAATGGATAGCCCTGTTGGATTAGTATAAATCAAAATGCCATTGTCAGCAAAATAAATTATAGAGAAAATATATCAACCACAATTTATAGATTAAGTCATGTTGAAATGTTAGTTAAGAGTGTAATACAATGAGGAGCATTAAGAAGGATTACTGAGTCTTTTTAAGAAAAAGCATTTAAAAACATTAACTATTGGATGTGTTTTAGTATTTGTTTATACTTGGTGTGGATTATTTGCTTTGTTTTCATACAGTTCTTAAATCTTTGGTATAATGTCTGATGGAGATATAACATTAAATACAATATTTACACTAATTATTGGATTAGTTCAATTTACACCAGCGTTTATTTCAAAATATGTTTATGGAAGATGGGGTAAGAGACCTTTATTACTTTATGGACTAATATTTCTTATTGTTTGTTAGATACTAATTATAGGTCTAAGTTACTCTGATGCTTTAGCTGCCACTATTGTTAAATTTGTGATTATTTGTCTTTTCGCATTTTAATATGCTATGACTTTAGGACCTATAACATGGGTAATTATTATTTATTATCATCATTTTAGTCAATGACACCTGAAATCAATTCAAGTGAGGGAACCTACTTTTGTTTTGTGACGTTATATGCTTGGCAATTACTTGTTTTATACATATTCCCATTTATGTTAGATGGAATCTAAATGAGTGGAGCTTTCATTGTTTTTGGAATTTTAACAATATTATCAACTATATTCTTTTACTTTTATGTCAAAGAGACAAAAGGATTAAATCATAAAGAAATAGATAGATTATATGGAAAAGAATGATTCTAAAAATTGTGAATATTTAATTATAAATATAATATTAATTTATAAAAAGTTGTATCACTAATAGAATTACATTTTTCTTATTATTTAAGATCACTATATTAAGTACTTTAGATATTGTTTACAATTTAATAAATAAAAAAATAGAAATTTACTGTGTAAATTAATTGAGGTTATTGGGAACTTCTTTAGTTTTGAATACTCCTAAATTGAAATCTTTTCATGAAATTAAACTTATATTACAAATTATATAATCTAAATACTCTATGATTATTGATTGTATAATTATTTTCTTAATAATTATAAATTTATTATGCTTGAAAATTATAATAAAATAAAATAAAAAATTATAAATAGATAAAATAATTCTTCATTAATAGGCAATATTTATCAATTATATTGTTTTTTTAATACAAAATTCTTTAATCTATTTAACAGCATTTAAACTTATAATCTAAAAAACAAAAATAATAAATATTTGATATAGTTACTTATCCACTTATCTATATTAGAATATAACAAAAATAATTATCAAAATTTAATATGATAAAATCAATTAGTAAAATATTTTTCCAACTCTAATAAAGCTAGTAGAAGACAAATAATGCATTTAAATGCAACCTGAAAGGATTTGTTCAACAGAATTATTTAGATTATATTCATCAAACTATTGATTTTGATTAAACTTTATAGGATATTTTCGATGATCAAAAAGGATAATTGGAGTTTAAGAATTATCTCAAAAAAGAGATTTTCAATAATTCTGATTAATTACAAATAAATCTAGAATGTATATATTAATAATGGGATTCTTAATCTAAAGTATAATTAAAAAGAGTAGAAGTTTTCAGATTAATAATGTTAATGTATCTAGGCTTATTAGAAAGAGATTTCTCTTAAGGTGGATTTTATCTAATTGATATGGTTCATATAAAATGTTCCAATAATTATCTTTCTGAATAGAAATTAAAATGTATTTAGCATTATATAAAAACTTTTTATTTAAATTAAAATGCTATTAGAGATTAACAATTAGTTTTTTCAAAGAACTCAGTTAATAAGGAAGAGTTCAAGAAAAAATTATAAGAAAATAGTAATTAAACTATTAATTTTGAATTTACTTAATTGAAAAATGAAGATCACAACAATTCTACTGTTGTAGATTTTGCTGATGAAAATATTGGAGGTCTTGTTCTTGATACTTGGAATTGTGCATAAGAAGAAGTAAAATTAAATTTTAAATTAAGATTATTATGCTCATATTCCCTGAAGCAATTGCTTGTATGATTTTTATCCCAAAAATGAAAGAAACAGAAGCAATATTAATTGAAAATCTAAAAAAATATAGCAATTATACTGGGTATGAATAATCCTTTCATAGTTTCCCTTCTTTGGATCTATAAGAGAGTTATAATGTGCTTGTATTTCTTATATTATTAATAAAAGGCAATTGATGCTAAGCCATTTTATAGTGAAAACTAATTTACAGAAGAAAATATTTATCGAGAATTGTTAAAGTGTTATGCAGGGTTTGAATTATCTTTGAAAAATTAACCTAATTGTGATATTTCTACAGGAAGATGGGGTTGTGGAATTTTTGGAGGCAATATATATTTAAAAACATTGATTTAATTTTTAAGCTATGCTATTGCAATTAAATAAGTTAAACAATAAAATTAAAAAATTATTATTAATTGTGTTAATGATTAATAATTATATAAATTTGGAACATAGTTAAAGGGATTATTAGAATAATAAGGAACTTAACTTAATTTAATTAATTTAAAGGAATCAATATTATTTTTATAAAATAGAATAAATGAAAAGATGTTATAAAATGATAGTACCAATATTATTAATTAATTATTTACAATTTTAACAAAAGATATAGCTTAAGTTTAAGAATTAAGTTAGAATATTAAATCTAATATAATTAATAAAGAGTAAATTCAAAATGATTTCAAAATAAAAAATAATAATAGAGAAAATTAATAATAGAAAAATTTAAATAAAATAATTATAGGATCAACAATTGCTCTAGCTTGTAGTATTGTAGCCTATGCTTACAAAACGTTTTCTAAATGATATACATTCCATATTATAATTATATTAAATATTTGATTCTACTTTTACATCAAAAATAAATTGTAACTTAATATTCATAAATTTCAAATGCTTATTTGAATAATTAATTTAGGTCTTATATTAAAACAATACTTTTCAAAATAATAGGATCTAAATTTAATTTTAAATAAATTTACAAAATCAATATTAAATTCATCACACTAATTATTATAACACAAATTAAATATGAATGATAATGGAAAGGAAGAATTATCATGATAACAGATATAAAATGTTATTAGAAATTAAAATAAGAAAGTAAAAGTAATTAATTAATTTAATATTAATATACAAATTGAATTAATGAATTTTTATTTAATAAGTTAGTTCATTGATTAATTTAACTAAAATGTGAATATTTTTCATATTTCACTAAATTTTCTAAATTACAGTTATTTTTATTCCTAATCCCAAGTTACTAAATAATCTCCTGAATCATTCATTGTACCAAAGATTTAATTTGTATTAAATTTTATTGCTTTTTCTTTAATAAATGTTCCATCAACCTTCCTTCTTAACAAATTTATATAATTTCCGTTTTTATTGATTAAAAGTTACTTCTAATTAATAAATTATTAAGGGAAATAATAGTTAGTATCAAGACTGCTATCAACAGGTATTTCCATTTCTTAATAAAATTATTAAGATGTACTGTTCCATTAAAATAAATATAATATATCTTGATTTTTAGGTTAAAATGTAAATTAATTATCTCCAATAAAGCATAGCCTTCTACCTTATTCCTGTAAAAATATTCTTTATTTAACTAACCACATATTTGTTATCGAAGACAATTCCATAACTAAAATTGATTTATCTTCAGAACAAGATATTAACTTATTTTATGATTCATTAATACTTAAACTTAAAACCTATTATGTATGATTAGTAATAGTTTAGGAGCAAACCCATTCATTCTATTTGACCCAAAATTTAATTGTTTTATCACTACTACATGAAATTATAAGATCTTCATTTTAATTCATAATTATATGTTTAATAGGTTTAGAATGTCCTAAAAGCTTTTAGTAAATAAACCATTAATGATCTTAATTTTTTTGCCAAACCAAAATAGAAGAATCCTCACCACCTGATATCAAATTCTATGACTTCTTCATAAAATATATTGATCTTACAAAGTCTGTATTCATTAATATTTAATTCAATGAGACTCTTTCATTAGTGAACTCAAACAATTTAATGTAAGATTAACATCCAACTGCTAAAATTGTTGAATCCTTATTAAATGCAAATGAAAAACACCATTCAGGTTCTTTGATAGAATTCTATTCCAACAATTGATAATCAAAAGTATTAAATTACAATTAAGGATTAAAAGTGATCATATTATTTTAAAGTACTTAAATTATCCATATAATAATAAGAAAGATATTCAAATTGCACACAAAAGAATAATTGCGAGCTTTTTTTTAAAGTGATTTTATGTATGCTTCATCATAAGCAATCATTTTTTTAATTTATTATATATAATATTAAATTTAATAGAATTCAATTAACTAAATGAAAAGATAATTATTTTTGAAGAATTCTTCAATAATTATAAGACTAAATAATTGCTGTATAGAATCTGCCAAATTATTATATTCATTTTAGAACTTGCCATTTCAAAGAATTTATAATCATAAAATTTCCAAAACAAAATAAATTTAATATTTTAAGCCTTAAATTAGTTGTATGAATTAAGTCTTATGTTAAGAAAATCTCTTTTGTAAAAATAGGTGTATTAGTTATTTTAAATATTGAACTGATTAGTATGTTTAAAGCAATATTTGCTTATAAATTGAGATTAAATTCAATTACAGGTTTAAATTAAAATATGGATACAATTAAAAATGTTTTATAAATAATTAATAAAAAAGAAGAAATTCATTGGATATTCATGAATGAAAAAAAGATATTCTGTAAATAATTAATTTGTCTTTTTACTTAATAAAATATATAGATATTTCAATTTCAGTTAAATTTAATTTATTAATCATACTAAACTNACCCAAAATTTAATTGTTTTATCACTACTACATGAAATTATAAGATCTTCATTTTAATTCATAATTATATGTTTAATAGGTTTAGAATGTCCTAAAAGCTTTTAGTAAATAAACCATTAATGATCTTAATTTTTTTGCCAAACCAAAATAGAAGAATCCTCACCACCTGATATCAAATTCTATGACTTCTTCATAAAATATATTGATCTTACAAAGTCTGTATTCATTAATATTTAATTCAATGAGACTCTTTCATTAGTGAACTCAAACAATTTAATGTAAGATTAACATCCAACTGCTAAAATTGTTGAATCCTTATTAAATGCAAATGAAAAACACCATTCAGGTTCTTTGATAGAATTCTATTCCAACAATTGATAATCAAAAGTATTAAATTACAATTAAGGATTAAAAGTGATCATATTATTTTAAAGTACTTAAATTATCCATATAATAATAAGAAAGATATTCAAATTGCACACAAAAGAATAATTGCGAGCTTTTTTTTAAAGTGATTTTATGTATGCTTCATCATAAGCAATCATTTTTTTAATTTATTATATATAATATTAAATTTAATAGAATTCAATTAACTAAATGAAAAGATAATTATTTTTGAAGAATTCTTCAATAATTATAAGACTAAATAATTGCTGTATAGAATCTGCCAAATTATTATATTCATTTTAGAACTTGCCATTTCAAAGAATTTATAATCATAAAATTTCCAAAACAAAATAAATTTAATATTTTAAGCCTTAAATTAGTTGTATGAATTAAGTCTTATGTTAAGAAAATCTCTTTTGTAAAAATAGGTGTATTAGTTATTTTAAATATTGAACTGATTAGTATGTTTAAAGCAATATTTGCTTATAAATTGAGATTAAATTCAATTACAGGTTTAAATTAAAATATGGATACAATTAAAAATGTTTTATAAATAATTAATAAAAAAGAAGAAATTCATTGGATATTCATGAATGAAAAAAAGATATTCTGTAAATAATTAATTTGTCTTTTTACTTAATAAAATATATAGATATTTCAATTTCAGTTAAATTTAATTTATTAATCATACTAAACTTATCGAAAATAAATCTTTAAATACAAATTTAAATTAATCAAAACTATTATAAGTATATTCCAAATAAAATCATAAAGAATTGTATATTCGTTTCATTACATTCAATATTTCAAGTAGAATTTTAGTTATTATTTGATTAAATTCTTAAAGATTTTATGATATATATTTAATAACAAAATAAAATAAATTATTATTACTTAATTTAAATATATACATAATAAAAATTTAAATAAATGAAAATTGATGTATAATATATTTTATTTTTTTATAGAATATTTAACTCCTCAGATTATTGCACCTTTCTCAATAAATAATTTTTAAAGGTTCTCATTCTCTTTAGTTTAAAAAATAGACATCCCTATTTGACAAAAGTCTGCTTGTAATTAAGTACTTCTAGCAAAAATTTTCTAACAAACAGGTCTTTGATATTCATCTAATATCTATTTACTAACACAATATATGTGTATAGATCCATCTTCTAAACCTAAAATAAATTGTTAACCAGAAGGTGTAAATGTAAAATTTGATATCTTTGAATTAACGTAATTGACTTTTTATTTTGATTCATTTTTTACTACATCTACTATACTAAATTCTAAATCTTTAATATCCACTTTAAATTACTTACATTATTTAATTTAGGTATCCAAAAATTCAAATTATTATTATTTGGAGATTCGACATATTTAAGTAAACTATTATATGGTATGATGATTAATTGTATCATCTTTTCCAATTATTCTAATAGTTTCTCCATCCTTTAAGAAATGGACTGCTTTAACTTCTATGAGTGATTTAAAATTGATCTTTAATTTAATGTTATTGATGTCTGATATATCCCATAATCTTAATATATGATTAGCTCCTTTTGTAATGAGTTATGTTCCATCATAAGAAAAAGAAACAATTGTTGACAAATTTTATTTTTACAATTAATTTCCCTCTAAAATAGCAACAATTTAATTAGTATTAATATCATATAAATGTAGCCATATTTAAAATTATATAGCAAACAATTTTTTCTATTCTGAATAGTCAGCAGTAAAATTTAAATAATTATGATTTGAAGAAATATCTATATCTTTTCTTTAGGGATTCTACCAATAATAATAACTAAGTAAACATTCTGTAAAAATATCATAACCCCAATGTTCTGCCCAGAGTGTTAAAAAGTTATCTTCATCTACTGGAAAGATTTAAACACTTCCAAACTGCTTAAATTAAAAGACTTATACTTCTTAAAGTAATGAATACTCTCCATCAACAACATTCCATAATCTAACAATTTCATCCATGTGTGTAGAAAGTAATTTTTTATTATTTTTAGAAAAAGCAATTGCTAAAATTTGAGAACTTTTTGAATTTGCAAAATTAAATATATGCAATGGTTTCTTACTTTAGACTGACCATATAGTGATTGATTTATTAAAATCTTCAATTCCTATTAATTTTGAATCATGAGATATTGCTATCGCACCAATGACAAGTTTATCACTTATAAATAACATCTATTCTTCAGGATATATAATTTTGAGTGGTTTTGATGTTACAATTAATTTAGAATCTGAAGAAATTATTGTGAAGGATTCTTCAGGTTTAACAATAGAATTTGGTAACTTTTTACAAAGGTAAGCATTCTCTAAATCCCAAATCAAAATTTATTTATCTTTAGTTTTTGATATTAGTTGATTGTTTTAATTATTGAATTGAAAATTTTCTGTATGAATAGAGAAAAGCAATCGAAAACAATGTTCAATAATATTTAGAGATGTTATTTTCCATACTTTAATCCAATTTCCTTTTTCAAAGGCTGCTAAATATTACCCATCAGGTGAAAAGGAAAAATAGGATGGAAGTTCTTCTCCTTCTAGTAGTATATCTATCTTTTTCATTTCTATTAAATTCCATCTTATTATTTATGATTATGAACCAGATACTAATGATAATCCATCTGGAGAAACTATTAGACGATTAATTTAATCTAAATGGCCTGTTTATTAAGATTGTTATTGATTCAAGGCAATTATATTCCATAATTTAATCTTGTTATCGGTAGTCTAGGCCATTATACCTCTATTTGATATTTATATTAAATCTATACTAGAAGTGTAACTATTGAACATTTGTAAAGGTTTACAAGATTTGGTGTCCCAAAATTTAAATGTTCTATTTGAATATCCAGTAACAAAACTAGATCCATCTGAAGTGTAAACAACAACTCGGCAAATTCCTTTTTCTTATGTCAATTCCTCAACAGTTTAAATTTATTTCATAGACTTCCAATCTATTGCAATCAATTTCTATTATTGATTTTCATTAAGGTTAATTGCAATAAATTGAGTTTCCTGTTCATTTATTGTTATTTAAGATAATTTCTTTATTTTTAAGTCTACTTTCTAAATTATTTTACTTGAAGTCAAATCCCATTTAATAAAAATTGAGCTTTCCTTAAATATATCTAGAGTTTGACTATATTTTGAGAAACCAAAATATACAATATTTGTTGTATCAAAAGTTGCTATTGATTCAGTATCAATTAAATTAGATAAAGGATAAAAACATATTTCATTATCTATTCCTACTCCAATAGTAGATTAGTCTTAATTTAATAGGAAATTTTTGGAAATATTTTACCCACTCTTTATTAAAATAATTTTAGTCTATCCTAAATTATCAGTGTTATGAAGTGTAAGAATATGATTATAAAGAATGATTACTTATTATTATTTTTCTAAATATTATATTTTATGGGGACAACAAAATAAAGAAATAGATACAATTTTTTTTATTGCAGCAATATTATTTGTATCATATAGATTTAGTTAACCTTAATCTTTTTATGATCCAATTATTAAGAAATTATTTCCTTTTTATTGATAAAAACAAACACATGTACATTTTATTTTCTCTTCTAAATAACAAATCAATTATTTCGTTTTCAAATATTAAATATCTGTTCCTTCTCCATTTGCTATAGCAATAATAGAAAAGTCTTAAGTAATTGAAAAATCATTACAACTATTGAAACCATTTTTATATTATAAAGATTATTATTATTAATCAATTAAAAATAATAATAATCCATTTTTTTTGCTTCCATTAATAATAAGAAATTTTCCATTATTAGCAAAATCAAAATTTGTAACTCTTTCTTAATACTAAAAAAGATGATCATCAACTTTGTTATCATTAGACAGAGTTAATTCAATCAGCATATTATCTTTTAAAACAATTATTTGCTAATTATTAATCATATAACTTTAAGTTATTTTATCACAGTAGTATTTATACCTTGCTTAAATCTAAAATTAAGATTAGTTCTTTTTCCAAATTCTAATTGAATTACTGAAAGATATCATTATTGTGCCCTCTTAATTAAAAGTTACATCTCTAATAATTTCATCTTATATTTCAGTAGATATCAATTTATATTATTTTGAATCCCAAAATACAATACCTGAAGGTTTTGATTTTTTAGAAAATGAAATCAACAATTATTCATTTGGACAGAAATATGCATAACAACCTTCATGTTGGAGACTTAATGTTGCAATATTTTATGGCTATTCTAATTTTTATATATTCCATAATGTCAGTTTCATATCATTACTACATATAGAAAACATCAATTAATCAGTTGATAATGAGAAATTCTAGATGTTTTTAAATTGATTTTATAATTTTGAGATTAATTTATTTAATTTTAAATTCCAAATATAGACAGAATTCATTGTAATTGAAAATAAAATCTACCCGTCTGAAGAAAATTGCAATTATATTACTTTATCTTCATCAATAACATTATTTATAAAAGATGATAACTATTTCATATTTGAATAATCTGAAATATCCCAAATTAATATTATTGATCTATTTTATTTTTCAGTTGTTGAAATTGCCAAAGTTTTACTATTTGGAGATATTTGAAATACTTTATAATCGAAATCTATTTCTTATCTAAAAAAGGATTATGTTAACATAGGGTTTTGAGCATCATATAATTTTATCTCATGATCTGTCCTAACTGTCAGAAATCTACCTTCAACTTAATAAGATAAAGAATTTATAGGACTAAGTGTATCCAATTAGAATTATAGTTGTATTTTTTGATTATTTTTGATATTCCAAAATCTTATTTTGCAATCTTCTCCTCCAGAAATTAAAATTTATTCATCTTAAGAAAATAAGAGTGATTAAGTCTTTTTATCAGAATTTTCGAATACTTTAACTATTTCCTAATATTTTTTACCATAGTCACCCATCCATATTATGATTTCTTTGTCTCCTGTTGCTATAAACTTAAAATCCTTTGTGACAGCTAAACATGATATAGATATATTATTTTTTGATTAAGAAATTATAGGTTGTATATCCTTTTGTTATTAAATATCCTTAATTTACCATAAATATATTTTATTTCTTATTTATACATTTGCTGCCAAATATTGCATATCTTATTATAAACAAATATCATAGTATTAATAATTAGGTAGTTAAATCATCTTATCCTATATCAATTATTAACAATTTATAGTCAATATATTATGTGTAGTTAAACAAATTAGAACATCATTAATCTTAGAATAAGAGGTCTTAGTCACTTCATCATTTAAATTTAAAGATTTTGGATCCTCATTACTATAAATTAACCATTTCTTTATTAATCCTTCCCTACTAACCGATATTATTGATGATCCATCTTCAGTAAAATTAATAGAAATTACTTTTTTGTTATGATCATCCAAAATTCTTTTTTCTCTGCAAATCAAATTTTTCCAAGTGACATTTTTCATAATTGAACAATTAAAGTTACATTAATCAATAGAAACATTGTCAAATAATGAATAACTTAAATCACATGCAAAAAATGTGAGTTCATTAATTTTAGTATTTTAAATAGAAATATGTTTGAAATCAATATTCTCTAAATGTTCTCCCATATAGCTAAGTAAATAGATTGAATTAGATGCTGATCTAATCACTTTAATTTATGAATCTGTTTTAGATAATTTAGTTATTGTAATTAACTTATTTTTTATATCATCTACTAACATCAATTTAGGTTTTAACAATTCTAATGCAACAAAATAATGTTCTTATGACAAATTAAATAATTAATTATTGTAAATACTCTTTTCTAAAGATTTTATATCAATAACTTAATTTGAATCAAATATTGATGAATATAATTTTTAAATATATTTAGCAACAAAATAATCTTAAATAGATTTATGATTAAAAGCATACAAATTACCTTTTGCAGTAATAAGCATACATTTCCTTAATTAACTTTTATATTCAGGATTGTCTAAGATTTAATCAAAATATAAATCATCCCAAGATTTTTAATCATTTCTATCTTCATGCACATTTTATATTTATAATTTACCTTTTTGTTTATAATTTACTTATGTAATTTATCTCATCGACATATCTATAGCTAAGTATAAAGAAAAGTCTTGCAAATCAATATAAAAGCTCTCAGAATTAGTAACCTTTCCTAAATCTTTCTATTTTTCTATTTGTTAATTAGAATAATAATCAACAAATGTTTCATAGAAATCAAAAGCATTAAGTTGATTTAATTTAAATGCAGAAACAATAAAATTTGCATCAAATTTTACATAAAAATTTTTACTTGATCCAATACAACTATTGTTGATGTATTCAAGTTAATTTGTAATTGAAAAGGATTCAAAAAAGTTTTAATTATCTAATTCTTCCATGATGAAATGGAATTATTCCAATATCGCTTTATCAGCCTTTTTTTAATCTTAATTCTATTTTTAGGATATTATCTTTTTTTCATTTATTTCTTATTTTTATTATTAAATTTCTTCATTATTTTGTAATTAAGTGATTAATTATTTAGAGTAATTAGCTTGTCTTTTCAAAATCAAATAGTTTTTAGTTACCACATCTCTAATGTAGGTAGCTTATGAAAATTATTATGACATTTTTGGTAATACATAAACAATTATTTCCATCATGAAAGGAGTACATAATAAATGTTCAATGTTTACATTTTTTATTACCTAAGAAAATTTTGGTTCACTCCATAATTAAAGTAATTCTTTCTTTAAAGATAACATTTATTCTGTTTTAATAAAATTAAAAAAATCTAATGATTAAAGTTTCTTCACTAGTTTTTCTGCATCATATGATGAAAATAAAACATCATCGATTTATTTTTAAATAATGATCATATCTATAATATCTTCCAAATTTGACCATATTTATTTAAATTCATTTAATATAAATGTTTGCCCTTTCAACTACTTTAAGAATTCATAAAATCTTTTAATTGTCCTTTTTACACTTATTTTTATATATTTTTAGATATACTCCTCACTTTATTCAGGGTTAAATGGAAGCAGTTCTACTTCTTTAAGGGTATTAATACTTTAACCATAAAACCAAGTTTGATATCCAATGGATATTAATATTTCTTCTCTTGTTGTTACAATAACTTTAACACTTTAACCAGGGACTTGAAGATTTAGATCTTAAGCAAATCTATTCGTTTAGTAAATATTAGAACCAATAAAATCAGTTTTTATTTCATCGTAGCTCTCAAGAATAAAGAGGACCTTAAGCTTACCATTGCTAATAGCTTCTTTAAAATCTCGAATTTGAATGTTATCAAAATTATAATTTTCAGATTCTAAAGCTTATTCAATTAGATTATGTCTTGGATCTTTTAATGAAGGAAGCGATACAAAAATAGGTATCCAACATGGCTATATCTTATCATGGATCCATAACAACTCTTCTATATTGCTAGATGCTCTACTTTTACCAGAACCTGCTTTTCCTCTTAAAAGCAGAACATCTTTGATTTTATCTTTATCACTCCATAAAAATTCATTGATTTCTCCATCAAAATCATTTTGTTAAGATTTCAAGAGATAAGATATCTTTCCTTTTATACTTTTTTTTTTACTTCCTGACACAGGATCATATTCTTATGTATTAATTTAAATATGTACTTAATCCAATTCTTTTTCAAGCATTTGTTTTAATATTTTATCTTTCCTAATTTAAAGTAGTTCCATAAAATCTTTTCCTCTTAACTTCCTAATATCATCTTCTAATCCCTTAACGCTCTGCAGCACTTATTCTATTGAAATTTTGATGTTTTTTAAATCCTTTGTGATTTCTTTTAAAAATACTAAACTAATATCTAATCTTTAAGACATGTCAGTAATGTTGTCCAAATATGTTTCAAAATCATCATAAGCTTATTATAGTTATTTTTTCATTTCTGTTTGATTATCTCCAATTAACACAAGAGTTTCTAATTACTCTATGCTCTTTAATCTTGTTTACATTTCAACTTTCAAACTATTTGAGAAAGTAGTCAAATCCTATGAAAATAATCTTTTTTGCATTTTTACCATCTCTTCATTCTTAAGTATATTTCTCACACTATCATGATTTTCAAATATCCAAAGATCTTTAAGCAATTTCGAACAAAATTCTTATATCGGTGTTTCAAAAACTATCGATTAAATTTTGATTAAATTGTAGGCTAATGACTCCCTAACTTTATATGAAGAATCTTCAAATAAATCTTATATTCCTCCTCCTTATTTTGAGATAAGATCTGTTTTTAATTCTGAAAGCAAAAAAGAGAGTTTCTTATCATTCATGATTTCTTATTCCATGTTAGAGTTTATTTAATCTAAAAAGGTTTGTGTATTAAAAAGGAAGATATTTGCGTTTATTTAATCAAAATTTTATGTCTTAGATAGTCTTTCAATAAAAGATTAAAAGAAAACTATCTAATCATTATTACTAAGCATCAAACCACAATTCTTATTCATTTCTTCTATTTCCTTAAAAGCTTCATTTAAGTTTAATTTAAAACTTTCCCAAGTATTTTATAAAATACTGTTGTTTGGGATTGATTATGATAAGCAAAAATTAATATATTTTTACTAAATTATTTTTAGAACCTTTGTTGATTTTGCAATCAAAAGGCTTATTTTTTGAATTACTATATCGCAATTAAATAGCTATGGAATCATTTCCTGCTCATTTTATTCCTCCTTATCAATAACTTAAATTTATTTTACAGATAAATCCTATTCATATTGTTTTGTAAGTTGAATTTCAATTAATTTGAATATTTCTTCTTTAATGGTATTTTTATATTTATAATTTAATTCTAACATTTATAATTTAGTCAAAATTTCTTAGAAGAAAATGATTAAAATTGTTGACAATTATGATGGCCATTTCTTGAATTTAATTTCTTTAATACTCTATGCCACTTATTTTTACAACTAACTTAAATCATTTGCTTCCTAGTCCGTCAATTCTTTATCATTGTATTTATCAAAATGTTTTTAAATTAATGATCTTTTTTCTATTATTAAACTTTCTATAATTGGTTAATTTAGAGAATTAGATCCAAAATTATTAGATTATAGTTTTGAAACAAATCTAGAATGATTTTTCTGTAATGTCAAATAAGCCAGGTTTTATTTATGAAATAGAAGAAGTCTTTTTATGATTTTGAAGTTCATTTGAATAAAATAACACCCAATAAAAGATACTTTTAAGTCTTATTCAGTCTCTAATTTCCATTTTGATTCAAAGAATTTCTTATAGCTATCTTAAAACTCATTATTAAGTTATAAAATTAAATTTGGATTATATAACTAAATAACTATTTCTGTTATTTATTTTTAAGAAAGAGCGTTTTGAAAGTATTACTTTACTGTTGTTTTTTCATAAATTTATTTAAAGATCTTTTTAGATTTAGTAATTTAACCAATAAAATATCTTAGAAAATTATGAAGGTTTAAAATTGTTGAATGGAATTGATTTGAAATTGATTATCCATCATCTTATTTTAAAGACTCAAGTTCCTTATTTTCTGAAAATAAATATTGACTTTGGTAAATTGCAATTAACTAGCAATGTACCACCCAAAAATTAACAATATTTTTGATGTTAGGTGTAAATTAAGATTTAAAATTTTATTCTGAATCTTTTATTGTCTGTAAAAGTTATTGCTTGAGTGGTTTTACATTTTAACTCAGATTGTTATCTTCTTTTTCTAAAATCTAAAGAAAAACTTTATGAATTTCAATTTCTCTAATTACTAAAAGTTGAATTTAGCTTAAAGTAAATATAAACAATTAACTCTCTTATTTTAATTATTTAATTATTAAAGCAATATTTTCCTTTACTTCTTATTTTTCAATGTCTTATATTGTAGGAATACTTTTCAATCGTTTAAGTTGAATATCAATTTAGTTAAAATTTTGTATTAGTGCATCTCTGGATTATAATAATATATTGTTTAATGGCTTAAGAATTTCAAGATTTGATTCCTTTGTTAAAATCTGAATGTTTAAATCTTCATCGTTGATTGATCCATCATTATTGTTATCGAATTTAAAATTTAAATAATTAGGTAACAATTATATTTTTTCTTGTTTCTCTAATGAATACTCTTAAAACAATTTTAATTCTTCAAACAGATTTTAGAAATTTGATTTATCATCAGGTAATAGTTTGATCTTAAACAAAGTCTTATCATATACTACTTGAACAAATTATGACTCTGGAAAAAATTATTTTTAATCAATTTGTTTTTAATTTTAAAGCTCCAATATTTCAGATTTGCTAAGAATAGGTCTATATGATATGATATCAGACAATAAGTTAATCCAACAAAAATGAATCATCCAATCTTTTGATTATTATATATATTTGCAATATCCCTTTTACAAATGAATTATTGTTGTTGTAATCGAATTACTTTGTTTTAATTGATTTATAAGTGACCATTTTAGATTCTCAAAAAAATAATAAATCTCATATTTTTCTAGAGGATGTTATATTTATTTGTTATAAAAGTTCATTAACAAATATTTACCACCCTCAATGATTGTGTCAATTAATTCACTTGTTGGTGATAATTATGTAACAGAATTTGCCACTTGACATAAGAAGGACAACAATAGTTCTTATCCTATCTCAGAATTAGTTCGAAGGTGGGTGATACAAGTTTTTATAATTTAAAGCTCAAAATCTACACCTGTTATCCATATTTTAGAGGATTCAACTTTAATTTATTCTTCAGTTTCAGAAATTGTATTTAATAATGATTATTACAATTCAAATTAAATGTATCTATCTTCATTTTTTAATTAACTTGAGAATATTACTCTAAGTAAATCATTGATAATTTGTAATAAAGAATGAAGCAGAAACCCTGATAGTTTAACGTAAACAGGAAGCTGTTTAATTAATCTTTCAACAGATTTCTCTATTAATTCATAATTTATAGAATTGAGTAATTGATCATTACACAACACTTAGAAATATTCTTTATGATTGAAAAACCATTGGAATGCTATAAGTATTTCATCTTGATATATTTTATCTTAATACAGATTGGACTTTTCAACAATCATAATTGTAAACCTTTCTAAATTGGCGGCAAAGTTTAAGGGAATTATAGCATTTTTTGCTTTAAACTATATTGTATTTGTAGTTTTTTATATAGCACATCCTCCTCCCCTTAATTAATATGATGTATCCAAAAATTTAGGTAAGTAATAGAGTTCATTACTAATATCAAATAATTTTTCTCTTTGAAATAGTTTCATTCTAATGTTTTGACCATCATATTCTTCAACTGATTAGTTTTTTAGCTATATTTAAAAATTGCACATAACTTATGCAAATAATAAAAATTTATTTTAATGATTGAATACAACATATGTTGGACTTTTGAAAACTTATTCATACAAGATTCAATCACTATTCTTTTCACTTAAACTTTATTGAAGAATTAGAATTCTGTAGAAAAATAAAAAATTTAGATTTCCTTTTGATTATCTATATTATTTATCTCTAAAAATCTTTGAGGTTGAATAATGAAAAATATTTGGTGATATACTATATTTTTAGAAAATATCAACAATATGACTTTTTGAATGAAATTAGTGTGTGATTATTTCAATAAAGGAATCTTTAGGTTTCTGCATAAAGTGAATTAACCTTATAAATTTATAAATACATATTTAAAAAATTATTATATTTTATTTAGCATATATTTATTGTATTGTAAGTATTTAAATGAGTAAATACTTTATATTTTGAAGAAATTACGTTTTTATGTTTTAGTTAAATATTGTTATAATTATAATTAAAATATCATAAATTTAGTGTTAAATTTTTTTGGTTTTCTACAAAATTGAGTTTTTTCATACAATTTTAATTAAGTTTGGAACTAACAAAATAATCTAAAATCTATTTTAAGTAATATAATTTAAACAAACAATGATGATATGAAAGTTTTTTGGTATGATTTTAATTCCCTTAGAATAAATTTCTGTTAAAATAAGTTAAATTTTCTTTCTAAAATTGAAATTAAATAAATTAAACTTAAGTTCAAGGCTAGATGATGATTTTTTCTTTGTATGAATAGAAAAATTAATAATATTTATTCATAATATGTTAATTTAGACCTTTTTCAGACTTTTCTCGTATTTCAAGTTATTTTTCTTTAACTTCAAAACCTAAAGAAAAAAAATTGTCATATCATTGACCATCATCACAATGACACTTCTTCCAAATAAACTCTACATAACAAAAATATCCCCTATTAGGAAGATATACTATTTTATTACAATATTATTCAATAATTTTTTATTATTAAATCCTTCCTTCTTTTGATTTTAAAAACAATTTTCAAAATGAAAATCATTTATATCTTCTTCAACTTTTATTTTAAGTAAACTATTTTATAATAGTGATTATGGTAAACTTGAATTAGGATCAAATATCATTAAAAACTATATCAGGAGTATTTTAATTTAATTTAAGAATCAGTTTGATTGGTTACCAATCCAATTTTTCCCACTTAATAACTTTTCATTTTACAAATTTAAAACTTAAAGATGCTACATTATCCAAATTATGCTTAATATATGACTTCCATAATTTAGTCATATTTCTTATAAGAACAATGTTATTGAGGTAATTTGAGTTGGTAAAATATTTAACTTTAAGTTTAAGTCTCATACAAACTGGATAAATATTTTTGTTATACATAAGCATGAATATGAATTTAGATATTGCAATATCATCAGCATATGAAATTACNATTCAATCACTATTCTTTTCACTTAAACTTTATTGAAGAATTAGAATTCTGTAGAAAAATAAAAAATTTAGATTTCCTTTTGATTATCTATATTATTTATCTCTAAAAATCTTTGAGGTTGAATAATGAAAAATATTTGGTGATATACTATATTTTTAGAAAATATCAACAATATGACTTTTTGAATGAAATTAGTGTGTGATTATTTCAATAAAGGAATCTTTAGGTTTCTGCATAAAGTGAATTAACCTTATAAATTTATAAATACATATTTAAAAAATTATTATATTTTATTTAGCATATATTTATTGTATTGTAAGTATTTAAATGAGTAAATACTTTATATTTTGAAGAAATTACGTTTTTATGTTTTAGTTAAATATTGTTATAATTATAATTAAAATATCATAAATTTAGTGTTAAATTTTTTTGGTTTTCTACAAAATTGAGTTTTTTCATACAATTTTAATTAAGTTTGGAACTAACAAAATAATCTAAAATCTATTTTAAGTAATATAATTTAAACAAACAATGATGATATGAAAGTTTTTTGGTATGATTTTAATTCCCTTAGAATAAATTTCTGTTAAAATAAGTTAAATTTTCTTTCTAAAATTGAAATTAAATAAATTAAACTTAAGTTCAAGGCTAGATGATGATTTTTTCTTTGTATGAATAGAAAAATTAATAATATTTATTCATAATATGTTAATTTAGACCTTTTTCAGACTTTTCTCGTATTTCAAGTTATTTTTCTTTAACTTCAAAACCTAAAGAAAAAAAATTGTCATATCATTGACCATCATCACAATGACACTTCTTCCAAATAAACTCTACATAACAAAAATATCCCCTATTAGGAAGATATACTATTTTATTACAATATTATTCAATAATTTTTTATTATTAAATCCTTCCTTCTTTTGATTTTAAAAACAATTTTCAAAATGAAAATCATTTATATCTTCTTCAACTTTTATTTTAAGTAAACTATTTTATAATAGTGATTATGGTAAACTTGAATTAGGATCAAATATCATTAAAAACTATATCAGGAGTATTTTAATTTAATTTAAGAATCAGTTTGATTGGTTACCAATCCAATTTTTCCCACTTAATAACTTTTCATTTTACAAATTTAAAACTTAAAGATGCTACATTATCCAAATTATGCTTAATATATGACTTCCATAATTTAGTCATATTTCTTATAAGAACAATGTTATTGAGGTAATTTGAGTTGGTAAAATATTTAACTTTAAGTTTAAGTCTCATACAAACTGGATAAATATTTTTGTTATACATAAGCATGAATATGAATTTAGATATTGCAATATCATCAGCATATGAAATTACATCATATTTTTCAGATAATTGAATTTAGAGTATTTGGTTTTTTTTCATTCTAATCCTTGTATAAAGATATTAACATTATTTTTCATCAATAAATTCGTCAAAAATCTCAAATAGAAAAGGAGCTAAAAGACAATCTTGATGTAGAGAATAAAAAAATATACCCGTTTCTTCTGACTTTGCTGAATACATTTGATAAGTCAAGAGAGATCTACACTTTAGGGTTTCATCTAGGAAAATCGTAATTATGTGATATAGTTATTGATTTTGAAAGTACATCCAAAATGAGTCAAAGACCTTTTTCTAAGCATTTATAACTCGAGAACATGTAATTTAAAATCTGTTCACATAGTGGGCTTAGAAACATTTTAAGTCTAAATTACCTAAGCAAGGCATTTCTGGATGCATTTAAAAAGTTATACCATTTTCATAGTGAACAGGCAATCCAGTTTCAATATAAAATCAAAGTTGATGTATATACAAAAATCTTATATATGTATTTAATTTATTTGAGGTTATAACATATTGCTTTTTTTTAGTCTGTATATCTAGTTGTATGAAGGAATTATTTAATAAATTATTTCAAGATATCATTATCTATTCCTTTTGTATCTTAACAAGGCCAAAAATACCATAATGATAATATTATTATGGCAGAATATGAGTTCATCCTTATCCAGTTGAATAATCATTAACAATAGATCCTTTTTTTTAATGGTTTTCTGTTACTAGAATGTTTAGCTGATCATTCCAGCATATGAAAATATTAGGTAAGGTGAGTTAGTTTTAATAAAGTATAAAGTAAACCTTTTAAATATGATCTTAATTAGAATCAGTTTCCAGATCTGGAAATTTTTTCTAATTAAAGCATCAGTGAGTAACCATGACTTTCCTGATTACTGAGCCAGTCTACATCCCTTCTTATTTAGGTAGTTTGCTTCTTGAGCTAAAATGATCTGAATTTTTTAAGCAATTGCCATATTATAAACAGAAAAAGAAAATAAGATTTGTGAAAATAGTAAAAATTGGAAGTTGCACTCAATAAACTTGAAGAAATTCAAATTTTTAACTAAATTCCTGGGTTTGGGGTTGGGGTTGGGTTTGGGTTTGGGGTTGGGGTTGGGGTTGGGTTTGGGGT